TTTCAGTGGACGAATTGAAGTGAAGGAATTGTTGCGCGACAAGATATTTGTTTGTGTTAAGACATTCATTAGGTGCACTGTGCCCGAAGGTACACTGTAATACTTCGTTAGTGGCGGGGCTAAGCATTTAGGTAGGCGCGCTGACACCGACCTTCAATTGAATCCCTAGGTGCTTTAGCGCGTCTAGAACCGAAGCTCATTTGGAGCTGCCTCGTGACGTAGCTGCAAGGTACAAGGTACATTCACCTACTATTGCATCCAGGTGTCGGTGGAAGCTGTCATAGCTCTGGTTTGGGCGCTCTGCTACCTTACCGAACTCCGACAACTCAACTTCGCATCCTGTACCCTCGCTGTCTTTCTGGGCCTTCTCACTTCCCAGCATGATACCATTGCCATCGGTATAATGACGGACCAGTCACCGGAACCCAGCCACGACAAGGCGCGTGATCTCGAAATCCAACAACCTGAGCATGAGGCAGCACCTACATCTAACGAACCGGTTCCGCCAACAAATTACGATGCTCCGGATGATGGCGCGCATAGCTCCGAAGCCGAGTCGCTGGGAAAAGACGCGGATATTGATGCGAAAGATATAACATCACTGAGAAGCAACGACGAGAAAGCAAGCCAAGATGGAGATCGGGACAAAGGCGGAGAAGAGGGGGAGGACGACGACGACGACGATGATGATGATGACGAGGAAGATGAAGATGAAGATGAAGACGACGACGACGACGACGACGACGAGGAACCTAAACTCAAGTATGCTCGGCTAACTCAACACCTTAATGGAGTATATCGAAACGGCGACGCAACTAGCGCGTTCCTTGTCGCTGGAGATAAGATGGTAGGCTTGACATCCACTAGAAGCAAACACTGTACTAACTCTGCAATAGATTGTTGGAACGCATAATGGCAATATCGTAAGTAGTGGGCACACCGCTCACTTACCTCCCGCTAACTCTCGCCCAGCACATCGTCCAGCTCCCAATGTTCCAATCCATGAGGGTATACCACGCACACTCTGCTTCAGTAACATCTATATCAATATCGCCATACCCGCCCCCTCTCCCAACCGACACACCAGAGACGGCACCGAAGCATGCAGCTCACAGTAATGCCAGCGTATCGTCTAGTCGCCAAACAGATTCATCCCCTGCGCCATCGAGAAGGCCTCGGGAAGTGTCTCAAATCCCACGAACGCCATCAAACGACATTTATGTTGCCACTTCTTCGCTAGACGGCAACGTATGTGTTCAGAACTTAATTGATATGAAAGATGTTCAATTACGGAACTTCGCTCGTCCTGTACAAACGGTAGCTCTATCTCCTGAGTTCAAAACAGACCGGACCTATTTGTCAGGAGGTCCTGCTGGCCAGCTTATTCTTACCGCAGGAGGTGGCCCAGGTCGTAGTACTTCAACTACGACTGGAACTGCAGCCGCCACAGCTTCTGGCTGGCTGGGCAGCATGGGGCTTGGCGGCAATGCAGGCAAAGATACTATCTTGCACTCTGGAGAAGGGACTATCAGTACCATCAAATGGTCATTGTCCGGAAAATACGTGGTCTGGTTAAACGAGCATGGCATCAAAATCATGCGATCGAAGCTACATCTTGAAAGTGCGGATTCAGAAGACGCATGGAAACGAGTTGGGCATATTGATCGACCACAGACAGACGAATGGGAAACCATGGCCAGTGTATGGAAAGGTCGTGTCGAATGGATTGACGAACAGGCTGTCGAGGTGGATGAATCCGATCAGAGCACTACCGATAAGAACAGTTCACCAGCTACAGAAAAGCTGAAAGGGCATGCCCTGGTAAGCAAGAAGGGCATCGAGCGATTACTCGTAGGCTGGGGCGGTACAATATGGATTATACACGTCCATCCTGGAGGTGTTGGTGTTGGTCGGCACGCAGGAGAGAAGACTATCGGACGTGCTGAGATTGTCAAGATGTAAGTTTTGGTCTGGCCTCGCTATACTGCACAAAAGCTAACGTGAATCAGACTTCGTATGGATTGCATTATTTCTGGCATTTCACTATATACCCAAAACCTCTTGTTGGTTCTCGCATATTGTCTACCCGAAGATGAAGATGAAGACGAGGACGCTGTTTCTTTTTCAAAATCACCAGATAAAAAGCACAAATCCAACTCTTCTTCCGGAAGCCAACCATCCGGTGGTGTTCAACGCCGACAAAACAACCAACCGCCAGAACTACGTCTTATTGATCTCAACTCTCAAGCAGAAGCAGACAAGGACAGTTTAAGCGTCAGTCGTTACGAGAGATTATCGTCAGGTGACTACCATTTGGGGGTTTTGCCTGCACGCAACGCGGCATCCGCGATTGCTTCTTCTCGGGGTGCTCTGGAGGCGATAGCTGGGATTGGCACGGATATGTGGAATGCTGCCATCAATCCTCGGTCTCTCTTCAGTTCCGGGGCAAGTATCCGGAGCCGTGGCAGCGGCGATGATTCCAGCATCAGAGGAAGTACAGCAGGAACAATTCGACCCGGGACGAACAGGGGCCTTTCACCAACTGTCCATTCAGGTCTTGTGAAACCTGGCGTAAAGATCTTCATCCATAGTCCGTATGACTGTATCCTTGCAACCAGACGGGACTTGGGTGATCATTTAGGATGGCTCCTGGAGCGTCAACAGTACCAGCGTGCGTGGGAATTGCTAGACGAACACCCAGAGATCATGGCTCCAGCTAATGAGAGAACCAACGACAACACTCCCTCCACGCCAACACTAAACCAAGAGGCCAGTGATGAGTTTAACGATGACGAGTCTGTCATCGATTCGCAGCTCAGAGACTTCTATTCGTCAGCCGAAAAGGAAAAGCGGCGCATCGGAGAGCTGTGGATTCAAGAACTCATCGAAGAGAACGATTGGACGTCTGCGGGCAAGGTCTGTGGACAAGTACTCAAGACGCCAGACAGATGGGAGAAATGGGTGTGGAGGTTTGCCGGCGCAAAGAAATTTGATGCAATCACGAATTATATCCCCACAAAGCCCATGCACCCTCCACTTCCTTCAACTATATACGAAGTTGTGCTAGGGCATTACATTCAGAACGACAAACCGAGATTCAGAGAACTTTTGGATCGTTGGTCGCCTGAACTTTTTGACGTCAAGACTATCACGACTGCGTTGGAGAACCAGCTCAATTACCGGGACGTGCGTGAAGACAGTGTTGACGATGGAGAAAAGGGGCGAGACTGGAGAATTGTGATGGAGAGTTTGGCGAGGTTGCATGAGGCGAGTGGACGATATCGTGAGGCTCTTAAATGTTATATCAAACTTCATGACGCAGACTCGGCCTTTAGGTTGATTAGGGACAACCATCTTGCCGAAGCTGTTGAAGACGATATTCCCAGCTTTATTGGTCTTCGAGTCCCACCTGGTAAAACTGACCAGATGACAGCAGAGGAACTCGAACAAGCAACATCTGAAGCCATCATTCTGCTCGTTGACGAAGCTCAGCATGGTCTTCTACGTCCCGACGTTGTTGTGGAGCAGCTTCTCGCCCAGAAGCTCAATCTGTACATATACTTCTACTTCAGAGGCCTGTGGCGAGGTGAAGGTATTCAAGAGCATGGAGGAGAGAATGTAGACCGGCTTGTTATGGACAGTCAATCGTTGGTGGACAACTTTGCGGATTTAGCGGTCCACCTCTTTGCGACCTTTGATCGGTCGTTGCTAATGCAGTACCTGAAAACCTCGGTCTCATACACGTTTGAAAAGGTAGGTTGAGGGCGGAATCGAAACTCTGATCTATGTGCTAACTCCGGCCAGGCTGTTCAAGAATGTGAGAACTTCTCATACTACGATGAGCTTGTGTTCCTATACTCCAAGACCGGCCAAATGAAGCGCGCTCTTTATCTCATCATTGATCGCCTAAAGAATGTTCACAAGGCCATCGAGTTTGCCAAGGAACAAGACGATCCGGACCTATGGGAGGATCTTCTCAAATACAGCATGGACAAGCCCAGCTTCATTCGAGGTCTCCTCGAGCAAGTCGGAACGGCCATCAACCCAATCACTGTGGTGAAACGAATTCCCGAAGGGCTCGAGATCGAGGGTCTCAGGGAAGGACTTACACACATGATGAAGGAACATGAGATTCAATACAGCATTAGCTCGGGAGTTGCACGAGTTCTTCGCAGCGAGGTGGCCACGGCCCAGACCGAGCTCCGAGCTGGCCAACGCAAAGGCATCAAGTTTGAAGTAGTTATGCAGGATCAAGAACACGTGGATATTGAAGTCAAGGATGTCCCCACGGATCCTGAGAACCCTGAGCGGAACGCTTCTCACCCGTCTACAAAGCATGACCACCGGGTGCCAAAACCGGGACATTGCGCAAGGTGCCACGAGCCTTTCACCGAGTACGAGATGGAGACGTTGGTAGGATATGCATGTGGGCATGTGTTCCATGTAAGTCATCTGTTAGAGATGCTGCACGGGAACAAGAAGATGGACGTTGATCTTGGCAATGGATCTGAAGAAGGAAGTCGGTACTCTGTGCATATGAAGGTGATGAGAGCACGTTTGTTGAAAGACAAGATGAGAGGAGGTTGTCCTGTGTGCCACGTTAAAGAATGAGGGTATGAGATTTCTAGTTGAGGCGTCATGCACTGACGGCGTATAAAGAGACGGTCATTTTATATATAGCACATTAGTCTAGAAAGTTTTACGGCGCATATAGGTATCCAGTAGAGAGAATGAATAAAGACAAACATGACATGCGTGAAAGGCGAAATCCTTTTCAAAGCACCTAAGTACAACTAGTATTACGATCCTTCACTCGGTTCGGAAATGCCAAAACCACCATCCTGTACCATCAATCTACTACTTCCTCAAGCTCAAACCAACGGTCATTTAGTGATATACCATGTCAAGGCATCCAACACTATTTCCTTCTCTCCAGTGCGGAAGAAATTTTCGAGTATAAGTCAGTGACGAATGCATGGAAATCATGATCTAGAGGCTGTTTAGAAGACGGCAACGAAAAGGATGCCAACGAAGCCAAGGATGGTGCTGGGAGTAAGATGCTTGGCAGCTGCAGAGGCAGTGACGATGGGAGTGCCAGTAGGAGTGACATCCTCGGTCTCCTCAGCGTCAGTGCCAGTGGCAGTTCCAGAGACGGCCGTATCGTAGTCAGTCTCGGATTCAATGACGGTAGCAGTGGCAGTGCCACTGACAGCGGCAGAGGGCTCGCTGTAGAGAGTGGTGAGGATGGTTGGGTTACCAGACACATCGGTGGTGCTGATGAGAGAAGGCAGAGGGACAGCCTCACCACCCTCAGAAGGAACCGCACCAGACGGGTTGACAGCTGGGACAGAGCCCTGCTCACCAGAGGCAGCGGAATTGGTAGCGCCAACGGGAGGGGCGTAGTTGGACTCAGAGGCGCCAGAAGCCATGGGGGTAACAGTGGTGGAAACGATGGGGACAGAGGGAACGGGAACACCCTCAGTGCCAGAAGAGACACCCTGATCGTGGTAGGTAGTCTGCTCGCCGCCAACGGGAACCGAGGGCTGCTCTCCAGCGGGAGCGGAGGGGACATCGGTGGCAGCAGGAGGCTGCATGGACTCACCACCAACAGAGGTGGTGTCGGTACACTTGGTCTCGTGGACGACAGAGCAGATGGTCATGGAGTGAATGACAGTGCCTAATCAGTCAGTATATGTAATAAAGTGAATAAGAGATGGAGGAGAAGCATACCGTCAGAAATGGCAGCGCCATACTCGTGAGTGTAGGGAGTCTCGGTCTCGGTGTGGGCAGCTGAATAAATATTAGTATCAGCAAGATAATTAAAGACGATCATGGGCTACTAACACATGCACAGGGCACTCTCTACCTGGGTGCCGGTGGCGGCAACGAGGGGGGCGCACAGGGCCAGAATGCTGGCGAGAGCCTTGAGCTTGTAGACAGCCATCGCGAAGGTGGAAGATCTGTTTTGAGGGAGGTTAGTGAGCAGCTCTTGGTGTCAGTAATAGATGCAGGAGTGTGATGTCGGAGGAAAAGAGGAGGGAGATGTGCTCGAGTGTCGAGTGATGGGTGGTTATGGTGGTGGTGGTGAAGCGGGCGCAGGTGAAGAAACAGAAGTGCAGACGACAGATCACAAGCTCCCGCAAAGAGGCAGAACGAAAGTCAGGAGGGGATAAATGCTCACAGATTTATTATCTGAAGATGATGTAGTGAAGGTGTTTGTGGAATACAAGTGATAATGCAAGACTGTGAAGAGATGCACGATCGATGTAGAGAGGAAGAAGAGGTGAGAGAGAAGGGTGAGGAAGAGAAAGAAAGAAATAGCAGAAAAGATCGAACGACGGGAAGATTCTATTTCTACTTCTTCCCTGCAACCTAAGGCAGGTACACGTAAACAATAACCTAAGCGTAGAGTCGGTGAATGGTTTGCCAGTTCCTGACAGCCGTCTTGCAGTGTCAGTGACAATGACTGGTAAAAAACTGATTGAACTTTTGGTTTCAAGGGGCAACGGTTCAACAACAATAGATATAAATTAAAAACATTTTACTCGCTCAGTGAAAGAAAGGGAAAAGAACCTGGCAACAGCCGTTGGTTGGTGATACTGATCCTCGTTGCACCAGACGTCGTGTTGAGGCATCCCATTTTTGGTGTTTGCCCCTGAGATGGATATTCAAGCTGTCCAACAGAAACACCTAGAAAACACATAGATTTATAAATATAATATTTAATAGAATTCTAATTTCTTTCTTTCTTTCTCCGATATTCTTTTATTTTTCTAAATGCTGCTACATAGTGGTTTTAATGCAGCTTCATGCTTCAATACAAGTATCAATCCACAACCACCCCCGACACTCTCAATAACAAGTACAAATATGTTACTTTCCTTAAATTATATGCAGCTAAAACAATACAAATCTCAATAACTTCAACAATGACTATCTTAACTACCCTCCACCTCAGTCTGCATCCTTACATCTCCATGTCTAATTACTCTCACCACTGAATTGTCTCCTCGAAAATGCGATACTGCGGGCCCTGTACCACGTTACAACCGCAGCGGCATCTCGCATTTCTGCACACTACACAACATAAGCCATATCTGTAAGAGATAGATTGATCTGCACATCCCAACCAGTATCCCATACCCTATTACCCTTCCCTTCAGACCCAACATCTCTGTTGAGCAACACTGCAAGTCTCCTCGCTCAGCATAAATACGATGCGTGCACCAGATTTCAAAGTAATCTCAGTCGAATACACTGTGCTCTTGTCTCTACAACACGTGTCTGAGCAGTGCATTTGTGCCATGTCACTCGCCTGTGCCTCAGAGTGAATACCCGATGAGGGACAGACCGTCTCCGAGCAGAGTCAGGCAAACTGGCTGGACTAATGAAGGGGCAGAACTTGAGGATTGTCTAAGCGAGTCTGCTGATTTTTCATAATAAAATGGTATGTCTCAGGGTCCTTTGTGTTCCCTCAAAGGATATTCTGGTATACAGAAAACCGAAGAAGAAAATTGATTAACTTTTCAATAGCACTACACGTTAACTGCCACCTAATAGAAACTCTTGATACAATCTTGTCTTGAGTCTCTTGTGGAATGTAGGTAAATAGTATTCGAGGAAAGACTTTTTAACTTTGACCTATTCTTTGAATGCAATGTTTGTCGACATAAAACGAAAAATAAAGATATTGTGGGTAAAAAAGTAATAGACTAAAGCAAAAGTGGCGGCTGAAATCATAAGCGTTCATCGTTGATGATGTTGACGTTGGTTTGCTTCAGGGTAAGATAAAAGGCAAAAGTTGCAAAAAACGGATATTTGATGGATTCTAACCATCTACAATGGACGAACAGGGAATCGAACCCTGGACCACTCCCAGATTATTCGGTCGAATTATGCTAAGGGAGTATTATACCACTAAACCATTCGCCCGATGTTATTAGAAGAGTTGACCGTATTGGATATCATGTCTGCCATTTTGCAATGCTCCAACACGTATGCCACGCACTCAACTCGACTCGACACTTTTTCCACAGAACCGCTAACGATAGAAAAGCAGGATATAGAAAACCCTCAAAATATCATCAAACCATAAGTTTTAATCATTTATCCCTCGAATAGTTGTTTCAGCCGGCGCAAATGCCCGGTGGTAGACAGCACAGTTGCTATAAGAACGAGATAGCATAACACCATGACTAGACGAGTGATGATATCAGGAAGAACCATCAAAAGCACTGCGAGGCAGAGTCCGCTCATTGAGAATGCGCTGATTAGCGTCCGTAGAGGCACAAGTGGAACAGGCGCTGATTGATCACCTCCGGGAGCATTCGTTCTTGGTCCTTGTGACAAGGCAACAAGATCCTGTGCCCGAAGGAACCGAGTTTCATCTTCGACTAGGACTTGCCGACTTTCGAGATACGTTCGGTAGGCTTGAACATCGTTGTTTGTCGGTGTTGGCAGCTTCTGCATTTCTTCAAGAGAGACAACCAAGTGTCCTAGGGCAATCAGATAAACATGTATGTTGGGCTTGAGTAGTACTTACTATATCGGCGAAGAATATTCTCGATCTTGTCCATTAGTCGATGTCTGCTTCGATGAATATCATGATTGGAAGCCCGCTCTTCTCGCCCGGAGACAGCCATGTGTCCACCATCCCGTGTGGTGATGGAGTCCAGCCGTATAAGGTCTTCTTCGTACGCTCCAAGTTGGTCCTGTAAATATAGGAGGGCTCGGTGGTTGAGCCAGTCGAATTTCCGATACAGTGGCCTCAGTCGTGGATCGCATTGGCCTGATAGTCTGGCTGCTATCTCCGCATATCCGTCGAGGGCCTCAATTGGTAGATTCTCGTTCTGCGCAGCCATGTCCTCTTGCGTTTCAGAGTATGCTGTATCGTATGGGGGATTCTGGTTGTGGTAGGCAGGCTCCAATGCCAAAGTTCTCTGATTTGAGAAGGCAACTCTAGATGGATAATGATGATCTATGTGTGGCACACCCTGCTGTTGCGGCGTGAAGGGCTCTTGGGGTGGAGGGTAACCAGCGGGAGCATGCACTGGCCCCCAAGCTGGATAAGCTAAAGGACTGATAGGAGACTGAGGATAATTGGCGACGGCGACAGCTGAAGGTGCATATCCAGACGCGGGTACCTGGCGACTGTTGAGTGGACTCTTGAAATAGCCTGCTTCTGGGGAAGACTGGAACGCTTCATGGGCCACAGAGTTCGGGTCGGGTCCGGAGAATGACATGCTGGCAGGTCGATGTGCTCCTTTGCTTCTAGGATTTCTGGTTTCTCTTAAATTTTTGCTCCTGTTGCCGGTGGGTTTGGAGGTAGCCGTATCATCACTGGATGTAAGCTGCGTAACGGTACGTTGGACGTTGGAGGGGGTGTAATCCGTCTTGGATGACGAGCTGGTCGGCGTTAAACGCTGAGTTCTGCCCTCACTCGGTGACTGGCTGGCACTTTCTTCGCAGTCTTCAACAGTGGACTGGTGGGATAAAGCCTTTTGTATCGACGCGCCCTCGGCTGAAGACCAAGATGGCCTGTTTCGAGCCTGCGCCCTATCGTTCATTTTGAATTTGCGCAATGGAAATGAATTGCTCTTTTAATTTTAGGGTTCTTCTTGCGGATATATAGTTTTTGATCCAAAACTCTCAATTCTCAAGCGACTAACGACGGCAGTGAGTTTATCAATGAAGCCTTGTACGATCGTGTTCAACTATACACCCGTATGATTCAGTATATATTGCCGAGTGTAAGCTTGGTGTTCGCCAGTTTCTCAACAATGATGCATGTTGAGCATCTCGGCCGCAACGGAAGCTCACTATGGCTAAGATATGCCGAATAGAGTGTTGGACTGTACCGTAACACCGGGAGCCGATGTTGGATTCCGTGAGCAACCGCAAATATGTCAAGCTTAAGGGAGGAGTAAGATCTGACGTGACAACTTGGAAGCCCACGTAAGACAAAGAAATATCCCGATAACTTTGACTGGATATAAATTATGAAGGATTGCGGGGGTGGTGAAGCGTAAATGTACTATGTAGAGATCAAGACTTTTTGAAACTCTTATGACAAAGGCATAGTGTTGTTGAAGGAGAACAAGAGGAAGACGATGACGATGTAAATAACTTATCATTCATAATCAAATAGTCCGCATGGTTGCCTTGTTTCAAGAAACAATAGCGCCAACAGCTGAGCCGCAGAACCCGTCTGAGCACTTGAACTCATTGGGGTAGAGAGGGAAGATGGTGGGGGAGTGAAGGACGAAAGGAGCGTGGGTAGTATCAGCGACAACTCAAGGCTCGCGTTGCATGTGAGATTGTAAGGAGCTTGGATGTTGTTGGTGAGCTCGATCATGTCATATCATCCAAGCATGTAATAAATAAGCAATACAGTCAAACATAGGGGAGTTGAACCCAAACTCGGACCAGAGGTATCACGTACTTTATTTAGAAATCTCTCGAGAAGAATCCTATAAAAGACACAGAACTGATTAGTTAGTAATTTGTTATGAAGGGAATAATTAAATGACTGAGAAATCACAAATAAATAACTTGATGAAGGAATGATATCGTCAAAAGCAGAGGGTTCAAGTTGAACGAAAGTACATCCAGTCAAGGCACGTGATACGCGCATTCCAAGACCATCATCACCAAATATCGTCGCAGCCCCACCACCGTTACGAAAACGAGTCCAGGAAAGATTCGAGATTCTCCAAAGACCAATTGACTTGATTGGAGTTGAGGTCACAACAAAGCTTTATCTCGTTACAATGATGGGCATATAATCAGCCTCAATGTTGCCAGGTCATAGCGCATCGTATTACTACTGCAACCCTCTTGATCTACCACACCACCAGAGTTCTATGCACATATAGACATACATCTGAGATCAAGCTCATCACATTATTGACGCCTAAATAAAGCATCGGCTCTTCACATCATTATGTCACGCATACCAACCTCGATCCTCAGCAAGTACTTGCTCAAAGGTCAAATACCACGACATGGCTGTATCAGTGCACGCCATATATACAGACACATTGCACTGACTTCAGCTGCTGCATCTATCGCCCACACAACCAGACATTTGCATGTCTCGCCTGAAGCTGTCACGCCACCTCCTGTACAGCCAGTTCCTCTGCGTAAGCAACTGAAGGACGAGGCAAAGAAGGCAAAGAAGCAGGGCAAGAAGAAAACAAAGGGCGATTCTCAAACAGTTGATGGTTGGGAGTTAACAGTTGGTATCGAAATCCACGCTCAGCTAAACACCGCCCATAAACTATTTTCACCGGCAATCACTTCCTTCAACGACGAGCCAAACAGCCATGTCGCTCTTTTTGACGTTGCCATGCCTGGCAGCCAGCCACTTTTCCAAAAGGAGACTCTTATCCCTGCCCTGCGTGCAGCTCTCGCCCTGAATTGCGAAATCCAGCAAGTCAGTCGATTTGATCGAAAACATTACTTTTGGTGGGATCAGCCTTCTGGATATCAGATCACTCAGTATTATGAGCCTTTTGCTAAGAACGGCCACATCACTCTTCTTGCTCGCGACGGAATTTCCCCTCAAGATGGTGAAAGTGTGACCATCAGGATCAAGCAGGTTCAACTCGAACAGGATACGGCAAAGACACTGGCTCAGACTGGCAAGGTACAGTGGCTCGACTTCAACCGTGTTGGCGTGCCTCTGATTGAAATCATCACCGAGCCTGAACTCCATCACCCTCGTACTGCCGCTGTTCTTGTGCGAAAAATCCAGATGCTGATGAACACCGTCGATGCTTGTGTATCAGGCATGGAGACAGGTGGTCTACGCGCTGATGTCAACGTTTCTGTTCGCAGAACTGATGGATCCAACCCATCACTTGGTACGAGAACCGAAATCAAGAATCTGAGCACTATCAAGGCAGTTGAAGACGCCATCATTGCCGAGCGTGACCGACAAATTCGTGAATTAGAAGCCGGTCGACCTATCCCTAGTGAGACTCGCGGTTGGTCTATCGGGTCCACAGAAACGCGGCGCCTTCGTGGAAAAGAGGGTGAAGTCGATTATCGGTATATGCCTGACCCTGACATTGCGCCTCTAGTTATTGGAGATGACCTAGTTGGCCACTTACGACAGTCATTGGCTGTGACACCTGATTCGGAGCTGGACACCCTGATCGCTCGATTTGGACTCACAGCCAAGGACGCACTGTCACTGATCAACCTCGAAAATGGCTCACGTGTCCAGTACTACTACAAGGTACTCCACTCAATCCAAGAGAAATTTACGGAAGACCTCAGTGAATCCAAGATTCCAGAGTTCAAGAGTTATTCTGCCTTGGTCGGTAATTGGATTATTCATGAGTTGGGTCGACTTACCACGTACAAGGCTGGCCCGCTCGCAACCCGAGACCTAACGTTCACGCCAGAAGGTAACTGTGAGCAGGTCCCTGATTCTGATCTCTCGCAACTTCTTTATCACCTGATCCGCAAGCAGATCACAGGCAAGGTGGCCAAGGAGCTCTTGTTCGCCATTTACCTCAAGGAAATTGAGGGAGGAGTCACCCAAGCTATTGAGGACAACGACTTGTGGTTCAAAGAGATCACAATGGAGGAATACGAGCAACTAGCCGATGAAGCCATGGAAGGCGAGGATAAAATCTTGCAAGAGTTTGCTAACTCTGAACAATTCCCCCAAGGTAAACTCATGTTCCTTGTAGGCAAGATGATGCGTCTTGGGCCTACTGAACGTATTGTTCCTGCGAATGCCGAACGTATCATGAGAGCAAAGGTTGATACTTTACGGAGGACGTGATTCACTTCACCGGCAAGCGGGAATGTGATAGTCACTTATAGCATAGCCCTTCTCCCGTCATCTGAAGCATCCGCATAATGACACCGTGTCACCGAACTGTTAACTCATGCTGGCGCTTTCCACAGCTAAAGATATTTGGCCCTTCCAACAATGAGGCTTTTGCCGAGCATCACTGGTGTGACAAGTCAGTGGGTTCTCTTGCGCACTGAGGCACAAGGTAGCAAACATGGATCGATTGATAAATGTCCATGGCACATGTCTTGAATAAACAATTACTTCTCTTTCCAAAGTGCCCTCAAACCAAAGTTTGTTTACAGCAAGCCCTGTTGCATCTGGGACAAACATCTCGAAAATTGACAAACCAATGGCTACTGTTTTCCCAACTCACATCGGATTCCCTCCTGTAAAGGACAGAAACGACGTCTCACGAACAATGATAACCAGTCATGGCTCAATATCTAAGACAGCAAGCCCGAACGATCGAGAAAACGACGGCGGTGGTATAAAAACAGAAACGGTGTGGGAGACGATGAATCTATATACAAAAACAAGCGAAGATAGCACGTCAACTTCTACTCCTTCAAGCCGACGAGCGAGGATTGTAGCAACTCCAAATACTACTACTAAAACCGAGGCGAACTATTCCACGGCCAGTCCTGCTGATAGTCAAAGTCCCAGTCCCCTTGCAGCAGCATTCCACGACTCTCGTGGTTGGTCGGACGGAGATATCGCTGCGGTTGTTCTCGGTATTGTCGTTTGCTTGGCTGCTATAGCATTAACAGTATGGTTCTTTGTCTATAAGAGGCGCAGAAGCCCAACGATTCACCGAGTTACTCCCCCGCAAACTCCAACCTTTAACCCTTCGCCTCCAAGTTCACCATTACCAACACCTCCGCCTATTCCAGAGTTGAGCTCTCAGGGTGACCAAACGTCCAACATGGAGGGTTCGTGGGTCAGTTATGGTGATCGTGTACGCTCGCCAACGCCCCAACCCGCTGTGGCAGAGGTGAGGAGCTTTACTCGTGCGTGGCAGAAGCCGCGTGTTTATACTGTTACTGGCGGGCGCATCGCAGAACTTCAGGGCTCGAAGCTTTCAACGAGTCTTGATAATGGGGATGATGGGGTATCGCCTATCTCACCAATATCTCGAGCCGAATCATCTCGTGCTGATCGTCGCATCGTGAGCCCGACGATTTTGACTTCCAAGGTTTAGCTCGTTATCGTCTAGGACCGACCCCGGCGGAGAACAAGAGGAGAGTCCAAGGAGGGGACTTTGATGAGACTTTGTATGATGGCCAACATCAGGCCGACTTCCTGCTAGATAGGTTAGCCTAATTTCGGTGTTTCTAAATGAGGGTGAGACGATGAGATCTTGTGCTACAGCCTATGATAGGGGTGGAGGCGGATAGTGGAACCCGTGAAAGCTCACTCAGGAAGGAGTCGGTTACATACTGGAAAATGCTTTCTATACATTATGTATTTAGCCTTAGATATCGCTACAACAGAATGCTCAAAGACAGATCACAGGTCTATCACATACATTCAACGTAGCAATCATCACGAGTATTGAGCAGGCAGCGTTCGCATGTAACTGTATGCTTTCATTCATTCGAAGTGACAATCAAACATGCTATCATAAACGCCGCATGCCCGTAACAGGGCTTCATACCTGTATCTGCACAAATTCCCAATACACATATGGGGAGCCAACGATCAATGCCATGAAACTCCAAACTCCTTGCGTGCTAAAACACGATAATGTTTTCCAATAAAGAAAAAAAGGACCACAGCAAATCAAGGTATGTTCTCACCAACCCCATGTCGCCCCGTCCACCAGTCCCATGATTAGTCTGACCTTCCGTTATGTCCATTGCCATGGCCATGAGCATGGCTTGCCAACACTTCGTTGTCATACTTTCCAGGTTGAAAGGCATAATTCAAATTTTCTCTGTCCTTCAAGAACATGTCGACTCTCTCATCCTTTGACCTGCCCGCAGCAATCGTATTTCGACGAGCGACCTGCTGCCCGATAGCAAGATTCGACTGTGCTTTCATCTCCATAAGATCGGCGCCGTATTGCTCTGCTCTACTCATTTGAGCAAAGGCGCCTATCATGCACATGACAACAACGAGGGTGGCGAAAAGACCATTGGACATGTGCATAGAGTCCCTAACCCTGCCGTCGCGAGCATCGTACCAACGCTCCCAATCTTCCCAAGTAGCATTATTTGCAGCAGATCCAGCCTTGTGGCGCCAGGCACGATCGGCGTTACGGACAGTTTCGTTGAGTGTCTGGGGCTTACCACCAGTCCAGCCTAGACCGTGGACATCATAAAGCTGGCGCTTCGAGGGGTCGCTGAGAATGTCATTGGCAGCAACGATGAGACGGTAGCGTTCTAAGCGAATCGCATGGGGGATATTATCGATATTGGAAGTATGGCTGTGTTTATCGGGGTGGTAGACTTTGACAAGCTGGTAGAATCGGTGCTTGGTATATGGGGCGTCACTCTTCATGGAGAAGATCTCGTATGGAGTAGGATAACTATTCTTGGGCCATTGGGAGACCTCATTATGGCTGAAGCTACCTCGCTGGTCGCTATTTACTGTGGCATATCGCCTGTGTCGGTCTATCGAGCAAGTCGTTGCGGGAGCATAGCTAGTTCGTACCCCTCTAGATGACGTTATAGACCGTAGAGGTGGGAGAGTCGAGACAGCGGGGACAGCATGACAGGAGCTGAAAAGGACGGCAGTTTTGTGAAGCGGCATGACGATGGCTATAGTTGGCGCAAGCTCAGAGGCATTGAAAACATGTTCAGCGCCGCGGGCTTGGTGATTCTAGGTATCACGGGTTGAGCATGTTAGAGCAGGAAATGATAGTAGAGGCGGCAGATGCTTGAGAGGCGTATCACGCGCAGCGAATGAGGATGCACATCATGCCCGCATATTCTCTCTTAATACCGGAGCTCAGCTGCAACCCCACAGAAGGTGCATGGCAGGGATTAACTAAAGTCCCGGCCGAGAACAGAGATCTGATCAGCCACAGCAGCCACGGTCACGAGACCTGAGTGTTCCTTCACCGCACAGTTCACCTCGGTGAGACAGTCCTGCCAAAACATCCCTGCTTCGATCTGCCGGCATGCCGAGACACCCTGGTTCCCAGCGACAGAATTGTTCATATTATCCGTTCAGACTACCATTGAGTGTCTTGCAGTACCAATCGCTACCGGGTAAATATGTCGATTAAAGTCAAAGCAAAAATATCAACTTGAAGTACAACAATATCAGTCCAAAGAAAGAAACAACTCTTGCCGACGTATCCGTCTTTGAATAGATTTGAAATTGGGTATGCAGTAATTCTAAGTTATCCGGTACTCTTACCAAACATAACCGAACTTCCATTCAAGCGATACCGAGGATGATGACATCCTGTCACCAGTATCGAGCACTACTAAGGTGATAATCACCGGGAATAGCGGCGCACCGCTAACGCTATCGTCATCAGAGGCGCTGGTTTAACCCCAGAGCTAGTCAAGGTTCACGAATATCTTCCTTTTTAGTTAATCCTATTTATGCTTCTCCTCACTCAACTCATATCCGACTCCGCGATTGGGGTAAAAAGACAAAATAACGCTCGTCACCCATGGGGAAGACCCCGTCCGGAGATCGTCCAGACACACGGTATCTGGACACGGCATTTCATATGCCGTGAGCCAATGAGACCATCTACAGTTTGAACATGACTCTGGATAGCTTCCTTTTCCCACGTTCATTAGCTCAGGCAGACGTCTTCCAGAACGGAACTCTTCCGACGTGTGTGACAGTCACTCCACTCTCACGACACAATTTGGTCATCGTCTCCACTGCAAGCTTTTCTCTGTGGTTACCAAAACCTCTAGGGTGACTTTCACGTTGTCATATCTCCGGGCCTACAGCTAGTCCCCGCTGGCTTGTGTTGAGGCTCAACGGTGCTAGACAGGACCAGGATATGTTCCTCCCGGCTTGAACAGAGCCTCAATGTTGGCTATTGCTTGTCAGATCATACAGGGCCTGGGCCTGAGCTGATAATATCTCAAACCGACGGAAAGTTCCTTGGTTAACTAACAAGGCATGGTTCAGGCTATCTAATTTGAAATCTTTGCGTTTGCTTGACTCGAAAGTAGCCAACCATTGCCACACCTTGCCCATCACCAACTGATTATTTTATGACGACTGGATCTGATCCTGGACGTGGGATCCGCTTCGTCTAAAGCAACCCAAACAACAACCCCGAACTCGCTACATCCGCGTGCCGACATATCCATATCCTTCCAGGATGCTCTGCTTGCAAAGGTCCCATCATGCCTTATCCGGAACCTCCACATAGCCATTCTCCACGTCCTTCCTCGGCCCTTTGGGGTCGTTACTGTTCAAGTAATGTTAGTGTCGTGCGTGGGTCGTTGAGCTCAGATGATGGATGGATCAACATTTGGAATATCAGTTTCCAGTCTGTTACTGATCCTGCAGCACCACAGACTCATATGGCTGGTGGGCATCCTATTCACAAAGATCGTCGATTGGATGCCCGCCCCTTCGTCATGCGAGATAGAGTATGGGGTAAGTCCCTATTCAGTTGTATTAATATCGAAAAAAGCTTTGGACCCTAAGTGGGTTGATAAAGATATTTCTCCAGGTTTTTATATTTAAACTCGCGTTTTCTCTTGCAAGTGATACAGTCTATTACTATTCTTTCCCCATTCCTCCTATAGTTACGATTAGGACAACATGTCTTCCAGTACTCCTCCTTCTCACGGGGCAACTACCCCTACACAATATACCGACAAGGAAGAGGGCGGTCATTATCGTTGCAACCACCCTCACCACTACTATGAAGAACGAAACAACAATGTACAAAAGCCTCACCAGTCCATGGTCTCGCAGGTCTACAACCCTTCATTCTTCAAAGTTGCCAACCCTGGTCCTCTTGGTTTGATTAGTTTCGCCCTGACTACCTTTGTCCTCGGTCTCTACCAGTGCGGTGCTGGGTAAGTTGTCTATAACCATATATAAATGCTTCCAGAATGTACTGATTTCCTTTAAAGACTTCCCGGTTCCAACCCCTTTGGCGGCATCGGTCCTGACCAAGCCATCTTTGGTCTGGCTGTCTTCTTCGGCGGTATCGCCCAGTTCTTCGCAGGCCTCATGGAGTTCCGTGTAGGCAACACCTTCGGAACCACTGTCCATTGTTCCTACGGTGCTTTCTGGCTGGCCTTTGCCATGTTCTTTGTCCCTGATCTTGCAATCAAGGATGCATACAAGGGTGACGACCGCGCGTACAGCTTTGCCCTGGGTATCTTCTTGATCCTATGGTGCTTCCTCACCCTCGTATTCTTCATAGCTGCTCTCAAGACGAACATTGCCATTTTGGTTGTGCTTGGGTGTTTGTTCCTTGCCTTTTTGTTCCTCAGCTTGGCTCAGTTCTTGCAGACCAGCCACCCTACCGCGGCGATTCGAATCAACAAGACGGGTGGTGCATTCTCGGTTATTTGCGCTGCAGCGGCGTTTTATGCGGGAGCCGCAGGTATTATGACCGAGGATACGACATGGGTTCGCTTCCCTCTTGGCGAAATCGATGTCAAACCCAAGAAGACCAACATGGCTTAAGACGTGGGTGGATCTTACTCCTGAGGGAAGGGTGGTATGTTTTGTTAGTGAATAATGCGATGGTATATGCCTGTTTATGATTTGAATGGGGATATTCATTTATCTATGAATAACTATTATGAAAATGATAACGAGAATAATTCCAATGCAATAATAATAATGCCAAATGCTAGAGAAAAGTGAATGACGTCACACATGTCGCACAGCAAAGCTTCGTAAGAGTGTATGTCGAGCTCTGAAGACTCAATGTCTCACTGGAATATTCTGTCACCACGAAAGAAATGTCGTTTGGGAAGTAATGCCCAATGAAAAAAAAATTAATGCATTAAGATTGATCCCTTAACCGTATGATGCATGGCTTGTAATCGTACAACAGACCGTCGTTGGGTCTGACATTCATTATTCCCCCCATCTCGATCTTGACAAGCTTCAGCGTTTCTTCGCTTACAACTTGTGCTTAGCTTCCTCAGCGGCACCCTTTGCCTTGCCCTTGGCCTGCTCAGCAGCACCCTTGGCCTCGCCCTTGAGCTCCTCTGTCTTGCCAGCGGCCTCACCCTTCAGCTCTTGAGCCTTGGCAGCAGCCTCTCCCTTGAGCTCCTGGGCCTTTCCGGTAACATTGGCAGCGGCCTCCTCTGGAAACAATTGTTAGCAATCAAGTTCTTTTGATACAGTGAATCGATGTTTGGAGAAACTTACCCCCAGCCTCAATGCCGTCAACAATCTTGTCGCTCACAACGCGGTCGACCTTTTTGGCAGTGTCCTTGACAGCATCGGTAGCAGTTCGCTGCAGGGCGAAGCTAGTGGTGAATGTTCGGGGAGCTTGGAAAGCAATGACGCGAGGAGCGAGAGCCGCACGGCGGATGACGTTCTTGGTGAGGAAAGACATGGTTTTAATGGGTTGTTTTGTTGGTGGTGACAGGTTGGGTTCGATTGATTGGGAGAGAGAGAAATAGTAGTCAATTGAGGAAACTGAATATGAGTAGAATGAACAGTTGGAAGGAGAAAAGGAAAGCTCTCGTAACTTATGTTCTGACGCTGAGAGCTTGTCATGGCTGCATGATGTCACTCGCGGGGAAGGAGCTACCTGTTGCGGTGCGACCAAGCACGTGAAGGGAGTAATGATGACGCAGTGAGGCTTGAAGAAATGGGGGGAAAGTGCTCATGTCGGAAGGAGCTTGCCTGTTTTCTACTTGAATGTTTAATCTCATCATCGAGATATTCTGCAGGCGATCGCTGAGCTTTGGTGGGGAAAGTAAGTTTACACTCAAATGGCTGAGTGTTAGTGCAAATGGCAGGTAACATCATGATGTACCTTCCTTCAATTGAGTTTAATAGAGATCACCAGGTACCCCTTACCTACCCGGGAAGTAGTCGAGTGAAACCCAATCTCAACTGAACACCATCTTTTGTTAGATTTAATGTGTTATCCGATAATGGAGAAGGCTTCATATCAAGATTATATACTGCAAAGCTCCAAGTCTAACAAAAACCTCAATATTTCTATGTACAGCAACGTGTCATAACTCATCATTCAATCGTTATCATAACGAATGCAAAATATTGTTGATCATCATCTCATGAACCCTTCTTCATACTGCTCTGAGACCACATCTCGTCAGGTGTCGCGACGCTTCTTTCTCCTTCTATTACCTCTTCCCGTTGAAGCTCACGACTGAGACTCCCCAGTTGCAAAGTGTCAGATGCTCGAATCCTAAATTCTTGTCTTTCAGGTCGTGGTAGTGGGCCATCACATTTGTCGCCAGTCTCGTTGTCATCATCGATAACGCATTCATCTGCAGATGTCCCCACTCGACCGTTTATAACGTTGTCGATGCGCAACCTTGGTGGACCCGAGTTAAGCCTCATGCCGTTCTTGGGAGGTCCAGCTGCATGTAGTCAGTAAAAACGACAACTTGGAAAAGTTCATGACTTGATACTCACACAGCAAGAGATCGAACAATTTGACGATGACGGGTCCCCATACAGTGACCGCGATGATCTGTCCATATGACCACCTGTTGGCTGCAAAGCTCTCCGCATTGATGACTTTTGTGAGAGAAATCATATACAGAATGTTAATAACAAGATACGCAACTTCGAGAATACGCCAGAACCATATTTTTACAAAAAGCCCTCGTCTCTGTTTGCCCCAGCGAGGCCATCGACCAAGGCGATACGACCCAAATTGGACGTGCTTGGTAAGGTGATGCTTCCGAAGTGTCCAAGCCAGTTGATCAGCCACCAATGCTACGATGGCAATGGTATCAAGAATGAGAAAAGTCATCTTGTATAGCAGAGGATGAGGAAAGAAGCTGAACCCCTGCCCGTCGATGCCTTGCGTTGCAGCACAATAGGTTCTCGGACTTGGATTGAAGCCGCATGCTTCGATTTCATTTTGGCCTTTGAACAGGGCAAATGCATCCTTGAAATAAATCTTTTGCGACGTTGCCACAATGGCGAGAAGATACTCCATAAAGAAGCCTAGGAATGTGTGCCAGTTGCGAATTCCTTCACCATGAAGGCAAATCTGGACAAGGAACATGGGCAGAATGCCATTCTGACTGACATGAAAGGCAATGGCACCATTCACGACAATTTCGCCCCAGAAAGTACCCTCTTGAGAGTTGACAACAATAGCAAGAATGGATGCAATTTGCACAGCAAAGACGAACCAACATTGGGCTTCTTGAAATTCGACCAATGTGGTTGCGATGGCTATGCTTGTACGTGACAAGCCACCGGAGTCGCGCCAGATCATACTCTCAATCCGGGTCAGGCTGCGCTTCAGACGATAAGGCTTGGGCTCTGATTTGCGGCGACTGGTATCTTGTGTGATGGTAACCCAAAGAGTGAAACCTTTGAGAAGCAAGTACAGAGTCGCAGCAAAGCATACTTGAAGAACGTATGAGATGAGAACCTACATACCTTGGCGTTAGCATAGGGTTAACAATAGGGGCTACTCTGACATACACCTGGACCAAAGATATCTGGGTTGACTTCGGCTGGTAATTCGGGACAAAACTCATCCAAGGCCTCAAATATTTCCTCAGGGGTTGATTCACCGTATGAGAGGCGATCAATCGGTCGGTTGCAAGGTTTGCTCAGGCCATCATTCTCGCACGCATCCTGGGCACAAGCAATGAGAGACCTGAGCACTGGTCGTCCGTCAAAGTCGGCCAAAGAACCAGAGCCCATCACAGCACTGGCATTTCGTTCCGTCTCTTCGCTGACATAGTAAGGCCCCGACTCCTGAGTCCAATGTGCTGCTGCAGCCAAGGCAGCACAGTTGTAGAATGTTTCCAGTGAGCTGAAGAACAGGTTCGAGCTGTTGCATGCGCGCGTGCAGTCGGTTACGCCGTCAATCAGGCATCCGGAATTGAATAAAATTATCTCTTGACCTCCATCTAGGTTGGTGGCGAAGAGTTCTTTGAAGGTGAGTCCTGAATCGACATCATCGGAACCTGAGCCGAGACCGGCAATGTCGAGGAAGGGGAAGAAATCCGAGGTGCCGTCGATACTTCTACGAACAAGAACGGTGAGAGGCGTGTCAGAGGCTGTAGTTGAAGGTAATGATGACCAGGCGGCTGAAGTTGTCGTTAACGATTGCACAACGGGCGTTGATGCCATTGCGAAAAACGTTAGTCAGCCCGGTATATTGGTCCTCCACGTAAACTACTAGCAGCGTCGGAGATGCGAGCCCATTCTTTTAGGCGGTCTCTTTGCTTATATCCCTTGATGTGACATGACAAGCCACGTCTTTTATAAAATAGGAAATCGGAAGATCAAGGAAAAAAGAAGGGGGAAAGAGAAATAGATCTACAGAAAGTTGGAGGAGGCTGAAGAAAGAGAGGATCCAACTCAATGGGGTCGCTGGCTAGGATATGCACTCACTAGTCCATCCTCTGCAGGCTTGGCACGTTTTCCTGAAAAGGCAATTGTGAAGCTTGTTTTGGTGGCTTAGTGAGCTTATTAGCTTACTGTAGTGGTAAGATTATTGACTATTAGTATATATAGATGGCTCTTGGGGGTTTCAATGACTTGGTTGTACAAAGTGACTGAGAAAAGTGAAGGAATATCGTTGTTTGGATATAACCAAAGCCGTTGTCGAATCAAGTTCTATCTGACCGTCACTTCATTCATGTCAAAATGTGGAACTTGGACCAACTCATCACCTCCACCAAAGATACTACATTGATACCGCCTTAACAACAACAAGGTTATCTATTTCCGATAGACGGAGAGCAAGTGATCGAGTCGAGTATGTGCCTAGTAGATGTATGAAGAGTTAAAGATAGAGGTGGAATTAAACATAAAATATCCGTGCCTCCTCTTATCGGTTATCGGCTTAACATTATGAACCGACACCAGCCGACGTCATTGTTCCTCGGCTTCCTAAGACTAGGTTATAGATATCTACAATCAAACTCATACCTCTGTCAATATTGTCACAACCCAATTAAACCATACAAAATGCCTCCCCGTCTCTCTCAACCCGTAATAACCCTCCGCGTCCTCCGACGTTACTACTCTTCAGCTACCACTGAACCTCTCATCCGCGTAACAAACCTCCCCGCGCCCAACACCGGACACATTCGCATTCTCGAATTGAACCGTCCGTCAGCTCGAAATGCCATCTCAAAAGCTCTCCTAGCAAACTTGCGCGCCGAGATTGATGATTTGCATAGCCAGTATGGACCCAATGGCGAGGAATTGCCTCCTCCGCAGCGCTTTGGTGGTGCTGCTGGTGTAGATGAGAAGGGCCCCACGAGAGCTGTTGTCCTGGCTAGTGCTGTTGACACATCTTTTTGCGCCGGTGCAGATCTCAAGGAGCGCAAGGGATTTACTCCCGGAGAGTAGGTATACCTCTCGTCACCCACTGAGGACTTTGTACTAATCACTCTCTGCAGAACCGCCGAGTTTCTTACAAACCTTCGCAATACATTTACATCTCTCTCCAACCTCCCCATCCCGACAATCTCAGCCATTTCCTCCGTCGCACTCGGCGGTGGCCTCGAGCTCGCCCTTTCCACTCACTTCCGAGTCCTCAGCTCCAACGCAACAGTCGGTCTTCCCGAGACACGTCTCGGCATCATCCCTGGCGCTGGCGGCACCCATCGTCTACCCGCCCTCATCGGCCTGTCTCGCGCCCGCGATCTGATCCTCACTGGCCGTCGAGTAGGGGCTCCAGAGGCTTACTTCCTAGGTATCGCAGATCGCCTTGTAGAAGTTGTGCCAGAGGATGAACGCGACGGCTCTGCTGTTCTCAGTGAGGCGAGAAAGGCGGCTTTGAGCGAGGCTGTAAGACTAGCACAGGAGATCTGCGAGGGAGGGCCCATTGGTGTGAGAGCAGGACTTCAGGCTGTCGCATGGGCAAGGGAAGAGGTGGAAAATAAGATGTATGAAAGAGTAGTAAACTCTGAGGACAGGAATGAGGCGCTCAAGGCATTCGGGGAGAAGAGAAAACCTATCTTCACAGGCCGATAGAGCTTGTCTATCTGTGGGTATTTCTTATCAAGTTAATACAACCATTTCAAAGCCATGCTCCAGGCCCTGTGACTTCTAAGGGGCCGCAGAAAACTTGAGACGCGGGCTCATGTCATCTTAGCCCAGGGACCACCAGAAATATAAGAGACGAAAATAGTTTGTCAGCTTAGGCCATTTAGACCATACTTCTTAGGCTGTTTATTTTTGCCCTAAGATTTAGGAGGTCAGATTTCCTGCTGCCTACTAGCCTAGGTACCTAGGCTTTAAAGTCGACAGTTGATATTTACCTACGAGCATACCACTCTTAGCCACGCTTAGGTATTCATATGAATGCGACAATGTTATTCTATTCATAAAAGACTGACGCTTGTTGCTATCTGTACGAGTCTAATCTGGGTATAGTGCTCATGACTTCCGGTTTGCTTCTCGGATATAATCAACCATCCCCCGAAGTTTTCGTTTCTTCTTGGTAGTCTTTTCGTTTTCGCCATTTTGGTGCTTGAAATCGAGAAGACCCGCTAAACGAGGAAATTCGCCAGTTTTGTGCATCATCGGTTCCTTAGCAACATCTATGGTTAGGCTATCGGCCGCTGCCATAGTGTCGGATTCATCAAGTTCGTACTTGTTGCATTCACTCGTGTACTCGGCGATGTTCATGAGTACCTGAACAGCAAGCGCCCGCTTTTCATCATCAACAGTACTGCATTTGAAAAGTCCTGCGGTGTGGAGAACATTCTGGGCCAAACGAATGACCGATGGTGGGAGAGATGGGACCCTTGGCTTAATCGTGACTTTTGCTCGCTTCGTCCCCGTATGGACCACTATGCTTTCTTCTGTTACCCATTCCCTAGGAGCGTCAGAATCGCCATCGTCCGGGTCAAGGGTATCCTCTAAATAGCAATCTTTATTAGAATCTTGCTGAAAGAATGTTAAGGATTGCATATGCGACTTGTTCATGGCATTCCTCCTTTCTTCATATTGAAGTTGCTGTGTACGCTCCATATCAGCATCGGTGTCGGATAATCGTCGCTTGAGTGTATTTAAACGGCTCTCCGCCTCGGATTTCTAGTCGCTCTGCGAGTAAGGAGGCGGAGGCTCATGGACAACAGCCGAGGTCTTAACCATATCAGCGCTGCTAATCTGGGTGTCTCCATCGGCATCTTTAGGCTGCAACACCTCGCCTAAAGATGGTAACGCCTCGCCTAAAGATGGCAACGGGCGTCGACGCCGGGGTACATCAACATACTTCTCCTTGTCCTCGTCACGGACGTAGCAAAGGAAGTAAGGTTCGCCACTGGAGCTCAATGTTTTCAGAACTTCTTCGGTGCTGTGTTTGACCTCAACGTTCGAATCGTTGTATTTGCGCCACACATTTCGTTCAAAGTCATAAATCCACACCCAGTAGTGCCCAGACCTGAGACTACCCCTGTGGCAAATGACAGCGTGGAGACGGTAGGGATTGCTCTTGAGCCCGGCGTAGTACTTCTCTAGACCTTCTGTTGTCTCCCTTAGCTCGGATTCCATTTGCTCTAGAATGGCGGCTTCAGTTGCTCTGATGCCTTGCGGCATCTCAGGCTGTTCGACTTCAGAAGCTGTAGGTTTATTGGGTCGGTTGACCACCAGGAAATCATCATCTACCGGGCCATCAAAATTCCAGGACTCTTCCCCAATCTCCTCCTCATCTACCATTGTGACATCATCTGTGGTAGTCGTGTTTCTATCATCTGATTTCCCTTCTTGAAAAAAAGATTCCAGAAAGGGGCCTGTTGGACCTATGCTTCCTGCGGCAGCCAAGGAAGCCACGATCTCCGATATGCGATTAGCAGTTGCCCAACTTTGTTTCCGATCTCGGAACGTTGACGAGTCGTGGGGAGCGTCCATATACCGGTCAAGGTACAGCGTCTCAGGAATCTCGACCGGATTGTTGTTCTTGCCATCAACAAGCTGTGAGCGCTGAATAAGGACGTGCAAGACAGGAGGCAGTGTCTTGATGGCTGTATATCTTGATTGCTGGCTTCCTTCGATAGCCTGCTGATCAAAGTTACGGCCGAGTGCATCATATAGTGAGCATGTTCCTCCCTGTGGAGAAGGAAAAGCCGTGATAAACCGATCAAAACTGATTTCCTTCTGATAAACGCTCTCGTCAAACTTTTTGGTATAATTGATCGTTGTAACGAAGAAGGTTTCCATAATAGGTTCCATTTGGATTCCTGTAACATCGTTGATGGATGACGGTCGTATGGCAGCTTGGAGGCGGCTGATGATATTTCCCATGACTTCCTCAACATCTTGTTGGTCTGTACCAGAAGATCTCTCCTGGTGCTCCAGGGCTGTTAGTACCTTCTGGTCAATTGTTTGGGGATCCTCGGCATCTATCATCTTGGCATCAGGAGACTGATCCTCGTTGGAAACACCATTGGTCTCCTTCTCGGAGACTTCGATAAATTCATCGGCTTGGTGGTTTGGCCGGCTGATTTCAACCACATCATCATCCTGTCCGACTTCCATAATGGTGTCAGTAATTTGATTGCCTTTGTTGGTAGGGGAGGCTTCGACTTTGTCATAGGAACGATCGGAATCTTCGACAAGTGTCTGAGAACTAGCGGTACTAGCTGCATCGTTCGGGTCTAGATCGTCTTTGACGGACACAGTAGCCATTTCCACATCTTCTGAATCCTTAACTGGAAGGCCTGGGGGTGGCCGTGTAGGAAGTGGCGGTGGTTGGTTTGCGGTGCCCGTTTCAGTGGAAGTGTTAGCAGCTTTGACGAGGGTGTCGGTATCCAGAAGGACAGCATTCGCTAATCTCTGTGAGGGCCTTGTTGCTCTCGTTTCTGATGTTTCAAGCTTGTTGAACAACTCTGAGAGCTCTTGGGCGACTTCTCCTTGTCAGAAAGACTTTCAAACAGTAAAGGTTCTCTTTCAAGAGGCGGTACTCACATGCTTGGGCAACGACAGCTTCCTCACGCTTCATCCGCATCTTGTTGCCACCAAGTAGTCGACCCTCGATTGTCTCATCAGTTAACTCCAGCTTGAAGTCATTATAATTGACAGCAATCTCTCGTACTGGCTTGACAGTGAAGAGGTACTGCAAAAGGCTGTTCAAGTAACACGTATTTCCGATGTTCTCAAGCCCAACGGGAAGATCATAATCGGCAGCTTGGTCTAGACTACTGGATGTAAATACGTCAGTAGAGGCTGAAATACCGTTTTGTTGTCGCAACTCGGCAACGATGCTTTTGAGGTCTGTAGAATTTGTGTACTCGACAATTTTGTCCATTGCGTCCAGGTAGGTTGTCTTGGCATCCTTGTCCTTGGCATTTTGGATCTGCTCACATGGTCAAAAATCAAAGTTCAACAAGAAGCATGGGACTGTCTCTTACCTTGTTCTTGATACTGTCGAGAGTATCAGAGTCGAAGCTTGCATCGCTCAATCCGAGTATCTCTTTAGCGGTGGTCAAGGAAAATCCTCCCACGTATTCTGCCATCAAAAGGTTTTTGTAGGCTTCGTCGCTGGACGTATTAGAAACCAGCATCAACATGCCTCGTGCAGAAGTAGCATTGCTGGGATATTGTGCCACCGTGCGTCGATACGCCAGCACTATTGAATCAGCATTGTGGTTATTTGGTGGCTGCAGCCCGAAGAAAAGCAAAGCTTGGTTTATCACTTCCGTATCCTCATCGTTGGTTTGTGTTGGAGCCTGACTTTCGTAAACTGAGGATTGCATGACGGCGTAGTGGCTGAAGTCCTCATCGTTCAGGTCGTTGGCAATTTGTCCGAGAGCATCTATTAGTTTCCTTCTCCGCGAGTCTGGCAGCAAATCCCATTGTCTCCTATAAGCATTATCGACAATTTCTTTGGGTTGATTTGGCAAAACGCCCATCAATTTGTAACGGTCGAGGTTGACAAATACATTGGAGCTGGCGTCTGGGACCTCTGAGCAGCCCAGATAGGCGTGTAGGGTGGGAGTACAAAGCTCTGCTGGTTCGCCCCGTTTGTGAATCAAGCACTGCACTTCAGCTCGAACATCCTCGATGTATCCGCGATATGTCCCTATCCGGGTAGCCCCAGACGGTGCGTCAGGAGGAGGAGGAACCACAGGCTTAAACGCCCCTTCATCCACATCATCTTCTCTGATGTCGACTGTTTCCTCAAATTCGAGTTCTTGGAATATCTTAAAGCAGCGGGGACCAAAGAGCACAGCGAATCGCTTGTTACGTTTTGAAATACTTCTAGCACCTTCCTGGGACGTTGCCTCTATCAAGTTTTTGAGGTAGGTGTTGAGATTTAGAGGGGCTTGCATAGCCCAATCATCAGTCGCCGCCATGTAACGTTCCGGGTCATTCTCCTTGGCGATACGCAACTCTTCACGGATCGCATCAGAGTCGAGCAGTAGGTCGATCCACCATAAAGGCATGCGAGGCTTCGAGATATCAAGGGTGACTTGGAATGTGCATGGTGCTGCTGAGCAAGCAAAGTTCTCGCGGGCAACAAGAGGATTGTACTTGCTCCGTTCGGGGAGAAAATCCATTGTGGTTTTTGAGCCAGCCCAGGCAAGGTGATGCCAGGGAAATCTGCCATCTCTTGGAGGCCATTGTGCTTGGCGGGGGTTACAGAGTTCGTCTGTATGATCCTTCTGCCAAGCCAGTTTGAAAACGAAATGGAAATGGCATTCAATACACACTGATGACAAGGTGCGTGTGTCTGAGGTGATATAGCTCTGGTTGCCATTTATGATCAGTCGATGGGCGTGATTTTGCCATTGGTAAGGAACGTCCAGGTCCGCTTGTTGTGCTCGTCGAAAGATGTCGCATGTAGTGAAGTTGTTGTTCAGAAGTTCATATATCCACCTTGAGGGATGGCATCCTGATCACTTTAGTGAATGAACCTCTTTCCTTTGTCCCAATCACAAACATACCTTCCAAGGACTTGTCGTGTATCTCGCCTTTGAACTGCGTCCAGTTTTGTGATACATTGGGGAGTTCTGTGCCAGGCAACGCTCCGTAAGTATCATTATCTGGGGCGGCCATGATGCGAAGGATATGTGTTCTTTCTCAAGCAAAATATGTTGGCGTTGAAACGCGATGGAGTGGGATCTGGGACTGCGGGGTGTTTGGGTATAGTGGCCGATTCGATCGGTCAAGAGCTGGAGCTTGACTTGGTGGTAAATGGTGAAATCGAGCGGGTCTCTCGAGCTTGGCGGTTTATTTGACCATAGTCTCAGGTTTCGGAATTATGAAGATGAAAATACGGCGAATAAACAACTATACGCCTGCCTTTTTGACGATATTCAACGTTATGATATTGCTAGTAGTTACTAAGAGCGATGGAGGATGGAGGGACGACAGTGACGCATGCTCTCACGTATGGTCTGGGCGTCAAAGCTGCTGAGTCAGCATTATGTCAAGTTTACACAAACAGGAGGCCTAAAGAAATTGTATTACAGCCAGATTGCAGGTAACATGGAATTGAGTACTATCCCCCTGTAGTGAAAAATTTGTCCTTCTTTAGGGCAGAGAAATAAGTACTTAAAGTCTGATCTAATAGCATAAACTGACCGACTAATTTCGTCTCTTATGCTCCTAGCGACCAACTTTTCTACGTAATACCCTGAGGCTATACCTAGGTAAATACTGTGGTTCAGTTGCAACTGCCAAAACGATTGAGGCACTTGTATTAGTTTTATTATTAACTCTTTCTTGCCTGTTCATCTTGTCATTCGGTCAAGGGTTGGTTATACTTCAAAGCTTCAAAAAGCGAGTAACGCCTGACAAAGGAGGCAACAAACTCATGATAGTGGCAGAAACTATTTGACCATCAAGGTGCAAACAAAAACTACTAAACACAGCCTTGTCTGGTAGTAGATATTTCGTCTTTCATGCTACCATAATTAAACCCCCAACACATTTCAATATCTTAGTTCCGACAAAACTACTTGGTGCTTAGAGGTAAGTAAACACTTGTCACGGCTCAAAAGCAAACATAATGCCTTTGGCGGCAGGGTTTAACTGCTGCAGTCTCTGCTCCTCGCCTATGAGGATGTCACATAACTCTCATCACCAACACAACTTTCTGCATCCCCTGTAGATATCACCAACAACTCCAACATAACGCCATATTCTGGCCAATCGGAACACGTCTTTCCCTGTAGATCGTTCCTCATTTCCCGCGTTACTGCACGGGCACTAAACAGAGGTAAATCGCTGCCCGTAAAAAGCTCAGCGCTTGGGCGGTAAGCGCCCCGTCAAATAGTATCGGCTGGTTAGCCGCCGCCCCTTCTTTAAACTTTCGATATCGAGATTTCCTTGAGATAACGACAGCAACCAACAGCCGAACTTTCTCAGTTGATTTCAGCAAAAGACGCTTCTGAGAATACAATTGTTTATTTTTTTCCAATTTTCTTGTGACTTCAAAACCAAAACTACACAGGGACGGGTTTTTGGCATTGGCCTCTTTGTGCACCGAGACTGCCACGATGTTGTGTTGTCTAGGTCTATGGTGCGGCGCCGACCCAGGATTATCCCTCCAGAACAGAGCGCAGAAACCAAACTATCGAACCCTTATATTGGCTGAGCTTCCGTCCGGCGCTTAATCGAGGCTAATTCTGCAGACTTGGGTCGTATTATATCCTTGATGGCCCAGTTATTCCGGCTTCGTGATGATGAACCATTGACCAACATGCATATTTTCTTTTCCTTAACAGACCATCTCGTACTTTACTAAGGAAAATGTTTACTCGCTGTCTCTAGATCTGTTGGTCCTGATCACTTGCTTAATATGGAAAAGTTCGATGTCCATCGACTGTAGTGGTTTAAACGCGACAGTCGCCTGGTAATCATAAACCTCGACACTCTTCTTTCATTTCGTTGCCATCACATTTATCCTGTTGTGGGTGGCTGGCCACTCTTTCCTATATTCTATATTCTTATCTCAATAATGTCTAGCTGGGAGACCACAGCCCTTCGGCTGCACAGCAACGTGACCGCCGACTCAACACCAAACTCGTCTCATAAGAGTCTACCAACATTGCCACGGCAAAAGTCCAAGACCAGGGCTACTACGGGTGTGAAGGAAGTTTCCGAGGGGGAGGAATCTACCAGGACGAAAGGATGGAAACCACTCTCACTCTCGACTCCAATTCTACTTGCTGTAATTGCCCTTACAATCCTCCTCGCCATCGCCGTTGAGACGCTAGCGCAACGAAGCGCTTCCCAAGGCGGACTGGCACTGTCTCCCTCACTCAAAGATATGCCCGGATACGCCAGGTTTGGCTATCTTTATGTCCCGACCATCATCGCCGTCTTGTATAGTTTGATATGGAGTTGGATTGACTTGGACGTCAAACGCATGCAACCTTGGTTCGAATTATCAAAACGAGACGGTGCTACCGCTGAGAATTCAGTCTTCCTAGACTATCAGTATGATTTTGTGGCTCTGGTTCCTTTCAAATCTGCAAAGAGAAAGCATTGGCCCGTCTTCTTCGGAGGCACCACCATGGTTATCGTGCTGTGGGCACTGACACCTCTTCAGAGTGCCTTACTGGGCACAGGTATTGTTAAACAGACGAACGAGATCGGAATTTCCAACAGATCCCAACTCCTCCCAGTCAAAGAGCATGTCACAGTTCTAGATCCCAGTTTCCTCAACACTGGATACGCTATTGCCTGGCTGGGCCAGCAGTTTCCTCCTTTCACAACTGCCGACTATGCGCTACTCCCCTTCTACCCCAACACAAATCCAGAGCTTGTCAATGATAATTCAAATACGGCGGCCTTGTCTAACATAACGGCGGAAACAACAAAACTTTGGACTGAATTAGACTGCTGGCCCGCAGGTATTGCCAGGTACGGCCCTCGAGCGAAGGAGGAGTTCAATTTCTTCAATGGGCAAGGATGCAACACGACAGCCGGTTTCGGGAGAATGGATCAGCGCAGGATGTACTATCTGGGCTTCTTTACCAGCCCTTATTCGAACTATCAAATCGCAAATCCGTTCTGTCCACGGACACCTGATTCGATCCACCAGTTCCTCGCGATCTGGGCAAAGCCTATTCCGGTCGACTGGGACCCTAATCCCAGCTTTAACATCTCTGCTGTGTTCTGCCAACCCCAGTATTTCAAACAGAAGGTTCTGGCAACAGTTAAGGCGAACACATTCGAGCCGGATACAGCATCTATCAAGGAACTGGGACCAAAGGAGACACTAACAGAGAAGGAATTCAACACGACAGCCTTCGAATTCCTTCTGGGGAATGGCATGGCAGAAACACCAGTCACCAAGGATTTTCCATTCAATGCTGTCGTCGAACAACACCCGCGTTTAAATCAATCCGGTTTCCACTTCCCTGTCGACAATATGGTGGGCTTTGCTCTAGCAGGCAGAGACCTACATGCAGATGAATATGTGCACCACGACAACCTGCACAAGGCTTATAACGAAGCCCACAAATACTTATTCTCGGTGGCTGTGACGACCCTACTGATGAACACAACCAACGTCTCCAACAACACCGCCTCGGTCGACTATTTTATGACTGGAGTCATCGTCAGCCGAGCCTTCGCAATAGCTGTAGAATGCTTCTTACTAGTCGTCGCCATCTTCACAGCTATTCTTCTATGGTTTGCCCGATCTGCGCCCAGCCACTTACCTTTAAACCCGTCCTCGATAAGACGTTACATCGATTTGTTTGGCAATAGCCCCGAAGTTCTAGGTGCATTCAAGCCGGTCGACTATACTGATGAGAAAGGATTGCTTGAGGAGTTCAAGATGGACGGCTTCCAGATGATACCAAAAGATGATGGCAAGAGCGCGGAAGTGCTCCTTCATACGAGAATCAAAGCATCCGAATCCTATGACAAGTCTATCCAAAGAGGCTACTATGACCCGGTCAAGCCCTTGGTCCTCAAGAGATGGATTGGTCTCCTTTTTATTGCCGCCCTAATCGGGTCAATGGCTTTCCTTTCTTACTTGAAACAGCAGGAGACCTTACTGAACGGTCCGTTGAGAAGCATTGCGGAGTTTATAGCTATACTAATACGTCCACAGGATTAATCCGGCCCTCTGAGAATTTTGAAGTCCTGCAACTTTTGGAGAACTATATACCGACTGCCTTCGCGACATTGATAGAACCTTTCTGGGTTTTGTTGAACCGATTGCTTTGCGTTCTCCAACCTTTTAAAGATCTTTGGGAAGGAAAAGCGAAGCCAAGCAACACGATTGATGCAACGTATACGTCCATTCCACCTCAACTTGTCTTCTGGAGAGCCCTTAAATCTAACCATTTCGTCCTTGTGCTTGTTTGTTCTATGGCTCTACTTGCGAACCTCCTTGCTGTCGGTCTCGGTTCTCTTTTCAATGAAGATATAACAACTGCAAACTACACGATTACAATGGCCCCAAGCTTTGCGCCTCGGTTTGATAACGAATCTGTATTTGATCTAACGTTTTACTTGAACAAGGATCTTATCACCACGAGTCGATACCAGGACCATTTCTACATGGCTATGGCTAATCTGACGTCTGGTACGATTCTCCCGCCTTGGATGTCGCAAGAGTACTATTTCCAAGGATATCAACTCCAGGACCCAAGTATAAACAGGACAGGAGACGCTTATACAGTAAATACGAGGGGTTTTGGCGCCGTTCCCAACTGCACTGCTATACCAGCTCATACGTTAACCACTGAGTACAAGGAGCCAGAGTTTTGGCCCACGGAAAAGAAAAACTTAAGCCAATGCGAAACCGACGATCAATTCATTTCTGCAGCAGTTCCAGTGATCCGCGGGGCGGGTTTCAACGAGTCTACTGGGGTTGCAGCTCTGGAATACAGCCTGACTATGGACAAGACTTTCTCGATTGCACCATGTGCGAGAACTTTACCTTTGGGATGGGCTAGATCCAAGGAAGCGGCGTTTACGAACAGCACAATTGAAGCCAGTTTCATGATATGTCGTCCGATGTTTCAAACCGCCATGTTCAACGTTACAGTTGATTCACTCGGAAACGTAATCTCGTATGAAAGGACAAGCAACCTCACAACAACACTGGATTATACCCACTCAGAACTGCACACCGATATCTTGCTACAGACCTATAACTACAGATGGAATGAAGAGCCTGGCTGGCACAACGATACGCTCTCCATGAACTGGATGAATTATTTTATCGCGTTTGTCAACGGCAACAGATCAGCCCTCGACCCAGACGCTCCTGTCCCGGATCCGGAGCAGCTAATGCCAGTTGTGTCCGACATATATCGCCGTGCTTTCGCCATATTGCTGGGTCTAAACGTCCATATATTCAAGGATAACGACAAGAGCGAGACAGTGTCTGCAATCCGCCATACGAAAGAGACACGAATATTCATGGAAGACGCATCTTTTATCATTACAATGACGGTACTCGCTCTCAACACAGTTGTTGCCTGCCTGTTCTACATCAGAGCTGTTGCTTTCGTTTTGCCACGCATGCCAACAACTATAGGCGCTGTCGTGTCATATTTTGCACCGAGCCGTCTTGCTACACCAACTTACAGAGATTTACCAGGCCAGTCGTCTCGAACTTTGAGTTTCGGAAGATATGTTGGTATGGACGAGAAAGTACATATCGGCATTGAAGCAGATCCCCATGTTGTACCTATTGACCCAGCGTCACTTGGGCAGAAAGACTTTTTTAAGTTTCTCAGACTGAGGAGGAAAGATGGAAATAAGCTTGATAGATCCGAAACCTGGCTTTAATGCCGTCGTTTCAGGAGAACAAATGAATCAATGCCCTAGTAAATTAAAACGAGGATAAAAGCAAGCACAATGAAACCAACATGAATATATATATATATATATATATATACATTACATGATGTCCAGAAGTGCAGTATAATAACTCATGTAAACGGTTATAAATGATGTCTGTTCAGCATGATAAACTACGTGCAAGATGCTACTAATGTGTGTTCGCAGTACATATTCACCAAATTCTTGACAGATCAAAAAGTAGGTTTAACAAATAGTGTGGTTCTTGAAAAGTATTTCGTCGTAACAATAAATGGAAATGTACAGAAAGAAAAATGAAGAAGAAAGTTGTTTATCCACCATAACGCCTATCCTTCCATAACCTATTCTAACACTACCCAACCATGCTCCTGTTTACATACAATATTGAGCTCAGGAGCGCTGAGCTCGGCGCATGTTCCTCTTGCCTCGCTTGACAGTCATGCTAATATCTGTACCTTGTCCAGGGGTGCAGGTGACGCCAGAGGAGAGTCCCTGCGAAGGTGTCCAGGTACCACTTGCACAGCGCTGGAAAGAGGAACCTCCAATGCAGTTCCACTCACCCTCAGACGTGCAGGCAGTTCCAGCAGCAAAGCCACCACTACCAGATCCGGGGCCGGAGTTTCCACCGTCGTTGCCTCCATCAGACCCAGCACCTTCATCGGAGCCAGCACCCTCGCCAGAGCCGTTGTCGGGGGTCTCGGGAGTAACGGGTGCCTCGGGGGCTTGGGTAGCAGAAGGTTGAGAAGCAGCAGGCTGAGAAACAGTGATGAAGGCACCACCGGGAATCTCAGGGGCACCGTTGGAGCCATCACCAGGAGTAGGAGTGGTAGCAGGTTCGGTAGGCTGGGCACCAGTATCAGAGGTGGGGGCAGCAGCGGGGGTAGAAGGCTCCGGGCTCCCGCCACCAGAGCCAGAGCCAGGCTTTTGGCATCCAGGTCCCTTGGGGTCAGTGAGAAGGGACTTGAGTTTGCTGACAGAGCTACCAGGGTTGGGGAATGCGAGATCAGTATCAGCAGGTGTCTCACAGTCATTGCCGATGTTGGCAACAAACATGTCGGGAAGGGAATCCAAGTAACCCTCAGAACCACCCTGACCCTCAATATTGACCGCGGCACAGTTCATGTACATCTCACGGTTGCCGACGTGGTTGAACCAGGTCCATGCGAGGACGTAGTCACCAGCAGCGAGTTCTTCGGGAATTTTGAAGTCATACTTGTCGGGGTTTTCAGCAGAGGCATTCTCGGGGTAGTTGCCGGCTTGGTTTTTGGCAGGGCATCCACCCTCGATAGAATGGATGACCTTCCAGACAGAGTCCTTGGTTGGGTTCTTGTCGGTGGTGAGGGAGACTTGGCATGAACCTCCACCGTGAACGGCCGACCCGATGAAGGAAAGTTGCTGGGTGCTACCTGCCTTGTAGGTATTGCTAGATGAACCGTCGTTGACTTGGCCCTTGCATGGGAAGTCCGCGCCATTAGCGTCGAGAGGGGCATTGCCTGGGTTTCCGTAAGGCTTGGGGTTGGCCATGAGCATGTGAGCACTGGCGTATGAAGCCAAAGTGGCAATGGTGAAAGCCTTCGCGAACATTTTGAATGAGGGAGGTAAATCTAAACGTTCCGGACGATAGATTTGATGTTCAGGTTGTGAGATTGTCGTCAAGACAGAATCGAGTGATATGGGTATAGGACTGAAGAGTCGTAGCTCGATTGTTGGGTATGTGAATGAAGGGTCGAATTGCACCAGGCAATCCGTGAATGTCGTCGAGACAGGTAAAAGGACTAGCCTTTGGAAAGAAAGAAGAAGGAATGGAAGTGTCGTTGAGACAATCTCACTTGAAGGACTGGCTGGAGACTTTTGAAGTCGTTGGTGATAAAAGAGAATGATACGGGGGGAGAGGAGGACGTCTTATATGGACTTCAGTCCACGCAATGGACTGGCTCTCGACGCTTCGAGAGCAGACGGAGAGGCAAGGGGAAATCGCAAGCGGGAGAAACGTCCGCGAACGGACGTAGCCGCATGCACCTCAGAGGCGATCATGGTGGACCTGAAGTCCCCAAGGTCAGGGAAGCAATGACTTCTAGTCAGCTGGTACAGCCACTCAGAATTCTTCAATGCCCTTGTTGAGCTTTGTTTCGAAGCAAGCGGAGGCATTAGGGCCGCAAGACTAAGAGACGATTTGCAGCAGGCGACCCATGATAGGCTGACGACAATGTTTCAAGACTCATCTGGTCACCAAACAAAAGTGTGAGTGGACTAGACCCATGTAAACCCCAGAGAAAAGACGTGGTTCAAGCCCCTGACTAGCGATTCAAGTGTTTGCAAGGGACCTGTCACTGTCCTGCCTGAAAGAGAAAATCCGTATTATAGAAGGCGACAGCAAGGGACCGTCTGTTGTCTCCCTTGTTCAACTGCAAGGACATATCCTTGCTGCCTTGTTCTTCTTGTTGAAGCGCCTTCTTGTATTACGAGATATTCAGCATAACTTGCAATCGCTATTCAATGCTGTCAGCTTTAGCGTAGGCCGCCCATTGTGGCAAGGGAGCTTAGTCGGTGAAGTAAGGACTGGGAAAAGACTTTGGTGGTTGGGGCGCAAAGGACTCCAGTTGAGCGGCCACCGATAGGGCCCTGTTGAACCGAGTGCTCGGGAAAGTCGTTGGCTGTAACATGGGTATTTGAGCAACCTTGCTTCTAACGTCATACTATGGAGCACAACAGACTTGGATTCTATCCTTTTGCTTTAATGCGGATTGCCATGCCCTCCTGAAAAGTCCTTCTGATTATTTGCTTTGTTTGATCTGTCGCAAGGAAGATTTAGCAATAACATCTGAATATCCATCAAGTCATCTGTCCAAATGATCTGAGCATATTGTCGGAGTCAATGCATTGTTCCGACAGTCATGACATCCCCTGCATAACGATCCGTCGTGCTGGGCCATCCATTACGAACAATCCAGTCCTTGGAAGCGGGGTCCGGATACCAATCAGGGGGGCAACGACAGGGATATAAGGCTGAGTCACAGGGGTCATGCCAGGCGAAGGTGTCCAGGGGGATTAGTGGCTGAAGAGCCCAGAACCAGTCGGCTGTCGCATTCTTGCCAAGACTTAAACAACTATACAGAATGAGATGAGCCGGCCATCAAGAAGAATCTCGTAAAGAACCAGTGCTGCGCACGGAAACACCGCTTGGTCCAAGTTCTCATGAAGGCTGTGATGAGATAGCTAGTAGCCCATGACCTTGCAAATTGATGCGACTTGAGACCACGGCACAGATCCGGGCAGCGTGGCCCATTATTGGCATCGTATAGGACGTTCTGGAGGCCTGCCTTCTTGAGTAATCCCCTGAACGATCGCCTTCGTATCCAGGGGTGCAGGTGCAGATCTTGAGCAGGGCAGAATCTTTCACGCGTGGTTAAAGAGTAAATATCTCCTGATACTCCTCCTACTTCTTTGGGCTCCGTCTCCGTGTGATAGACTATAACGGCAGGGGGCCGTCCCTTAGGCTTGCGTAGTCTTGTGGACAGTTTTTTTCTTCGTTTTTATTCCCCTCTAGTGAAACTGTACATGTTTCACAACTTGCGTTCACAATGAATAAGAGTTGTGACAAACCAATCACGGGTGAAAGGTTTCATTCAAAAGGTGTAGACACCTTGCATAAATCTAGAACAAAGGCCTCATTATGACTTTTGTTTCTGCAAGGAGGTATCCTCCTCATGTTTCGGACTTTGATGTTTTATTGTTTTGGTGTTTGAGTGGGGTTGAATTGGTTGAAAAGGCTGGAAAGTCAGACAAGACTGGAAGCGGTAGGCGCCCGGAGGATACCGAGCTCCTTCCATTTACAACGTGGCAACCTGGAAGCAAGAGCCAAGACCAGTTACGGCGATTGATAGGGTGGTTTATTAGTGTCAGTCTATAATAGAAGCTTTCCCAGTGCTTAGATCCTTTTGAGGCCAGTGTAAGATTGGTTGCCGTTCGCATCTGCTACAGAAGATGACCGCTAAATCAAGAACAGCACGATTCGCCTCGTTATTGGACCTGTCTGGCGCATCATGACACTGGCGCCAGGTACAGCTGTTTCTGGATTGGGTATAAGCAAGATATTGAAGATGTAGAAATATTAGTCCAATTTTCCTAGCTCTAGTTAGTGTCACTGTCACCAATGGCGAGTTCTGTATAGTCGCTGGAATACCTTCACCGACTGCCTGTCTCGATTGGGCTGAGACATTTCTCGTGACTTTGACAACCTGCAGCCTGATCAACATGGAGGCCTGGGGAAGGCCAACTCGAACAAGGGTCGTCGTCTATCGACTATCGGACGAAACACGGCGGAATCTATGGGTCGTATTTTTCAAGGGAAATAATATGGAACCAAGATCAGGACCAGGGTACTGCGAATTTTCCAAGTTCAGACGATCTTCAGCTTGGCCTCGGCCGGGTTTGATATTCCGCTTTAAAGCGCCGACCATATTAATAACTCTCTATCCAATATCCACGCAATGGCCCAATGCTGATCTTATTCAGGATTCTAAGTCGAAACAATACTGAGCAAGGATTCTCATAGCAGCCACGTAACTCTGTGGCGTGGAACTATCTACCGAGAGGAGGATTCTACCTGTTACTCTTGACCCAAGCTTTAACTGACATTAGCCCGACAGAACCACTGCGAACTCTCAGCCACATTTCACATATATTACTGCTTGTCAAAACTTTACAACATTGGCCCAAGTTAGTCTATCCGATTAGATAATTGCTTACTTCGACTAACAATAAAAAATATTCCTTCATATTCCTTTTACCTGAAGGATGTGTTGTTGCAGTGTTTCGTCAACAGGCACGTTCAATGCAACGAGAGCTTTAATTCCTCATCGAATTCATGACCAATATACTAAAATTAACCTTGACATTCCAGCTCTTATTCGTCGCCTTCATGGTTCATGTCATCTCATCAATAACTTCAGCCAATGTGCAGTTGACGCGATCCTGATTTCTGGGACGTCTTAACCGCCGATGAATTGACCTGTCCAAGACTCTGACAATATGACCTGGACGTTAGCTACACTGCTGCGTTGTCTCTCTTTTTTTTACGGGCCTGGGCGCTTGCACTGGTTTGGAGGATAATCATTTGTCTATTTCATCCCCGTAGGGCTGTTGTCTATGAGGCCCACTGGCATTGCATTCGTGAACCATTCTGTCGGTTCAATATCGTGACATCCTCTCACCGCCACCACCTCAAGTCTTATCATGCTGCAACCAAATAAGCGACCGGCTGCTGACATTTGTAAGGCGCTTGCAGAAACAGGCGTCTACCTCCAAGCCGTCATTGGCAGCTCATTCAGACTTCTACAGTATTCATCATCAGTATTGAGCACGTATATGAATATGGTATGGGTTGACTTGCATTCATCGAAAGCCAATCCACCCCGGGTCCAGTTCCGCATTTTGGTCTTTCGAAACTCCTCAAAGTCCCATTCGCGCTTCTCAAGGTAGTTGGGTGAGTTGAAAACGTAGACGGTCGTTTCCTTGGTTTCGCCCTTGTCGCTGGCAGTGCCGTCTTTGTTGAGCAATTTGACTTTGACCTTTTCCTTATCATACTCAGACCCCTCGAACGTGTCAAGCTTGCTCATATTGGCATCAGTGAGACCAGTCGCATAAACCCCACGAACACTGTGGCCCTTCTCAGCCACAACGCCAGGATAATCGGCATGTCGAACCCGGTGGCGACAGTAACCCTCGAGAATTGCGGGAGTGAATGTGTGCATATCCTTGATGGCCTGGTGAGGGTTGTTGTGGCAGTAGCAAACGGTGAAGAAGACCTCGGGGGCCATCTATCATGACATGTTAGAATGCCACCGACAATGTCACGCATCAACATACCAAAGTCCCTGTCATTTGGCATTAGCATACATACTTCTCACAGCTACAGTACATGCACCCAACTTACCGTAGAAAAAGGCTGTGTAGTCACCACTCATCGTATCAGAAGTTTCTTATTGAACAAAGAGAGGCTGTTGTTAGATGAGTTATGTAGTTGATGACCTGGACTTTGTCAGTGAATCGTCCGCCGCACTAATGTGCCTACCCTATTCTTGTACGCTCGGGCTAGGATGCCCGTAAATGGCAGGGACAGCAATCAGTGGGGCGATCAGCAATCATGACAGGTACGCAATTTGATATATGCTGTGATTGATGCAGGTTAGTACTTAGGCAATAAAAAAACACCTAGGTAGGAGGTATATTAAATGTGTTTGAGTCCATGAGTTACACCTTAAAAAAAGGCCAATTGCCTGTAGCCTTCTGCAAGTGTTTCTCCATCAAATATACATCTGGAACTACTTGTGGCTTCTGGTGCCACTGTCAGTAATTTCGGGGGGAAGGGGAAATAACGTTAAGCCGGTAGTTCTCAATTCAACGCCATTCAACCTTCTTGTAGACACCTATTCATTGCAAATGAATATCTTTACCGTGATATGTAAGTGATACACTCTTTGGACTTCGTCGCTGAGCAGAAGCAGATAAGATAAATGATTAGATAACAAGGTCATAGAGGCTCGACTTGGGAGCAGCATTGTATGCAATTGGCTATTCATCATACGCTAATGCCGGTCAAACTTTAATACGGTCTTAGCGTCAGTGGAATTGGTGACCGCACCCCCCAGCTTAGTCGTTCTCGTAATTTTCAACGCGACGGCCCTTTCACGTCTACGTCTACTTTCAAGCTTGTGTTGTACCAAGCACTCTAAATACACCAACCTCCAAAATTCAACAAATAACCTCGTACATACCGCGCTTCACCACTCTCGCCAACTCATACAGAACATTCTCCAAACTTGTCATATTAAGGGTTTCCTAATTCGCCCCTTGATACTGTGGCAGATCGCGACAGGCAACCACACAACTCAAAGCTCCTTCCTCAATCTATAAAAGGGTCACCACCGAAACACTCCCCTCGCGAATGGCATATATAACCGCGTCAAGTGGACGCCGATAATGCAGCAATGTCGGGCACCACTATAGATGAAGTCGTAACTCGACTCAGCAACGGTGACATCGGTATGGCCTCCTGCGACACAACAACCCCTCCATGATTGCTGTCGCATGCTCTCTGTGATATCACGATTGCTAATCAGTATGCTGTCCTATAGATGTGAGACTCAAGCTAGAAGCTGCAACTACGTTGCGCGATAGCTTGGATCACTATACCAGCGGCCAAATATACCCTCCTTTCCTAAAAAGGTTGATGCCCGTCTTTATGGGCATTCTAAAAGGGCCATGCACTTTCCAAAGCAACTCACCTGAGCAGAAACTACGAATGGTCATCCTCGAAGTTCTGCACCGATTACCTACTCAACCCGCCCCTCCCGAGCCTTTCGAACCATACGCCGAAGAGACCGTCGACTTGTTAATGCAGCTTGTACGGACAGACAACGAAGAGAATGCAACAATATGTGTCAAGATAATATCGGATATCATGCGCCACCAACACAAGGCACTGCAAGGAAAGGTTCAGCCTTTCCTTACACTGATACAAGAGCTTTTCGAGCAGATGGAAAAGGTCGTCCGAGAACAACTTGACAATGCTCCTCTCCATGCGCCATCACAGCCCGGCGCACCTTCGACCCCTGGGAACTCGCAGAACTTCCAATCGCCACGGCCAGGATCACCGGTCGCTTCCGTCAACGAACTAGGAGCAGATCCCCAGCAACAAAACCGACCGCTACTGAAGGGCATGCAGTCTTTCAAAGTTCTCTCCGAATGTCCTATTATTGTTGTATCGATCTTCCAGGTATATCGAAATACGGTGCAGCAGAATGTCCGGAAATTTGTCCCTCTCATTCAGAATGTATTGTGCCTTCAAGCTTCAGCTCAGCAGCAAGCGCATGCTGATGCTGCGGCTAAAGGGACGATCCATACCGGAGTGAGTCCTGCCATCAAGAATCGAGTGGCTTTCGCCGACTTCATTACTGCACAAGTCAAGACTATGAGCTTCTTGGCATATCTCCTTCGCCAATACGCTTCTCACCTAAATGATTTCCTGCCTCGACTGCCTGATATTGTCCTTCGGCTTCTAAAAGATTGTCCAAGAGAGAAGTCCGGCACACGCAAAGAGCTCATAGTCGCTATTCGTCATATTATTAATTATAATTTCCGCAAAATCTTCATTCCAAAGATCGATGAGCTTCTAGACGAGCGAACGCTGACTGGAGATGGACTGACTGTGCATGAAACTATGCGACCCCTGGCTTATAGTATGCTTGCTGATCTCATTCACCACGTCAGGGATTCTCTGAAGCCAGAACAAATCAGGAAGACTGTTGAGGTCTACACGAGGAATCTTCAAGACAACTTCCCCGGAACAAGCTTTCAGACCATGAGTGCTAAACTCCTCCTTAATATGGCTGAGTGTATTGCAAAGCTGCCTAACAAGGTCGACGCACGGCATTATCTTATCATGATTCTCAATGCCATCGCGGATAAATTTGCTGCCATGAACCGGCAGTACCCCAATGCTGTGAAGCTTTCAGCTCTTTATCGGGAACAGATGAAGGCTGGCACCCGGGAGACCTATCTGGCTGACCAAGACGGCCCCCCTGATTGGGATGAGACGGACATTTTTTCTGCGGTTCCGATTAAGACTTCGAACCCACGAGATCGCGGCGCCGATCCTGTTGTTGACAACAAATTCCTTTTCCGAAATCTGATGACAGGTCTCAAGAACACTTTTTACCAGTTGAGGACATGTAATGTCGGGTCACCCATCGATGCCCAAAATGCACCCACCCACTGGCAAGATGTATCGTATGGATTCACAGCTGAGGAGGTCAAGGTCATCATCAAGCTTTTCCGCGAGGGTGCCTATGTCTTCAGGTACTACGAGATTGAAAAACCAGCGGCCGAGTCCCAATACATGTCGCCGGTGGAATATATGGCCAACTTCTACATGGTCTCGTGCAGCAAAGAGGAGAAGGACTTGCTTGAAACTTTTGCTACGGTATTCCATGCCATCGATCCCGCCACTTTCCATGAGGTATTCCAGCAAGAGATCCCGCGCCTTTACGACATGATATTTGAACACACAGCGTTGTTGCACATACCTCAGTTCTTCCTTGCTAGCGAGGCGACCTCTCCTAGCTTTTGTGGTATGCTCTTGCAATTCCTCATGGAACGAATCGATCAGGTCGGGTCTGCCGATGTCAAGAAGTCCTCCATATTGTTGAGACTTTTCAAGCTCGCTTTTATGGCAGTCACCTTGTTTGCCAATCAAAACGAGCAGGTTCTACTACCCCACGTTGTCAATATTGTCACAAAATCCATCGAGTTGTCGACAAAAGCAGAGGAGCCAATGAATTACTTCCTCCTCTTAAGATCGTTGTTCCGCAGCATTGGTGGTGGTAAATTCGAGCAACTGTATAAGCAAATTCTACCTCTGCTTGAAATGCTCTTGGATGTACTCAACAACCTTTTGATGGCCGCTCGAAAGCCATCTGAGCGTGACTTGTATGTGGAGCTCTGCCTTACCGTCCCAGCACGACTAAGTCATTTGCTACCGCACTTGAGCTTCCTGATGCGACCACTTGTTGTTGCGCTTCGTGCCGGAACAGACCTTGTCGGACAGGGCCTGCGAACACTGGAATTGTGCGTTGACAACCTCACGGCGGATTACCTTGATCCTATCATGGCGCCTGTCATTGACGAGCTGATGACTGCCTTGTTTGATCATCTTAAACCTCATCCATACAGCCACTTCCACGCACATACCACAATGAGGATTCTTGGCAAATTGGGCGGCAGAAACAGAAAGTTCATGACCGGAGCTGTGCCGCTTGCTTACAAGGAATACGCTGATGATCCTTCAGGCTTCGACCTTAGGTTGTTTGGTTCCAAAAAGGATAGAGCATTTCCCGCTGATATGGGCATTGACTTTGCCATTCAGAAGCTCACGGAATTCCCCAAGGCAACCAAGAACAACCACAACAAGCAGTACGATGGCTATTACAAGAAGCAAGCGTTGCATCTGATCAAATCCCAACTTAAGCTGCGCATCGGCTATGATCAGCTTCCGGAAGATCTCCCACGCCTGGTGCGACTCCAGGCTGAAGACCTTGTAGCACGAAGGTATGAGATAAATTCTGCCAGCTTTGAGGTTTCTGATCGCGAGCGATCTATCCCGAAAAAAGAGTGCGAGGATCTAGCTGTGAAGCGACTTCTGAAAGCAATCATGTTTGCTCATTCGTTCCCCGAGTTCAAAGACGAGGCGAGCGCTTTCTTGCTGAACGTCTGCAAACACTTTGCAATTATTGAAGTTGGCAGAGCCTTGGTCGACTTGAAGCGAAACTTTAGCCCCTTTGACCCCAATGCTGGCGAGGGCCCTCTGCACATTGATACACGCAATCTTTCTGATGCAATTGTTGAGTCATTGGCTAGTGACCACCCAGACGTACGGGAGGCTGGCAAGAGTGCTATTCGGGAAATGTACGACTCCACAGCGATCATCTTCGGCTCGGAAAGCGACGTTGGTAAACTACCGTTCTTCAGCCACCTTAGCAGCACGTTCTGCCACAGCTGCTATGAAGAGGAATGGTTCACGAAGACTGGTGGTAGTCTAGGAATCAACTATTTGCTTACAGAGCTTGACTTTGGCGACACTTGGATCGCTTCCAAGCAGACCGAGTTTATACGTGCTCTCATCTACGTCGTCAAGGATATGCCCCAAGACCTTCCTGAAAAGACACGCTGCTTGGCACAAACAAGTCTCGAGGTTCTTCTGAAGCGCATCACGAAGGACATCACCAAGGAGGATGCACTACCCATCACACAGCAACCAGGTCAACCGCAAGGTGCTCAGCCCAAACAGCCCAGACTCTCTCAGATCTGCCAACAATTTGGAAATGATCTGTATCACATGAACAAGCATGTTCGCGAGACTGCAAAACACTCGCTGGAACTCATCGCCAAGGCAGCAAGCTGTGAGGTGTGGGAGCTCCTCGAGTCCTGCAAGGACAAGATCCTCCAACCTATATTTGCTAAGCCGCTGCGAGCGTTACCGTTTAGTATTCAGATCGGCTACATTAACGCCATGACGTACCACATGAGTTTGAAGAACGACTGGGTCCCATTCGACGAGAATCTCAATCGTCTTCTGATGGAGTCTTTGGCCTTGGCAGATGCTAGTGACGAATCTCTAGCTAATAAGCCTGCTGAATTCCGTACACATGAGCATATTGTCAACCTTCGGGTTTCATGTATCAAACTCCTCACAACTGCCATGACCTTTGAGGAATTTTCCAATCAACCCACTAAGACAAAAATTCTCGGTGTCTTTTTCAAGTGTTTGTACTCGGAATCGAAGCCTACCATCACTGCGGCAAATGATGCTCTTAAGTCAGTCCTTTCGGTAGATAGGCGTCTCCCCAAAGAGCTTCTTCAGGGAGGACTGCGACCAGTGCTACAGAGTCTTTCAGATCCGAAACGCCTCAGTACGGCAGGGCTTGACAATCTGTCTAGATTGCTGAAGCTGCTCACATCGTATTTCAAGGTCGAAATCGGTGCTCGCTTGCTCGAACAAATCGACTCGATTGTCGAGCCCAGTGCTTTGCAGCAAATATCCTTCAGCTTTTTTGATCAACATCCTCAGATGAAGATTATTACCGCCATTCTCAACATCTTCCACTTGCTTCCTGCACCCGCCGAGGCCTTTAAGGAACGCTTAATCGATTGCTTCCTCGGACTAGAAGAAAAACTGCGTCGGACTCAGCTCAGTCCATTCCGTCTTCCAATCTATAGGTACATGAATCGATATCCAAAGGAGATCTGGACATACCTCTTCAGCAAAGTGGAAGATCTCAAGTATGGCCGACTATTGGCGCAGGTTCTGGGTCACCCTGATAGCCAGGCTCTGCGAGAGGTAGCAGTTGACAACGTTGATGGCCTCATTACCCGCTGCGACGAGTTGATAAACCAGAACAACGAGGCCAAGTTTATTGCAATGGTCAACACGATCCACATATTTGAGTCTCTCAGCCACTTCTCTAGCGCGGAGAAATGGATGGACAAGAAGGAGCATCTTGACTGGCTCAAGAACATCGGCAAAGAACTGGAGAAACATCTTCGCCAGCATACCCTTCCAGCTCATCTCCGATTGCCGGCTTACCAGGCTGCCGAGCAGCTCATGACCATTCTCGTCAAGTCACTGGAGAGGGCGCCAAAAGAATTGGACCCTCTTTTCCATCTGATCGAATGCGTTACTTCTGATGAGCTTCGCATTACGCAAGAGCTATTCTCTTTCATTTATGGGAGAATTATCTGCAATGACGCGATTGACTTCTGGAAAACGACAGTACTTCGCTGTCTAGATACCTATTCTGGCAAATCTGCATCAAACAAGATGAAGTACTTTTTGTTGCATTACATCGTTAACCCAATTGTTGCAATGGACGTCATGCGCAACTGGAATCAACTTGACCAGAACAAGGGTCCTCGACTTATGGACAGAGCTGTCATTGACGCAGTCAGCAGCAAAATCTGGAAGGTCCATCCGGAGATGACGATGGATGACCAGGCTCAGCCTGGCATCGACCATACTCGTTACGAGGTATTGCAACTCTCTGCAATGTTGGTCAAGTACTATCATACCCCCCTCCAAGATGCACGGAAAGACATCATCAAGTTTGGTTGGACCTTTATCCGCCTAGAGGACGTGATCAACAAACATGCCGCTTATGTGGTTATCGGCTACTTCATCGCGCACTACGAAACCCCTCCAAAGATAGTGACTCAGGTGTATCTCTCGCTCCTGAAGGCCAATCAAAACGAAGGTCGAGCTTTGGTAACACAAGCATTGGAACTTATTGCGCCTATGTTGCCAAAGCGATGCGGAACTGTCCAGAACAATCAGTATGCGCCATGGGCAGTTGCGCCTCGCCGCATCCTAGCAGACGAAGGACAGAACGCACAGCAGATGACGAGCATCTTCCATTTCCTCGTCCGACACCCGGATCTTTTCTATGTGGCTCGTGACAAGTACATCACCTTAATGATTAGCTCGTTGCGGAAGCTCGCCACGCCACAGAATGCATCTCATGAATCAAAAAGACTTTGTCTTAACATGATGTGGCTAATCTGGTTGTGGGAGGAACGAAGAGTTGAAGGGAAATCATCAACATCTGACACAAGAGCTCTTTCTCAATCTCCCAACACCAAGAAGAGGAAGCTGGAGGCGGAACAAGTGAACGCTCCTTCTCAGCCCCAACGTGCAGAGTACGAGATCCCACCTCTGTTTCGAACGAAGATGATTAAGTATCTGGTCGAATTTATTGCTCAGCTGAACGAGCGCTATGAGCTTCCTTCAGCTAAGCCCCGGGACCAAGTCTCGTCATCAATCCCCCCAGTCCCATTGGCGTTGACCGATCTGTGCAAGAAGGCTATGAAGCTGCTTTACAACTTGGTACAGCCTCAGTATTGGGGCGACCTCGAACTGGATCTGTTCCCCAATGTCACACATGTGATTCTGGCAAGCGAGCGAACCCAGACTATCCTTACTGCCGATCCTTCTGACAAGGAGAAATTCGATGAAAAGTTCCTCACCAACATCATTAACACCCTCCAGGTTGTTCGCATTGTACTCAACGCAAAGGAGGACGAATGGATCCAGAAAAATATGCCATCTATCCAAAAGGTTTTGGAAAAATGTCTCAAGTCGGAAAACCCTGAAATTCAGGATTGCCTTCATCTTTCTGACAAGAAGTTTGACGACGGTCGTGAGCTACGATCGATCGTTAAGCGTATCCTGGAATCTGTACCTGACGATACTCCCATGGAAGACGCGGATGCTGATGGCGAGACCGAAACACAGACATCAGAGATCGTCGCTTACCTGTCCCAGCTTGCGACGGAAGCGATGAATAGCAGTAACTATACTTCTGGTGTGAGCATTCTTTGGTCTCTCGGCCAACGAAAGCCCAATGTCATCGATCAGCACATTGCATCTCTGATGAAGGCACTTCAATCGAAGCATGCCAAAGAGCACGTGCAGCATTACAATGCGGTCGCGAACCAAGCTGCTGGCGTGAACAATAGGAACCAGGACCCTAACACTCCGAGTGGAGAAATGTCTGCTTATGACCTCGAAATCCAGACAAAGATCATGATCAAGGAGATACAGGTTGTTGCTCTTCGGATGGAGGTTCTAGGCGACTCTCGTCGACCTTTCCTCAGCGTCCTCGCAACTCTGGTGGAAAAGTCCATGTCGATTGAGCTTTGCGAAGAGATTTTGAACATGGTTGAGGGATGGGTATTCCGTTCAGAAGGAACATGGCCAACTCTTAAGGAGAAGACGGCCGTTCTTCACAAGATGCTATCCTTCGAGCACCGACAAGACCCAACCATGCTGTCCAAGTTCCTGGACCTTGTTATTCGCATTTACGAGGACCCCAAGATCACTCGCACTGAACTCACAGTCCGTATGGAGCATGCATTCCTTATCGGCACCCGTGCAGCTGATGTCGACATGCGTAACCGCTTCATGGCTATTTTTGACAAGAGTTTATCCAAATCGGCTAGCGCACGTCTATCTTATGTTCTCACCTCTCAGAACTGGGATACACTGTCCGACTCCTACTGGCTTGCCCAAGCCAGTCATTTGTTGCTAGGTGCCGTGGAGACGAATGCCAGCATTCAGCTCTACCAGTCCGACTTCAAGACACTGCCGATCTCTCGCTTGCTGACCATGTTCACAAAGGAGATGGAGGCTCGAGAGCCTGCAACCATCATCGATGACAAGTTTGAATCGTTTATGGCAAGTCATCGCCGCTTCATGGTGGAACTTGGTGATATCAAAGTAAGGGACGTTATCGAGCCTTTGGCACAGCTCCAGCACGTCGATTCTCAACTTGCTCATAATCTCTGGGTTACTCTTTTCCCAATCTATTGGTCCTCTGTCGCAAAGGATGACCGAGTTGATCTGGAGCGTGGTATTGTAGCCCTTCTCACCAAGGACTACCACAGTCGCCAAATTGACAAACGCCCCAATGTTATCCAGTCCATCCTTGATGGCGCTGCCAAGACTTGGCCTGAGTGCAAAATCCCACCACATGTGCTCAAGTACGAGGCAAAGACCTACGATGCCTGGTACACTGCTTTGATCCAACTGGAGAACGCCGCCATCAAACCTCAGGTAGAGTCCGCTGCTGTTCGCGAAAGCAACCTCGACGCCCTCGTTGAGCTATACGCCTCGCTTCAGGAGGATGATCTGTTCTATGGTACATGGAGGCGACGGTGCCAGTTCGTCGAAACCAATGCTGCTCTTTCTTATGAACAAAACGGCATGTGGGACAAGGCTCAGAAGCTGTATGAAAATGCTCAAATTAAGGCCAGAACAGGCGTGATACCATTTTCCCAAGCTGAGTACATGCTTTGGGAGGATCACTGGGTTCTGTGCGCTCAAAAGCTACAGCAGTGGGAGATCCTGCAAGATTTCGCCAAGCATGAAAACTTCCAGGACCTTCTACTCGAGTGCGCTTGGCGAAACACGGATATGTGGCAGGACGAGCAACACCGGGAGGCCTTGGACAACATTATTAAGGGAGTCATGGACGCTCCAACGCCTCGCAGAGCCTTCTTCCAATCCTTCATGTCACTTCTCAAATTCCACAATGGCCAGGAACCCACTACTGATTTCGCACGTGTCTGCGATGAAGCAATTCAGCTGTCAATTCGCAAGTGGCACCAACTGCCTGAGCGCCTGACAAACGCTCATGTTCCTCTTCTCCAAAACTTCCAGCAACTGGTTGAGCTTCATGATGCCAGCGTTATTTGCCAGAGTCTTGCAAACACCAACCAAACTAACTTGGACGTCAAATCTGGCGAGCTCAAACTGCTCCTCGGTGCTTGGCGTGATCGTCTACCTAATGTTTGGGACGATATCACTGCTTGGCAAGACCTCGTCACTTGGAGACAACATATCTTCAGCCTCATCAACCAGACATATCTCCAGTTGCTGCCTCAACAGGGCGCACAAAACGCTGGAGGAGCGAGCTCCTTTGCTTACCGTGGTTACCACGAGACTGCCTGGATAATCAACAGATTCGCCCACGTTGCTCGCAAGCATAACCTTCCCGAGGTTTGCATCAACCAGCTGAGCCGCATTTACACCCTTCCGAATATTGAGATCCAGGAAGCTTTCCTGAAGCTTCGCGAACAAGCCAAATGCCATTATGAAAATCCAGAAGAGCTATCCAGTGGTTTGGACGTAATCAACAACACGAACCTAAACTATTTTAGCCCGCCGCAGAAAGCCGAGTTTTACACTCTAAAGGGAATGTTCTTGGAGAAGCTCAAACAGAAGGACGAGGCCGATTCAGCATACGGAACGGCGTTGTATTTCGACATCGGTGCTGCAAAGGCCTGGGCCGAATGGGGTTACTTCAACGACCGCAAGTTCAAGGAAGACCCCACCGATCTCAACGCGGCGCGACAAGCTCTCACCTCATACCTGCAAGCCGCAGGAAGCTACAAGAACGCCAAATCTCGAAAGCTTCTTGCACGAATCCTATGGCTTCTTAGTTTGGATGATTCCAAGGGCACTATCGCACTGGGCTTCGATGACTTCAAGGGTGAAACACCTGTATGGTACTGGATTACCTTTATCCAGCAACTGATCACAGGTCTCGGCCACAAGGAAGCGCCCCGTGTCTTCCAGCTCCTTCTGAAGATTGCCAAATCCTATCCTCAGGCCCTGTACTTCCAGCTCCGAACTAATCGTGAGGATCTGCTTGTCATCAAGAAGAACCAGGAAGCCAGAGACAGAAGCGCACGACAACGCGCGCAATCGACTGTTTCCAATGGAAAGGCGAGTGCGTCTCCGTCCTTGACCAAGCAGGAACCCCCCAGACCTGGTACATCATCGTCTCGACCAGGAACTGCCAATGCGGCTGAAGGCACAACAATCAAGGCTGAGGGCGAGGCCGGTAGCAACGCAACCGGCACACCAGCACCTGCCAACGGACAAGCTCCTGATCCCTCAAAGGTTGCGCCTAAGCCGCCAGCTCAACCTGGACAGCCTGCACAGACTCAGAAGAAGCCCCCGTGGGAGTACACTGAAGAGGTCATGTCAGTCCTCAAGACGGCCTTCCCTCTGTTGGCACTCTCGATGGAAACAATGGTGGACCAGATCCAAAAGAACTTCAAGTGCCCTCCCGACGAGGACGCTTACCGACTGATCGTTGCATTGCTTAACGATGCTCTGGCCTATGTCAGCCGAACACCTCCCTCTTTTGCCAAGAACGTTAAGCTTCCGGCAGCGACCGAAACCAATATTACTCGTTTCGCTGAGACGATCCTGCCAAGCCACATCAAGAAGTCGTTCGAGGCAGATTTCGTCACGGTTAAGCCGACAATGTACGAGTACATCTACAAGTTGCGCCGTTGGCGAAATAAGTTTGAGGAGAAGCTGGACCACAGAGTGCCTCGTGCTTCACTTGAAAACTTTTCCCCTCATCTGAGTGAGTTCAGATATGGCAAGTTTGATGAGGTAGAGGTCCCCGGACAATACTTGCAGCACAAGGATAAGAACCAGGACTTCATTCGTATCGACCGCTTCCTGCCAAACATCGATCTTGTTCGGTCCATCAGCGCCTCTTACCGCCGTATCAAGATGCGCGGACACGATGGAAGCATCCACACATGGGCCATCCAGCACCCTGCAGCTCGTCACTGCCGACGAGAGGAGCGCATCTTGCAACTTTTCCGCTCACTCAACCAGACACTGGGACGTAAGAAGGAGAGCCGACGTCGCGACTTACAGTTCACAATACCGATTATGGTTCCATTCGCACCGCACATCAGACTTGTCCAGGAAGACACGTCCTACACTACACTGCAGGGAGTGTATGAGGATCATTGTCGAAACATGGGCATGTCAAAGGATGACCCTGTACTGTTTACCATGGAGAAGCTTCGAGGCGCGCTCGAGAGCAAGAGCTCGGTAAGTCTTTTGAGAGGTCATGATTATTACACGACCACTAACAAGCAGCAGAACAAACCCGAGCAGGCAGCAACAGCCCGATTGGAGGTCTTTAACGCCATTCAAGAGAAATGGGTTCCATCCACTGTGGCAATCGAGTACTTCCAGAAGGTGTTCCCACAATTCGCAGAGTTCTGGCTGTTCCGTCGTCAGTTCTCATACCAGCTTGCGGCGTTGACATTCATCACGTACATCATGTACATGCACAACCGATACCCGCAAAAGATCAACATCTCTAGGGCCACGGGTAAGGTTTGGGGATCTGAAATGATGTCGTACATGAGCGCCAACAAGCCCTTTTTCCACAACCCGGAGCCTGTACCTTTCCGACTCACACCCAACCTTCAAACATTGATGGGACCACTTGCCACTGAAGGCATCTTTGCATGCTCCTTGATGGCTATTGCACGATGCTTGACAGAGCCTGAGTACGAACTGGAGCACGCCTTGACTCTGCTTGTGCGTGATGAGATGCTCTTCTGGTTTACGGGCAGCCACAGGAATGGAGTTATTACAGAGAGCCAGCTACGGGATTCTGTGCAGGTCAACAGCGACTCGATCGTCAAGCGGGCAATCAGCCTGGCCCACAGCCCCGTTGGCAACTTGCCTGCGAACCAGACAGTGATTGACGCCATTGCCAAGGCTGTCAACCCTATGAACTTGGCACAATGCGATGCTTTGTGGATGCCATATCTATAAGGGGTACATATATATTCATCTTATGATGGGAGGAAATGGACGATAGGTGGTTTGTTGAGGTCTTTGACTTTGAGCATGGCGTTGGGGGGTTTTGGGAGATCTTTGTACGATATTATTGCAAGGGTCAAGACAACTAGGAAAAGTTGAGCATGACAAGTCAGGACCATTACAGTTGTTCTTTTTAGATTGCCGACAGATAAACAAGCATCTATTGTTGTTTCTGTTTAATAATTCAATTTCTAATCCCATACTTTGCTGTATATTGGTGATGATGATATAAGTGACCTTGGCAAGTTTCCCCACAAACCTCGGCTCGGGAGCGAAGCTTGCCATGCATCATTTTTGAGATCGACAAGCAAGTCTAGGCGATTTGTGTGTCGCAGCGCAGCGCAGCCCAGTTCTGTACTGTAGCTAACGTTAAAGGGATGAACAAGTAGGCAAGGAATGGCTGAACCCCGCACGATACAGATGGTCTTGTTGGCTAAGTTACCTCGGGTTACGTCTCTATAAAGTGCAGGGTGTCAAATAATCTATTCTCTTTCTCTATTCCAAGTTTGTTGTTGTGATTTAAAGTCATCTTACTGTGTTTTCGTATAAGCAAGTTTAGAGGTCCAAAGATAAGTTACCACAATGGATCTGACAAAGGTACCACGAAAGGTCTGGGAGCATCCTGATCCTAAAAGCACAGCAATGTGGGCTTTTATGCAGGATGCAAACAGGATTCATGGTCTCAATCTCAAGGTATAAACGCAATCCACTAGACAAACAGCAATACTGACAATTTACAGACCTTTAATGACTTATACGACTGGTCCTGCTCTAAGCGCAGCGATTTCTACGCCCAGCTCTGGGCCTCGCAGAAATGGATCCACGAAGGATCATACTCATACGTTGTCGATGAGTCAATTCCAATCACCAAACTTCCTACGTGGTTCCCTGGTATCCGCCTCAACTACGCCGAGAACCTTCTCTGGACACAAGGAAACGCACCGGGTGAGCGTTCAACTCTTCACAAAGAGGACGACACCGTTGCAATCACAGAAGTCCGCGAGGGCAATTCGTCTGTAAAGAATGTTACTTGGGGAGAGCTCCGTCAGAGAGTGGCTAGGACAGCAAGTGCGTTGAAGCAGAGAGGCATGAAGAAGGGAGATCGAGTTGTTATAGTCGGGGCGCATGCTGTTGAGACATGTGTCGTGTTTCTGGCTACGACTTGGCTTGGAGGTTTGTTCAGTAGCAGTTCGACTGATATGGGCGTTGGAGGTCTTCTGCAAAGAACAGTCCAGATCGATCCCAAGGTAAGCTTCTCTGTAACCAAAATTGATGTTGAGATACTGACTTGGTAGTTTGTTTTCTTCGATGATGGCGCTCTGTACAACGGCAAAGTCATTGATCTTCGCGACAAGATCAAGGGCGTGGTTGAAGGAATGAAGGAGTGTCCTTCTTTCAAAGGAGTGATTGTCGTCCAACGCTTTGACACTGCTCAAGATACTTCCAATATTTCGAATACACAGCGTCTTGAAGCCTTCCTCTCCTCAGCATCTTCAACACCACCACCTATCGAGAGAGTCGACTTCCAGGATCCAATGGTAGTTTACTATTCTTCTGGGACTACTGGAACACCCAAGGCCATCGTTCACGGTGTCGGTCCTATTCTTGTTTCCGTCGCCAAAGAGGGTGTTCTTCATCGCGAACTCACACACAAAGATGTGGCGCTTCAGTACACGACGACAGGTTGGATAATGTACCTTGCCAGCGTCACGAGACTTGCCTTTGGCGGGAGAACTGTGTTTTACGATGGTTCACCATTTGTACCAGATCGATCTGTCTTGTTGAGAATCGTGGAAGAGCAGAGAGTCACGAATTTGGGTATCTCGCCAAGGTGGCTGGGTGAACTCATGAAAGAGGGCATTGTTCCGCAGAAGGAAGCCGATCTGAGCAGTCTGACGGCTGTTTTGAGCACGGGGATGGTATTGAAGGAACAGGTCTTTGAATGGTTTTACGATGGGGCTTTTCCTAACCACATCAAACTCGCCAACTTTTCAGGCGGTACAGATATCGTAAGTCTTCTACTACCCTATAATATCTACACGACTAACCTCGTCTCCTCAGGCCGCCTGCTTCGTCATGGAGAATCCTCTATGTCCTATCTACGCTGGCGGCTGTCCTGGAAGAGTCATTGGCACTCCTATGGCCATATACCCATCCTCGGCTGATCTAACAAAACCAATCTCCCCAGTCCCAGACGGTGAACCAGGAGATTTAGTAGGAACAGCGGCTTTCCCAAACGTACCTCTCTATCTGTGGAACGACACGAGTCCCGCTCCAGGCAAAAAGTACACTTCAGCCTACTTTGACCGATTCCCTGGTGTGTGGTCACAAGGCGATTTTGCAGCCGTCCATCCAAAGACTGGGCATATCCATATCCTCGGTCGCTCTGATGGTGTTTTGAATCCGAGCGGTATTCGCTTTGGAAGTGCGGATATCTATGCTGTGCTTGAGGGCGGGTTTGCTAAGGAGGTCGCCGAGAGTCTTTGCGTGGGCCAGAGACGACCTCAGGATCATGATGAGAGCGTTGTTTTGTTCTTGCTGATGAAGCCTGGCGTCAAGTTTACAGCTGAACTTGCAAACAACATCCGAGAGAGGATTGCTAAAGAGTTGACCAAGAGACATGTGCCCAAATACATCTTTGAGGTACCTGATATACCGGTAAGTATTTAGTCTTGGGTCACTTATACATGATAACTAATATTGACGCAGACGACTGTAAATGGTAAAAAGGTCGAGTTGCCTGTCAAACAAATCATTTCTGGAAGTAACATCAAGCCAAGCGGGACATTGTTGAATCCTGAGAGTCTGGACTATTACTATCAGTTTCAAAAGATCGAGGAGGTTGAGCAAGTTCGAGCAAAGTTGTAGATAGAATTCCTATACAGAGAAGAGGGCGTAATCAAGGGCATACTATACAAATAATGATATTTTCTACAAAGCTTCCTCCTTGTTTGGAAACTTGCCTCCGTTAACACCATATCTCCAAACCATATATCCCAACATTCCCCCTACAGTGCCCAACCCCAATCCTCCAACAGCACCTCTCCAACCCAATCTCAATCCCTTTACCGCATTGGCACCTATCAAAGCCCCAGCTCCAGCGCCCACAGCAGTCCAGTCATCAGTCTCAACCTGACCCGGGTTCTCTAGTAACCTCCAACTTCGATCCTGCCACTCAATCTCTTCTCTACCGCGCATGCGGCCAAATGTCATGAGAGCGCCCACGCCCAATGCTGCAACTGTGCCTGTTGATGCTGAGCGGATGAGACGAGGAAGAAAAGTGAGGGCATCAGGTGATTTTGGGCGGAAGAAGGGGATGAGTTGACGTGTTGTTGTTATGCCCGTAGCAATGATGGTGTTTAGTGTGATTGCTCTCACTATGACATGAGTTGTGAGAATAGTACGTGCAAGAGGTTGATCCTCTGCATAAGGAGCATGTGGAAAGAATCGTGACATGTTGATTTCAGTTTTGTTTGTATGATCAAGTTGAGTATTACAATATGAGCTGACATTCAACTCTCTAGACTATATATTACTTATACTACGCCGCGTCATATCATCAAGCCACTTCCCCTCTTCTGTATTCAGCCTTTTAGCTAATATATCCTGTAAGATAAGATGCTCGCACTTTTTTCGGTCCCGAATTACTTGTAAAATTCGATGATTATTTCATAGATATCCCCGAAAAATAATAAGCACAAAATAATTGGTTGTCCGAAGCGACGGGCCGGACAGTTTTGGAATGCCGATACTCCACTAATAAACAACGCCAAAATTCGAATGCGAGTGCGAAGTAACTTTAGGCCATGTTGATTAATTATTGATACAACAATAAATAAGAGAGGGTAATACTGTTTAATATTGCTTATCCATTCACTTCGATAATGTTTATTATGTTCCAAGCATCCCTGTATCTCATTCCCATCAATGCATGCTCTTTACAATCCCCCAACGCCTGCCCTTGACCTGACCTGACCTATCCCAATGATATGTAATACTATCCCATGCTTTTTCAATCTCTGGTATTCTTTACTTTTACTCATCATCCGTCATTTCCATCATACTGTCCTCTTTCTCCTGTGAATCGTTCTCATCCTCCAATACCGTCACCCTTCGTGATCGTCTCACTCTTCCTTTGCCCTTCTCCATTCTCCCTGCTGTTTGTCGACCACCATTCACCTTGACAGCCGCATCGTGCTTTTGCTGTCCCAGCATACGTTCAAACTCGATCAGGTCTTCAGCCTCAGACTCCGCCGCACCATCCAGCAGTATCGTCTCTTCTAGCGCCTTGTTAAGCAGCTCTGTCGCAATACTATCCTGCGGGTTAACCGCCAACGCCTCGTGCAAGACCGTTACTGCTTCCTCGGGTTTATTCTGCTCCATTAGAATGAGACCCTTTGCACTGAAAATGGCTGCGTCTTTTCCCCCTTGCCTCAACACCTCGTCAAACTCAGCCAGCGCTCGGTTGAAGTGCCGCAGTCTTCGAAACGCGTGGCCAAGATTCGTCCTGGCCGCTAACCATGCTGAAGGATCACTGTCCATATCATCAGCGATCTTAAGCGCTGCTGTAAAATATTGTGCTGCCTCCTTAGGTTTGTCTTGGTGATATTTCACAACGCCCATCTCGTTCAATAGTAGCGGATCCGTTTTGCAGAGACCGTAAGCCGTTTTAAGGAATTCTTCTGCAAGTGTCATGTTGTTGAGGGCATGATTCTGCATACCCAAAAACACTTGAGGTAGATGAGTGCCCATAAATAGTCTTGCCGCTGTCGAATACGCCGAAATCGCCTGGTCGTGCTCACCCTCCGCCGCGAAGGTGTGTGCAAAACCTATCCATGCTGGCCCAAAGTGCGCATCCATCATACTGGCCTTGCTAAAGTATCGTCGCGCCTCGGGAATCTTGCCAATTGAAAAGTAGTAGATACCAACTGCGAGCCACGAACATGGCTCTTCGGGATGACTATCCGCCAAATCATGTGCAATCAAGAACAACAAGTTCTTCTCCTTGAGCTCAAACAAGCAAGCCAAATGTACCGGGTACACACTAAAGTTGTATTTGTCCTCTTGTAAAATCCCATTCGTGATATTCAACGCATCCCGGTAGCGGCATTGCGTATATAACAGATCTGCCCGTGCAAGCTGTAGGTCAGGGTTCGATGCCAGATGGTAATGTGTTGATAGAGAGTCGTACGCCGTCTCGAACGCTGCAGGGTTTCGGTATTTAGATAGGCGTGTCGTGTAGAGCATCTTTGTAAAGTCAGCGGCCTGTTGGGAAGACGACACATCCCCTGACACATGGATCGAGTCAAAATCCAGACTCTCAAGGAACTGCCACTCCTCATCTGGCGACAGCAGATTATTGTTCATGAGCTGCTGAAACGCTTCAAAGCACTGGACATCGATGCGTACTGCATCTTTATAGCACTCCTTTGCGCGGTCAAACGCATTCTGCTTGGCATAGCAGATGCCACGTAGGAAACACATAGCAGCTTCGTATCTCCTGTTCGATGCTTCTTCCTCTGCAGCTGGGTCGCGACGTCGTGTCTGGCGCGGCTGTGTTTTGCGCTTGTTGCTCGCGCCGTTGGCTATAAGATGCGTCGGGTTACGGTCGCCGAGAACGGAAAGGGCTTCTTCGAAACGGGATTGCTTGATGAGACAATGGCCGGCGAGATAGCGACATGATGGGTTTCGAGAAATGAGGTTTTGGCTGGAGAGAAATGCTTGGGCGCGAGTGTAGTTTCCTGTCGCGAAGTGGACTTGGGCCAGCCAGAATGCGTCTTGGTCGTCATCTGTTCAACCTGACATTAGAGTCTTGAGATGATCCTCTGAAGAAAACATTGTACGAACTGGTCAACGCCAGCAGCTTGTCGCCGATAAAGATGGCTGATTCGTATTGTGCCTTGTTGAGGGCATCTTGCCGCCATTCCCTGAGGAAGCTTTCCATGATCTTTTCTTTATTCGAAGCGCATCGAGTATCATATACAATTTTGTATTAGGTATTCAGCACGCGAGTGAAGTTGTGGCGTTGGGAAATTGGTTTAGGAATTCAAAGTGTCATTTGTTTGGAATAGCATCAAATTAATCAACAACAACATCCCACCTAACAAAAGTCAACCTACAGTCTCACCGTTAGTTTCAACTGGTGCTAACCTAGCGCGTTGAGGGCCTCCAGGGCGTCTTCAGAGGCTACAGTGGGTGTGTCTCCAACAACGGCGGGGTAGCTTACAGCGGTCTTTGCCTCTGTGGAAAAAAGTTGGCGGGGTCCTTTAGGACGTGGCGTATCAGAAGCTGTCAATTTGGCACTCGCCGATACAGGAGCCCGTCCAATCTGTCATACCTCATCAACTTTTAAAAAAGATTCACTTACAATTGCACAACAAACAAACACCGCTCAATTCTGTACAAACGTTCAATTGAATCGCAAATATGGCCTCTTCTCAACCTACCCGATGGGCTGCTCTCGCTCGTGACACCAACGAGACCAAGATCCAGCTCGCTCTCAACCTCGACGGCGGCGATTTTCCTCCGGACACCGATTCCCGTCTTCTCAACAACGATGATAGCCATGCTTCTCAGGCTAGCAAGTCTCAAAAGATTGCTGTCAACACAGGAATTGGTTTCCTCGACCACATGCTCCATGCTCTGGCTAAGCATGCTGGCTGGAGTCTGGCTCTGAACTGCAAGGGTGATCTTCACAGTACGTTCTTTCTCTTAGTTGCGCCACCAAGAGAAGTATTAATGGCTGACTTTGGTCTTACTTAGTTGACGACCACCACACTGCTGAAGATGTATGCATCGCGCTTGGTTACGCCTTTGCCCAGGCCCTCGGTACACCCGCCGGTCTCGCTCGTTTCGGCTATGCCTACGCCCCTCTCGACGAGGCCCTCTCTCGCGCCGTCATCGATCTCTCCAACCGTCCCTACGCCGTTGTTGACCTTGGTCTGAAGCGAGAGTGGCTCGGCCAGCTCAGCACTGAGATGGTTCCTCACTGTCTGCAAAGCTTTGCTCAGGGTGCTCGTGTCACACTGCACGTTCACTGCCTCCACGGTGACAACGACCACCACCGTGCTGAGAGTGCTTTTAAGGCTCTTGCTATCGCTGTCAAGGCTGCCACCACAAGAATACCTGGAAAGGAGGGTGAGGTGCCCAGCACCAAGGGTACTCTGAGTGCCTAAAGCAAAAGTATAGGTTAGGAGTTCCGGATAAGTGTTTGCTTTGGTAAATTTGAATCGTAGGTAGACGGGCTTATGAAATAGGATGTTTGGATGACATAACAGCTAAACTATAAATTAAATAACAGAGAAGCTGAAGATTAAATACTTCAACCAAGTGTCAGGTGATAATATGGCATAAATTCGAGGCTATATTTGTAGAGAATATCTATGTTCGGTAGTCGCCGTTGATGGTAACATAGTCATGGCTGAAATCACAAGTATAATGCACAGCAGACTTATCACCCGTTCCGAGCCTGACAACGATCTCAAGATCCTCCATGGCAAGGATCTCAGCCGCTCGCGTCTCATCAACCTGCTCAGGCTCACCATTAACCAGCAGCTTCAACTCAGCTGAGCCGTCAGTAGGAATGAAAGAGACGTTGGTTCGCTCGGGAGTAATCTCAGGAACGTCGTTCACTGGCTGTCCTGGGGCAGAGATAAGAGCGTAACCGGTAGCGCAGAGAACTCGGCCCCAGTTGGCATCCTTGCCGTAGAGGGCGGTCTTGACGAGGGGTGACGTAGCGATAGTTCGGCCAATCTGGCGAGCTGCCTCCTCGGATGCACTATCGACGACGCGGATGGTCACAAACTTGGTGGCACCCTCGCCATCTCGGACAACATACTTGGCCAGGTCGACAGAGAACTCCGTCAAGAGCTTCTGGAAGGCTTCGTAGTCGGGAGACTGCTCAGAAGTAACCTCCTTGCCACCAGCTGCACCGTTGGCGAGGAGAGCGACGGTGTCGTTGGTAGAAGTATCACCATCAATGGTGATGGAGTTAAATGATCGGTCCACTGCATGTCGAAGGACATTAGGCATGACAGCAGGGGAAATAGGAGCATCAGTAGCCAGGATGGTGAGAAGAGTCGCCATGTTGGGAGCAATCATGCCCGCACCCTTGGTCATACCAGCAATGCGGTACTCGACGCCTGGCGAAGAAGGAAGCTCAAAGCTTCGAGACATGAGCTTGGGGAAGGTGTCTGTTGTGCAGATCGCCTTTGCGCATTCAAGCCAGTGGGTGTGAGAGCTACCAGCCTTGCTAACAGCCGTGGGAATCTTGTCAAGAATCTTCTGAATTGGGAGCCTGTAGCATCTGTGAGCCATTGAGGCGTTGAATAGCGTCAATCGGTGAAACAAACCTCTGGCCAATAACTCCAGTACTCATCACAATAGTAGAATCCTCATCGCCAACCCTCTGGTCGGTAGTGCGAGCCATGCTGGTAGCATCTTCAAGACCTCCGGTGCCGGTAACAGCATTTGCGTTACCCGAATTGACGACGACGCTTCGCAGACCAGCATTCTTCTTCTGCTGCAACAATTTCCTACTGTACGTCACAGGAGCAGCCTGGAACTTGTTCTTTGTGAAGACTCCGGCAGCAGCGCATGGTCGATCAGATGTGACGATGGCGATGTCGGGCTTGCTGGTGTTTCCAGGTTTGACGCCGGCCAAGACGCCCGAGGCGATGAAGCCCTTGGGGTATTTGCCAGAAGTGGGAATATACTGGATCTTTGAGGGAGGGATAGGGTTTGAACCCAAAGTGGTTGCCGCCGAAGAGTAGGCGCGGGTGAATTTCTTCATCATCTTTGCGGTTGAGATGAATATTGTTGATGCTATGAATTGTCAACTGATTTTTTGGCTGGGGATTGAGTCTGTAATGGAATAGTGCTGTAGGGTGCGATAGCGGTATCGCAGTGATCATCGTAATTGGAAGTGACCAAACAGAACTGAGTCACTAGGAAGGATTTTACTCCAATTGATTATAAAACAATATCATTAAAATAATATCTACTATCAAATATTGAACAAATTTAAGAAATAGCATATTATTATTTCCTTGGAGGATGAGCGTGGTGTGTGTATAATGTCATAACCACTAACACGTATTAATCTCCAACTGAACCACAACTTCACGTTGATAGTACATAGCAACCAGGCATATATTGAAAGCCTCATAATGGGATCAGAGTGTTTACGGTTTCACAGTAAGCAAAGTGGATACTGGTATGATAATTTGGTCCAGGCAACATCGTCACCTGCAAACTTACAACCCTCAGTTTCCATGCTTCTGGCCAATTACTGTCTGATTCATACAAAATTATTACGCACGCAATCAAACAGACTCTGAGTCAGTATTGATTGATATGCTTTGCGAAAGTGCAGTCAAAACTTCATCAGGAAACCAGCCAAGGGAGGAAGGCCAATAGTGATAGTATACCTAATAGGGAGAAGACGAGGGCAGTAGATACTGGAATCGATATATGGCGAGACCAAGCATATTAACCAGTCTGACCTGGTACTAAAATGAAGCCTGAAAAACTAAGCAAATTTTGAAGAACAAACAAACAAACGTGATATGCCTTTGGGGGAGGTGCAGTACAGTTGGCTGCTCCCAACTGAACCTAGAGGCTGTTGCTGTGCCTGCAGGCGGAGCCCCGCTGGTGCCTGGATGCGACTGCAAAATTAGTCCCTCCTCGCCCATTTTTTGCTCTGATGGCTTAGTCATCACAGACTATGGCCCGTGCGCGAGTGATCTCCCAAAGCTATAAAATGTCGTCTTCCTCCCACCTTTTCAGTTTTCTTTTCTTCCTTTCTTCTTCATCCGAGTGCAAGGGCGTTATCCATCTCCGTGAAGCGATTAGCTGAGAGTGGATTTTTGCTAGTTGAAAACTATACACTGACCGCTCCTACTTGGGTTCGCCTGGGTAGGGAATTTTTGGAACACTTTTCCTTTGGAATCTTTTCTTTCATTGCGACCAGTCCTATATGGACTGGCGTGGAGAAGGAAGCTGCTATTATGACTGTTTACACGCGCCTGCAGAGGTCGATTTCGCTGCTTTGATGAAGTGCTGAATGTCCGGAAACGCTACACGGCGTGTCAGCATCGCAAGTCGCGACATGTTCGCCGAGTGATGGATGCGTCTTGACATTGAATACGTGTGTGTTTGATCAAGCAAGAATGATGAGATGCTATCCTCTAGCCAAATCCTTTCCGCAATGTTGCTACTGACTGCCACTACTGCTGGTTGATGATCCTCTTGAATGCGGTGTGACCATGAGAAGATAGTCGTCAAATAGGCTTGACATAATATCAACAATAATTAAATCATGACTGTAATAATAAGGTCTAAGTGAAGTGACATGCAAACGATACACCCAGTCACACATGCATGCTACGCTGTTTGCTGGTGCTGCCCACGTCTTGGGCTAGCGCGGGGCATTCGACATTTCTCCACATCAATGCCGGTCCAAATCATTATTTTTGAGTGACTCAAAGCCTCCATCTGAGCACCTCCTCGTACCAAATCCCACTTCAACAGCCTAATACCCCCATTATTAGCGACCATTTCCGACAGAAATTATTCGAGCATCTCGCTGAAAATATCGCCAAGAACGTATTCTAGTGGTTGTAGTTAGCCACGCCTTCACACACATTCTCTATCCCTTGTAGAGCTTGGAGTGCCCCGCCCCTCGAATAATCACATTATCGAAACCGCTTCTCTACCCGCAACACGGCCTCTCGAACCAGGCCTCATGTCTATCGAAGCTGAGGGCTCGGCTCCTACGCCGCCAGCCCCCGAGAAGCAGGAACCCAAGACGGAAAAGACGGACCAGAGCAAACCCCAGCAGCCTCCCAAGGATGGCCAACATCAGCAAGCGGCCCCCGCAGGCGAGAAGAAGCTCTCTGGAGCCGAATTGAAGAAGAGGGCCAAAGAGGAGAAGGCCGCTAGACGCGCACAAGCCAAGGTTGCCCAAGTTCCACAGGGCCCAACGCAAGGTGACAAGCAGGCCGGTGGTGATGGCAAGGGAGGCAAGGCAAAGCCAAAGCAAGACGGACAAAATCAGCAGCATGGCGGCGCAAAACTTCCCATTCGACCGGCAGGTACGACTGTCGTCAAGGATGACAAGCCTTCGATACCAGACTGCTTCAGCCATCTGTCTATGGCCAGGCGCATAGACATGACCCACGCGGACAAAGATGTTCATCCTGCTGTATTGGTTCTCGGAGAGCACATGAGCGCATTTGCGATCAGTGATAGCATCACTCGACTCGAAGCAACCCTATATGCTTTCAAGAAGGTACGGCACTTCATCCACAACTGTATGAATATTCTCCTAACTGATCTAGGTCATCGACTCATACACAACACCTCCTGGCTCCAGTTTCTCCCGCCATTTCACATCTCACGTTCTCAACCCTCAGATCGAGTATCTCACTGCATGCCGGCCCATGTGCTTTTCAATGGGTAATGCAATCCGATGGCTTAAGCTTCAGATCAGCAAGATTGACCTCGATCTTCCCGACTCTGACGCCAAGAAGCTCATATCCGAGTCTATCGACAATTACATCCGTGAACGCATCACTCTCGCGGACTACGTGATCGTCGAGACTGCCGCCAACATGATTGATGAAGACGATGTAGTACTCACCTACGCTCAACACCACCTCGTTGAGCGCACCCTTCTTCAGGCTCGCCAGCTTCAAAAGAAGAACTTTCGTGTCATCCTTGTCGACGATCCTTATGAGCGTGTCGGCATCGATCTCGCAAAGAAGCTCTCTGCTGCCGGCATTCACGTCACCTACTCTTCTGACCTCAGCGCTCTACGAACCCACCTCTCTGAGGCTACCCAGGTTCTCCTTGCCGCCGAAGCTATCTTTAGCAACGGTGCCATGTACGCCCGTGCAGGCTCATGCGACATTGCTACAGTCGCTACTGACCTTGGTGTCCGCGTCGTCGCTCTTTGCGAAACCATCAACTTCACCGAGCGTTTGTCCATCGACTCGCTCACTTACAACGAGATTGACCCTGAGCAATCCACCGACGTTGGGTTCCGCTTGCTCTTCGATACTACCCGGGACAAGTACATTACGGTTGTTGTGACGGAGTTGGGCAATTCTTCCGCCACTTCTGTGCCGGCTATCCTAAGAAAACTAGAGGAGCTGTAGGCTTTTGGATTCAAGTAAAAAATACGGGTTACTCTTTCTGACCTGATAGATGGTGCGGCGTCTTGGGTTGTCATTCTGATCTGGAGTGTGAATGTATTAGAGGCAGTCTTTTGAAGCAATGAACCTGTATTTGTAGTTTGTTGTGTTTGTGACGTTTCTGGTCCGATGTAATCTCGAGACTACCGATTGGTGTCATTGACTCATTAGAACGATATAATGTCATCACCTTAGTGCACTCTGGCTGCAGTTGTCTCAACCCATACGTCGATTTTGACGTTCTACATCCCAAAATATCACAAATGTACAATATTCCCTCCACCCTTCAATCTTTCTTCTCTCAAGGTTGAAGGTGTGTAATTCCCAGTATCTTTGCATTCCCATTCCCATTGTCATTTCCCTTCTTAAGCCTGGGCCTGAGCATCTCTCTCGGCCTTGCGCGCTCGCTTCTCGAGAAGAATGTTCTTTCGCTCCCTCAGTGTGTCGGTTTGTCTGTCGTCGACGCCCTGGAGCCAATATCCGAAGCTAGCACCACCGGCTGCGTAGACGGGGTACACCCACAGGGAGGACTTGCTGAAGAAGGGGCGCATCTCGATACCCATTTGCCAGAATCGGGCGCCGAGGCCTTGAATTTTTGCTATGTTAGCATCCAATTCTTCTTCCTTTCCCCTCGCCTTTCAATTGTCCATGTTGTGTTCTCGGGCGGGCGAATTGACTCAGGTAGGTGACGTACCGAAGAGACTCCAGAAAGCGATGCGGTGCATGTTGGGCAATTGACCGTCGGGTATTCGAACGTAGGTAGTGGAGAGGTCTGAGATTCGCTCTAAGTGCGAGGTGTTGACGTCGTTCGTTATCGGGAGAGTGAGGTCGTGATCTTGAAGATCCGTCGGCCCAAGCTCACTGCAATTGGAGTCTAGCTGATTGGTCACGACTTTTGTCACGACTTTTGTCACGTGGATGATTTGTATTTCTCCCTACCCTGTACCTTTTGTTTATTGTTAATATGGTACTGTTTTAACTGCTATTGGCGACATTGTTGTTAAAAGCATTCATTAGTACCCATGCCCTTGTTATCTGTCAAATTTTGCATTGGTTTTGGTGGTCATCGACTCTTGTTCCATGTTCCTCTGAGAAAGCGTACTCTATAAGAGTAGCGTTTATAACAACTGTACTACACACCGCATTTCATATTGTCACTCATCACAGCAATGTTCGAACAATAATGTCATGGTTAAGAAAGCAAAAAGAAACCATAAACTGGTCGGACCAGGCCCAGCAGTCATTCGATATCTACTAAATCTAGAGTCTACATCTATGTCTGGTCTCCTGTCTTAATAACGACATCGATAATGGTAACAGTAAGAGAGACGATGTCCCAAGTGTACAAAACCCATAAAACTCCCTGCTATGTCATTGCAAAACGATCATTAATCTAACAAGCTCCTACCCAATCCACCAGGATAAGGAGGTGGTGCTCCGGATGGCGGTGGCGCTATCGAGGGTGTTTGATTGCGAGGCGCGGGATTGGCGGACCACTGAGCCGCCTTGGCCACGATCTTGGAGAAATATTGCTGAATGAATGATTCACTATGACTATTAGCATCTGCTTCACAAGGGCGCGTAGGAGCCGAACTTACGTGTAGTAGCTGTGATCAGAGTTATGGGGCGACACGAGATTGTGTGCCAGTTCATGCGCCAAAACAACCCACCACCAGGTCGCAGCCTCTGCTTTTGCCTGCCCGCTTCTCCCCTCGATCTGCGCGGCATGAAGCTGTAGGAAGAATCTGAAGTTGCAGAAGATACTGCCCCCGGTGTTGAATGCGATTGTGCCACCGGCCTCATCATAAAAGATGTGCAAGACCTTGGGCGACATGGAGTAGATATTGCCTACCTCAATCAGCAAGCTGGAAAACACGTTGAGGTTGGTCAAGTGTTTCGAGAGGAATGCACTAGAATCCTTAATATCCCTCGAGACAAAAACTTTCATGCCATTCGAAGTTTCAGCGATGAAGGTGATGTTCTGTGCCGGCGTCTTGTCACAGTAAGTAGCTTGCTCCTTGACTTCGTTCACCTGAGGCTCTGAAAATACACTATCAGATCCATACGCCCGGGTTGACTTGACAGCATTGAGCAAATTTTGCTGAACCACCGCGGGGCTTGTCACCCTGCCCTCATCTTGTGGTCGCTTTCCAGAATTAGACGAGCTACTGCCAGGCGCCTCAATCTCTTTGGGCTTGTCTAAGAACTTGTTCAGCTCCTTGCGGGAGTCGTCATCATCTTGCTCCGTGTCAAATCCAAGTCGGCGAGTCAGGTTGGAGAACAACCCTCTACTCTTCCTGTTCTGTTGTTCTTGAGTAGGCTTGGCTTGCTCTGGTGAGTCCCATGAACCTGGCATTGTTGGACCAAGGGGTTCCGGTACCCTGGTAGCTTCACGTGCAGCTTCGGCCGCCTTGGCCTCTGCTCCCCATTGCTGCTCCTTCTCCTTGATTTGGCGTTGTTCCTCTTCCAAAGCCTTTCGTCTCTCTTCTTCAGCGATTCTGGCTTCAGCAGCCTTGGCCCGTAGAATCCGGTCGACATTGTAACCGCGGTTCCTCAGGCCGTAAAGATCCAGTGTCAGGAACGGCTCAAAGAAGAGGTAAGCCTGTTGATTTGGACGGCTCAATAGCATTTGGCAAATAGCTTGTCCAATTTGGTACATGTCGGGCTTTGCCTCATCAGCAACATACATGATCCAACCGTTATTGGTTTTCTTGCTCGCAGCCGACCGCTTCTCTGTATGAGTCTGGTGCTGACCTTGAAGGGTTCTTTTTAAAGCCACCGAGTGAACGACATCGACAGTCAGATTTTTCTCCAACCACTTTGCATCATGCTTGATAGCGTCGCGCCTATAGTTTGCATACTCGAAGAGAAAGATCTTTGATCTCTCGACGACATGTTTGCGCAGAGTAAGAGCAAGCTTTTGCCTATCGCTGTGAGGCCCAATTCTAATCTCCTCTCGAACGATGCTACTCAGCCTTTGTGCCCCGAGCGACAGATAGAATGTCTCAAGAGCATCCTCCTCTGGTGCACAAATAAGCTGATCCTTGAATAGTCTGTAGCTGATGATGTCGTCTAGGATCACAATTTGATGGGCAGATGCGAGCTGGTACTGTCGGATGGGCTCGTCCTCCTCTTCTAGGTCATCTGACTGCTTCTTGGGTGGCGCCAATTCCTTGTACGCGAGGAGGAAAGGCGCCGACTTCATCCGCCTCCAGAGGTCCTTATCTCTATGAAGGGTAGATGATGCCTCAGCCAGGGACTTAAGAAGATCCAAGTACTTCTCCGAGCTTTGAAGCACACCAAGAAGACGAGCTGGTTCAGTGCACGCCATATGTGCCACTTCTAATTTGGTAGGCTCACTCTTGGCGCCACATTGGAACAAGAAAGCATTTGCCTCAGGCCCAAAGTCTACGAAGTCGAATATATCGCCGTAGGTTGTCGAGGAACCAAGGTACACTCGAGAAGGACTGACATGAACCTGGCTACGCTTTGGCTTCTCAGTCGATTGGGAGGTTCGTGTAATAGGGACTATAGGGGCATCCCGTAGTCTGAAAAGGTAGTTTTCACCCAAATCGGCGATTCGGGAAGCAAAGTAACCGAAGAGTGCCACAGCGTTCTGGTGATCCTGAGGAGGCGATGCCAAATGACGGTTTACACAATCGGCCATTGGTGGGTCTCTCGCTACCCCGAACTTGACAGCATGGTCATGCAGATCTCTTCTTAGGATATTGAAGCCAAGAATAGAGGCCCGAGGATTATAGAAACACTGCGAAGGGGGTACAAGCCTTGTGCTTCCTTGGAGAGGCATAATTGCCTTGGGGCTACCACCAAGCTGGAAGGACCCGTATCCATTGATCTGGTGATTGGCAAGGAAATACGTCATTGAGGAAACCCGAAGAGTCTCATCTTTACCCGACATCAGTTCAACGAGCTCAGGAACAGACGGATGAGGCCTGAGACCAAGTGAGTTGAGAAACCTGGCCTCTTGACTGCCCGGTCTGTAGCTACCGGGAGGACCAGGCCATTGGAGAACAGGCAACCGCAAACCACGGATAGCATCCTTTGGCTCGAATAGTTCCGAGACCTTGTACAATGTTTCTGTTGCCTTAGTGGACTCCATGCCCTTAGGACCAGCCTCAGCAGGACAGAAGCGTGTCTGCTTAAGCTTGCTAAGATCTTCACCAGGAATATCCTCGCGAACAGACGCCAGGTACTTGATGAGCTCGACATGGCTCCACTTCTGTTGCCCTTCACTTGAAGCGTTGAGCAGTCTAGTGAAGATAGTCTCTAGATCAACCGTTTTGCGGACACCAATCGTCACCAGGAACTTCTCCTTGATCTTTTCGCAACCTTGAATGACAGGAAGGTCGTCAAATAGCTTGACGATGGGGAAGAAGGACTCTGTTGGTCTCTTCATTCCCTGCTTCGTGGGAACTACTGTGTTTGCCTGCAAAAGTGAGACGATAGTTATTCTCGCGCCAGGACTGGAGTTTTCGAAATTCTTTGATAGAACTGTCAACACCTGAATAGCAAACTTGGGCGATTGTGTGAGGCTCTGGTCCTCGGATCTGGATGAATTCGTGTCCAAGAGGAATCGCAGCCAAGGGAGGATCTCCAACGGCTCCCATCCCAAAGCGCGCAGTTCGGCTAGTTGAGAATTCGCTGTAAGCGCATGAGGAATCGTTGTAGGGGGAATAGGCAAGCTGGCAGGAATCCTGTTTGTAATGAGATGGTTTGTGATGCTGCCAAGGGCAATGATCTCGCCCTGCTCTCCATCATCACTCATCGTGCCGACAGCAACTTCAAGCAGAGCGGATCGACTGCCAGGGTCGAGCTCACCACTCAAGCTCTTTTTGCCTGCCCAGCTGATAAAGTTCATTAGTTGTACTTTGTTCATCGCCTTTGTCTCTAGCTCCTTCTTCACATCTGTGACAGTAATGTGTGAGATGAGACCAAAATCTATAAGCTTCTTCACGAACGGAACACCCTTCATCTCCTCAGGCACGACGGGTATGCTATCAACAAATTTGCTCATTTCGTCCGAAGCAATACGAACATCCGCTGTTTGTAACACACCTCGAGTCGAGTAGGTCTCGATTGAGGCCTTCTTGAAGCACATCCAAAAAGCTTCCTCGATGATTTGACCAACTTGCCCACTGGGAGTAGAGTCGCCAAAAGTGAAGGTCTTTAGGATATGAAGAGCCTCGGGCATGTACTTTGCGATGACAGCCGGAGAGAACTTGGGTTCCTTAGCCATAATCTGCCTGATGCGGCTGCTCAAGTCGCTCATCTCGTTTGCAAACGCAAGCCGAGTGATAATACCTGCAGCACGGAGGATTTCAAGGTTCCATGTCCTGACCCAACGGGCATTTAAGTCAATGGCCTCTCTTTCAACCGTGGGAATGATCGATGGCGCTGAAACGTGCATCCCTGCACCAGTGGTTTGCATTGTAGGAAAGCCAATAAAAATGCGGCCGCCCGGCTTCTTGTTAGGAAGTACAGAAGCGAACACATCAGTAGCCTTGCCAAGAGCACCAGGAGAAGCAGCTTCTTGAGACGCCTGAGCCTCATCGTAGGACGAAGTCAGAATTGCAATCTTTGTTGTCTTTGGCGGAGGTTTCTTTGTTGCTCTCTCAAGTTCGGATGCAAAGTTAGTGGCTACGCTCGTGCGGATGCTTGCAGAAGTTGCCCGAAGAAAGATCGTCGATGTTGAGAGTTTGGTGACATCTTCGGAAATGGTCACCTGCGCTGCATTCTCCTCGTTCTGGGCCTTGGTTCTAATACCAGCTTGCGATGCAGATGACGTAAGTCGAGCGAAGAAAGATCTCAACGAGGGAGCCTCTGGGGCGCCATATGAATCAGTCTTTGTGGTGGATGTTGTAGCTTGTGGTTTCCATCCTATAGCGGCCATGTAGGACGCATCAATCTGTGTACTTGTGCGATCGACGCTCGTCACTTTCATCAAACCATCCTTTGTCCTTGCCTCTAGATCCCGGGGTAGAGGAAGCTCAACACTAGGTGAAGATTTCTTCTTAAGAGATAAGACCCGGTAGTCGTCTATCCAAAACTCGATGTGCTCAAGCGCAACAAAGGTCAAACTGGTAGCGAGAAACTGGCTAACGGATAGCAGGTTCGGTAGGGGTGTCGTGTTATTTCGGTAGTCGAGGACGAATGCTGTATGATGGGTTGCCTGATCCGCCGGTATCTGAGACTTCTTGGTGAAGAGCGCATTTCCCTTCCAGTAGAATGCCATGGCCTGATCGCCGGAGCTGACAAAGGGCTCCTCGCAATCGGCAAAGACACTGTAGAAACCAACACCGAAGGCACCGATCTTGGTCTCGTCAGGGTTGCCTTCAGCAATGCGCTTCAGTCTTCCCCAATCCGTCTTTGTAAATGGCTGCCCATCGTTTTGTACAACTAATCGGCGTAATGTATGGTTCGACAAAGCATGCTTCAGTATTTCGGATCGGTTCGTTGTGCTTGGGAGCGGCACTTGTGTCGATGGAAGCGTTTCCCACTTGACGCTGACCGTCTTTGCCTGGGCATCAGCGGCGTTTTGAATCAGCTCTCGCAGTGTTGTCCATTCTCCCGAGTATCTTGCAAGAACCTTGTCGATTAGAGCGCGGGTATCGACAGTAACAGCTTCTTCGTCTTCACCGTCTCGCAAAGCGGCAGCTCGCAACTTGGAATAATCCATCATGGTTATGTTGTTTAGGGTTTACTATCGCATTATCGTCGTGGTCTTTGAGAGATGTTTTGTACCGCGGGAAAGAAAGTCTCAAAAAGCAGGGTGAAACCTTGACTGTTTAGTAAAGTTAGTTATGATGTTTTGTACATTCATGAGATTCGGAGTTTAAGTTAGACAAGTCAAGGCAGACAGATCTACGTATGATAATGAGATGTGGCAAGCGTGCTTACAATACACTCAAACTCCGAATAAGTAAGAGAAGGCGATAGAAACACAAACAGAAAATAGGGGTCGTGGCAAAATGTGATGATGTTGTAGAATCTAGGTGAGGTTTGAAGATGGTTTGTTCATATGACCTAGGTACCACTGCCACTAGAGCCCCTAAGCAGTTGATAGCGGTCCCTGAAAGTGACGTTGTCTAACAGGTATGGATGTCTTGGGAGACAATGGCCAATCAGTACGCGACTTGTTACTAACGTTCAACCAGCTGTAGGTATCAGTAGGGTTCGTTGCGCCTTTGAACGTTAAAGAGCTAAGATGCCAACTTTTTGTTTATTTGATATCTTCCCCAATCGTTAAGCGGTAACTTATATCATACAAGTTCGATGTCCATCTAATGCATCCTGCAGTGGTTGGGTCCTTGTTATTGGCGATCACCCGCTATTGTAGGTAGGCAGTACCCGCCTGTGAATCATGCCAAGACCCTTTGTCGGGATGTCAAAACTCGGGACTCGAGTTGAGTCAATAGAAAGAATAAAGATTGATTGCCGACTTCGCAACGCGAAAACCAAGCCTATAGACAAATATTTGTTTCAAGTTAGTCAAGAGATATGACTGTTTTAGAGTACCAATGCCATCTCCGAGGACATAAAAACTATAGGACAATTTCTGTAGTTGCAATTGTGCAGTATGTCTTGTTGGGTCCGGAGTCGGAGGTCAATCTGTGTAAGTGAATCACTGGTGATGGAGACAGTATGTCGATTATTTGATGTTTTTTTTCTTTTTTATGATAGATCAAGATCGTAAATGTGAGTCAACTTCTTATTTTCGGAATATAAAATATCTGCTTCTTTCTTCTTCGTCTTCTTTCAAATCTATCATTCAATTTCATTCTCCCACGGCTTCATCTTCACTGCTTTGTCTATCAGCCAACAACACAAACAGCCTACCACGCATCACCTATTCTAGTCATGTCAAAAGGCCGCGTTTGTCTGTGAGTATTTGATCCCAATGGGGCTGTTGAAGTATTTACTAATTCTACTCTACAGTGCCTACTCTGGAGGTATAACCACAAACAATCAGCGTCGCTTTGAATACCATGCTAACTCCACAAAAAAGGTCTCGACACCTCTACGATCCTAAAATGGCTCATCCTTGAGGACTACGAGGTTGTGGTATGCTTGTTGATACCAACCTTTGCCATCAGTCTCTAACAGTGTAGTGTTTCCTTGCCGATGTTGGCCAAGTCGAGGACTTTGACGCCGTTGAGAAGAAGGCTCTCGCTCTCGGTGCTGAGCGTATGATCATTGAGAATCTACAGAAAGAGTTCGTCGAACAAATCGTCTTCCGAGCTATTCAGTGCAACGCCATCTACGAGGACAGATATCTTCTTGGAACCGCTCTTGCTCGACCCGTTATCGCTCGTGCCCAGGTCCGCGTTGCAGAGAAGTATAACTGCAACCTTCTGAGCCATGGCTGCACCGGTAAAGGAGTAAGTAAAATTCTCTTTCATAAGATGAATTCATTGCTAAAAAGTTACAGAACGAGTATGGCACAGTAATCTCAAAACCCGAATCATGCGGCTAACAAATTCTTTTAGCCAAGTTCGTTTCGAGCTCGCCTTCAAGGCCTGCAACCCTTCAATCAAGATCATTGCCCCATGGCGACTACCCGAATTCTGTGAGAAGTTCCAGGGCCGACAGGACCTCCTCAAGTTCGCCGCTGAGAACAGCATTCCCGTCTCATCCACCCCCAAGGCCCCTTGGAGCCAGGACGAGAATCTCGTTCACTGCTCGTACGAGGCTGGCATCCTCGAGGATCCTGACCACACCCCACCCAAGGACCTTTGGACCCAGACAGTCGACCCTCTTGAGGCTCCTGACAAGCCTTTCGACTTTACTGTCCACTTCGAGAAGGGCCTACCTGTCAAAGTTGTCACCCCTGACCAGGAGGCCACAGACTCAGTAGAGCTCTTTAAGTTGCTCAACAAGATAGGCCATGATCACGGCGTTGGCCGAATTGACATGTACGTATAGACATTGTGGCCGGCTGACAAAAGGATATCAAGCTTACAAAAACAGTGTCGAGAACCGGTGGATTGGACTCAAGAGCCGTGGCTGCTATGATACCCCTGGCTTGACTATTGCTCGTCTCGCTCACGTTGATCTTGAGGGCCTTGTCCTTGATTCCAAGGTCCGCAAGCTTCGAGATCAATTTGTGACGGTTGAGTGGTCTCAGTGCCTATACAACGGCATGTACTTCTCTCCCGAGCGTGAGTGGCTCGATGAAGCCATCGTCTCTGCTCAGAAGGGCGTCAATGGCCAGGTTCGTCTCCGAGTGTACAAGGGCAACGTCTACGTTCTCGGACGATCGAGTGACACTAGCTGCCTCTACTCACAAGAGGATGCTTCCATGGACAGTCTCGACACCTTCTCTCCCATGGATAGCACTGGTTTCATCGCTATCCAGTCCATTCGATTGGAGAAGTATGGCGCCCAAAAAGCCAAGGACGGCCAGCCGCTCAGCCAGTCTTAGGGCCGTGTAACGATATAAGTGTAACAGAAATGGTTTGATTTGGCGTTGGAACAGGTAAAGAGGTTTAAAAGCATGAAAATATCCAGCTTAGATAGGAAGCGAAAAGAATCCACGGTTGATTTCGGAATCAATATTGTAACGTGCGAATGGTAGAGCGCCTTTTGGGTTATTGTGGGTATCGTGTAGTCAATTGTGTCTGTTAACAGCCATGGCTCCTTAGTCTCGGCGACGAGGCCTAGGACTACCGCTATGTCTACGTCGGTCTCGCGATCTCGAGCGGTGACGCTCCCTGCTTCCATCTCTGTGTCGTCTGTCACCCCCTTCTCGGTCTTCTCTTCGGTGGCCATCGCGATGGCGTCTGTGACCGTGCTCCCTTTCTTGATCTCCATCCCTATTTCGGCGTCTCTCTCGGGTTCGGTCTTCCTCTCTGTCCTTCCCAACGTCTCTATCACGACTTCGACTCCTCCTATGCCTACGATGGCGGCGTTCGCGATCATGGCTTCGACTGCGGTATCGCCTTCTCTCCCGTCTTTCGGAACCATCTTGACGTTTCGAGCGCTCTCGCTTTTCGTTTCCAGCCTCTTCCTTAGGAGGTCCGCTCGCTGGTCCGACCTTTCGTTTGCTAGGATCGATTTCCATTGCATTTGCACCCGAAGAGTCTCGCACAGGCGGTGGCAAGCCTAAAGCTGCTGCGATGGCATCCTCTTCAGCTTCCTTGATCTTGCGCAGTTCTTCCTTTCGTGCCTTCTCACGGCGGTCCTCTTCTGTTTCGCCATTTTCGTCGGGTTCTCCGGACCCATCTTCAGCTTTGGCGTACCAGTTTAAGTCGCGGCCCTTTTGCCATCGTCCAACAGGTGCCTTTAGACTATGGCCAAGATAATTCTCGCGATGAGAAGAGTTTGCGACTTCGTCCCAGCTAAAGTTAACACCACCTCTCGAGCCGGATTTACGGATGCTTGAAAGCAAATCCATGGTGCGATTTGTATATATTTATCAACCGCCGAGTATGTTTGATTCTTGGTCAGTGATTTTGTGTGTTCGGTTGATAAAGTGGACGTGAAGATTGTTGTGAGGTTGAAGTTCGAGGTTGAAATGATGCGCCATGACTACACGGGATGAGCGCTAGAGCGGAACGCGACCGCTCCCTGCAGCACCCCTGGGGTATATAGAAGCGGAACCCCACGTCAATTCGCGGAAGATTCAACCTCCAATCTTCAAACAAACATAACCAAACAAAAACACCACAAAGAAGATCGCAATCTTTGAAAATGTCGAACCCTAACGATCCCCCTCTGGACGAGATCCAATGGCGCTCTCCAATAGCGATCGCGCAAATGGGCGGCCTCCATAACAATACCATCCTCTTCTACTTTGCCGAATCGCCATTCTTCGAGCGCACTTCGAATAACGCCGTGGTCTACAACCAAGCTATGAACGTACCCTCGATGTATCCCGTCATCCAAACACGCGAAGCCTTTGAAACACATCTTAACACCATGTCTGGCCTCGAGTTTAGAGTCGTAGAGGAGCCTGCAGAGACTGGCCCTGGAGCTGGCACAGGCGTATGGGTGATTCGCAAACAGACAAGACGGAAGTCAGCATACGAAGACGATGAAATTACTGTGCACGCGTCTTACTTTGTAGTGGGAGAGAATATCTACATGGCACCAACCTTGAGCGGCATTCTAGCAGCACGAATTGTATGTGGTCTCGCGCACCTACTGGATTATTCTGACTTATTATTATAGATGACAATATCTTCATGCATCACGAACGCTGTCACAGCTGCTGAATCAGTTCGAAAATGGGGTCCTTCCAGGGGCAACTACTACGAGCTTCCAGCAGCCAAGACAACAACAAAGGCAAAAATCCAGGACTCTGCTGCCGCGACCCCAATGCCTGTACCAGACGAGCCTAGCAAAGCCCCAGCAGCTCCTACACCAGTTACACAGAAGGATGACGAGAAGGAGTTGGAAAAACTGGCTGAAGAGTCTTTCATGATACACATGAAATACGGCGGCGAATACATCGACGAGAATCCCATCACAGGTCGTCCAGGAGAGTTCCATCTCACCACCACGGGCCGAAAGCCACCACAACTTGTGAAAAAGGACAGCCCTGTCAGGAGCATCACAGCGCCGACGATCAACACCAAAATTGAAGATAAGAAAGAAAGCAAAGAGAAGACACCCAGATCAGCTGCTCCAAAACCTAAGCGTAAGAAGAGTAAAATGGCGAACTCGACCAGCACACCAGCTGCATCATGAGGTAGAGCTTGCTAAGGATGAAAGGGGCGTTCAAATGGGGAAAGGAAAATCGCTATTCTTGCTGTTCTCGTTTTATACACTAGTTTGATACCCAATAAAGTATGACTTTTATGAGCTCCACAAGCGCATAAAACCATGACCCTCGAAAGTTCGTATCCATGACCTGGTCGAACTCTGCGGTAGTTATGTTATACCTTGGATTGATGAGTCCGTAGATGCCTGGACTGTTTGCTAGTACACTGGATACAAGAGAACAGACAAACATACCGTCGCAGTTAACAGCATAGTCGATACGGCCGAATCGGTCAACGGCAAGGCTCATGTTCTTGAGTACCTGATCTGTATCAAGCTTGTCTGACTCGAAGAGGTACACTTCTGCATCTTTAGCTACAGACTTGATAGTATTCTCTTTCTCCTAACCCTCCTCCGTCTTTGTTGAATAGCGCAAGCTTGAGACATCCTTCTGCGGCAAAAGAAATAGCCACTTGGCGACCAATGCCTTGTATATATGTAGAGGATTGAGAATGAAGGCTGCGAACTGCAGGTTTATTATACCAGATAAAGCTCTAGTGACAAGAGCAGCGCCGGGAAACAGTGTGTTCGGTGCCGTAGACATGAGTATGATAGGAAAGCAGAGTTGAGTATTCACTTCGATTCGAAAATCAAGTCTACGGCTCAAACATTTGAGTTGGAATATACAGAGATGGATCATTTAGGTGGTATAAAAAGGATCCTTGTCTGATGACGACTACCATAAAAGACATTATAGTCGGCCTACGTTTAGAAGAAATGGTATAAACAAACCCAATTAGTTTTATCTATCATAGAAATCCGTTCCTTATGTTACCAAAGGCCTAATTTAAGGCTTTACATACAAACTTTTACTCCACCACCCACCCCCTGTCGGGCACCCTCCTCTGCTTGACCTTCTTTGCAGGCAAAGGCCAACCTTGGCCGCCTGTGCCCTCTGCTCTTAAATAAGGAACAACAACGCACTCTCTCAGGGTAGCGCCCTCTGTTTTGAGCACCTTAATTGGCTTGCTGTACGTGATAAGAGGCGTATTCTTAGCCATCATGGATAGTTGACCGCCTGTAACATCTGTAAGGGCATGCATTCTTGTTTTGGGTCGCTTCGTCGAGTCAACTAGCTGTGTAGCTCGTTGAAGCTGGGAGTAGACGATGTAATCAGGGCACTCTTGGATGCCGATATGAGCGAGAGGAGAGGTGGGGTGGATATACACTGAAGGGTCACTCTCAACGTCTTCGCTGACGTGGATAGGCATCAATGGGACATAAGGCACATCGATAGATCGACGTGGCTTGCGGTAATGCTCAGGAGGGTTCGGTGTGAGATCTGCTCGAATAGCGACCTGATCCACGAATCCTTGTGCAACCATCTGTTTGAGCGCTGACACTTGCTTAAGTGTAGGGGCATCCAGCTGATCTTGGTATCTCAGATTGGCAAAGGCAGGCACGTTGGCCCTCAGTAGCTCTGTAATTTGTCGACGCAATTGTTGAGCTTCCTTGAGCACCTTAAATCGAACAAAATGGTCCTCGCACCACTTCTCCGTAGGGTCGTGGGCAAACTCCGCTACAACTTGCAGAATCTTCATAGCATCCGATTTATCGTCCAAGTAGCAAAAGTTCTTGTGGACTTCGTTGAACAGTTTTCGAACATTGGCTTGGTGACTTTCTGCTTGAACATCAGATGTTGTTCGAATGGCATTGTCATCCTTCTCTACAAGCTGAGGAATGGCTTGGTTCTCGGGGAGGAGGATTTCTGCCACTGATAGACCGGCAACCAGAGCGATTGTGTATTGGATGCAGTCGTGAAGATGTCCAACCAACAATATGCGAGCGAATCTGGGTGACAGAGGGAACACAGACATTGCTTGACCAACCGGTGTGACCTTGCCATTGGAATCGACAGCAGTCAAATATGTTAAAAGCTTCTCGGCCTTGGCGAGAGCACGTCGGTCAGGCGGTGTAGGAAAAGGGAAGTTGACAACGTTCTGCAGGTTCATGGCCTTCAGTTGTAACACGATGCCTTCAAGGGGCATTCGTAGCAACTCAGGATCTGTGAATTCAGGAAAGTCTCGCTCGTAGACCGCAGAAGAATAGAGCCTGTAACAGTGGCCGGGGCCGGTACGACCAGCACGCCCAGATCGTTGGCTTGCGCTGGCTTTGCTGATCCATCCAATACCATAGCTTTGAACACCGCTCAGGCGATCGTACTGCCGCTCCTTGGAACGTCCACAGTCGAAGACGTAGCGAATACCGGGAATGGTCAAACTAGTTTCCGCAACGTTGGTAGCCAAGATGATGTTTCGTGTGCCTTCAGGCGCTGGCTCAAAGACTCTCATCTGCTCTCGCGTGGGTAACAGGGAGTAGAGGGGCAGAACTCGCATCTTGAGAGGCGCGGCTTCTTGGTCTTCCTCAATCTTGAATTCGTCCTCATCCTCATCCTCATTCTCGTCATCTGTGATTATCTCGTCAAAGTCGTCACCGTCGCCGTCGCCATTTCGATCATCCACATCTCCAAACTCTATGTCCTCAACTTCAAGAGGAGCGTCATTAGCGTTGATCTGTACTTTGGGGCCATCTGCGGACTTGAGGCCGCCGAATGCCGTCTTGAGCTGCTTGCTGAGCTGTAGGATCTCGTTGCGACCAGTCAAAAACACCAGAATATCACCAGGTGGCAGCTTCTTATGGCCTCTGCTGATCTTTCTGAACGCTTCATCAACGTAGTCATGCTGCGTTCTTTTAGAGAAATGGTTAACAACGTTATGTTGTCGGCCCTCAACTTCGAGAACAGGAGGTGGCGTGGCAAAGAGTGTGGGGTTCATAGTCATATCCTCTACTCGTAGCGTGGCCGACATGATGATGAGCTTCAGCGGCTTCACTGTGGAATCCTCCGCCGCCAACTCGGCTCGAAGCTTGATAACTCTGCTGAGCATACCAATAAGGATATCCGTGTTGGCGCTTCTTTCGTGAGCTTCGTCAATAACAATGGCGGAGTACTTCTTGACGGTAATGTCCTGTGCAACCTCACGCATCAAGACACCATCAGTCATGAACTTGATTGAGGTTTCAGGCTTGACCGTGCCCTCAAAACGGATCTGATAAGCCACCGCTCCAGATTTGTCACCAAGCTCCTCAGCAACTCGCTTTGACATACTGACGGCGGCGACTCGACGAGGCTGTGTGATACCAATGAGACCAGGCGTGGGACCATCAGGAGAGCCATATCCGGACTCGTACAGAAATTGAGGAATTTGTGTAGTCTTTCCGGAACCTGTAGATCCACATATAACCACAACATCATGGTTGTGAATGGCTTCCATTATCCTTTGCTCCTCTGAAACCACGGGAAGCTTGAGGCGAGCTTCTTGTATCTCTGGTGTTCTAGTGACTGAAACACTGTACACCTTTCGGTCGGTGTTTTGTGATGGCTGCAGCTCCAAAGGCAAGGGATCTTGTTCGGGTGCTCGAGGCACGAAATTGTCTGGTTTGGGGATCTCTAAATTGGTTGTTGTTCCTTCGGTTGATTGATATCCAAGAGCTTGGTTGCGCGCCTGGTGCGCCCAGGCCTTGAAAGCGGACGATCTTTGCGCTTTGTTCTCGGAACCATCCTCCATATCTTCGTCAGAGTCGTCGTCCGATTCTTCGTCTGATCCCTCGCTTGATTCGTCTTCGTCGTCTTCTTCGCCTTCCTCATTTTGGCTACGTTTTTCAATTTGTGTTTTCTTCGGGGCCTCTTCGTCACTGAATCCGTTCCACTCGTCACTGTCGCCGTCTTCGTCGTCGCTGCCGCTGTCGCTTGCATCTTCGTCTGACTCGTTAGACTCAGATTGTGGTGCTTCAACTGTGGCGATTGAGAATTTCGACTTCACTCCGCCACGCTTCTGTCGTTTCTGGATTACAGGCTTTCCTTCGTCGTCAACTTCGAGCGGTCGCTTGAGACCTGAGCCGATTGACGGGGAACTCGCTGGTTTTGAATCGGAGATCTCTTGGAGCGCGGGCGCGGGTGCGGATGCTTTGGCTTTCGACGGTTTCGACTCCTCTTCAGATGCGTCACTCTCATCGCTCAAGTGGCTTTCGTCAACATCCCTCTCCTTTCTCTTTTCAAACAGAATTTTCTCTCTCTCTTCCTTGCCTCCCTCTAGACCGGCCTTCTCCTCTCTCATGGCCCTTCGTAAAGCCTCCTTCTTGGTCTCGCGACCATGTCCCATGGACCGACTGCTCGAGAACAAGCTGGTATCGACCTGTTGCTCTGCGAGTTTAGCCAGGAGCTCGCGGTTCTCATCCTTGCGCAGCTTGCCCTCGATATACTTTTCTAGACGCTTGGCTTTCTTTCCACTCATCTTTGCGCCCTCTTGGCGAAGTTCTGCCTTTAATTGGGCCTTCTTCGCCTCGCGATCAGCCTTCGCTGTCGGAAGCAGCTCGTCCTGGTTGGTGTCTTGGACTTCATGCTGGGCATTTTCTTTTGCTCGCTCACGAGCGAGCACTTTGTGCTTTCTCTGACGAGGGACGTACTTGGACATTGCGGATTTCTTTGATACTCGTCCAAAGTCGCGAGTAAGGGAGCTTGCAGGTGGTAGTGATAAATTTTGGGATTGACTTATTCTGCCGTGATTCACCGTCAAAATCTGGATCTACTCCAAGCTTAGCGCGGGGTGGTGGAGCTAGTCAGATGGGTTACGGACACACCCTTGAACGACAGAAATAATTGCCACTTTCCGTTGTCACCTAAAATTTTGGATACAAGATAAATTAAGTCCAATTTTGGTCCAAGGCAGGATTGGTATCAGCAACATGGATCGAGACGTATCTAGGCAACTGGACTGGCAGCTTGGTATCGATATTTCTTAGGTCGGTTGTGCTGAAGGAAGAAGTGGCAGCTTGCTGTTGCGTAGGTCTTGCAGTGCTTTTTGTATTGTGTGAGAATAAGGTTGCTTCTTTAAGCCTTACCTTCTATGACTCAAAGCTGCAAAGAAGTCAGTATTGGATTCTGAAAATCGCGAAAGCCTATCAAGGTAGAACTGACTTCGTTGCGGCTCTTGCGACCAACTTTTCTGTAAGCATATGGCCTCATGCAGGTGGGTCGAGAAATACATATGGAATGAATGGAGAACACAATATATATCGTTCCTCACTTTTCGTCTCCATCAATCTAGACAAATGTGAAATTGCGGTTAGACAGTATTTTCTTGCCACAGCGGAAACCCCATTTAGATCATGTCCAGTGTACCATCAGAGATGATATTGTGCATTTTCATAGACATCGACATTTGTAACACATGGTAGCTTTATCTTGATACTTGTGTCATTCTTCAATGTTCTTTTGGTAGTAGTTCATACTATTTGGACCGAACTTTTAAGCTGTTTATTTTTGTACCCTGGCGCTTAAAACAACGTCTCCATTCCCCAGTAGGGGGCGCAGAGTAAAACATTTGCTATGGTACTTGTCTTATGTTTACTAAGTCAACCTAAGAAACTTGAGTGCAGCAGCCTAAAGACGAAATAATAGGCATATGTAGTTTCCGTGTTCAAACGTGGTTGTTAGAGCGGGTTTGGTAGGTTCACAAAAAAAGCAAACAAGTACCCTCCCAAATTGAACTATCAATTTCATTCTCCATACTGTCGGCGATCCATTTTTTTATACTGCCTTTATTGGATATGCCACTACGTAACACCAGAAGCTCTTGGTTCTCACGCAACACCTTGACCATTATTAAGCTCCTTTCACCATGGATTCAATTGATGTTAGAGAAGACACTTTCCCATCTCGATCCAGAGAGGTCTCGGGACAGGTCAACGGAGTCGCCACCGAAATCACATCCACCAGCTTCACAGACAAGATCCTAATTACCATCTCTCAAGAGGGCCGCCTTTCGCAATGGGTACATAAACGTGTCGGTACTAGACGGTCATCCTGCTAACCGATTTCTGAATAGATACAAGTCCCTCTAACAGGATCATCCTCTGGTGTAGTTGAGATGAATCTGCCAAGCTCGAACAAGGGTCTTCTCCCTTCCACACACCTCACACCAACAACGTTGTTTGGAGGCGGGGGTGAAGAGCGCGAGACCTTGGGACAGCTTTATGCGGCACAAATTGCAAGCCAAATATGCCTGAGATCCCCGGAAGATCGACGCATTCTTGTTCTGGGTCTTGGCCTTGCTAAAACTGATCTTGAGCGTGAAGCGTTCTTTGATCTCTTGGAACTTGTTCAGCAGGCTCTGTGAGCTCTCAACGAAATCATAAGCACCGTTGCTTCCAAACTATCAAGCAATCAACTCACTAGAGCGTGATCTAAATTCGACTTACTTCAGCTGATGACAGCGACTTGTTGCGCATGCACATCGACATACTAGAGATCTGAGGGGCGAAACATCATTCAGATGCGGGAGTCATATTCAGTCGGGGGCAGATGTATATCAGATCCAACCTTACGGAGACAATGGAAAATTCGCACTGAAAAACGTTCATTTATTCATTAAAGATGCACTGCCAACTACAAATCCTATCGCGTATCTGCTTCCAGGCAGCGTCTTGAACTTTGTCTGCATATCTACTTAGCACCCAGAGCAACATCGCCGTCAACCATCCTTCTTCTGTAACCTGTTCGATTTGTGAGCGCAGGATCAGTGACGACAACCTGACCTTTTATAGCCAGTGCAACGATCAGATTGTCAGCAGTCACAATGAAAAAGGTAGCGTGGCAGTAAAGTACAGCCACTCGTATACGGAGAATGACAATTAAGCGTTCATCCAAGTCCTCGCCTAGCGCTTTTAACAATAACTTAGATGCTACTGTACAACCATATCTCATGAAGTTGGTGCCCGGTTCTTGCGATCCCTGTTATGAAGTTAGTGTCTGATTAATATTCGTTAGATTGCCAACTTACGTGCTGAGCCTCCTAGAGAGTTGCTGCAACTTCGTATCATTATTGGCGTCCTCGGCAGCCTTCTGGAGGGCAGTGTTTCGTTCCTCCTCCTGGTGCTTAACCACTTCGTCGTGGGTGGGTGGCAGCCTCTCATTCTGCAAGTCAACCTTTCGCGCATCTTCGAATCCGTTGATGGCGTTCTTGAGACCCTCAGCACCGAGCATAAGGGTTCCAGCGGGCAATCGTCCACCAGAAACAGTCTTGAGTTCCGTAACCTTCTCGGACTCCTCGCGAAGCACTTGGAATACACGAGACAAGCGACCGATGGCGAGGATCTTGTTCTTGATAGCTCGTCGTCGAACCTCAATTGACTCGGGGTCGTTGGAAAGGGCAGGGGAGGCGGGTCCGGGGGAGGTTGAAGAAGGTGTCTCCTCCTTGAGCTCATCCTCGGAGCATGTGCTAAGAATGGCAATAAGCATGTCGGTAATCTTTTCTCCGACGAAAGGAAGAGACCAGGTGAAGACATCCATAAAGTTGGGGAGCCAGTAAGGGTGAGGAGTGCAGTTGAACTGTCGAATGTTCATCACATTGTTCTCGTACTTAAGAACGGCGGCCTTGTTGTTGTAGACGTCGAGATAGTTGGGAGCGGAGAAAATGGTCATAACACTGGGGAACCCTGTGGTTCGCGTCTTGCGATACATGCGGTAACCAGCATCTTGGGCCTCGTGTGCACGAATGATCGAGAGAAGGTTGTTCTTTTCCAAAAAGGCACAAGCGGCAGGGTACGAGAAGAAGTAAGAGCATCCTCGAACGTGGTTGTGCAGGAAATAGTCGCTGGTCTTCTCTTGGCCAAAGTCTTCAAGAGGATCAGCCCAGAGGATATCGCACATAAGGCCCTGGGTAGGAGGCTCGCGGAAACGGTCAATCTATGAAAAGTCAGCTAGGATCACAGCAAGGCAGGTTTAAACGGCGACGCACGCTCTTAAGGTCGTCCAGAGTGTGCAACTCGGGGCTTAGTCCACCGTGGATGCAGAGAAATTGCTTGTTCATAACAGCTGCAAGAGGGAGGGCACAGAAAGAGTCCATACAGGCCTCGTAGATGGTCTCGGAGTATTTGTGCTTGCATTCGAGCTTGAAGGTGAAGTAGTCGGTCAAGTGGCGACATTCGTGGTTTCCTCGCAGCAGCCAAAGTGTCTTGGGGTAGTGAATCTTGAGACACCAGAGGTAGAGAACACACTCTATGCTGAAATAACCTCGGTCGACGTAGTCACCAAGGAAGAGATATCGTGTCTCGGCGGGGTCACCACCAACTTCAAAAAGCTTCATGAGATCGTAGTATTGTCCGTGGACGTCACCACAGACAGTGATGGGAGCGTCCATCTCGAGAAGGTTGGGCTCGGCGCGCAGAAGCTCGGTGCCCTTCTTGAGAATCCAAAGAGCCTGCTCCTCGGTAAGACGACCTTCGCGGTAGAAATGCTGCTTGAGGAACTGAAGGTTGGGCTTGGAATGGGTCTCATCCTCAAAGAATTGCTCGTCGGTAGGCTTGTACATGGCAGGAGCTTGGACATCTGTGAAAACGCAAGAGATCCGGGTCAGTCAAGATATTCGATATCCGAATTTACAAAATGGTGGTGGCCATATCGATCCAGAGACAAGCCGGGGAATAACTGAAAGTAACTGCGGGCAAATCTGCGACCAAAGCGCTGTCGATGATGATGGCGGGGTTGAGACGACGACAGCTGGAGGGGGGATCTGACGAACCTTTGCACACACGCTCCATGGTGCTGACTTGGGTGTTGTCCTCCATGGTGTGAATAGTAAAATCGATCTCGGGGACCGGCTTCTTCTCCTGGATTGCGCGAATGGCATTGTCGACCTGGACGTTGCGTCGCTCCTCAGCAGAGGGCGCAGTGTTGGCCTCGCCGTCAGAATCCATGGTGGGTGACTAGGGGGTAACGAGAAGGAAGAGCGGGCGGCGGTGAAGTATGTTGAAGCTCGTTGTGATAAAGTATGGGATGCGACTATATAAATAGATGGACGGGACAGTTCTAAGTAGAAGCTGTGGTTGAGTTGGAAGGAAGATGGTTCCCTCTCCAAGATAGGGCTGATCAGAAAGAGCGGGAAGGCAAAGACAGGTTGGGAGGTAAGAACTCTCAGCAGCCACTACCAGTTGGGAGATGACTGGGTGAGCAATTCTAGTGGAGGGCCAGACCAGACTCAGGTATCTTGGGAGGGAGCTCAAGTACCGGGGCAATATTTGACAGGTGGAGATATACCAGTAAATGCGGGCAGGGTACTTTTCCAGCGTCTAGGTCTGAGGATTCTAATCTGACAGCTTCTCACATTTATTCCGATGGCAGTTTTGGCTTTTGTCCAATAAAAAAATTGTAATTGAGGTGTTGGCATTTAATAGAGTCTCTACTCGCGTGGTCATTCATCAACTCATTCATTTACCTTAGTACCGTAGTATCCCCTACAATGCAGTTTTATTGCGCTACTGCGCAAAGTCTACCGCGGGCAGTCTAGTTCGGGAAACCCTCCATAAAGGACCACATCCCCTTAACTTGTACTGAAAAAGATCCGCCTGAAAATAGAATGGGCCTGATATTCATCAAGAGACATGGATCAACTTTAAAGTGGTGAAGCGGTGAAACCGGCGATATGGCTCTTATCGTATTTCATCCATTTGCGCATTACCAATACTTGAATGGTTTTGTCCCCTCATGACCAGGCACCTCAGGTCCAATAGGATCAGATCAACTTAGTATCAGGAATCTGAGTTCTGGCGATCTGACGAGGATCTTTCTTTTTGCATTCCTTACCCCACATATAAATTGCTGCCACTTACTTCACTCTATTGCTCATTTGCTACTGAAGCAAAGCTCAGTCATGGGAGATCCGTCTTGGGTTTCTGTTGTCAGGCTCATTGGTTCTCCCTTTCTTTCATTGGAAAGTCTCTAGTATCTATTTCCTGAACTCCCATCCCAAATACATGACATGATCAGCTTGAGCTTCCTCAAATTGCTCAAGGCAAGCAGTAGCCTCCATCGACAATCAGGTCATGACCAGTCGTGAAAGATGAGGCGTCGCTAGCCAGGTACAAGTAAGCGCCCTTGAGCTCTCCGGTTTCGCCCTGACGTCTATGCATGATGTTAGCCAAGAGCCAGTGAGTTCCGGAATCAACCTGTACTTACCCGGCGGCTGTCTTGTCCTTGAATACGTCCTTGACGTCCTCGCTGATAAAGTCTGTGATCTCGGTCTTGATGTATCCTGGAGACACGGTGTTGACACGGGCAAAGCCTGTCCACTCCACAGCGATGGATTTGCCTGTAACATTTGCAGTCAGCCACCAAGTGTGTGACCAGCTCTACGGGCGATTGGTGACTTACAAAAGTGAATGACAGCAGCCTTTGAAGCGTTGTACACTGCCTGCAGTTGCGGGATGTTGACGATGCTTCCGCTCATTGACGCTGTAGCAATGAAGCTGCCCGCCACAAAGTTTGTTAATTTCTTCCCATCCAATGTCGTGCCCTCTTTCTTTTGTCTTCGAAAATGCGCTCCTGCACTCTTGGCGCACCACATGACGCCGTCAACGTTGACTTCCATAACACGACGAGCTCTCTCGGTAGGGCCGTCGATGAAAGCGCCATCTTCCCAGGCGATGCCACTGTTGGCTACAAAGATGTCCAGCCGGCCGTTGAACTCAGCGACGATATCGTTGATAGCCTGCTCAACTGCCTCAGGCGAGATGACATTGACTTGGTATGCCCGACCTAGTTTTATATAAGCCACCCCACGAAGGAAAACCAGGATTGAATGCACTGACACTTGACACCATATTCCTTCTCAATCTTCTCAGCTTCGGCCAACGCCTGTTTGTTACTGTTGTACCAGATAGCCACGTTGGCTCCAGCCTCAGCGAGCGCATGAGCAATAGCCAGGCCGATGCCTGCACCAGCGCCAGAAACAATAGCTGTGCGTCCCTTCAAAGAGAAGAGCGACATGACTCGGGAAGTATCAGGGATACCCAAGTTGCCATGATGGAATGCTCCTGTTTTCGAATCCATGATGACCACGAAACAAGCTGAACTGGAAGAAGATGAGTTGTTCGATGAGTCGCAGTAGGAACGGTTTTTGTCAACAAGGTTATGCTGCGTGGCATGCACAGGGCATCTTGACGCTTTATATAGTGTACCGTAGGTAAGCTTTTAACCAAACATCAGGCACCTCGGCTATCATGCCGATAGATGTCTACCATCCTCATTTTGCGACATTTACTGTATCAACGAACCAAACATAGCAAAACAGCAACATCTCTGTTGGCCCTGGCCCTGGCCCTTCCAGTGGAACCCAAATTGACAACATATCTTGATATTCACAAGGCACAAGCTCGTCTCCACTGTCTGGCGCACCTATCAAGATGCCTCATAGCAAGATTAGCCGTGATAAGACATGGAATCTGCGATACTTTACGTGGTAGTCTAGTTTACATTGTGCTCTTGACTTTCTGGAGAAATGCCTCTAGCAAGGTTCAGGGTGCTTGGCACAGCAGTACAGTCATACAGTGATCAGACCCGGCTAATTCTCCATGTCTCAGAGCCAAGTTTATCAGCGCTGAAATCCCCCGAAGTTGGACACCTCATAAATCAATCGCGGGGTAAAGATATTAATGCCCCACCATTTATCAATGGTTCATATCAGTGCTCAATCCTCTATCTACTAATTTAGGCTGGGGATTGGCGGTTAAAGATATAAAATACTGCGTACCTAGTGTAGGCGATGTTATTTCAATACCTCCCAGGATTGTTCTTTAAGTATGGAGACATTTAATCAACATTTCTTGTTTGTATTTGAGAGTTAGGGCTGCCCTCTGTTACTACAATATGATAGCTCTCAAGTCGCCAAAACAGCCTTTAAGAATCGGAACCAGGTTCAGGTTTGGATTCGGAATCAGGAAGTCGAGAACCCTTCTTGCCCATGCTTGTCGTTTGAGCCGTGTCGCGACGGGGGTAACGATTGTCTCGTCGAAGCACACTTGAGCCATGACCTGCACACCGGTTAAGGTTCTGCCCAATAACTTGATCATGTTCGAAGTTTGTCTCCCGATAACGAGAGGCAAAGTCATCACGGGGTACTGTACGCAGTTAGAAGACAGTCGCTCCAACGTGAGCTCACCTATCTAGCTGATAAGAACTTACTATATGCACCGCAGATACGGCGATTACCCTTGAAAGCACTTCGTCCATGCATCACTCGCCAGTTGTTAAAAACTGGACAATCGATCGTTAGTATATGTTACTGTCGAGGGTATTATCTTCTATTTCACTTACTGACAATGGTGCCAGGCGTTAACTTGAACCAATATTGAACGCTTTCTCGACTTATGATCTCATTCCACTTGCGAGCTGCCTCATACCAGCGCCTTGCATCAAAGTGATGCACAACACCGCGATCATCGTTGTTCCAACGAATGCGGTGGATTTTGTTAGATTCGCTGTCGATTTCAATAACGGGATAGGTACGATCGGGCGCGATAGATATTCCTTTGTTTCCGCTGGCATGCCAAGGGATTTTAGCTTCTCGCAGGACATCATACGATTCCCGAGCTTCCTGCTTCAACAATCTAGCAGCGTTGAAACCATCGACGAGAAGAGACTCGCCACCCAATGGCTCGTCTGGGTTGTGGTCAGGTGGCGCTTCATGCGCAAGACAGTGAAAGGCTTGCAGGCCAGCAGGCTCGCTGAAGTAGGTTGTGTCGGTGTGTGCTGGGAGAGCAATGTTCGTGTAAGCAGTGTCGGCTAGAGCAAGGTCTGGGATAAAATCATAGAATCCTCCGTAGTGAGTGTTGCGGATTGGTCCGATCTTCTCCAAGAAGGCCTTTGTTGCCTCGGCGGTCGGCTCAGCGTTTTCGACAAGACAAAAACCATGAACCCACTGAATTTGTAAGATTTCGAGTTCAAGTCATATGTGATACCGGGTTTGACATGTCTTACAATGTTTTTTGTCAAATCGGCCATGATCTGCTCGGCTCCTAGGCGGTAGTCGACCGTTGGAGGGTTCTTTGCGATGGCTTTACCCCATAGTTCGTGTGGCCTGTCCTGTCAGCGATCAAAGTCAGGAACCAAGCAGTGTTGGAAACATACTGATCTATACGGAGCTCCTTTGTGAATCTGCCAGCGAACCAGCATTTAAGCCATTTCCAGGGATGAATGCTTCTGTGGTTATCGTTCCCTGTCAATAATCAGTAAGATAAAAGAGCCATCACCTTTATCAGGATCATGCATACACTGGACTTCGAGATGTGTTTCATAATTAAAAAACTCTTGAGGTCGGACATCACCCAACTGTCTATCAGTTAGTTACTCCATAAATAGATAGTCATCTGCCAATGGACAAGTTTCCACCAACCGCGAAAGTGTCAAAGTTCCTTTGCCTTGTGTCCTGGTTGACACATGAACTGCATTGGCAGTTATCCCTAGGAATGTATAAGCGCATCACATCAGACGACTAAGCGCGGGTGCTTGCTGAACTTACCGCAACCACAAGTTATCACTACACCACCACGTAAGGCCAAATGTCAGCGACCGAGATCAATCCAATAAGCGCGATCGGACGCAGTATGAGACTTACAAAACACGATACTCGGTGGTTTGGTCCTTTTTAGTACGTCCTATCCGGATTTTGGTTTCTTCCCCGACTGAGTATGCCTCAACTAGGACTGGGCTTGCTCGTTCAGTTTCTCTCTGGCTTGAACTCCATCTTGTGGGTGTTGTTGTTAGTGGTGTGGCCGAGTTGAAACCAACAACAGTATTTCTTTGTATGCGTCTGGCGGCTAAAGTAGCTTGTCGACTCGACAGCCCAGAACTATTGATTGAAAAAATATGAGACTTGAATAAGACAAGAAAACTTTTTGGGGAGAACACTTACAATGAGCTGCGAGCTAGTCGACTAAGCAGCATTATGGTGATGGTGATACTTGAAAACAAATAATTGAGGAGTTCAACAGCGGAATAGCAAAGAGGCAGCTAATGGACTTCTCAAAGTTGATGATCGTACCACGGGTTGGATTATACGTCTCGGTAAATGGTCGGCAACCCCGCGATATTGACTTGAGGCTATCTATGGAATCGACAAAAAAAAAGGGCGTCATACGAAAGGCGGTTTTGGAAGTGACAAGGCACGTGCACCGATTCGTTAGTCAGGGGTATACCGGGTAGCCTGAAAAATAAACAAAAGTCGAAATGATACAATTGACAGCTTCATCATTTTTAATCCATCAATTAACTAATTGCCTTTACGATGAGCCTGCTATTCATGATCAAAACTGAACAAAGAGATTGAGCTGCCACCTCCACTTGTCACTGGGATACCATGTCCAAGGCTAGAATAGATGGTGGGGCAGATACATTAAGCATGGATCACCGGATGCTACTGACCTTGGTACCTTAATCAGCTCCAGCTCTTTTTGTCATGATGCTAATTTTGTACTTCCTTTCAATTACTCACACTACTAACCCAAGTGATTGATAAATATTGTAGCAATGTATTTGGCCATTGTCAACCAAACTCTGAGGAATCGACTCGTCACCATTTCAAGGGCCAAACTGAATGTTTGTCATGTCAAGAGCCCTACACCGGTTCCCTTTGCCCTTTGACCTTCACCCTTAACCTCAACTCCCAATCTACAAGCCCAATATCAAGACCCAAGGCATCTCTGAACAAACATTCTTGGCTGTTTCGTTTCAACTCGATCAAGCCTTGGCCCTGACCTTGAACCAACTCGCGGCCAAGTGGCTGTATTGCCTTCCAATAGCGCGTCTCTCGCCGAATCCCTCCCCCACTTGTATAAGCGCTGACCTGTTTAACCTGCATTCTGCGTGTCTTTGATCCTACATTTTTTCACCTCGCTACCAGAGCTTTGGGTTCAGGGGCTCTTAGTGACGCTATTTGTCGCGCCCGCGGTTAGGATGACTTCGTGATTGGCGTCGCCAGGCGATCCCTTCCCCCCTGCTCTCGAGGCTGACTTGGTTGTTGCTTACAACAGAACAGAACCAACACTTACTTGAGAGAAAATGTCTGTGATCCTTGTAGGGCAACAACTAACAATGGGAAACATCTTGCAGGCATTGCATTGGTATACTTCTTTCATCTCCCTTTCGTTCCTTTATCATTAAGAACTGCTGCACGGCGTCTGCATTTGAAGCGCCTCGCTTTCACTGCTGCCAGTTATCCTCTCCTCTTTCTCTCCATTGCAAACCGCCAGCATTTGTTCTCAGTCTTCCATGTAGACTTGTCATGGCTTTCCCTGTACTGCCTCACGAGGGACATCTCCTCAAGATCCTCCTTGTGTTGGCTTCTTTCCTGCTTGCTCCAGCAAGCCCTGCTGCTGTCGAGTCTCATATCAGAGTCTTCTCCATCGAGGAGCCAGACAGCCCTCAAGAAGCCCCATCATCATATATGGACTTCCCATCACAATATCAAAAGCGAGATGGATCATGTCCAGTATCAGGAGATCATTGGTGCGGCAACGACCTTCCTGGAGACTTCTGCTGTTCCTCAAAATCCGTCTGCAAGGTGCTTGCTGCAAACACAACCACCCTGTGTTGCCCAAAGAATTCAAAGGGAGAATGCGAGGTCATAATGCCTATCACCTGCCAAATCGAGAGACAGAACCCATTGACGAATCCGCAAGCTGAGGTCAAGTCACTGGCACTTAATCAAGAACTAAAACGATGTGGGAGCAAAAGTGGGAAGAAGAGATGCTGTCCCTTTGGATATAGCTGCAGAGATGACAAGGAGTGTGTACTAGACGAAGACCAAGATGAAAGCTATGCCTTCCTTTTACCCGTTCCCGAGTATTCGTCGACATCATCTCCTACTACAACGTCCACAGCTACATCCTCTGTAACTTCAGATGTTCTTGCAATCGAAACATCAGAGGCTCCCGGCAGAATCGTCCAACCACCATCTACTAGTGCCACGGCCCCAGAAAAGGAACCATCTGTCCCACAAGACGAAGGTGGAGATGAAGATGAGGAGAATAAGAAGAGTGGTGGCATCAGTCCAACAGGGGTAGTGACTGCTGGCACTGTTGCTGGTGTCTGCTGCCTTGCAGGAATAGGCATATTTGTTTGGATGAAGTGGTTCCGAAAGAAGAGAACTGACGACACCCCAAACATGTCACTTACTCGAGAGTCGTGGGGATACTTTTCCAACAAGAGTTCGCCGGCCACTCGACATCTTCACATCGCTCGTGGCCCTGATGACAAGTTCATTGTCACGCCAACCACGGCTGGTTTCACGCCGGCCCATCCACCACTTGCCTCGATCGTGGAAGAAAAGGATAGTCCTGTGGAGCTTCCTGCAACTCCGGTGTCGCTCTGCATGTGGTCTGGTTTTGAGAATGCTGCAGTGGAGGAGCCAAAGTTGGCATATGTTGTCCCTGCAAAACAACGAACGTGAAAGCTTTCTGACAAGTTTTCAACTTTATGATTGTTATGAAACGAACCATGAGTAACGCTTTTTTCTTCCTTGTACATATATATTTTACTTCAACAATAGTCATTGTTTGTTCAAGATGATGAGGCAGCTACCTACCACAGTTGGTAGAAGAATATTAGTCTCTGACGTTGCTGAGAGCAATTATTAAACTTCAATATGGCACCTGCTTTGTTTGACTCGCTTCCATTGGTTACTTTGAATTGTTGAAGTACTGGTTTTGACTCCAATAACTTTGTAATTGGAAATCTAGAGAATAGTTGGTTTGAATCATTCGGGTGATTATTGGCCAGACTCGTGATACAGGCACAGACAGGCCAGACACAATACAGTGTTAGACCTGAAACGGGTACAATCAGCACTGTTTGATAGGCAATCAATTAAACGCAAGTTTTGGTTGAAATTCAACAAATAATTCCAACACAGCGTGTACACTAACTACCTATCCTTTTACTACCATTTATTGCCACTGGCTTTGTCAGTTCTCTCGGCAATTCTTTACAGACAGATAGACTTTTACTGTGATTGCCCACAGACCATCATTATCTTTACTCATTCACTGCCTTACCTTCCTCTGCCTGTCGCATTTTCACTCCAATCTGTCCTGTCCAACTTGGGCCATGGCTAACCCTTTGATCGGCGCCAAACTTCTGTTTTAACTTTGTTAACTACTACATACATACTTGCTGATCACGGGTCCCACGTTTTTCCAAGTCGCACGCGCGAGACTAAGACTCTTCGAGCTTGCGACTTTTTTGACTTCAGATTCGATTTGTCCATTTCAGCAATGACGTCTCAACATTCTGATTTCGACGCCTTCTACGACGACCAGGTTGCAGCCCAACGACGGCTCTTTTCGCAACAAAATCCCTGGGATCGCATCACCCAACCGAGTGTCCTGATATCCTGCCTCATCCTCGTCGTTACCCTTTCGTACAACTTATATGCTTCCACAGCCACCCTTCAAGAGTCAATACGCTTATTGGGGACAAGTCTCTGGGACGGCCTCGTATTTGTTGTCCCAGAGAGACTCTTGGATGCGATAGACATACCCGATACCTCCACGACTTCAACCTTGCCAATGTTGCGCGCCGAACGAAACCGGCATGATGTTAAGAGTGATAAGATGCGAAGGATCCTGGGGCTGGACCGCTCTGGTGGTGTCATGTCCTCAGTCCTCCAGGTCAGGAGCCGCGCCCTTTCTCTAACAGGCAGTGTTCTGGGATTGAAGGGCGAGTGTTCCAGTCCACCAGGCCTTGGTAACATGGACAACTCATGCTACCAGAACAGCATCCTCCAAGGGCTTTCATCTCTCAAACCTCTCCCCGAATACCTCTCGGCCTACCTTGAAGCGTCCGACGATAGTGGCGATCAAGATGTCGCACAGACATTACGAACATTAATCGCCGATCTCAACGACGGAACGAATTACGGAAGAACACTATGGACTCCTGGCGTGCTCAAGTCAATGAGCACCTGGACACAGCAGGATGCTCAAGAATACTATTCTAAAATACTAGACGATGTCGATAAAAGCGTTGCCAAAGCTGTCAAAAGCGCGCAGCCCCAGCACCCCGGCCTTGCGGTTAAGATGGATAAGGACGATACAACTGCGAGCGAGCACAGCGACGACAGTGGTTATCAAAGTATAATTAATTCACCCGAAACTAATTTACCTCGTAACCCCCTGGAAGGTATGCTCGCGCAAAGAGTCGCATGCGTCCAGTGTGGTCATTCTGATGGACTATCCATGATCCCTTTCACATGTCTGACGCTAAGTCTGGGCTTGAACAAGAACCAGCACGACCTGTTTGAACGGTTGGATGCGTACAGCAAGGTGGAGGCGATTGAGAATGTCGAGTGCACCAAATGCACTCTCGTCAGGACTCAGCAACAACTATCGGCAATGTCAAGGAAGATGCAGGAAAGCGGGTCGCCTAACGAGAAAGTTGTAGAGCATCTGAGCCAGCGACTGGAAGCAGTCGAGCTCGCCTTGGAAGAAGATGACTTTGACGACAAGACGTTGACTGAAAAGTGTAAGATCTCGGCTCAGAACAAAGTCAGTTCCACAAAGACCAAGCAGATTGTCATCTCACGGCCACCAAAGAGTTTGGCGATTCACATGCAACGGTCGGTGTTTGACCCTTCTACCTTCGATATGATGAAGAACTCAGCGCCAGTCGACTTCCCCATGACGCTAGATCTCGCGCCTTGGTGCTTGGGTAGTACCGGTTCTAATCCGTTGGACGAAAAGTCGAAGCTGGAAGAAGAATGGGTTACTGACCCTCGAAAATCCATGGTAGCCGGTGATCAGGGCTCAAGCAAGCTTGCAGGACCTATTTACGAACTTCGTGCGGTAGTAACCCATTATGGGCGACACGAGAATGGCCACTATATATGTTATCGCAAGTATCCACGACATAGCCCTCCTACCAAGGCAGCCGAGGATGACGAGCCTGACAGCAAGGCCAGCACTCAATCAGAGCCCAGTACGGACGAGAAAGAAAGGGACGACCCCGAAATGGATTGGTGGCGCTTGAGCGACCACAATGTCTCCCAAGTCAGCGAGGATGTGGTCTTGAGCCTTTCCCCTGGCGTGTTCATGCTCTTCTACGATTGCGTAGACCCTAGCATGGTCATGAACGATGAAGACGACGGCAGCATGCAAGATGCACATGAAGCCACGGATGTGGATGCCACAAACGGGCTGGTTGGTGCCACAGGAACTGCGGCCCCGATCGACCAGGGGCTCCAAAGCCAAAAGGCTAATGTGCCGCCACAAGAGCCATCTGAATATGAAGAAGGTGCCACGTCATACAGCGCAAATGGTCAAACTGATGAAACGATAACGCGCGGCTCAGATTTGGCTGCTAACACACCTTCAATGGTTCGCGTCGAGCCATGAAGCATCACCAGAAAAGGAGGATGGGGTAGTGCTGGCTTAGGCTGCCATGAACAGCATAACAACGGGAGCGACCGCATAAAGATATTAGGAACATCACAGGGATTGTGTTCAAAAGCATAGCGACGGCGTTGAAAACAGTCATACGTTTTAAAATATGATTTTACTTAAGAATTGGACTTGGAGACGAGCGAATAACTGGCTTAATAGGAAGAACTGCTTTGAGAATACAGTACCTAGTCACGATTAATACCATCACAGAACGTTTAGACGAATGCATTGCTAAGCGATAGAACCCGAAGATTATACCCGGCCATGGAATCACTCTGTACTGGGATTTAACCGAAATTGTCATTTATCGCTTGCGTTGAGCGGTAGCATCCAATGGATGTTTCAGTGTTAGGGAAGCTATCCCAGAGCTATTAATATTTCACGCTCCCGGCAATGAACGGCCGAGAACACAGAGTCGAGAAGCGCCCATCCCCACTACAGCGGGACTTGAGTGCCGAGGCGACTAGTTAGGACAAATCACTAATCAAAGCAGAGAGAATAAATTGAAGTGTTGGTTGTTGTTGATCGACCTCCTGAGCAAACGGAATAAACTTTAGCCTGCGGTTATGTCGGCAACTAGCCAGGGGAAACGCATAGGCGTCTAAGTGATAGTAGGTTTCTGAATTACTGTCAAGGGTGTTGCATTGTCATGATGAGATCGTCGTAGATATATTTATTGATCAAGGGGAAGTCGCCAAAGGGAGGTGTTGAATCAACGATATGTAGATGAACTTGGCATAATTCCTCAGACTAAAACTCTAATGAACGGCAATCCCAATCTCTACCATGCAGTACAACAGATAGGAATTTAATATCAGGGCTCGTATACAACTGCTAGTGCCTGAACTAAACTGGACCCCTTTCAACTACAGTTCCTCGGTCAAGACCGATCAAATGCAAAAGGGAAAGGATTTGACAGCTGCCATGTGAATTACTTCTTGACCTCATCTTGGCCTGGTAGCAACAGACATGGGGCTAGGTGATTGATACAGACAGATTCTAGACCACTCTGACCACATATCATAGGTCTTCTCGTATTAAGAAATCCACTGTGCAATGCCAAGCTTCCTAAAAACTATGCTTAGTTACGTCGCCAAACAAGACTAATTGGTCAATCCGTAAGTAGAAACTCCCGGGTCAGGGTTCCTGACATCCCTGGCCTGGCTCGATCCCCAGTTGCTGATCGCCATGGCCTTCAGTTGTTGCCTTGTGGGACAACGACTGCCCTGCCAGCCTGCGCCTCTTCTCTTGGAAAAGCTTCGCTTCTGATCTGACGATAGATGCGCATTTCCATGCGGAGTATCCATAGAAACAGGCACAACAGCGTTCATCTGGGGGTTCAAGCTCAAAGACTCGGGCCAAGCAATACATTACTCCAAACATCTAGCCATACTATTCTCCCAATCAAACTCGTTAGATTTGCTCCGTAACGGTAATGCAGATTGTCATTTTGGGACTTGGCAGGTACGAATGACAAGATGCACGCGGTCGTTTGTGATTTTGTTTTTGTAAAACTCGGCCTCTTTGATCCGTTGATGACAGGGCTTTGACTCGTGGGATGTTGGCTCTGATGTCTGTGATCGGCAAAGTCGAGCCGATGTTGGTTGGTTTAGGACAGGACAAGGTCCTTTCCGAGGCTGAGCTCGACCATGACGAGAAGTGAGACGTGCGTGGATCCGAGTTTGTGGAGTTTGTGTTTGTTAATAAGAACTCTCCCCCATGTGAGTCGGAGGATTGATCGAGTGTTGTGTTTGTTTGCCTTTCTTTGTGTCTCAGATCCACGATAAACAAGTGCACTGGTCAAGTCCAGCAAACAAGCCAACAGAAATAAGTCTAAACGCAGGAACCACTCACATCAAGCTTCCCGTTTTCATAAGACATTATTGACGCAGGCGCAACTCACTTACAAGCTACTGCTTCCGCATCCAATCCAGTGGAAGGGCAGCTCGACCACCCACTTTCCCATTCCGTTCCAACGGACTTGGGCTTGTGAGACATTCAACTCTTCCTCATCATCGAATTTTCCTTACATCCAACCTCTCCTTCTTCATTCTTTTTAGATTCTTTTGCGCCCTCTTCTCGGACTACCTCGATATTCCTCTTTCCCATTCGGCCTGTTAACTCTCCCTCAGAATACGTCACTTCGCACACGAGAGTTGAGTCTAGACCCAGGTGGCTTAGAACTAGCAACGCGCCCTTGTTGTGTCTCTAAATAGATGCGAAGCACTGAGCAAGCAGCAAGCCACCTCTTAATTGCTCTTACTCCTCGTCAAAAACTCGAAGTGACGATATTCCCAATCTGAGACAAACAAAACGATGACGGGATCAAGGGATTTGGAGGCCAACGGGGCCTCACCTCGATTCGAAGGGGCCGACAGTGGTTTCATAGAGAAGGCTCCTACACGAGGAACTGGTTCAAGGATGCACGCTTCTGTCTATATTGTGTACGTGAGCTCGAATTGGTGGTTTTCGGACCTGAATCAATGGATATCTAACATCATCTACAGGACATGGATCTTCTTTTCCAACACAACTATTCTCTTCAACAAGTGGCTCATTGACACTGCTGGATTTCGTAAGTCCTCTGCTACTTATCGCCTTTGTCCCATGCAAATGAGAATGCTAACAAGTCCTCGCAGGATATCGTGAGTATTCCAATTATCAAGAAGCAGCAGTCGGTACATGAAACTAACAAACTACTAGCCATCATTCTCACCACATGGCATCTCCTTTTTGCAACGATAGCCACACAACTTCTCGCTCGGACAACTTCTCTTCTCGATTCTCGCCATGCGCTTCCTTTATCTCGACGGCTTTATGTGCGGACGATCCTCCCTATCGGCGTCCTCTACTCGGCATCGCTCGTATTTTCCAATATCGTCTACCTCTATCTGTCGGTCTCTTTTATCCAGATGCTTAAAGCCACCGGCCCTGTCTGCACACTCATCGCTTCATGGGCATGGGGGGTTGCTCAACCTGACGGCAAGACCTTCGCCAATGTCATGATTATCGTGGTCGGTGTTGCCATTGCCAGCTTCGGGGAAATCGAGTTCTCCATGTGGGGTTTCATCTTTCAGATGTGTGGTACCGTTGCCGAAGCTGTGCGCGTTGTCATGATTCAAGTCATGCTCAGTGCCGAAGGTCTCCGCATGGATCCCCTTGTCGGTCTCTACTACTACGCACCTGTCTGTACCCTCATGAACCTGGTTGTCGTCTGCTTCAGTGAAGGTCCTCGATTTAAGTGGGAAGATGCAGCCACTGCAGGCTATGGCATGCTCTTCGCTAACGCATGTCTTGCATTCATCCTAAATGTCATCAGTGTCTTCCTTGTAAGTCTCGACCACAAGTTCGGCGTCCTTCATATACTAATTACTGTTCAGATTGGTAAGACTTCAGGACTTGTCATGACTCTCAGTGGTATCCTTAAGAGCATTCTCCTCGTGGCAGCGTCCGTCATTATTTGGAGCACCCACATCAGTCTTCTTCAAACACTCGGATACTCAATTGCCCTCATGGGTCTCGTTTTGTATTCGATAGGTTACGAGCAGCTACTCAACACTTGGGATGGGCTAGTTGCGTGGGGTACAGGTACACTCAACCGTGAAGGCGAAATGTCTTCGGCATTGCGCAAAGCGATTATGGTCGGTTGCCTGGGTTTCATCACCGTGATCATTGCCGGAGCATTGTGGCATTACCACGGATTCTCTGGCACCCCAGTTGCGCGGGCAACAACATCGTGGTTTGGCCATTAATGTCTTGACGATTTTTCTTGGATACTTATATAGACTTGTGTTAATGATTAAACGTTTAAATACTGAATCACCTTTTGTTCAGCGAGAAGTGAAAGGAAATTAATCTTTGTTAAATCGGGTGTAAGGGTATCTCAGTGAAACTCCAGGCTCTCCGCAGAATCGGCTGCAAGCCTCGGCATCCCCAATTGAATATTACTTTTGAAGTATTAACCTGAATAAATAAATGGTCGGCCGCTCCAGCATTAACGACGACTCCTACTGGTGTCCCGTCGCTCTCGCCTGGGAGACAAACTCCGATCTCGTCTGTTTCTCCTATCCCTGGACCTTTCTCTCTCCCGATCCCTATCACGGTCTCTGTCACGATCACGACGATCTCTATCCCGCTCACGTTCACGAGATCGATCTCGGTCCCTGTCCCGGTCCCTGTCTCTACGGTCTCGATCTCTGTCCCGATCTCGCTCGCGGTAGCTATCCCCGCCTCTCAACTTATCACGGTCCCTATCTCTATCTCCTCTGTCCCGTTCACGGTCTCGGTCCTTAGTCGCGTCACGCTGGCGGCTACGACTCCTAGTGCGGCTCGCCCTGCGCTCCTCACGACCTCCAGGCATATATCTGTCAATGTCGTCGGTGACTCGGCGGCGTCGCAAGTCGGGGGATATCTCGCCGCTACTCTTTTTATCATCGAGTCCTGGGATGGGTAGGCCCTTGTTTCTGGCGTCCTTCTGAGCCGCCAGGTATGCTTTGGCCTCCTTTTCCCGCTTCTTGACCTCTTCCTGCTTCCATTCTTCAAGTTCATCCTGTGCCTTGCTAGAACTGGGTCGCGTGGCAGAGGCGGTAGCTAGTGATCGAGAAGGGCTTCGTCGGTCGGATGGTTTTTCCTTTTCTTTTTCACGTTCCTTCTCGGGAACCTTGTCGCGTTCCTTCTCACGTGGCTTCTCCTGATCACGATCATCACGTGCCCTCTCCCGGCTTCGTCTTCGTGGAGGAGATCTCTCGTTTCTCTCACGGTCTCGAGGACGATCTCTATCCCGATCTCTTTCTCGGGGGTCATAGTGATCAGCTCCACCAAGTCGAACATCGCGGGAACGACTTGGGTCACGTCGAGCGCGGGAGCGGGTTCTATCCAGCCTATCAGTGCGCAGTCGCGAACGCGAGCGATCTCTCCTTTCTCGGCTTCGATCCCGTCTGTCTGTTCTGGCTCTGGACCTGCTTCTCTCACGCCGGTCAGTCACCCTAGGTCGAGAGCGACTGCGTTCGCGTCTCCGAGATCTGCTTCGCTCATAGTGATCATACTTGGGACGAGAACGGCTTCTAGCGGTGCGCTCATCTCTGACAGTCCGTGAGCGGGCTCTATCGTGTCTGGTTCGAGAGCGACTTCGATCACGTCTGTCTTGAACGCGCGAACCACTCTGGCCTCTACGTGGAGAGTTTGAGCGACGGTCACGACGGTTATCTCGCTCACGTAGACGATCACGATCTCCATCACGATCCACAGCTCGGGAAGCACTTCGCCCTGGTTTGGCTTCATCCACCGTAGGCTTCTTTGCATGAGAGGGAGTTTCGGAGCCGCCGCGTTCCAACTTGAGCCCTGCATCGCTGGTCTTGCGGCCCTCGGTGATCGATGAGCGTTCTCGCCGAATGGGGTTGATGGCTGAAACGGGCCCTGTTTTTCGTGGAGGTGGCGCTAAAGCCGCATCAACCTCCATCTCTTGCTTTTGAGATGGCTTAGAACTTTCGCGAAGTAAGTCAGCCAGAGCCTCTTGTTCCAGGCGCTCATGTTCCTCTTTGGAGAGCTTCTCTTTCAACTCTGCAGAAACAGCCAACTTCTCCTTGTGCCGATCGTCCCTGTGCCGGTCATCATCACGATGGCGATCTCGGTCCCGGTCTCGGTCGTTGCCTCTATCCCGGTCTCGTGTATTCCGGCTTCGGTCCCTATCGCGATCTCTATCACGCTCTTTGTGCCGCTTCTCCCTTTCGATATCTCGCAGTCTCTCACGCTCTTCACGTTCTTGTTCGCGCTTTCTGCGACGCTCATCTCTTTCTTCCTGGCGTTTGATCTCGGCTTTCTCCCGTTCTCGCTCCTCCTTTTTTCGTTCCTCCTTCAAAATTCGTCGCTTCTCCTCTTCAATTGCTGCTTCTTTCTGTCGTAGTTCTTCCCGTACGCGTTCACGTTCTGTTCTCCGGGCCTCAGTTTCAACTGCATACTCCTCGTCTGTTTTTGCGCCTCGAGTCTTTTCCGCCTCTGCTGCTTCTTCGCCAACATCTGCCCGTCGTGTTTCGCGGATGCGCTCTTCTATAGCACCAACGTCAATCAACTGGCTGATGACATCCTCTGCCTTCTGGTAGACGCCAGATCTTTCTAGAGCACCATCAATAAGGGCCGCAGCCTTTCGACGATCGAGCGTGAGGAGTTGCTGTGGATTGCGTTCGATTTCTTGTTCTGCGACTTCGAGAATTGATTTTGTAACTTGAGCCTCGTAATCCTGAATATATGTCAGTAAGAGAATGCCTAGTCATCTTCGTTGTAGCGTACGCTAGCTTCAAATTTGTCCCAGACTTGTTTTCGAATAGAATCATAGGCGCCCTCCTTCTTGAAGCTATGCGCGAGGGATTCTATCGCCGCTCTTGTCGCCGAAGGTAGAGGAAGATCGGAGGCTTTGAATTTTCGCGGTGCAGGGGTAGGCGGTTTATCGACGTCCATGGCAGATTCCTCAACGCCTGGTGCGGTCATGATAGCAGATATGCACTTGGGCGCAATGAATTTGAAAAGGAGGCTAAGTAGGGCGCGTCAGAAGGGCGCTGTAGCTGCTTGTTGTAATCAGCGCATAGCGCAAACGTCTCGGCAACTTGCAATTAGGCTCGAGACCAGGAGACCCAAACTTCAACAAACGCTTTTTAAGTTGGCATAAATGAAGGCCGTTTGATGGAAATCTGGAGTCCTTTGTCCGACGTGACGGTAAAACGCCAAGTCACGTGTTATTCTTCGTCATCTAATCCCCCAGTCGAGAAGCTTACCCTATAGATCTCTGGTGTAAAGATAATCTGTCACTTTATTATTCAAATGATTCATTATAATTGTTTTTCTTACAGTATGCTATACCCCGAACATACCAGGTTGCTGATAATGTTTAGGATACTAGTAGGACAACGTAAATTGACGCCGATACAGAGTGCGGCTGATGTATTTTGGATTCCCTGTTCATTATCACGAGAATCTAAGTACCAAACAAGAGCAGCTGAGAGTTTGAAGAGAGTACAGATTGCAAACACATTTACTCATTGTCATTGAGGCAAATCTGAACCAACTAAGTAACATAACAACAAAGTGGCTTAACCAAAAACAAAGACCATGAGCCAGAGTAACGCCAGCTAACCATCATGGGTGTCATGAATGAAATAGACATCCGATACAATTTATGGATAATTTCCCTAGTACCTCGTAGTACACTTTGCAGTTGTGGTGGCCTCGGATGGCTTCTGTTCAACAGACGACACGCCCCCTTCACAGATGGTAGGACCGGGAACTTCATAGTCAACCGAACTAGAGTAGACATTGACAAGAATACCAGGATCCTCGGCATCGTAAAGCTCAGTGCCGAGATAGCCAGAAGGGGAGTCAGATCCATCGCCAGTGATCTTCAAGTTGAAGCATTGTGGGTAGTTCTGTGCGCCACCTTTGTCCAGAGCATTGTGCAGAGCAATGATCTCATGGCGAAGAACATAGTTTCCAGGAGCGATATTCTCTGGAATACGGACATTCCACCGGTCTCCATTGTCTTTGAGTACACTGTCTGCATATCTGCCAGGCGTGCCCTGTTCGAGAAGGCCCAGACCATCAATCTTGAAGAATTCAAGCTCGGTCTTGTCGACACTCTCACAAGGGCCTTTGCAGTTGGCGAGGTAGTTCAAGACAGGGCCATTGTGGTTGTCAGGCCAGCCTGACCATCGGAGAGTGAGAATCTCACCGGCAGCAAGTTCGATATGTCCCTTGGCTGGAGTTGCATCTCGGTGACAGATGATGTCTGGATCATCGTACTTGTCAGGCGAAACGAAGCCGTTGTCTGCTTGCTCAATGGTCCAGCCAGCGACAACAGGAGGGTCTTGCATGTATGGAAAGTCGGTGCTTCCATAGCCTTGGTAGGATACACCATTGACGATGATCTCGTCAACATGACCATGGGCAGAGACAATAATGGCAGGAAGGAGAAGTGTGAGCCAGAATGAGGCTTTGGGAGAGCCGGTAGATAGAATAGTCATGATGAAGATAAGGACGGGAGTTGGATCAAGTCAATGAGTGTGGCGAACAAAAGAGTGTATTTGAAACCAGATGAAGGGAATGATCTGTTTCTTCTAATCCATTTCATTTGGAGGGTGATTATGAGCTTTTATAGCAGTCAGGGCATTGTTTAATAGAGTCTTGTTTGATCTTCAGCATCGTAGCCCTCAGTCATGCGCAATTCCCCCCACACGCGATAACTCAACCTTGATTAAACGCACATACAGTTTCCTCCGATGTAGTTATCCTGTTTCCAGACGAATCAACACCCGAAGGATGTACCGGCTGCATCATGATTGGTCTCTCGCTCGGTTGTCAACTTCCATCCTCTGGTCTGTACAACGCGCTCTGACAAGAAACTCTTGATGCCAAGAAACAGCCACATATGGAACACCTGAGAGTCAAGGGTTGGTCAATAGACAGTGTGTTAAAAACGCTGTGAAATGAATGCTTGAATCAGGGGCAGAGCTGACTTGAAGGCGTCAATGATAAACTCGGACGAATAGGATGCCACCCCTGCCTGTATATAAACGGGACAAACGTGATGGAGGCTTGCAGCCATTGTTTCAACATGGGTATTCCGACTGTGCATATTCATTGAAGGACTGGTGCGTTGAAATGCAACGAGCCGCACGCCACTCAAAAGCTGAGACGGGCGAATATGCGGCCCGGATACCGAGGGCTTGCAAACTAGAATGAGTAGGCTCACTGGTTTCAAAGTTAGAAAAAGTGACACTCAGTTGTCCTGGGCAAACTTGATAGCTGGACCAATGTTGATATATGATTGTTGGATATTCAGAGTTGTGATATGTCGTCTGGAGATAAAGATTCTGAACTACTAAGAAAACAGCCCCCTTTTTCGTTTTCTCACCATTTCATTTTCAGAAAGATGGGGGTGGATATCATGCCGTCTCTTCGTCAAGCTCGTAGATGAGAGATACATCCCAACCGCAACGCCGTGCCAGGAAAATGCACCTCAGTACATGCAGCCTCAATACTGATGACTGAGCCGTCTTAAAACTCGCCCTCTCCACCATGGCCTACCACACTCGCAGTCCAGAGACCAACAAGACCCCACCAGTTGACCTTCCAGCCTCTCCACAGCCCCTCACGGCCCTGGCCCTTGTAGACGGTTGCGGCAACACCCTTATTCTTTGCCTTGCCCTTCTTTGCTGCAGCATGTGCCGTAGCGGAAGCCTCGTGGGTTCCCTCTTCGTTGACAATATGGAACATGGTACCGAAAGTGCCTTCGTAGCGTCCGGGAGGGATAATAGTGGTGAATGGTTGCCCGGGGCTGAGTGCCTGCACGTATTCCTGACTTGACAGGAGTGAGACCTGTCCACGTCGAAGGACAGTCTCAATGGGCAACTTGAGAAGAATAGCAGACGATGAAGCGATGAATTTGGAGATTGAGAAAGCCATGGGTGAGACCTGGCTATCGATCATGAACTGAGTTCGGAGAACAAGAGGTGTGGAGAGTGTAATAAGAGGATGAATCAAGGAGTTGAGAACGGTTGGGACTACCAGCATCGAGGAGCAGAGGTAGGAGGGGAGGCTTCTAAGGGTAGCTAGCGTCCTGCGCTGGCCGTTTGAGCTCGGGGTGACAATAAGTCTAGTCATGGTCAGATTTATGTTTGTTCGACAGGTGTCCAGAAATCATACCTAGTTCGGACCAAGTCCAATGGCGACAGGACAAGTCCTGTGGCCACAGCTGCAGCAGCAGCAACAAAAAGAGATGCCCAAGGGTAAGGCGAAGCAATGTCGATCATGCGATCAATGTCTTCTCTAACACCCATGTCTGGGACATTAAAAATTGCACTGAGGAAGCTTCGACCCCAGTTTTCCAGCAACGACTGCAACACTGTGTACAGGAATGTGGCATTTGAACCCTTCCACACTCCCCAGGCACCCTCTTTCGACCATAGCTGACCGATCACCTCGAGAATCGAATCTGGGCGTCGGAGTTGAAGAAAGTGTTCTGGGATAGCTGGTTTCTTCACAGGCGATGGATCTCGTTGAGAGCTTGAACCCCATGGAGATTCGTGAGGAGTTGAGGGGATGTTTGATGAGAAGTAATTAGGCTCTTCGCCCTCAGAGTCCGAGTCTCTAAACTACGTCGTTATGATTTAGCGGTGTAACTCACGGAGAGCTAGAAATACACTCACATCATACATAGAGCTTCTAGGTGGAGTGACCGGCTTCTTAGGGGTCTCTGGCTCTGCGGGAAGTCCAAATATAGCATTTTCATCCTGATTCCGGACTTGCAACAAGGTCTTTGCTACCTCGAATGGCTGGGCCATAAGAACTGAGCTGTATTTCCATAGCAGCTCATCGATAAGGCTCTTCGCATTCTGTACCATGGACGGCGAAGTATCGCCGAGGTAGTCATTGTATTCGAGGTCGGAGAGGATATCGCGTGCCTTGGAGGCATATCGTTCACCAGCGGCAGTCACATGTCGTCCATCTGGGAATGGGTTCGGGCTAGGGCTCGACTTGGTGACTGTTTCAGAGGGCTCTCCAATTGAAGGAGGGATATAGTACGGCCTCAAAGGATTGACGCCTTCTCTGTGAGTCGACATGGTTGACTCGAGCAACACGCCGACATCTGTCTATAAAAGAAATAATTACAGAGAAATGCAGTGCATAGGGTGAGCTTAATGGCTTGGGCGGGCACCAGAGAAAATGATCATCAATACCTCCACTCGACGCCAGTGAGACCCACCAACCCCACCATCGGGCACCCGGAGTTAGCCTTCGGATTACGGTCAATGAATTTCCCGGCCGAAAGCGCCGCCCTCGCCCTTGGCTATCCGAAACTACTCACTTTTTTCGGGCTGCTTAATATCATCTTGAACGTGAGAGGACGAGACGGGGCTATAATCGTCCATTGACAAAAAATTGGCGCATCTAGAGCCTTCCGAAGCTTCTCTGTCTCGACCAGAGAACTAACACTTTTGCAATTACCCTGTAACCCTCATACTTTTTTAAATTATTCTCATTAATTCTTGACTTACATCCTCGGTCGATCCCCCGATATCCCCAGAATTATGTCGGCGTCACGATCTTTTGCGACTTGCTTGGCCAAGCTCCCAGCTACAGCATGCCGAACAACACAGCCCATGCGCTTTAGCCAAAATGTTCTGTCGCAGGCTTCCCGAAGTCAATCCGCTGTAATCCGACGAGCTGTCCGACTTTCGCCCGTTTCCCAAAGAGCTTTCACGACGTCAACGCAAAGACGACACGGACATATCGACCCTCCAAAGCCGGGTGAGGAGTATGTGCCAATGGAAATTCCGAACTCCAATGACACTTAATTGACATAATCTAGACTCTATGTTACTTTTATTGAGAAGGATGGCACAGAAAACAAGTTCGCTGTTTCAGAGGGAGATAACCTTCTGGACATCGCCCAAGCCAACGACCTAGAGATGGAGGGCGCATGCGGAGGATCTTGCGCCTGCTCGACATGCCATGTTATCGTTGCCGAAGACGAATACTTCGACAAGATGCCCGAGCCTGAGGATGACGAGAATGATATGTTGGATCTGGCATTCGGACTTACCGAGACAAGTCGACTGGGTTGCCAAGTGAAGATGACCAAGGAGATGGATGGCTTGGTGGTGAAGCTGCCCTCCATGACGAGGAACCTGCAAGCGAGCGATTTTAACTAAGAAAATTACGGCATGAGACATATGTTATGTTTTGATATAGGAGACGAGATGACCTGTACTTGTAAGACTACGTACTGTACTTTTAGGAGGAAATAGAGCCAGGCGATGACGGGGACCAGGTGCATCATACAGGGTATCTTTGTTGCGACTTTAGTTGCAAGGCCGGGAGAGCACGGCCTGATGATTCTACTACTCCTCTTGACAAGAAACAAAGAAAGAACACAGAAATGTTATTACGCCTCCTCGAGCCCACCCTTTTTCAATCCGCCGCCCCCAGAGGCAATCAACTCCAAGAATCCCTTTTTACTCATCTCGTTGACCTTCTCCTCTCGCTTCTTCATACCAATAACACCCTCCTTTCTTGTGCCCTTCTCCGCCTCAACAGCCTTCACCTGCGCAGCGCGAACAGCGTTGAAAAGCTTGACAACACCACGCTGCGCGACCTTACGTAGTCTCCTCTCAGTCTCCATGATTTCAGATGTAGATACCTCCAGCTCTCCAGTAGTGTCATTTGTGGATGCGATAAGGACATCCTTTACTCGGCCCCTCTCGAATGCTCGCTTCTTCTGCTCGCGGAGCTGTTTTCGCGCCTTGGATTCTAGGGCATTGTCGACGGCTGCCTTGGAAGCTTCGTGGGCTGCAGCACTTCGGGCAAGCACGGGATCTGATCGCTTGGATGTTGATAGTTTGGTGGAAAGAATTTTGGAGAGCGAGGTAGCGAATGAACTGGGGTCATTCCTCTTTGACTTCTTGCGCTTGTCGGAGTTTGCACCATCCATATCATCATCATCGTCTTCTGATCCCTCGTCATCGTCATCCTCCTCCTCCTCCTCCTCCTCCTCCTCAGACTCGGCTTCCGGCTCGTCATCCTTGGGCTTTTGCGCCTTGGCATTCGTTTTTGTCTTCTTGAGAGGCTTCTTCAGGGCAGGTCTTTCTTCATCGGAGCTGGAAGCTTCATTATCGGAAGCGCCGACGTTGTCAACCTGAACATTGTGAATGTCGTCGTCGGAATCGAGTAGATTGACAGCATCAAATTCTTGCGCCTCCTCAGATTCAGAATCACTGTTGTAATCTCGGAGTTGCTTTCTCATTTGCTTTTTGGTGGGTCGTTGCAAGCGGCCATCAGGCTTTCTCTTTTTATTGTTTACAAGTCCGGCCATTGTGTGGATTTATTGTGTTGATGTAGCTGGGATGTGCAATACTTTTCAATGAGAAGCGTAGCGGATCTGGACTGGTCGTTCAAACTTTTGAGAATTTTGCCGGAAATTTTCTGGCGATTGGAGAGTGGGTCTGGGCGGTGAGTTAAGCTTCGGGGTGGTTCATCGTGGGGCCGGCCACGGTGGGGCCGTAGACTCTATGAAATAAGAGGATAACAGATGTAGCATCTTCAGTGCTGGGAAATATTTAGACAGTCGAATGCATAAGTTAATAAAGACGGGTTTGAGCCGACAGTGCGTATAATATATTAAACAATAATACAAGATTTCATATGTAACAGCTAAATTGTCCCCCTCACACGTAGTGTCAACCTTCATCTAGAAGAACTTAATCTTATCCCAGAACGAGGGGGGAACAACCTCAACAACAACCTCAGGTGAATCTGGAGCCTGAACAGTCGCCTTCCATGTCTCCTTGCCGTCAACGTATAGGGTATAGTAGAGCGAACTCCTGTTGTCCTCAAGCTTGTCAATCGAGAAAGAACCAAACTTGGACTGGCCTCCAGGAATATAGCTTCAAATATTGTTAGTTAATCGCGTTCGCCGAATAAAATAGGGGTTATTGACATACCTCATCATAACATCCTCATCATCTGTTTGCTTGTATGTGGGGAAAGGGAAAGCAAACTGGTTCAGAGGGCTGGTAGAGAATTCGTGGGCAGAAGCGGACTGTGGCCATCGCGAGTCAACAGGAGGTGGGAACCTTGTTGCAGCAAACTCATGACGATCACCAGAGAGAATAACGACACTAGTTCCTCGTGCACCAGAATCCCACATAGCCTCAAGGATTTGCTTTCTCTCAACGAGGAAGCCACCCCACGTGTCCTTGACATTGACGGGCCAGTTCTTGGTGAAGGGGACAGAAGAAGCAATGAACTTCCATCGTACGCCCTTGGGCATAGGACGGGCGAGCCAGGCCAACAGATCAGCCAATTGCTCCTTGCCCAGCATGGTCTTGTCTGTAGCGTTGAATGGCGCGTTGTTGCTGGAGCGGTAGCTGCGAGTGTCCATCATGAAAAAGCTAGCTGGACCTTGAGTGAACTCATACCAGGTGGCATTGCGTCTAAGGTTGAGGGGACCTGCGGCCTCAGAGATAGGAGGGTTGACATTGGCTTGGTAAAGGTGCCAAGGGTCCACGGCAGCGCTGTAGATACCAGTTGTGTTGGAAGACCAATCATTTGAGATCTCGTGATCATCGAGAACGTGGATCCAGCTGAGGTTTTGAGCAACAGGGGCCCAGTCGGGTGAAGCATAGATCTGTCGATATTGCATACGATACTCCTCTGCGGTCTTTCCAAATCGTTCGGGAACATCGACATAAATAAAATCACCAAGGAACAGCATGAATTGGGCATCCAGCGTAGGCAACAGGTTGGCAAGATTTTTCAAGCCAGGGATGGCCAAAGCATGATCGAGTGGGTTGTAAGGGAATCGGGGAAGAATGCACGAGGTGGAGAGGAAAGTGAAGAGGCCATCCTTGTGGTCAGGCATCTCTCCTGCCTTGGGAGCGGAGCGAAACTCGCCAGTGTGGTTGTTGGAAGTCCTCCATGCATATGCCATCTGTTTTGCGGGGTCCAGAGGCACTGTCATAGTCGTGGTGAAGTCGGTGGTGTTGTCAGTAGAGGTGATAAAGCCTGCAGTGAGCCATATCTTGGGGTCGTAAGTCGACTCAGCATCCTTAACGTGATATTCGAATATGACGGGCATTTGAAGCTGGTCAGGCTCGCGAATGACGAACCTCGCCTCAGATGGCGATACATAGCCGAGTCGAACAAAAGACAGGTCGTCAGAGGGGTAGTACCATCGAGCACGATATAGAGCATCAGCAGTCAAGCCGATGAGAAGAGCGTTGATGAGGAAGGTCAGAAAACTCGCGATTGGACGCGCGGCACTGGGAGCTCCAGACAAGAGGATATTGATGATGCTGGGAACCTTTTCACCGATAACGACCTTCTCCTTGAAGTCTACTACATCGGTAACGATCTCGGGCTCAGGCACGACGGCGACGCCATCCTCTGTCAACAGGGGGGTTTCAGCTGTGATAGACTCCTTTACGGTAACGTCAATCTCATCTTTGAGGACGCCAACCTTTGGCTTAGTGAAGTAACTCGCAATATAAGACGGAACATAGATGGCGAAGAGAGAAAAGGCTACCAAGCCAAAGTGTGCCTGTTGGTGTGGTTAGTTAGGCTATTGATTATCGTAACATTCTCGCACTCTTACAGGGAACTGTGGTTATGGTCAGCATGTTCCAAAGTCAATGAACAAAAAGAGTACACACAAGTCTGAAGAATACTAGAGCGCTTATCCTCAAGGCGAATGAGGATAGCTTTGCAGCTTTTGTCTGAGCTGCCATATTGATGATGATGTCGTGACTAGTAGTAGTTTATGAAAGAAAAACAATAAGGAGGTGCTGTGTTGTGCTGCGCGATAGCGCGGATAAAACGGTTCGTGTAAGGCAATTGGCCCCTAAGTTGATTAAAGGTTTAAGGAAAGTCGAGAACTAGATGAGTTGAAGCTTCATGCCATGTGAGTTTTCAACGCGACATGAGAAATGATGTTATTTATTTATGAGAAGAAAGATCAGCAGCGTTTTATTTGGAACTCTTTGATGAAAGGACTGACAGGGGAGTGAGGTCATGATCCACGATAATCTGGTAATCCAACGTCTTGACGCGTATTGGCTGAAAGGGGGAAAGCTATTGGATCTACCGAGATGTGGCGTCGCTGTGGCACAAAGCACCAAATGGCTGATCGTTCTAAAAAAGGAGCTCAGGAGGGGTCTTGGTCTTGCTCTTCCAGGGGGTCGGTGCCAGCAAAATTCCGCGCCGACTCTGGAAGCTCAATCGTGGCCCGTTCGGTTTACTTACAGCACATGTCCACTTTAGCGACAGCTTGTCCTAAACAGCAGCAGCACGCGACAACCTCTCATACATCGCCGCAACAATGAGACTACCAACACTTGTCGCCGGGCTTTTCGCCTGCCTTGTCACCAATGTCGCTGCCACTGCTTTGACCTACAAGCTCGATGCTAACGAGAAGACCTGCTTCCATACCACTACGAAAAAGCAGGGCGAGAAGATCGCATTCTACTTTGCTGTAAGCCTCCTTGGATGGTATCATGTCTACCAATTTTCGAGCTAAACACATACTCCAGGTTCAATCTGGTGGTTCTTTCGATGTCGACTACATTGTCGAGGGTCCCAATGGCAAGATTATTATGGATGGTCAAAAGGAGCGACAGGGCGACTTCGTCTTCTCCGCCAACGTTGTCGGCGATTACTCTTTCTGCTTCGATAACGAGATGAGTACTTTTGCAGAGAAGTACGTCGACTTCGAGATTGCTGTCGAGAACGAATCCCGCGCCCAACTCCCCTCCAAGCAGGGTACCACCCCCGAACAGACATCAGCCCTTGAGGAGTCCATCTTCAAGATCTCTGGCCAGCTCTCCACCATCTCCCGAAACCAAAAGTACTTCCGAACCCGCGAGAACCGAAACTTTGCCACTGTCAACAGCACTGAGGGCCGAATTATCAACTTTAGCATGATTCAGATCGGTCTTATCATCTGCATGGGTGCTCTGCAGGTGTTTGTTGTTCGGTTCTTTTTCCAGGTAAGTCTCGTTATGCGTCAAATTCAAGAACTGCGACTAAATTATACAACCAGGGTGCGCGCAAGGGTTACGTATAAAGAAATCACTTTATCATATGCAATGCTGGACACGGGTGTTATGAGGCGCGGGAATAAAAAGGAGACGGATATTGGAAGTGATATGTATAATCAATGGAAGCAAAGCGCTTGGCTTGGCTGGAAAGCCTTGCATTTGATTTTGACGTAAATGTTTGAGATACTGAAATGAAAGTTGTCATGATGCGCTCGACACTTTGCTTGAATAAATAGTGTCTTTACAGTTGGAGATGAGTTGTTTTGGACTTGAGTAGGCTTTTATCAATACTGACAAGTAAAACAACCCGGATTAGTGTAAATCAATATCACAAGTAAGTTCTTAATGTGCTCTGGTATCTGTAGTTGGCATTGACCTATGACGTGCAATCAAGCATTGCCGATATTTGCTGAGGTACTTAGCAACAGTGAACAGTGGAAGCTCTGAGGATCTTGCAGCCACTTTTAGACATAATTGATCATTCTTTAGTAGCTGGAATAAACTTTCTTGAACAGACATGAGAACCGTATTAAGATGCAAGTCATACTTTTATACCGCCTGGTGTAGTGATGGCTCATGTGGTTGCGCTTCCACTTCTAACTACATAAGACTTATTGATTAGAGAAATCAATTATTGCTACTGAAGACAGTTATATATATAATGCGACAAGTATTTCCCCTACAACAATAAAGTCCAACAACTTTAATCTGGAGTATTAAAGAAATGTTTAAGTCGCTGTCAAATCTTGGCATTGCTGGTTGCTCCAGGTATCCTGCGCTAAGCCCCTTTGGGAACATCGCCTCTTGAAATTCTAATAAACCTTGAAGCCTCGCGACCTGAGCAACTCCAACATCATCATCTACACAACCACATAAAAATGACGTCGATCGCCGGGTCGCTACAGGCTGCGCTACCCAAGCCCAAATACACGGGCGAAGAGGAAGAGGCTCCTGCTCGAGCACAGCAACGCGGTGTTCGAATCGTTGGCCCTGGTCAGCTAGACGAGACGCAGGTCGTCCTCAAACGATCTGGCCCTCCAGCATACGGCCAGCGCGCAGGATGGCGACCGCGATCGCAAGAAGACTTTGGAGATGGAGGTGCTTTTCCAGAGATCCCGATCGCTCAATATCCTTTAGAGATGGGGAAAAAAGGCGCCAACTCCAGCAACGCGTTGGCGATTCAGGTTGATTCCGAAGGCAAGGTCAAATACGATGCCATCACGCGACAAGGCCATACCGAGAACCGAATTATCCATACATCTTTCAAAGATCTGATTCCTCTTCGACAACGCGCTGATGCGGGTGAGATCGATCTTTCGCGACCCGACAAGGAGTCTGTCGAGGCAACAACAGAGAGGACGAAGAACGCACTGGCCGCCCTTGTTAGTGGTGCGGTGGCGGCTCAGAAACCGAAGAATGTCAATATTGGACAGCGAAAAGATCCCACCTTCGTTCGATATACACCAGCGAACCAGATGGGCGACAACTCCAAGAAGCAAGACCGTATTATGAAGATTGTTGAGCGACAGCGTGATCCTATGGAACCCCCGAAATTCAAGCACAAGAAGATCCCTCGAGGACCCCCTTCGCCGCCTCCGCCCGTCATGCACTCACCACCCCGAAAACTCACAGCCGAAGACAACGAGATGTGGAGGATTCCACCCCCAGTTTCAAACTGGAAGAATCCCAAGGGTTTTACAGTGCCATTGGACAAGCGTTTGGCTGCAGATGGGCGTGGACTGCAGGATCTGGCCATTAGTGATAAACATGCTCAATTTGCTGAAGCTGTCAAGATGGCTGAGCGTCACGCTCGTGAAGAGGTTCAACAACGTGCTATGATGCAACAGCGTCTAGCAGAGAAGGAAAAGGCACAGAAGGAAGACAACCTTCGAGACTTGGCCCAGAAGGCTCGTGCGGAGCGATCCGCTGCTGGCCGTGGGCGTAGGGATTCCCGCGGTTCTCACGATTCTAGGGACTCTAGAGACTCGAGGTCACGATCGCGAAGTTATAGTTATTCCGAGTCAGATCGCTCTGACAGCGAGGATGAGGAAGTCAAAGAGCGTGTCAAGGCTCGTCAGGAGAAGCAAAGAGATGAGGAGCGGAAGCTACGGCAGAACCGTATGGGCGCTGAGCGACGAGCTCAGGTCATGGCCCGCGAACAAGGCCGAGATATTTCGGAAAAAATCGCTCTCGGCGTGGCCAAGCCTACACAGTCAAAGGAGACAATGTACGACTCGCGATTGTTCAACCAAACAAGTGGGTTTGATAGCGGCATCAACGAGGACAACCCCTACGACAAGCCTCTCTTTGCTGCACAAGCCGCCATGAACAGCATTTACCGACCACAAGTAAATGTAGACGATGATGACGACGTAGAGGCAGGTGACCGAGAGATGGCTAAGATTCAGAAGAGTAGCCGATTTGGTGAGGCTCTTGGAAAAGGAACATTTAAGGGTGCCGCAGATGCAGAGGTAAGCTCTTCATTTTCCAGGTTCTCATCTACCCATTCACTCTAACATTTTCGACAGGCACGCGAAGGTCCAGTTCAGTTCGAGAAAGATGCTGGGGATCCTTTTAATGTAGACAAGTTCTTGTCAGAGGTGGACCAGAATTCATCTAAGCGCGGTTATGGCTTGCAAGACGACGATAGCAGACAGTCCAAGCGGCCGAGAGTTGACCCCGACGACGATGAAGAATAATCAGCAAATTGGACGGAAAGGTGTGCACGGCTTATACAGTTAGACTCAGTCAGGCGTCAATTCGCAACTTTTTTGCATGAAAGGCATTTTCACAATACCACTACATGAAGCACAGGATGTGCTTCGCCCATTAATTTTACTCAACTCCATGACCGCGACCAAACATTTGTGCCATGACCGATATCCATCGCTAATACGTGGAATCTTTTGTTCTCTCCTCCCTCCGCATTTCGGAAGATTGACCGATTTGGGTCTGTTTTGCGGGGTACATGCAATAAATCGTTATTTCTAGAGAAGTACGGATACGCATCGTGTTGTTGACCGACCAGGTTCAAGAGGTCATCTGTCCCCGAAGTTTGGTTTCCCCTGACACTCGCTGATCTTTGACCCGAGATCCGAAAGCCAGCGCTGCAATTTCCCCCGAATCATTTGCTAGAGTTCGGGTCTTAGCCTGAAAAGACACGATCGACAGCGTCCCCATGGGGAAATATCATTATCTTGGCCAAGCTGCTCTTACCTTCTCATGGTAGCTTCGTCCCCCACAGGGGTAATTGGGGGCCTGTCGTGGGGTCATGGGGAGGCCTGCTGCAGCTATAAAGACGACGTGAAGTCGCATTGACTGACGAGATTGTCAAGCGACAGCTTCGAGAACTCTAATACTTACACACTCTCGTCGCTGACATGAAGTTCAGCAAGCTTTCCACGGCTTTCCTCGTCTCATTGCTCCATGCACCCCAACTAGTGGCCGCGGCTCTTAATGCGACAGAGACCGATACTCAGCTGGTCATTTCCAATGATCGCCTCTACGCAGCTGTACAGAAGAAGGGAGGCGCTATCGTGAAGCTCACGCTGGACGGAACGAACCTGCTCGGCAGTCCATCTGGCTCTACTGGAATTGGTCCCTACCTAGATTGTTACTGCACGCCAAAGGGATTCTGGACTCCAGGCTCCGTGACGCCCACGTACAAGCTCTTCAAGGGAAAGGATGCAAAGGGCAAGGACTATGGCGGTATTGTCATGTCTGACACATACGCCGAGACAGGGCAGGTCTTGGAGCAGTACTGGTTTTTGAGAGATGGCGAGACTGGTCTGCACACGTTTAGTCGAGTCGCCTACCACAACGAGGAGCAGCCGTTCCTTCGCAACCTTCAAGAACTTCGAACCCTCTTCCGTCCAAATAACGACATGTGGACTCATCTCCTGACCAACAAAAAGCACTACGCGCCTCTGCCTGGCAAAGAAGCTAAGGACAACCAGGTTGTAGTGCAAGATGCGACATGGTACATGGGAAACACACCCAACGATCCTTATGTCAAGCAGGAGGCGGACTACTTCACCAAGTATACATTTCAGGATAATTGGCGCGATATTGATGCTTATGGATTGTGAGTTTTCTAGCTTTTGATTTTGGGAACTGACTAACAGATGAAAGGTTTGCGGATGGCTCCAAGACCGAAGACGGAGATGCTTATGGCGCTTGGCTTGTCATGAATACTAAGGACACTTATTTTGGAGGTCCTCTGCACTCTGATTTGGTCGTCGATGGTATTTTGTACAACTACATCAGCTCCAATCACCATGGAGACCAGACCGTATGTTCAGTACTACACCTGTTCAGAAAACGTGTGCTAATTTTCATAGCCCAATATCACCAATGGATTTGACCGCACTTTTGGCCCTGTAAGTGATTTCAAAGTGCCGACGACGGTATTCTTACTAATGTACCAAAGCAATACTTCCATTTTAACAAGTTCCCTGGCACGACCGACATTCTCGAAGCTCAGGCCGACGCTGCCCAGTACGCCGATCCGGAATGGAACGCTGATTTCTACGACTCTATCGCCAAGCACGTCCCAAACTACGTCCCTACCAAAGGCCGTGGAAAGTTTGAGATCAAGGTTGATCTTCCTAAGGGGGCCAAGAACGCTATTGCTGTTCTCGCACAGAGCGGTGTCGACTTCCAGGATAATGTGTTCGATACTAAGGCCTACCAGTATTGGGCTAATCTTGATGAAAGTGGCCGGGCGACTATTCCTCGTGTCAAATCTGGAACATATCGTCTCACTGTTTACGCTGATAACATCTTTGGACAATATACCCAGGATAAGATCAAGGTCAATGCTGGCAAGACTGAGAAGAAGAACATTCGCTGGAGAGAAGAGTCTGCCGGCAAGGAAGTTTGGCGGATTGGTACTCCTGACAAAACTTCTGGTGAATACCGTCACGGTTTCGAACCCGACACGTCCAAGCCGCTACAGCCGGAACAGTATCGTATTTACTGGGGAAACTGGGACTTTGTCAAGGATTTCCCCGATGGTGTTAACTTCAAAGTCGGTGAAAGCGATGCTGGCAAAGATCTGAACTATGTTCACTGGAGTGTTTTTGGCGGAAAGGGCAATTACCCTCGCCCAGAGCAGTATGTTGGCAATGGCGATGTTAACAATTGGACACTTGCGTTTGACTTGAAAGAGTCGCAGTTTAAGCACAAAAAGCGAGCTACGTTCACGGTGCAGCTCGCAGGTGCAAAGACCGCTGCGGGAAACACCGACGTTTACAATGCTTCTGAACCTCACTCGAACCTCAAGTATACTGTCAATGTCAATGGCAAGGATCTTGAGCCATGGGTCATTCCGTAAGTTGAGCTTCGCCTTCCTTCAGGATCAGGATATACTAACTCAAGTTGTGAAAGATACCACCAGAGTAGCTCTTGTGCTGTGCGCTCCTCTGTGAGCTGTTACAACCTTGCTCACAAGTTTGAGTTTGATGTTAAATGGTTGAAGAAGGGTGAGAATGAGATGGTTCTGAGCTTGCCTTACAACGCGACCAACTATGAGTCTGCTGTGCTTCCCACTTCTGTCTACGTACAGTACGATGCTCTCCGGTTGGAAATTGAGTAGATAGTTGCGAATTATGTACATATAACTGGGTTGAGGTTGATATTAACAAACACAACTTGTGATTTATTCTTTGATGAGAAAATAATTAGGAAACGTGACACTGAATCGTTCGATGTCATACGACAAGGCTGAGACTAAAAAGAAATGTCCGGTTCCTGGTTCCTGCAGGATCGGAGGGTTTCTTGGAGTTTCACGTTGCGATATCGCTCAATGCGGATTCGAAGGATCGTAGAGGTGGAGTTTTACGTATGTAATCATCAGCTGATGGAGAACTAACAGTAAATCCAAGGATTGTATTCGAGGATACTAGATTTCGGAGGTTTTAATGTTTTAGTGATCGGCAGTTGAGATAAACGATATAAGAGAGAAAGAAGCCTGTGATCTCAAAAGTGTCAGCACTATCAACACCAATACTACCTACCACTGCAATTGGGATTGCATTCCATCAATTGACATCACATCAACAATCATGGCTTCAGGGGCCTTTTTTAACCCGAGGGTTCTCCTTCTGACAACACCTCTCGTCTCATCGAGTATCACTCTTTGGTTCGCCCGTGACCAAAGCTTCTTCCTTTCACTCTTCACCAAAGCGCCCATAGAGCGCAAGAAAGCCAACGAGATCATCCCAGGCTACATTACCAACTTCTACGGCTCAGGCCCATGGGCTGTTCTCACTTTTGTCGGGCTCACATTCACCACTTCCATCAGGAACATCTGGTCTGAGCGCGCTCTGCTGGAGTCTCGCGGGTCGCTGTTCTGGTATGGCTGGTCTGCTGCCCTTGCGTTGGGTCACCTAGCATATGTTCCTGCTGTAGCGTGGAAGCTTAGGGCCTTGTGGGAGGATAACTGCGCTGTTGAGGGAACGGACAATGTTGGGATGCTGGAGAGGTGGTTGACTGTGAATAATACGAGGATGTTTACTACGGACCTTGGCGCTTGGGTTTGTGCTGTTGTAGCTATTTCAACGACGCTGACTGTCTAGAAGCGTGCTCGCATGATACCTAGGGTAGGATGGGTGGTCTTGATCTATAAGTTTGATGTTGATTAATTGTTACTGGGAAAATAAAGAAGAATATATTGGAACACTGTTAATAGTAAGTATCTGAGATAAGACGGACTTCGGCACACGACAACCCATTGTTTAAGAGTATTCTCGGCTTCACGGCAAGTCTCGCCTGGATAGTGTCTCACCCTTGGTCCTGTTAGCGTATAGTGGCTGTAGATGGCGCTTTGCTGCATTCCTGTCCACACCAAGAAATTCAAGTAAATAGTCCAAGTCATAGATACTGTTCCATATACTATATGGACTATGAATTGAATTCGTTTTCGAGTAAAGGATTCTTATTGATCCTAAAAGAGTGACGTGTTGTCAGGCTGTTTTCCTTGGTATCTATTAAGCCACGACAGTGCTAGCTTGTATTTACATGGTGGTTCGAGTCTGGATTACGCGTCTCTATCTATCAATAGGCAACTTAGATCTAAATCCGCCCTTGACACATGCAAAAAAAAAAAACTGACTATTTGAGAATAGGTCGGATTTTGACTTTCGGGGGATATTTTTGTGGCTATTTACCGTGTTACCCCTGAACATCAACCGCCATAAGCATCATCATCACCAAATACAGCAACACTTTTAAGACACAGCCATCACCAAAAACATATACTAATCGGGGACACGGCATTCGATGTGGGGAATGAGCAAGCAAACGGTTAATTCCAAGTTTGGTAGTATGAATGTCTCTAAATCACTGCCAGGTAGAGTCAGTTGGCAGGCAGGCAGTGAGTGGAGGAGCAGCTGCAAACGCTCCCTCCTCAATGTTCCAACTAAGATTCCTTCCCTCTCCTTCCCTCGCTCCTTCTTGTGATAAAAAAAGAATATTGATTCACCTGTACCCTCTTCACGCTCGTGCGTCTGACCGAGACATTTCATCAACATCCACATTCCATCCGCTCGCCCACTCATCCGTCTCTTGATTCTCTTTCCACCACATTGATTGCACTTGATATTATCAACCTCAACTTCCCATTGTTTGAATCCCAACACAATATACACCCAGCCTTACCTGACTCTGTATCGTCATGTCGGGGCATTCAGAAGACTCCAAGGCAGGATCAGCGGCACCCGCCTACGATGAGATTCTACCCTCTCGCACAGGCCAAGATGTTCGTCACGCTTCGTCTCGAATGCCTTGGTGGAACCCTAGGTACTGGGGGAAGATCATCTGGGCTGTTGTTATTCTGGCCTTCGTCGTTATGTTGATCATCGTCATCGCTGTTTCGGTCACGAAAGTGAAGGAGAATAGATATCCCGATTACTCGCCGTTGTCATATAGCCTGGCCGATACATGTAAGTCAATCATTCCTGTCCCCCAAAGCTCTTCTGACAAATGCCCAGATGGAGGAGAATCCTTCTACGATCAGTTCGACTACTTCACAGGATACGACCCCACCCAAGGCTTCGTTCATTACGTCCCACGGGAACAAGCGCAATCTCTTAACTTGACTTCTGCTACTGCTGATTCTGCGTTCCTAAGAGTCGACACTTCTGTTGGCCCCAACGACGAGCCTAATGCTTCAACAGGCCGTTTCTCGGTCCGAGTCGTGTCAAAAAAGACATACGACAGCGGCTTGTTCATATTTGATGTCAAGCATACTCCTGACGGCTGTGGTACTTGGCCTGCTTTGTGGCTAACTGATCCTTCGAACTGGCCAGAAAACGGCGAAATTGACATCATGGAAGCAACAAACAAGGCGGAAAATGGAAACCAGATGACGCTCCACACTACTAAAGGTTGTTCCATGGACGTGCGTCGTAAAAATACAGGCGAAACTCTGCGGAAGGACTGTAATCACGAACTGAACGACAACGATGGCTGCGGTGTTAAGTCGGACGCTGATGGATACGGCACTGGCTTCAACAAAAACGGGGGAGGTATCATGGCTGTGGAATGGCGAAAGGAAGGTATTCGCATGTGGCAGTTTGCCAGGAACTCAATTCCTTCAGACATCAAGTCAAACAAACCCGCACCTAGCACTTGGGGTATTGCCGTCGCCGACTTTCCCAACACGGACTGTGACATTGGCTCTCACTTCAAGAACCAAAGTATCATTGCCAACATCGACCTGTGCGGCAGTCTGGTGTACAATGTTTGGGATAAAACCGGGTGTAAGTTTACTTTCTTTTATAAGCCGGAAGTGGACTGACATACATATTTCAAAGGTCCTGGTAACTGCAAGAGCCTCGTTGCGGACAATCCTGAAGCATTCAAGAATGCCTACTGGGAGTTTGGTTCTTTCCAAGTGTACCAAGCAAAGTAAGCCGGGATATGGCTGAAGCAAATCGCATGGTTTATGGGTTGAAGCATGGCGTTTAAGGAGAGAGGGAGGTCCCCTTTCATTTTGCTCTTTCGGGATAGGCATTTGTAAAACATGAATTCTGTTGTTATAATACACTGTAGACTCATGTGTTCTACACGAGCAGCCCCTTCACGAAGTACGGGTATTAACACACCTTTTCGTATTTGTGCAATGTCTCCTTCTCCACGTCTATCCATATGCCGCCCCGCATATATTGTGACCAAGAATTCAAATGAGGAGAGAGCCTGTCTCCCAACGCCTTTCCTATGCTCTAGAAACATGATAACCGTAAAACTCCCCAAGCCGCAGAAAATCCACACATATCTGTACATCTCTTACAAGCCACTCATCGGCCCCATTTTGTTTCTTATCGTTTCGTTACGTTTAGTCGTCCTTGGGTGGTGATCGCATGTAGGCATCAATAGCCGCACTGAAAGCAGCAAAGGCCAAGCAGCCGCCAGCAGCAGCTTGAGGGCCAGCATTCTTGGCTAGAATACCGCCTGTCAAACATCCCGCTGCGACACTGTTGGTGAGATCGTTCTTTGCACGCAGACCCTCGATACCGCACTCAACACCCGAGTATAGCGCTCCAACCTTTCCGAAGTTCTTGGCCATCGACCATGATCGCGCACCCATGTCCTTGAATCCGATCTTGAGTTGTTGCTTTAGAGGCATGGATGTGATTGTGTTTTGCGGGCTACCGGGAGCGGCTGTGTGGTATGGTGTGTCGTAGGACATCTAACCCCAAGGAAAGATTAGCTCGTGATTAAAAGCGAAGAATTGTTTTCAGGCCGGGGGACATACAGAAGCCATAAACATTCCGAACAAACCGCCCATACCAAAACCCATCACTCCGGACATGACAGACTTTCCGAAGCAAGACTCCATCGCAGCTTGGACCTATATTTCTCAGCATTAGCCATTGCGAATCTTTCCCCGCCACCAATCTCTGAGTTGTGCATTTTAACGTACAGCTTTGACGTTGGGATCTTGAGGGCCGCCGACTCCGGGGGGTGCGGCAGCGCCGCCGACTGGAGGGGTCATTCCTGGGAAGTTCATGGTTATTTGTGCGAGAAGGAGGGTAGAGATGTTGGATCGAGGTGGGACGTTATCGCGGCTCTAGCTGCGGGCGGATGGACTTGAGATTTCCTGGGGAAATCTTTCGGAATTATTTCTGCCAGCTTCGACCGCTTCCGGAGGGCGTTATCGGCAGACGGCCCCACCTTGCCGCTTCGGTAGTCCCGGCCTTCGGACTTGATATGCACGACGTTGATTCATCTTGAAGCGACTAATAGTCGAGACTACAATTGACGAATACTGACTTTGAAAGCGTGGCAAAAGAGATCAAGCTTGCATACATCAGCAAAAAAAAGTATTTGACGACGCCACACCATTTCAAATTCAAGTATCTGGTACTATTCATCATGGGTTGTATTTTCCTCCTATCACTCTAATTATACATCTCTAGTGTCGAGTTTCAGTAACTAGCGCCCCTTAACCACATGTATTGAACGGTAAAAAGCAAATTCATCACTCAATCATTCTCTCGTCGTCGTTTCTGTCCCGGCTCAATCATCCACCCTCCAATCTTTGTCTCCCATCTGCAACATATTTCAACCATCTTCAGTGGTCGTTTCTTCAGCCGTATCGGCGTGGTTGCTGCTGTTAGTCTTGTTGACGGTGGATAGGCTCGTCAGGAAGTCTTCGACGCTTTGAGGTCGAATCAGGGGTCTGCATGTAGCCTTGTTCGTTAGAGAAGCTGCGCTTGTCAACTCGTCGGTTTACCTCATATGAGTAGGGTGTATACGCTGGCTGTTCGAACTCGTGAGGGAGCATCTCGCGAATAGATGGAAGTCTTCCGTCCCATTGCTCCTGGCATGTTCGTTGGCGGCTTGGACCCGGATCCACCCACGAAGATGCATACCCTGGCGCTTGTGGCTGGATTGACTGGGTGCTGGTACTTTCCGAAGTCATGGATGGTGTCTTTCTATACCTCTCGTCTTGTTCGGCTCTGCGAACCGAATGCCTGTATCCTCCTTCCATCTTCTCGGTGGTAGGCTGTTTCAAAACCCCAAGATCGGGCTTTGAGGTGTGCTCAAACGCCATCGTTGGACGCCCAGGAATTCGACTCATCTCAATTCCCGAGCGATCAACTAGTTGGTTCCAAACGGAACCAGAACCAGGAACAGCAACAAGTGCAGACTTGGAAAACGGGTAGGGTTCAGATCGAGTAACATCAGCATGGCCAGGCACGATATATCCTTCAGGAGGCTGTTGTTGAGTTACGTTGTCTGGTGTAACAGAATAGGCTCCTGTCTCTTCCAATGTCTTGGGCATGCTGAAAAACGACCACGAAGGCTGGTCTTCGCTTTGTCGCTCCCGGGGCTGACGTGTCTTGCGTGATTGTCGGGCCTTCGGCTTCGGCTTCGCTTTGCCCTGCAAAAGTTCGACGATTTGAGGATCCAGGGGCTCCGAAGCTGGAACAGAAGCAGTATGGGGGCGGCGGCACCCATGCTCTTTGAAATACGCTGCTGTTCTATTAGGCTTGAAAGATTCAGACGAGAGTGTATGAATCGGACTGACCTGCGTCGAGCAAATACTTCTCGACAAACTCGGCAGCCTTGGAGGATCTATGACCAGACTTGATGTTTTGGTAGTAATGCTCGTCTAACAAGATTATTATGCCGACAAGATGGTAATAGAACATCTGAAACTCACAGAGCGACGTTCCAGTATATTCCCGGCGGGCATTAGCGCCAGACAACTTGTTCATTTCATCAGCAAGCTGGTCCCATGAGAGACAGTCGTTGTCGTTGTCGTCGGAGTATGCAGCCGCCGGTGATTGGGGAATGATGACCTCCCAGAGCAATCGTTCCTCGTCCTTGGACCAAGTCTTACCACCCATGGCGAGTCGGAGCGGATCAGAGTTCTTATAAAAAATAATTGAAGTACAGAATATATATAAAGGAAGTGATGATGGATTATAGAAGTGCGATGTGGGAAAGTAGACAAGAAGGCGAACAGAAGGTCACAATGATGCTTTATAGACAGTACAGGATAACAGATGAGTGATTCAGTCCTGATTACATATTCAAACTGAGCCATGATTAGAGTCATGGACGGTCACCTGCTCCTGCTGAATGAGAGACAATAGAGAAATTTTTAGATGTGATTCATTGTCAACGTAACAGAGAGGACGAACTAGTTGAACGTAAGGGGCCACGGCAAATTTGCAGGCAGCAATCCACCTTATGACAACGCCTGCGACAGTATCTACTCCTCGAATATGCTTCGAGGCTCAGGGGCATGTAAACCTCGGCCAAGTAGGAATGACGCCAGAGGCCGTTCCAATCTCGAAAACTGGTATTGTCAGCCACCGTTTGCTAACGCATCCGTGTTTGAGATTGAGGGGTAGACAGTTACTCACGATGCTCTTCTTCTCGAGGGGTATCACTCCGTCTTTAACCCAGAACCCCCACCCTCCCGTCATATTGGCGAGCATCATATCCGTCGTCAGTCTATCACCGACAAACGCAACATGTCCGGGGTGTGTTACTCCAGTCTCTGGATGTTTCTTGAAGTACTCCATGATCTCCTGGCCGCACCCTGGCTTCTTGACTGAGTGTGACAATACTGTGATGCCAGTATTCTCCTCAACTTCAGCAGCAAGCTTTAGATTCTTATCCCAGGAAGTTGCGCCTGCGGTATTTGAGACCACGAGCAATTTGCGCCCGGGATATGCCAGCCTTAACTTTTCGAAGTGAGTCTATGCACAAGTTTAGCGGGCGGCCATGACCAAATTTGTGAATGTTTAAAGAATGATCACCTTATAAGATTCGTACACTTCAATTCTATCGGGATAAGCAAAACAATCGTCTTTATCAAGCACGACAGCCTTGATCTCTACTTTCCGGCCATCTTGCTGTAGGCCCTTTTCTAGTGGAATTGGCAAATCATTGAATGTTGATACAGTGTGGTGAGGTAAACATAGGCTCGGTTTAAATACAAGCCTTGTTATATTCAATGAAGCTGAAAGATTTAAATTCAACATCTTTTTGATGATTATAGAAATTGTTAATGAAGAATGAAATAATTCAATGTCGTTGAGAAAGTTGAGCTCGCGCCACACTGAGCAGTGCCACCAGCGCCACAGCAATTTAGCAATTTAGCAGGCGCGTTACCACGCGACGGGCCTTGTAACTCATGACAGTATTTACTTCCCATTTCAGTACAACATCAACATTACAAGAAATTTGCCCCGAGAACGCTATAGGTGATCCTATCACCCTTAAAGGCTCCAACATGCCTCGAAGAAAGGCAGTCGAAGAGCCTGACTCTCAACAAATTCCTATGAGATCCTTGCGAAAAAGAAATCACCAAGAACTCGAAGCCATCCCAGAAAGCGACCAGGAGGAAACAAGCCCCGTAAAACGACAACGCAGTTTAGATCACCAGTCCCCAACAGCCACCGGTGAAACAAATGAACACATAAAAGGTTTCAAATCGAATAGTCTAGAGGATCATGCGGCCAGCGAGGCCGAATCATTATCGAAAGTCGACCCAGAAGAGACCCCTAAACCTGCTCCGAAGCGACGAGGTCGACCACCGAAGAAGGCAGTCAATGACGGGTCTCCCACGCCCAAAGCAAACCGTACCGCTCTCTTTGAGACGCCCACAAAGAAAGCACGATTTGGTCTAAACGCCGATACGCCCGGAGGAGCAGATCGATCCGCCAAACGAAAGAGCACACGAGCGTTGATCGAACATGTCGTTGGCGACGACCTCACAGACGAAGAGGATTATGACGGCCTTGCGCAGCAAATATACGAATCTAGTGAAGACGAAGATGCTCTTGAAGGCGATAATGCCATCTCGGCAGAGGCATCAGGTGTAGATGAAGTCGCAACACCTTCCAAGTCAACGCCTCGGCGCAAAGCTCAGCGAAAGAAACCTGCCAGATCTCCGACTCCTCCCCGCGACTTACCTCCTCACGAACTATACTTTGCGCATAATAAACCTGGTCGATCAAAGACATCCAATAATACGCTTGGGTCGCTGGCTCTGCTCACTCACGACGAGTATTTTACTATTGTGAGAGAAACCAATGATCACCATGAAGGTGATATAGAATTCCTGGAGAGTTTACATGCCGAGTCATTTCCACAATGGACTTTTGAGTTGTCGCAAGGGTTCAATCTATGTCTTTATGGGTATGGCTCAAAGCGACGATTATTGCACAAGTTTGCAGGTCACCTTCACTCTCGAAGCCAAAAAGACAAAGGAGACAAGATTGTCATGATCAACGGCTATGCCCCTAATACTACAATGCGTGAAATATTGAGCACAATTGGTTCAGCTGTCGATCCAGCCCACCGCATTCCGCTTACGCAACCTGCCATCATGGTCCCGGCCATTCTCTCTCATCTCAACACTAACTCTTCGACAATCACGCTTGTCGTCAACTCGATTGACGCAGCACCACTTCGCAAACCTGGGTCCCAAACTGCTCTGGCGCAACTTGCAGCGCATCCTCGTGTACGATTAGTATGCTCAGCTGACACGCCAGACTTTGCGCTACTTTGGGATATTGGTGTGCGGTCGGCCTTTAATATGGGATTTCATGATTGCACTACCTTTGCCCCGTATACAGCCGAATTGGACGTTGTGGATGAAGTACACGACCTTCTTGGACGGAACGCTCACCGAGTCAACGGTAGAGAAGGTGTGGCGTTTGTTCTTCGCAGTTTGCCCGAGAACGCCAAGAATCTATTTCGTCTACTGGTTGGTGAAGTACTGATCGCCATTGAAGAAGAAGGCGATGGCGGTGATGAGCCAACCGGTGTAGAGTACAGAATGGTGTATAACAAGGCAGTGGAGGAATTCATCTGCAGTTCCGAGATGGCCTTCCGAACACTGCTGAAAGAGTAAGTTTACACCAACTTGAGTTGCAAGATCTTTACTAACGGGTACTAGATTCCATGACCATCAAATAATCACGAGTATGAAGGATGCTCTCGGAACAGAACTTTTGAGCTTGCCGTTTAGAAAGGACGAGCTGGAGGCAATTCTAGAGGACCTCACGTCATAATGTAACTTTCACTGTAATATATAGAACCGGAAGCATACATAGGATCATCGGCGCTGGTGTTGGTATCGGACAAAATACTGAGCAAGCTTTCTTGAGTAATTGACATTGATAGGGGTATTAGATATAACATGCAGGGAGCTCGTTACCCTGGAATTTAGACCACATCCTGGAGCCTTTTGTGAACATTCATTCATCTCTATCCAGCCGCCTGACCTACCCGAATGTCTATACCATTCATCTGAGAAAAAGAATCACCGGAACGCCGCCTTTTTAGAGGTACCTCCATATTAGACACCCAGGCTTTTCACACAAGTCCAGAGCACCACGGGCACAATGACATTGTCATTTCCGCCGGTAAGAACCGCTTCTGTTAGACTCGCCATCGAGGCGCACATAACAGCATTTCGAGTACCAGCAATGGCCCCCGGCTGGTCACCAGCAACTGGCCAGCCGCCAACTCGTAGCCAGATACTGGCGGCGCCAAGGCCTAAGACAACGGCCACTGCAAACGCGAAACTGCCCTCGAGACTCTTGCCACCGCCCCAGAACCACTTCCGACGTCCGTATCGACGACCTATGAGTGAAGCCGCTGCATCTCCGAGTCCTACGCAAATAACGCCAGAGACAAGACTGACATCCCGAGCTGACACTTCCCAGCCAGACAGGTAGCCAGATCCCGTGCGTGGTAAGGAAGCAAGGCCTAGCCAGAGAGGAATCGCACATCCAATAAGAAGGAAGATGTGTGATATAACGACAGGGCCGCGGAAATCCCTCCCATCAACATACGGCGCTAGGAATGAGGCAATAGGCTTCGATAGTGGGGGAAGTTGGCTCGCTCTGAGAAGATCCAAGATCAGGAACACCGCCAGAATTAATGAGAGGGCCAGAGCTGCGTATGTAGGATCCACAAACGTTGCAGGTAGGAACATCCCAACCATCATAAAGTGAAATACCTTGCGCCGTGTGTCTACCTCATAAATATCCTTGAGTCGAAAAACGATGGTCAGACCAAGAATCAGGATGCCCAACCAGTAGACGCTCAACAGAAGCCGGGTGTTTGCTTCACCAAAGTCGTTATGGCGAACATGCTGCACCCATCCAAGCCGGCACTGCTTGTCTTCTGTCGGATCCACCCTTGGGGGTAAGCAAATCCATCGTTCTAAGTTGTAACTTCTAACTTGATATCGAAACCAAGACCAATTACCCAGAAGGTAACCTAGAGCCCAGCCAATGGGTTCATTGCCGTCTAGAGCAACCCTTTCAACGTAAGTACGGATGCCGCCCAAAACGACCACCAGTATGCTTGCATAAACATACCCGGCGTAAAGCCACTTCCTCATTGTCGCTTGCTCTTGTGTCAGTTTGAAGAAGGGTCGAACAGACATGGACGTTGCCCGTTTTCTACGCCCCGAGGGGGTATGTGTTGCATTACGTCGGTTCCCCGAGTCAAGGTGCGGTAAAGTATGTCTCCGAGCGAACGACCAGTTGCCGGAACCATCCACAGCTGTGGGGGAAGACGGCGCGCTATCAGCGTCTGCCGGACCGGCAAAGCTAGGCCCGAATGTTTGTACCTTTGCGGGCTTCCTGAGCAAAGGACCCCCTTCGTCTTCGGAGGAACCAGCGGTGTCGTAAACCGCATCCTCATGCTCGGCTCTCAACAATTCGTTCCTGAGGCGGCGCAGAGAGAACAATTGCCAGAAACTCTTCCATAATGGTGGCTGCTGATTGAACGAAACTCTACGAAACCGCCACTTTGGCACCCTGGCCAACGTAATTCCCCAACGAATGACAGGACCACAGAATACAAGAAGCGACAAGCCACCACCCCATAGGAGAGCCTTGAGAATGAGAATCTGGGGAGAAGAGGCAAGAAGTAGAACGTTGATAAGTGCGATTGACAGTAGCTGGAGCTCAGCCGTCAATAGACTTGTGGTGGTAAGATAATGTAAGACAACGCATAGACTTTGGTGAAGAGGGTACAGCAACACTGCTGTTTCTCCTGATATGAAATCTTCAGGGTGTTTGGTTTCGAAGTTTCCTCGCGTCTTTGGACTCCAGACCAATGGTATGCAAGTGATACCCCATGCTATAACATCGTAGGTGGCATATGAGTCGACTTTTGGAATAACGCTTTGTGGAATAGAAGCAAGACTCAGAACAAGGTTCGGAAGTATTGCGGCAGGGTTATTCGACGAGATCAGAAGTGAAACGAAGAGGGTAATTGCCGAAGGGTATAATATAGGAGCGGGGTCGAAATGTGCTGGCAGTTCGAGGGGTACTGTGTGGGATGGTGACTTCTTGCGGTAGGCCCAGGCCATAACCCGAATGGGATACAGAAAAAGGAGCCCGGCGTACAGAAGGCCGAGAAGTAAGATATCTAGAAATTGTGAGTCAATGGAATAAACAGTGGATAGAATATGTATACCTTTGCCCCATATCTTCAAGAGCTGCAAAACCTGTGAATTTGAAGCTACCATAAGGCCCAAAGCCAGAACAATGCCCGCCTCAGTTGCACGTCTTACAACCACCCGTCTTCGTCGTTTAAGAGCTTCGAGCAAACGTTTTGCTTCCGGTGTCTCAATAGGCGTAGGCGTCTTGTCGATGGTGCGTACAGTCTGGCCATCGGAAAGTGCTGGTGACGGAAGAGGTGACGAAGACCCAGACAGAGGTTCATTAATACCTCTCAGCCCTTTGTGCAAGTTTGACCTTGGCGCTGGTAAACCTCTCAAGTAATGTTCGTCGTCGGCTTCGGAGCCGCTATCGCTCGTCTGCGGAGAGTCCTTGAGAAAAGATGGCCATGTTGTCGATGATGTCTCGGGGGAAGCATCGTCACTGGTCTTGGCGGATTGCGCTTGGCGGTTGCGTAGAGAAAATCGATCCTGAAGATGCGGCAGGTCTGTACTCTGGTGGTGATACGGGTGAGGCGACCGCGATCGAGCTTGAATTATTGCTTGTTCTTCGGGGTCGAGGGCATTAAAAGAGTCGGGGCTGAGATGCTCTGTCATGACGAGGGTGTTCAAGGTGCCGCAACAGCAATCATCGAGTATGAATGGGGTTGCGCATGCGCATCGAGCAGTGTGAATGAGAGAGCGTCGCAAATGGATACGGATCAGCGGAATTAATGTGTTAATGAGAGTATAAAGGTGTTGAATTAAAGGCAATTCCCGTCTGTGGCTTTATCCACGGTGACGATTTTGTTGACAGAAGCTTGAGCATCTGTCTATAGGGCGGCCACATGTGAAAGTGGCCTTGTGCATCGGCCGTTTCGTCAGCCAACTAAACTATCTCCCAATCAAGACACAGAACTGGAACTACCAAAGCACGGCCACAACGAGCCACGATAATATGGAGTGGACAGTGGCTCAACATTGTGCAATAAGGATGTGATTTTCCAGAGTTAAGTTAAGCTTCAATTACCCGACAATAATAAAATTGTTACCTACTAAGATTGGTACGTAGCGAAGGAGTGAGTATATGCAAGCCGATATATGGATAAATCACTTTCTCATAGCTTGTCCATCACACATGTTTCTTAGCAGCAATCTTATTCCTTTGACGATATAATATCACGGCATTCCACTGCAATAGCTCCTCTGATGACTGGTACGTACTCGACAAGCTTAGAGGTAGGTACTTGCCTCAAAGGGAAGCTTATAAAATACACTTTCCGGATTTTAGAGTCCACAGGACAAGGAGACAGCAGCTGTCATGTGTCTAGCACGTTGGAGCCTCTTATGAGTTTTCCAATTGTCTTGTTGATGGAAAACAGCTGCAATCAAGTCATCACGAAATGCATGCCGTTTCTCTCTGTACGTCTCCCGAATGTGATGACCAGGGGTTTCGGGCGGTCTAAATTTAGGCATGCGTCTTTGAACCCTCAGCCAGTGGCAGACGCCAAATTAACTGCGCCTGTCCCCAGAAACTCCAGCATACGAGGTCCACACAGGCTGTGCTACGATCTCAAATACGCGTGTAGTTGTCAGTGTGATGATATACGTCAACCTCAACTTGCGACTTACTTCGGTATCGCAATGAAACCACCTGATGCTCTTCTTACCTAGTGGCGTGATACCATTGCCAAAATCGCAGGAGTTGACAACTGTTATCTTAGAAAGCATCGCACGGTCAGCGCTACGTATCAAGTGCAAAACGCCAAGGGTGCAGTATCAACGTTGTCAATAGCACATTGGCTCAGCCATTGACTTCAAAACCTAAAACTCGGTCAACTTCAGCTGTCCCACGATAATCTGCATGTTAACTGTCTGGTAGCAGCTTGTCTCGAATGGTATCTGCTGGTTGGGTAAGAAATGTGCTAAGCGTTGGCTAACTGAGATGACATGTCTCAGTCAAAGAAGTGTCTCAACCACAGGTGGACGATGGCTCGCCGGATCATGAAAGACTTTCAAAACTTCCACTGTTCCTGTTCTCCAAGAGAGGGGCTGGAGTTTCAAGCTACGAAGTTGAGGTGTAGTGACTTGAACAGCGATTCGGTTCATCATGACAGCCAAGGCCGTGTAACTATCAATAATAAATCATCTATCGGCCAACCATGCTGTTTCGACGACATTCCGGTTCGCAACGGAGTCAACGTATGTCAACTGCCAAACTTGGCCCCGCGGAGCATTTGCGGACATTCGTGTTTAGAAGGTGCGCACGATGATCATGGCAATTGCTCAATGGAAAAAAACTCTTGGTGATGGGCCGTGAGTTCCGGTCGCATACATCATTATCCGCTTGGCACATTACCAAATCCGCTTCGTCTTAAGACGGACACGCCGTTCGGAGCCAAGGACTGTGCACGTATCCATCCTCGATCTCACGTACAAGAAAATAAAAAAGCACCAAAAATAAGAATCAACCGAAATTTCTATCGTATTATTACCCAACATAATAGGACATATCCGTCATCACAATTGACGATCAACTCAGACCAGGGTCGTGGAGGAGTCTTGGCGATGTTGATCCGACACAATAATAACCAAGTTCAATGACCAGAAGGCGTCACTGGGTCCTATAATAATAATCAAGAACATCAATTGCACATATCAAGCAGGGGTTTTTTATGTTGCATCAAAGAAGAGCAGGAAGAAACTATGATATTGACGAAGCGTTAAGATTTGTGTCAACCCTGCTGACCTGGGTTTACTTGGACAGCCATCCAAGTGAGGCAGGCCGCGACCTCTTGCGACACAAGATCAACTCACAGGAAGGGTTGGATAAGGGAAGGCAAGAAGGCAAGCTGGCAAGCAACCTCAAAATCAGGGACAGGGTTCAGGGGTCAAACAGAGCGGGTCAAACATGGAATGATGACCGGGGCCATGCGGGCAGTAGAAGGCACATCTACTGGGACCAATAGCTTGGGTCTGAACGTTGACCCGCTCGTTGGTGCCGATGCTCATCTTTTTCTGTCGATTTTCTCGTATTCTCATGTCAGGGAGGCGATTGTCTCTCCCCCCTTTGACGTTTTCACATAAATTAAATTGATGATGGAGCCTGAGAGCTTTTTAAAGAATACGAAGAACAACACGATGCTCGTACTCTGTATGTGCATGAATGATTATCATGGCACACCAAAATTCTTGCAACAACATCGTCCGTTTACCGTTGCATCCACAGTGACATCACCCAAGTAGTATCTAGCGTCACGTTGGAGAGGCGCGGCGCCATCTACACGACGGAGGGATAGACAGGACAGGAACCAGGGGGCCAGAAGAGACCTGTTCTGTTGCAGTAGCTCTGTTGACAAAAACAACGATGCAATGTGGTTGGGTTGGGTTGGTTTAGATCTCATGTGCAGCAAGCACCTACCATCCCACATTGAAGATCGAAATTGTCACAGCCAACTTCAACAAGTCAGGCAAATGCAGTCACAGTTTTAGGCTCAATAAAGGCTAAAACACCCTTTAGTTTCTACAGCGATGTAAATTGCGAGCCTCAGCAGCTCCGCCCTCGTCAGATGTACATACATCAGGTCAGCCAGCCAGCCAGCCAGCCAGCCAGCCAAAAAAAAAAAAAAAAAAAAAAAAAAAAAAAAAAAAAAAAAAAAAAAAAAAAAAAAAAAAAAAAAAAAAAAAAAAAAAAAAAAAAGACTTCCCAAGGGCTGGCCAGGTAAGCAAACGCCTCACTGGACCTTATCGGCCAAGGGCTAGACTGACCTTGTTGAGCCGCCCCTTCGCGCCTAAACTCCACCCTAAGCACATCCCTTCCAAGCTCCCCGGGCTTGTTTACAGCGCGAAGGGCCGGGTTCTCAAGGGACAGCCGTGTAGCGTGGAGCCAGCCATCTGAACTTGGCCTGGCAGCTAGACAAGGACTAGCTTTCGGCCTAGGTAGCTTCGGGGAGGCTGTCGTTAAAAACTGCAAGCGGCTCCCTCCCAGGCCGAAAAAAGAAACACACCAACTGTTTAGTACATACATAGCGAATTGTCCAGACTTTCAACGACCTTTCTTCTCTTTTGCCACGACAGACAAAAATAAAGACTACAGCAACAAATCAAAGCCAGCTTACTTGGACCACTGTGATAGTCGTATGCAGCTCAGCCTCCTCTCGCCAAGACTAGCCTAGTTCTCGGGACTTTTAGCTGAACAGATCCCCCATCCATCATCAACGAACGATCCACTGGCATCACAAACGACAAGTTGCATTTGACACAAAACTCTCCTCTTGTGTTGTTTGCTAGAGATTGGCTTGCGTTGACTCAACTTGACGAACTCAGCTCGTGTAACGCCCAGTCACTCCACTGCATCCACTATCCACTGCCTCCACTCCCTCCCCCAGCACCTCCATCAACTGTCAATCTCTCTGTCCACTTGGGCTTCTCTCATCCGCACATCACCAGTTCTGTATCCATTGATAATAACTGGAACTGTGTTGACTCCTCCCTCGGACGCTAGAGACACCTCCTCAGAGACTCCTCTCTACTTGGCACACGACACCTTTCATCATCGATAAAGAGATCCGCTCCTCTCGTCAGCTGGCGTCTGCAGATTCTTAGACCCTAGCTTGTTTACTGTACTGCACTGTCTTCACCACTCGCATTCTGGGTCCTCACTACTGTACCTCGTCAACATCACCATCACTTCCTAGCCAGTCGTTTCTCGTTTCTTCCCCAAAAGCAACCCAAAAAAAGCTGCTTTGTTGGGTCCGCATATTCCTGGACTATTTTCAGCCGCTATACGTCCTTTGCATATTCGTCTCCAGTCTTTGCCTCGCTTGATATCGCTCTGATCGACTTACAAAACTCACCGTTCTTCCATCCTCCAAGTCTTTTTGTTCATTTGTACATCATGGCATCTAGCGACATCAAGCACGATTACAGCATGGAGGCTGGACTGTTGAACACTGACCGAGAAGAGAGAATCATGTCAAAGGAAGCACTACTCCAGGATTCGGAATCTGCCCATATCACCCCAAGGACAACTACCAGAAGGATATCCCCAGCAGGCAAGGCTTTGATTGCTCTGGCTGCTTGCTGTCTCTTAGGAGTCGGTGTAGCATCTATTGGCGGTGCTACTCGTTTCTGCCCTGGACATCTCCGCCATGGAGATCTCATGGGAAAGCATGGCATGAGCGGTCACCGAGCAAACCTTTCTGAGTCTATAGCACAGATGGTTCGACGACAAAACACACCAGCACCCACCGACACACAGGATTCTACCGCCGACCCTACTGATGCCGCTGTCGACGAAGCTTCTAATGAAGCTTCGGCACCAACAGCCCCAACGGCTCCCACTGCACCCACGGCTCCTACAGCTCCAACTGCCCCAACTGCGCCCACTGCCCCTACGGCTCCTTCAGACACCGCAGTGCCGCCCTCGGATACTGCTGAGGCGCCTACGGACCAGGCTTCCGCCACCCAGGAAGAGCCATCTGAGGAACCAACCGATGCTGCCACAAATGAAGCATCAGAGACACAGAACCAAGCATCAGTCACCCAACGGCCATCTGACACGAGTGAGCCATCCTCACCCTCGCGACCCGCGAGCTCTGAACTTGACGAACCGACCTCTAACCCGGACACAGGCCGACCTTCTGCCACTGCTGCCCAATCTACCGAGGAGGACTCTGCCACCGAGGATACTCCTTCTGCCACCCAGTCGGATGAGGAGCCTACTGAGCCTGCATCAAACACGGCTCCTACCCAACAGACTACTCGTCGTACCACAGAGACTCGACAGTCAACTCAGGAGTCCGACCCCGAATCAACCGCCGATGATTCCGCCACTGCCACTGGTACGTCCGACTTGGAAGAGGAACCTTCCGAGACTGCTCTCTCTTCTCGTGCTTCAACATCCAATCCTCCTGCTCCTAGTGCTACAACCTCCACTGCTGCCAGTACGTCTACTCGAACAACCTCTTTGCCTGATCCATCCTCTTTTTCTGAATTGCCGTCCGAAACGGTATCTTCGGGTGAGACAAATCAATCCACCGTCCTTGATGATACCTCCACTGTCGCCGATGCTTCCACTGCTTTCGACACTGACACTGCCACTGTCCCCTCATCCACTACTGACGACGCGAGCGATGTCCTTTCCGATTTGACCTCGGAACCAGCTTCCAAGTCAACACAGGAGTCAGGTACAGCGTCGCAGACTTCAGAAGAAAGAGAGACAACCACCGGTATGTGGGATGGATCAGCAGCAATAAGACCATCCACCGGGTCATTGATGCGGGTCCAACTCCCCAGCCTGCTGTGATATTTTTACTTCGTGCCATTTTCCCGTAAACCGAATGCCCTGACCTCGTGACTTACGCAAGTGCGCCAAAACCGGGACAAGTCGTTTATTGTCACATTGATTATTGTTCTCATGACACCTGCCAAACAATTTTGATGATCGCATTTGCTAACTCAATCACAGACGACCAGGAAACTGCAACTCAGACCGACGAGGCTACACAAACCGATGAGGATGAAACCACAACTGAAACAGAGTCCGCGCGAAGAACTATCACCGGCACAGGTACCAAGGCAACCTCTAGCGCTATTCCTAAGACCTACACCTCGACACTTGAGGATGGCGGTGTCACCACATTGACCTCAACCTCTTGGGTTGAAGTTGTCCCTTCTGCTGCTGCTACTGGCAGCAACGACCCTGACCTCCAGAACGCTGCTCCTCGATCAGTTGGTTCAGTCCTGGGTGCAGTTGTTGGTATGGTCTTTGGCGGTTTCATTCTTCTGTGAGCAGAAGACTATCTTCACATTTCTCCGCATCACGCGACGATCACCACACAGTCATTGTGGTAGATGAACAAAGCTGTTCGGTCATGGACGGCAGCTCATATAATATGGGCTCATTATGAATTTTACGGTCCTTTCCTCACGGGTACAAAATTGGGTAAATAGAATAGGACAACATCAGACGCTTGGGTATATGGGGAAGCGTGTTATCATTAGACGAGAGCTTCCACGTAAGGTTGCATCTCGAAGGAGATATGGATCATTAATTGGGCGCTTAGCATATTAGCAGACAGCGATCGTATCTAAAGGCATAGTACATGAGCGAATACAAGCCATTTGCTTAGTTCTGTATCTTGATGATAGGCTATGACAAAGATCTGATGTGATGTTATTGTAGTATGCTTGAAGTTGTATACATCCCATTGAGATATTACAAGCTGCATACGCCTACTAGCTGGCAATGCACTATCAATCTTGATAATAAAAAAAAGAGTGTGGCGCTAGGGAATAATGATCAAGTTCAACAAGGCTGCATTATCACTACAATGTTTTATCAAAATAGAAACTCTACAGAGGTTGCGACAGTGCTGTAGTTATAAGCTGTATGCCACTGATTGTCATGAGTCAATGAACAAATAGAATGGGCTAATGGTTGATTAATTGCTGAAATTCGAGGGTATAACCAATGAACGCCAATAACTTCCGTATGACCGCATATGCCCTTTTCGCCATCTTCCATCCTGGCGTCTGTTCAGCCAGGACCTATCCTAGGCATATCATGGTGCTCGCTTAGTTTTGACAAGTATGTGTTAAGTTCCTCGACACGCTCTTTGTGTGTCTTGAGAAGCTCAGGTCGTGACCCAGACGATTCGGCCAGTTGAAGGAGCTGATGATCATGTTAGTAAGATGCGCTTGAACTTCAGACTGGACGCGCTTACCCTCTTCTTCTTAATTTCTTCATGGCGCTTCTGAGACTCGGTTTTCTGCACCTCCGGCTTCTCCTCGTCATCTTCGTGGCGAGGCTCATCGTCTCCGTCCTTCTTCTTCCTCTTCCTCTTCTCTTCGTCCTTGCTTCCAGTGTCGAGGTTCTTCTCTAGATCGGTCTTGTCGCGCTTCTTCTTTTTCTTATTGATCTTGGCGCCCTTAAGCTTCAAGGCGCCCCCGCCACCGACGGCAGCATAATCGTCGGACCCCATGTTGTTATGTTGTGATGCCAGGAGAAGAGATGGCAAAGGTTCCCAGGACCATGTCGTTGAAGTAAGTCGGGTGACTAAGCATATCGTGGCGGTGCAAGTGGCTGACCCACCACTTGAAACGGCAAGGGGGTTGTGGCTCGTTGCTGTTTTCGGACCATACGCGGAAAGGAATAGGAAGCAATTGCATAGACAAAGCAAAGCTTCCTTCCTCGTGATGAATTGAGGAAGGTCTCCTATCTTGGTCCTTTCCATTCTTTGTCTCGTCCACATCAAGCACCCCACTTACAAACAAACATCCCCTTTTTTGGTGCTGAATTAAATAAAGACTTCATGAGCAATCAATTTGATCATTGATGAATACAACTGACTCTTCTTCTTAATTGTACTTTTATACCCCCCATCTTTAATCTCGACCGCTTGAAAAACGACATCTGCTTCTACACGACATCGATCCTCACAGATCCTCCTTCACGAATCTTCCATTGCGATACTTCTCAAAACATACGCTCGAGACTTGCGCGACTCCCAATCGTTATGCGCCTTTGCTGTTAGCAGCTGAAATCCGAACTCAAACACTGGTGGATTATACTTGGGAGGGGAAATATCGATTGACCCGTCGCTAAACAAGAGGAGGAAGGACAACGACAAGACGAACCACCATGGTGCCCTCTTACGGTCAACCGGGGAACACGAGGGACTCGCTCGAACTCGCATCTTTGGCAAGTTCGAGCCAGCTCAACGATGAGGGGGCAACAGAAATATCGTCCCGGCAGAGTATATCGTCATCGCGAAGACTATCTCTCGAGCTTGACGACCCATTGAACAGCGCTAATCCCGCGAACCCCGGTGGGAGAATGCATCGATCATACTCGACAACGTCAGCCTTCGAATACTCAGGCAATATGTTCCCTCTGAGCTCAACCACAGGTGCTGAAGGCTATGCCCCCATTGGTGCCTCCAACTCCAGGATGAGGCCAGCCGGTGGCTTGGGTGGGGGGTCGTTAGAAAAGAGCAAGAACTTGACATATCTTAACGGATTGTCACTAATCGTCGGACTAATTATCGGCTCCGGCATTTTCTCGTCGCCAGGTGCGGTGAGCAGTAAAGTTGGCTCACCAGGCGCTGCGCTACTTGTCTGGATCATCGCCGGTATCCTTGCATGGACAGGTGCCGCATCGTACGCTGAGCTCGGTGGAGCGATGCCACTCAACGGAGGCGCTCAGGTGTACTTGGCAAAGACGTTTCACGAGGTTTTTGGTTTCTTGTTCACATGGGTGGCTATGCTGGTTCTCAAGCCTGGTAGCGCCGCCATCATCGCCATCATCATGGGTGAATATCTCGTTCGCGCATTCATTGGTCCTGACGCTGAGTATGTCAACCCTTGGATCAATAAGGCTGTTGCGCTCGTTGGGCTCTTGATCGTGACATTCTTAAACTGTGTTTCCACAAAGCTGGGGACGCGTGTGAATGATGCACTCATGTTTATGAAGTTCATCGCTTTGATCGGGATCACAATCACCGGTATCGTGGTGATGATAACGGGAAAGACGCTCAAGGGCGAGTCGGAAGTCGACTGGAAACCGTCTGCGCTGTTTGACAACACATCGACAGATATGTCCGCTTGGGCTCTGGCGCTTTACGCCGGCCTTTGGGCATATGACGGCTGGGATAACGTAAGTGGTACACTAGCTAAATTATGAATCCGGAGTGCTAATATAATTTAGACAAACTACGTTGTTGCCGAGTTTCAAAACCCGGCCCGAGACTTGCCTCGAGTCATCCATACAGCAATGCCCTTGGTTATTCTCTCCTATGTCCTGGCTAACATTGCCTACTTTCTTGTTCTGCCTCTCAAGAGCATGGACGGCGCCAACACGGTTGGTGTCATGTTTGGCAGCCATGTTTTTGGCCCTGTCGGCTCCCTTGTTCTCGCCCTCATCGTCAGTGCCAGCTGCTTTGGTGCTCTCAACTCCTCAACTTTCACCTCCAGTCGTCTCGCTTACGCCGCTGGCAAAGAGGGCTATATTCCATCTATCTTTGGCACTATTGGTGTTGGAGCCAGTCCTCATGAGCATGAGCTCAGCACCCTGCGTACTCGCAGCTGGTTCACTCGTAAGATGAGACAAATGTTTGGCGACGAGGATGCAGGGCTCTTTTATACGCCAATATACGCTCTCATCCTCAATGCTGTTCTTACAACAGGATACATAATTGTGGGCGAGTTCAGCACCCTTGTCACGTTTTATGGAGTTGCCGGCTATGCTTTCTACTTCTTCACCGTTCTCGGCGTAATTGTTTTGCGCGTTAAGGAACCTGAACTGCCTCGCCCTTACAAGACGTGGATCACTACACCCATCATCTTTTGTTGTGTTAGTATCTTCCTTCTCACACGCGCTGTATTTGCGCAGCCCTTCCAGACACTCTCGGTCGTGTTCTTCGTGGTGGCAGGTGTGCCAGTCTACTTCTGGCGCATCAGAGGGCGCGATGAGCAGGTCTTGAGAAGAAGAGGGCATTCCGATGAGGATAAGAAGTGGTATCAGTTTTGGAAATGATCATGATTTGAGAGATGCACGACAGCATGATAGGGGTTTGAGAAAAATGACAGCGGGTACATGTCATGACGGTGAAACACAGCGTATGAAGTTATAGCGAGATGAAGTTTGACGATGGCTTACATAAGGAGGCATATCAATATAGCGACTATGCATGTGTATTATTAGTATAGTAACAAAGTAAAATAAGATGAAAATGAAATAAAGTATTCTGCTTCCAAAACTGATCCCAGATAATCCACTGACAAGCTTTCTGTAAGCTCTTGAACGCAAATTTTATACGCATAAAATGATCACTATTAGACTACCAACAATGCTGGTTACCTCAGTATCCCACGATACAATTCAAGATGGAGACGTGCCGATAATGATAGGTCTAATGGTCGGGGTTGATGTTTTCTTCTCCAGTAGAACTGCTGTTTCTCAAGAAGACTTTGGTAAGTTTCCATGATGCTAGCTTTTAAAGGGGGCATTATGATCCAAAGTCGAAGATAAAGTAGTAGGTCGATCGAAGTAAACATTAAAGCATCAAACTTCATACAATAGGTCACTATGAGAAAAAGAAGGTATAACTTTAACAAATTGTATTATCTGCAGCGCTGATTACTTTTGACCCGCGTCTATAATGCAGTTGATCCAAAACTATTCATCATCATGTAAATATCATTCCTTCCTTTATGAATACATCTATTTCTTCTCACGCTGACCATAGGCCTTGGTGGCGTAGTCACCCTGGTAGACAATGAGATCGGTAGGGTTGTAGTCGTGGCGACCAGAGAGGTAAGAGTCGATGATAGCCTTGGTACCGTTGGCGTATCGGATCTGAGCATCCAGAGAGGTACCGGACATGTGAGGAACCATGGCGTTACCACCGCCCCAGTTGTTCTTGGCGTTTCGCAGAGGGTGCTCCTTGGGAGCGGGCTGGTGGTCCCAGACATCACCACCGTAACCGGCGAGGTGGCCAGACTTGAGGGCAGCGGCGACGTCCTCCTTGACAACGATGGCGCCACGGGCGGTGTTGACAAGGTAAGAGCCCTTCTTCATCTTGGAGATGAGGTCCTTGTTGAACATGCCCTTGGTCTTCTCGTGGAGGGGGCAGTTGATGGTAACAATATCACACTGAGCGAGCATCTCCTCAAGAGTGTCGACGCGGCGGCAGCCAATCTCCTTCTCGGTCTCAGGAGAAAGGGGCTGGTAGTCGAAGTAGAGGAGCTCCTTGCATTCGAAAGGCTTGAGACGGCGGAGGACACGCTCACCGATGCGGCCGACAGCGACAGTACCGACAACCTTGCCCTCAAGATCAAACTCCTGCTTAGCAGCGTGGGCGACATCCCATTCACCAGCCTCAATCTGCTCGTGGGCAGGGACGAAGTTGCGGATGAGAACGAGGATGGTCATGAGAACGTGCTCAGCAACGGATACGACGTTGGAGCCAGTGACCTCAGCGACGGTGATACCGCCGTTGGTTGTGTTGGCAGCGTTGAGGTCGACGTGGTCGGAGCCGATACCAGCGGTAACAGCAAGCTTGAGCTTCTTGGCCTTGGCCAGACGCTCAGCGGTCAGGTAACCGGGGTGGAAGGGAGTGGTGATGATAATCTCAGCATCCACGAGCTCCTCGTCGAACTTGGAACCCTCACGGTCCTTGTCGGAAGTGGTGACAAGAGTGTGACCTTGGTCCTCGAGCCACTTGCGGATGCCGAGCTCGTTCTCAGTGGTTCCGAGAAGGAGGGGTTGCTATGAAACATATCAGTTGCTGTTGGCCATGAAGATACGATTTGAGAAGTGATTGAGGGGTAATGATGCAGGACTGAAACATTGGGTGTAGGTTGGGTTGCATTGTTGTCACTCCAGGCGCCTGCAGTGTAAACCACATGAGAGCCATGAAGCTAGACACTGCCACCCAAGCATTACTCCCTGATGCTGTTGAAGATGTTGCCCAGATGTTGCCCAGACATTGCCCCGCATCAGTAGGCTGATAGTGGCTGATTCCCATGTAGTGAGACCATTTCCCCGCGTTTGAGATCGACAAGCGTGGAGAGATGGTGTGTGGGGAGATGTTTGTGGTTGTCGGTAGATGTGGAAGTGTTTGAGGTAGAATCAACGACCATTGAAGGTAATTGACAGAACAGTGAAGAGAAATCAAGCTGTAAAAGAAACATGGGAAAACATACATCCTTGGCGTGCTGGCCACCGTCGTAGAGAACTGCAAGAACCTTGACCTGTTGATGTGTTAGATGAGGCTCAAGAGGATATTGGAGAAGTGGGTTTAGAGGAGAATGCTTACCATTTTGGCGGTTGTGAAAAGGGTTGTTTGTTTTGTTGGAAAGGTGAGAAGAAGGAAGAAAGATGATGATGATGATGAGAGTGAGGAGGAAAGAAAGTAGAATATCGAGGGTCCAATGCCAGATATTTATGCTCTCGATGGAACACCATGACTATGTGTCTTGTCACCAAGTAACGGGCACCCAGTGTGTAACGGATGCCCTCCACACGAGACAACACGGAAACAGCCAAGGATCCACATCTCACACACTGCAGTGCAATGAATGGATTGCTGCATGTTCGCCATGAACGGGATAGGAACCGTGGCACGGTCGAGGTCGGCCGAGGACTCGCTCACACAGCCTAACAGCGAATCTCCATCGATCCCGCGAATCCCGAAGCTGTCGGCATTCTGAGCCTAGGAGGGGTCAGGGGTGTCATGGCATGTGTGTACGGAACAGTAGAGTGCAGTAATGGTTTGGTAGGCGTCAAAGTCTGGAAGCTTTCTCCATCTGCATCTCCATAGAGCTGGGTAGAGGATGAGGCGACTACAAGCGCCGAGAATGGCAACCGATAGGAGACCGGACTCTGAATAGCGAACCCCATGAGATACATGTCTTACAGTAGTGAATTGGCGCTTTTCACAAGTATCTTAGCCACGGCGACCGGCCGATGAACCGCTAGATGCCGTCCCAAGATGAAAGCGCCGCGACAGATTAGAGCGGGGGAACGCGTGTGAGTGCGACCACACTCTCTTGAGAATGGGCTTACCGGAAGAGGAAAGTATGGCTCTTCCATGATGGAGGGCATATCTCGGTGTTCGGAGTTTGCTATGACTTAACCTTGACTGGGGAGAGCTCAAGGTGGAGGACAGAAGCTATGGCCACGAACCAATCATGGGGAGCGATCTTGCCTGAGACCCTGTCGAGGTGGGGTATCGAAACTGCCTCTTTTGTACGGTACGACGGAAGGAAGCGGGGTTGATCCAACCTCCCCTCAGAGCTTCAACTAAACAGTACAGCATGACACGACACGACACGACACGACACGGCAGGTGCGGTAGACTTGCCCGTCTTTTGGAACAATTCACAGTAATAAACTACATTATGGGCTTGGGGCTTCTCCAATTGAGAGAACATTCGAATCATTTTCCGTTGGAGAAAGAACAAGCTAGGGACATAACGTCCGCTCGCTAACATGACATGGCATGGGATTGTGTAAGTGGGGGACCATTGATCATGATGGAGGGATGATGCCGTAACAGCTACTGCTGCACTGGACTGCATTGCACTGCAATCTCCCACCAACATACTACGTAAATCTATTCGGGCTCCAAAATTACGGAGGCCGATTGTGGGATCTGGGTTATCAAGGACATGAATCCGCTGGCAAGATGATATCAATGATGATACATGTTGAGCAGAACCACAGATGGGCCGACTACTTATCCACTGAAATTCTGATAACATAGCAACTACACTGATAGCAATTGATCACCCTGCAATTACCAACACCGAACATCTCCCCTCGTCTCATATCTGCATGCCGTGTTCTAATCCCGCAGCAGTCCCTTGTTCATTGACAAGCCTATTTTCCCGAATCATATGCCTCAAACACCAATATTATTACTTTGTAATTCTATTCTATTCTCGTCCAACTAGAGCCCTTTTTTTTCCTTGTCCGTCGCTATTCGGCATCCCGCCGCCCGGCCGTAGCGCCCCGTTCTCCGATTTGGATGTGGGGGCAACCTATTCGCACATTCATCTCCGGGATAACTGTGAAAGACAAACTTGCAACGCCACATAGTAACGAGCCAAGCTTCTGGATTCAATCTATTCACATTCGTGTGCATGACCTAAACTAGCTAGGTAACATTGGATCATGAGCTTACTTTGAAATGTTACCCCGCATTCTCACATGGGTTTTGATGTTGGTCAGGAAAGTGACGCTTTTCTAAATTGAATTATGAGCGCCATGTAAATTCATACGACCATTTCGTATGGCCTCACAGTAGTCTCGAAATGTCAGAAGACTGTGCTGTTTATTTATCATTAAACCTGCACGCTCATTTGTCTGAATGTTATCAGTAACTCACGCCTCCACGTATTCTCAGGTGAAATACCCTATAGTTATCCCCGGACAACCGGCGACTATATCCAACCTTCAAGGTTCTCAGGTCTCCCTTGTGACTGTTTAGGTCGACATGTCCCACAACGCCGTAACATCTCCGACCTGTCAGGTAAGAGTAACAGGACTTTAGTCTCCCTAGTCTTAGTGAGGCTACTCAGTTGCCCCTGGCGTTAGTGGTGGTCGTTTCCCCGCCGGAGTCTGAAGCCGACGTCGGGAATACTGTCTCCGCAACTCGACGTTTACGATTTACTGTTAGACTCGGATGACGAGACATATCCGAAACTCAATACTCTAGGCGTCGTCTTTGCGATTCATGGGAAGCCAAAGTCTTTGACACCTTCACCCTCACACAGAGCAAGTCCAATCCAACCAGCCTGATCACTTGGGCCTGCATCGTGAGATGAAAAATTTTATGCCTGAGTTTTTAGCCCGTAGAGGCAGTTTCGTCTATTTGATTGCAACATGAAAGCTCAAGGATATCACACGTCCCAAAATCCGGCTATCAAGATCCGTAAAGCGCCGTCCCAAGGTATGGTCCATATCCATGGACAACCCGCTGAAATCCTTACCTACCCTACCCTGTCGGGTCACTTTCAAGCAAAAACAACCACACTGAACCACCCTTTTTCCAGTCCGTATGTCCTACATGAGAAGTCCAAGCAAAAAAGGGACAGGTATTGGTATATGTCCATCATCGTCATAATCGTCATCGGAATCACTCGAATAACCCCCCTCGCCCCATTCGCCTTCGCCGTCCTGATCTCCTTGGTCGTTTTCCTCGTCTTCTTCGCCTTCCATAAAGCCAGGGAAAAAGTCAAGACCGTCGTAACCATCGCTATCGAGATCCGAATCGTCTGTGTCGTCAATCTCGTCGCTCACCGAGCCGTACTCGAAATCCTCGGGATCCTCTTCATCTCCTCCGATGGCGTTGAGCATCTCTATCACCGTAGGCTCAGTGTAGACAATGTCAAGTGCTTCCAGGACCTTTCGGCCCTCGAACCTCAAGACCTCGTTCTTCGGAATCGCTTGCTCCACGAGTTCCTTGACGTCCTTGTCATCCAGTGTCTTCACGTCAGTCCTCAACCCAGCGGAGATCAATTGGTTTGTAAAAGACCAGTTGAGTTGTGGTATGTGATAGAAATTTGGCTGCTCAACCTCACGAATACCTTTGCGGGGCTCCCAAAAAATAAGAGATGACCAACATTCCCGATGCAGTCGTTCTGGCTTGTCGCGCAGTGCATTTGGATGCTTTAGAAGGATCTGACATGCTTGTGGTTGGTACCCATTGGTAATGGTATACATAAAAGCCCCATCTGGCATAGATTTTGTCGGCATGTAGATGTCCGCACCTGCATTCACCAACACAGGTGTCGTCCGCCAGCAGGAGGCTGATTTGAAACTGTAATACAACGGAGGCTCTCCATTGAACAGCTCATTGGGGTCTTGGCCCCGGTCAAGAAGTATTTGAATCAGACTCGATGGCTCATCAGCGATTGGCGAAGGCTTCTCCAAGCAGCGATAGATCAGTCCTTCGCAGAGCTCCTTTGGTACCACCACTGATTTCATCAAATCAGCCGCCCTTGTCCAAAGTTGCTCATTGAGCGCTTTCTTCAAGAGGTCCAGCAAGAACTCCTCTGATGGCCTTGTCATGCCGTGTTTAGAATAATCGATGCGTAGGATGAACTCAGTCTTTCCATCATCGTACGAATCATGCACAGACGCTGCGAGGATACTTTCTAGGTCGCCTTCTTCCGGCCGACCGCCGTTCTCCAGAATTGCTTGTGCGAGGTTCAGGTTACCATGCACGACGGCCGCTGTAAAAGGGCGAGCCTCAGAAACGCCTTTCTCGTTTGGATTGGCGCCGTGCTCGATGAGTAGCTTGACCAAAGCAGCGTGTTGATCGTCCCACTCGCGGTTGAAGTATGGCTCGCATTGTCGAGAGCAAATGATGTTCAAAGGAGTAACCTCATCCAATGAATCCTGAAATGTTGCTCCCGCATCCAGCAGCATCTTTGCAGAATCGTATAAACCAAGAATAGAAGATCCTTCAGCTGTCTCGCCAACGCGTGCAAGTGCAGTCAGGCCATCATTATCACACGCGTTGACATCGGCACCGCCCTCGAGTAACGCTTGTATGGCGTCGGTGTTGCAGCCTGCACTTGCAACCATGAGTGGTGTCATTCCGAGAACGGCTTCCTTTGCGTTGACATCGAAACCCTTGGCAATGAATTTTTGGATAATTTCGGCCTCAGAAGTGTTGCTCAGAGGTTTCGTGGGGGGAGCAAGAGGGTCGAAGAAGTCTTCTGGCCGGAATCGACGCGACCCAAGGATCAAGTGAAGAATGCTGAAGCGATGCACTGACAAAGTACTGACATCTGCGCCCAAGTCAATGAGTTTGGAGGCGTCATCAAAACGACGTGAGAAACAGGCCATCATGAGCGGGGTCAAGCGCGTCTCGATAAGTCTTCTATTCAGGTCGGCGCCATGCTCGAGAAGATATGGAACTATTGTGTCCCAGCGACCGTACCATATGGCCTGGAATAATGGGGTGCCCATGAATGGTCCTTCGACATTGATATCTTCCTGGTGCTTTTCGTCCAGAAGAAACTTTACTAAATCCAGCATATCGTGTTTGGCAGCGTGATGCAGGGCCGTCAGCTTGAACCGACTCGAGTCGTGAGCAACATCGTCATCTCTCCAAGCATTGGGATCCAGCTCAAAGTCAATTCCTTGATATATAACCGTTGAAGCCCCGCGTTTCAGGAGGAATTTCGCCGTATCGAATTCTTTGTGACATATAGCGACATGTAGGGGAGTCCAGTTTCCTCCGTGTAAATCTTCAAGTTCTCCTTCGTCAACGGCCTGTGACTCGCTGAAGGCTTCTATAGGCAAGTGCGGACGACACAAGCACACGCCCCAGGACGGCGCGTCAATGGAAGCGCCCGCATCTAAGAGGATCTCAATCATGTCAATCCGACCCTTGCTTGCAGCAACATGTATAGCCTCCCATCTGCAATCACTGAAGATGCCGTCATCGCAGCCACTTTCGAAGCAATCGCAAGCGTCATGTAGCACGTATGATGCATCCAAGTCAACAGATTGATCGTCGTCTTGAACTCTCCACATAGGATCATCGTAGTAACTCGAATGGTAGTTGTACCACTTATGCGAAGGGTGGATGCGAGGTTTGGGTCTATGTGTGTAGGCGAGACGTGAAGGGCTGACACCAGCTTTTAGAGCACGGCGCAAGACTCTGACATCTCCGTTCTCGACTGCCCAGTGCAGGGCGCCGGGTCTATCAGATCGAGCTTCGCGTTTCCATAGAATCGGGCTTGCGATATCGTACCAGTGTCGGTTGGCGCGCGAGAGGGCAGCTATATCGTATTTCTTATTTAGGAACGAGGCGATGTTGTGAAGGACCTCATTGGGAAGCCCGTCGAGCGAAGGCATGGTAAGTGACGGGAGGAAGAACCGGTCGATTCGACGTTGGTGGATGAAGGGAAGGAAATAAAGAAAAATAGAACAAGGACAGACGAGAATAAAGAACTGGGGAAAAAAGTTGAGATAGCTACTAAGGCAATGAGGGGACCACTGAGGAGGTTTCTAGGTCCTGTACTGGTGTTCCCGCCCGGAGAATTTTCAGGTGTAAAAAAAAAAAGGAAGGAGACCTTCGCAGAGATGGAAACAAACAATTACGATTAAAAAAACACTGGTGATCCCTGTTATTAAGATGCTATTCATCCGTACTAATCAGCCTGCTATAGTTGATATAATTTCTATTATTATTAGAATTATCTAGTGGTTAGTTTACTCCTTCATTGTAAAAGACGTTTGATATAGGATACTAATCTTTAAGGCATCCAATAGATTGGCCTAATTACCTGCTGTGCAGTTCCTTTGTTCCTGTGGCACTTGAAGTTGCCCCCGCAATTCGATGACGAGTGTCGGGTTCCAGCAAAGTTACGCTTTCACTGTCGCTTCGAGGGCCGGTCCACTAAATGCAGATCATAGTTATGGAAAAACTGCCCGAGCGTCTGGGACGCTAGTAATTGTTTGGTTGAAACATTCACGTATGAACCGATGGCAATTGTATCTCTGACAATTATCCTGAGCCCAAGCTTGAAGTTAAGCAGGTAAATATCATCGTTTGGAGTTGCCTTCTGGAAGCCATATGTTACAAAGACGGCTCTGTATAACGTGATCAGCCTATAGAGTTACAACTTCGAAATCAGTGTAACATTAGGAAATGGACAGCAATTTGGTCAGATACCTAAAATGAACAGGACACAATGAAGAACAAAAACCCTCGTTTTTCCATTTTTATTTGATAGAGTCACATGCAAATATCACGCTATCCTGAGGAAACACAGCCCCAGTAGAGACTATAGTCGGCCCAATTCTGCCTTTTACTCTAATGTGGGAAGCCGACCAACAGAAATATGAGGGGGGCTTGGATGGAAGGCCTCACACCCTTGAATTAAGCACGGCTCTAGGCATACTAAGAATAGAGGAGTCAGCATTATATATAAAGTGAACCATTCGGGCTTGTGGTGGTATAAGTTTGTTTTCCCTCGTCAAACATCTCCTAGCATTATCATTACAATCAATACGCCCAAAAGGTGAACCTGCAACATGGTCGGTGTCGGAAAACCGCGACTGGACAAATATGACAAGATACTCTCACGGCTCTTTGAGAACCTCGCCCTCTTTCACATTCTCAAACGAGTAGATGGCCCTCACGCTGCCAATGCTTATGTTCCCGCCACTCTTCAAGATGCTAGGCGTAGGTTCTTGAAGAACTTGAGCTTTATCTGCGATTACAGAAAAGGGGGAGATACCACGACTTCCATGGCTCTCGAGGACAAGCAGAAAAGTGTCGTGTTCTGGATTGCAGCAAACTTAACTCCGAATGATAAAGTTATATCGTTTCTTACCGAAGTACTCAAATTGCTAAGAGAGGAACCTAAAGAGACCGAGGGAGAGCAGAAAGTTTTGAAGAATAAACTCGCAAAGATATGTGCCGAGTTTGCTGCACCAAGACTAAAAAAAGAGTGCAAGCTGTTACACAGAGCTACCAGACACTGTGAGAAGTACCTCAAGTTAGATACTGACACAGTTCAACAGCCTGGTAAGTCTGACTCGACCCAGGAAACCGATGTAACTAACAGAAATCCAGGAAAAAACGCATTGTTGAAGTGGCTGTCTCAGTTCTCATATTCCACAGAAACTGATACTCTTGCTCTATGTCAGATAGCCTACGACGCTCGACACGACCCTCAAATGACAACTCTGGGAACTTTGAGCCAGCAGCTTAGTGTGGCACCCCCGGAGATTGCGAAGACATTTCGAGCTGTCAGGCACTTCGTCGGCCGCCTAGCTGAGAGAGTGCGCGTGTCTACACACCTAGTTCAAGATTCTCTTCTACTAGGGTCGCTTCTCAATTCATACGAAATAAGACGAGTGGATGCTCCTATCCCAGCAAAGGTCCCCCCTGCGGATGGCCTGACGAATTTGAACTCGATAGTCAAAAGAATGCTGCCAGCAAACGACCCCCGTCTTGAGGATATGCAGAGCTACGTTGCTTGGTTGAGTGGCCCAATGAATCTTGAAGAGGCGATCAAGAACATGTACGATGAGGATTCAGGCCAGCTGTGCGTGCATTCCGAGGTTCAAATGCTGGAGGAGTTTCACCGCAATCGACGCAACTTTGTGGGCAGTGATCGATACATAGCTTGTAGTAAGCTTGCGTGCCTCTGTTGCAAGTTTTACTTTAAACACCACCCCGGGATGTTCGTGGAACCGGAATCCCATCAAAAGCCCTACCTGAATTGGAGACCTGTGGAGTTACCTGGTGGCAGGGAGAATATGCATTGGTTGGATCAACGTCGTGTGTTGGCAATGCTCAGCAGTGAGTTGGGCAAGGCCGTGGAGATGCAAATTGTTAGTCAACAACAACCCAACCCGTGGCAGCCGGACTCTATGACGAACATTACGTCGAGTATGGCGGCATTTGATCTCTCCAAATCTCAGGAAATATCTGGTGACGATGAAGGAAGGAGTGAGGGTGAGTTTTATTTGCATTTGACATGTTAGAGACTGACGCTCATAGACTCTGCTTCGCTGGCACACTTGAACGAAGGTGAGTTCAGCGATGGATTTGTTGATGTCACATATGAACATAGTGAAGATGAAGATGACGGGGGTGTAGGCTTGGAAGATTAGTAATTTCAAGTTGAGTAAACAAGTACCCTATAGTGATGGGTTGTTACATTGGATATAGCTTGACAAAGATAACGATTGAAAGGAGTGTGTTTGAAGATTACTACCAAATTACTACCAACTATCACCTCCTGACTCTCTTCTTCCCACCATGCATCTCTCGCTCATGTCTACTCAAGTTGCATTTACGAGTGAACCACTTATCGCAGAACCGACACTGGACAGTTTTCCGCGAGCGATGCGTTCCGTAATGCCGGCGCATATCCTTCTGACAAGAATCCCGAAAGTTACAGCCAGACCACGAACAGTAAACAGGTTTCAGATGCGTTCGAAGATGATTACTTAGATCCGAGGTTAGCGATAAAAAGGAGAGGAGAGGATGGCTTGAACTCACTTCCTCATGCGATTCTCTTTAAAGAACCTGTCGCATTCGGGCCAAATGCAGAGCCATTTTCCATGCTCTACAAACTCGTTGTTTTTCAGACGAATGGCAGGATCTTCTTTGAACGTCTGATTGCTGGTTATATCGGAGCCTGAGTTGTTGCCGGCGGAGTTGTCGGCAGGAGATGAACTGAAATCTGAAGCAACGACATCAAACAAATGCGCTGATATTCCGTCGTTTCCCAACGCCGCAGATGATGAGTCAAGAATGGTATCGTTCGTCTGGTCGCACGCTGAACCTACGCTCTATAGAGCGGCTGCGGTGACTGGTGAACCAGTGAGCGATGCCATCTTGGAAACATCATCCGAGACGGTGGGAAGATCAAGAAACGGTACCGGAGGATTTGAGAACGCAAACTGAACTGAATCGATGTCGTTGAGATGCGAATCCATCCCGAACATCGGCGAAGAAAGGTCAACTTCAGAAAAGCTATCGCAGGACAGAACCGCTGAACCCGCACTCGCACCAAACATACCCTCTTGGTTCATCGAGCCAAGAGAAGCGGCGTCTGGAGACCAAGAGCTCACATAAAGCCATTGATCCACATTCTGGTGAGATGTCACCAGAGGTAAAGAAAAACCGCCGAAGTCAGCTCCGGGGACTAGAGACGGGTCGGTGCAGCGTCAGTACAAGCGACTGGTGGAGTAACCCCAAATAATGACTCGAGACAAACACTTACCATCGAATGAATAGTCCGAGTCTACGAAACTCTGTTCCGTAGACCCGTCCTGAGTCTGGGGTACTGATTGATAGTCGCTCATGAACTAGATTATTCCCGTTGAAAGAAAGATGGTTTGTCAATGGATAGGTAACTGAAGAGGGGAGCTGGCTTTATATTTTGCGAGAATACTCTCCAAAGATAGAGTGTTTCCCCTCTCAGTCTTTCCATTGCGCAAAGATAATCAGCAATGACACTTTGAAAAGGCATTTCTGCAACCTCTTGGCACGGCAAGTTCCAATCAAAGCCCTGACACCCCTCAATCACAGGTACAAAAAAGTCATATCATGGGCAAATGGTTGGTCGGTTGGTTGAAAAGTGTAAAAATACCCGCTAGGGGAGGCCTACCTGTCTTGGCTGAATGCAATTGGCTTATGAGGAGGGTTGGTTGCATGCAGCTCGGGGCTACGGGAGCTTTGACTTAGACTGATTCATATGAACCAAACAGAGAAACAGGCGATGACTTGGAGATAACTCAAAAGGGCATTTTGGGTGTGCTCCAACTGAAAGTGCCCTGAGTGCTTATTGGAGATGAGAGTTGACCGATCAGACTTGTGCCTGGCGAACTGGAATAAGTCTGCAGCCAACACCTGTCAACCAATGCCTAATAATAACCTCAATGGATATCGATACTGTTAACTCGAAACTGCAGCAAGAGACTTCACGCTCTTGACTCCCAACCAACACCGACATTTAATACCCTATCTCTTCGGCTCACAAACGTTGCAATAATCCACCCAAAAATGTCATTGAAAAGCCACAATTTGGGGTAAAACAACTTCACAAAGTATAACAAGTGGAATACAAAGAATGGAGGACGTCGTCAACTCCACCAGGTCTAGACTGTTGATGTGCCCCCACAGCAGAACCAAGCCGTTGAAAGCATGAGCAATGCAAAATTCCTAGACTAAGAAAGATGGAGAATATAGTTATCAAGAATAGACCTAATCTAACCTTGAGCCCCTCTCACATCATGAGAGATTTGGTCTAGTCCGCGTCATATGATCATAATGTTGTTTTAAGCCGTCTATCAAGTAACGTTATGCTCCAATTTAGCTGCGTAATAGCGCACCAAAATTCCTCGAGACTGAAGCTGAGGCTGTACAGAGTGTACCCTAACGTAAAGCTCGGGCCTTTGTCTCATTCTCATGCATGTTTTCTGCGATCTTTTGTCGATGGTTGCTGTAGATCACCACCCAGCGAGATGCGAACCATATTTATGATATAATGAATGAAGCAAGGATACGAAAGATCATCGCTATGACACTTGCCAGAGATACCACTAATATCATATCCGAAAACATGAAACCACAATGTTCGTAAGGGTCTTGTTGAGATGGTAAAGATAAACGTCATGGAGCGTTGAGGATGAGTGAGCCTCAATCCCTGCTGCGGCTGCAATGCCACGCGATGAGTTTAACGTATGACAAAACGGAATGCCTACGGAACAGGCCGCCATTTCGTGTGGTACGGGGCTGAAAGTAGTGCATTTTGCTCCTGTTGATCCTGTCACTTGTCAAACAAAAAGCATCCGTATCCTATTCTTTGGCATCGGTCTCGCCTGTGCATGTTTGTCTACCGTAGTCTAACAGATCCACAGATTTGGGTTTTCATCGGCGAGAAAAGACACTAATGGATTGATATCACGGCATGTGACGACACAATTGGTATTTCATTTCTGTCTTGCAGTAAGTTGAGAGACAAGAAAACGGAGGCTAATTATGGATACTGAGATATCGGATCGTCAATTGCTGGGATCCCCCGGATTTGTGGTGGATTTTCATCATGTTTCGAAACGGGCATCATAATTTCTTGACGTCAGGAATACTGGATCTCATTATCTGATATTCATTTGATGAGTTTAAGGTAGAGTATCCATAGAAGAAGAAGATTCAATGGGTATATATGATGGATCATGAAAGCTGATGATAGAGACATGAACATCGTCAGTCCTCGTGAATTCATTCTTGTTGGTTGCGGCTACTGAAGCGGTATCGGCCGACATGAGGAAAATCATCCAATGACGAAATAGTCACGGCAACACCCTCGTATTGAGCCAAGCCCTCAGGGCCCCGACTTGGCCGTGCAGCGGTCCACAGGGGACTCCCCGCACCGGCGACCCCTGTAGCCATTCGCTAAAGTCGCCCGAGCCTCTAAAGGATCCACTATAGCGGGCCCCTAGCCTCTCGGCTCACGGAGGATCCACCTTCATCCCACGCTAGCCAGCCACCTTGATCGGCCAGCCAAGGCCGGGAGAGAAACTTCATCGTTACATCGACCGACCAGCTGAGGACGATCTTTTGAGGTGGCATTTAAGAACCGATACGATCCCCCTCACTTTTGGTTCCTGGTTCTTTTGTATTATCGGTCCTTAAAGACTCTATACAAACCATTATTTTATCCTTCCTCGTCCTCCCTCGAACAAACACTCTCCCATCTTGACTTTTGCACCCTCGCTCTACATCTCGAACAACACATAAACCATGCTCACATCAACCTTCCTCCTCAGCCTTATCGGCCTTGCAGCGGCCTCACCGGTCCAGCCTCACATCGTCAAGGACCCTAAATACCCATCACGCTCGACATCAAAGGGCTTCAAGCTTGTCGTCAACGTCACAGATCCCTCGCTAGACTTTGATCCTCCCATCCAAAACTTCGAGCTCACCGGCATCCACACCGGAGCCGGCCTCGCCCTTCTCGGTATCAGCGAGAAGGACGGCCGCATCTTCTACCAGAACGGCACAAAGGAGGAGCGTCAAAACGGCGAGGCTACCGTCATCAGCGACGGTGGTACTCCTCTGACTCCCAACGGTATTGGTCTCGTCGCCGATAAGAAGAACAAGAATCTTTTCGGTGCTACGCTCAACTTCGAGCCTGGTACCGCTGGTGTCCAATTGAACCAGCCTGAGGACCCCTACACCTACTTGTTGCCCGAGACCTTTGTTGCTTGTAACAAGAGCATAGAGTACTACCGTGGCAAAAAGTTCGTGGTCATTGAGCAAGCACGCATCACCATCGACAAGAACGACAAGATTCAGCGCAACATTCCCAAGGGCTGTGCACCCATTCGCCTTGTGCCCCAGTGCGACGAGCTGGAGTCTCTCCCCAAGGGATCGTACTCGAGCCACAAGTACGCCCTCGACTCCAAGTGCTACCAGGACGTCTCCAAGATTGAGTGGAAGAAGTACAGCCCCTAGGCTGAGACTTTTAAATTAATAGGAAACAACGAGATGGAATTAATAATGATGAATGGGTAATGATTGCTTTTGGATAGCCTCTATAATTAGCATTGGCATTAATAGCTTTAATATTGTACAACACATTATCTGTATGTCTCAACTTTTTCCATGCATGCATCGTGAATCTCCCGTATCGAGAAATCCAGTGGTGAGGCAAAAGTGGGTTGTACAAACTGCACTCACAACCGGATCTAGACTTGCCAAGCAGCTGGATAGTTCGAAGGCTAAACGAGAACAAAGACCGTGAAACAATGGCAACTGCATCTAATTCTCTCGGCGTTTTTTCTTCTCCGGCAATCGCGGGGGACAAAATAAGCAGTGGAGATAATGAGTGGATTTGTCTCCGTTAAAGTCAACTATCAGGTGCTGTCAGGCACATAAACTCAAACTCCACTAAATCCTTTGTTGGTTCGTTAGTGGCACATCCTTTTTGGACAAGAGGAATGGGCTTGATGTACCAAAACGGAAGAGAGGCTGTAGGCTTGAGTCAGTTTGTTTTGCCACTTAGATAAGTAGTTTGTCCTCGCTTGTTTGCGGCTAACATCGACTACGAGATGGTGGTGTAAAATGGTCAAGATATGGGAGTTTGTTGTAGTCACTGACTGATTAGTTTTGGATAAAGGGAAATGATGTATATCAAAGCTTTCTGCCTGCAACAGCTCATTTATTAGAATGGAATGTGAAAGTGGACCAGAAGAGATTTATGTCTAGGAAATAAAAGCTTACCCTGTATGTAAAATACGGCAACCATGCCACTTCACTTCAAGCCGAGGGGCTATATTGTGCTATTTAGAAATCCGGAGCCTTGAAAGTTCTGTGAAGTCTTATCTGTAAATAGTCCATCACATTAGTAAAGAGTGAGGCACACCAGCTCAAGATGGCAGGAGCAGGGGATTGGTTGATGTGAACCAGAGCCTTGGGAGTTTGTTGATCTCGTTCATGTGCCCAGACCCCTCACCATGCAGATAGGTTTGGCTTTTTCATAGACACTTGAAACAGCTTCGTTCAAATAATTACAAAGTCCTAGTAAAAGCTGCTTGGTAATTAATCTTGTTCCGGTTTGATAGTGGTTGGATGTCTGTGCAGTCCTGAACATCCCGCCCCTTTTATTGAAGCTCCAGTGCTTGATTCAACAACAGAGTACATATAGGAAGATGGGAACGAGATTTCACAAAAAGTACTTTTCCTTCGCATCAACGTTTTGGTTTATGGCGGATGATTTTTGAACAAAAACTTGACATGGAAATATTGGCATTGCGATCTCTTGCTGTAGTCAGGCCAGGATATACACAGTTCCATATTATCATCACCTAGGTATGCCTGATTTATTTGTAGTTGTTTTTATCACTTCTACTCATCCTACACCTAATAATTTCTTCTTATATTTAATGCCCTAACCTGAATCGGATACCATTCACGGAGCTCATGTTGAGTTGGAGCATGATGCTAATACCTTTGTTAGCGATCGAACTTACATAAACCTCGATGTGGAACTCAAGCTTGACAGATGTTTAACCAACAGATAACAGAAAACCTGAGCTCTAAGCTTTAGGGTACAAGAATAAGAGACCTAAGAAACTGGCCTAAACTGACTAAACAATTTCGTCTCTTATGCTTCCAACAGCCAATCTTCTGATCGCCATAGGTCTGAGCCGGACGCTGACCAAGTTAAGCTTCCACAATTGGCTATTCAGACGACCTGGTTTCAATCGTCCCTCTTGGCTATCAGATACAACTTGTTTCGAAATCCTCATACGATATCAATGGTATAGCGGTTATTATCCGAAGACTTGAAATGTTTCGATCCAAAGAGAAAATCAATCGTTTCATCAACTCACCAGAATCCTGTCCACAGCAAAGTGTATGGTTGTATCCCATTTCCCACAACTCCAAAAGTTGCGAGGTCAGAACGTCGTTCTACTAGTATTACAGTGCCTGAAGAGAGATATCCGTTTGAATCCCTCGGATCCCGAATCTTCATGTTTCACCGACTTGTTTGTTGCAGCGATCGTTTCCCGTGAGCTACAACACTTGTAATCAGTCTTCTGCCTCTGACAAGTTTACAGCTTTCGCAGCGAGGGGTTTACAGTGCTTGGCCATCGACCCTTTATAAAGATTACCTACGAGATCTGACCAACCGTCGCTGCCCTGCGTTCACCAAAGATGAACTAAGAGTTCGCAAACTTGCAACTATGAGCGAGCTCTACGTTGTACGTAACGTCTACAACCTCACGATCAAGGCAACTATCGCAATCTCCAGCAACGCATGCAAGGGTATCAGCGGTCTTGTGGAAATGCCAGATTTCGTGCCTGGTAAACAGTCCTCAGGGCATCAGAAGAATTAACCACGGGAAGCATAAGAGACGAAATCACTGGGTCAGCTTATGCTCCTTAGATCATAGTTCTTGGACTACTTATTTTTGTACCCTAAGACTTAGGAGGCTAACCTTTCTGCAACCCACCAGACATTTCAATAGTATCTCAGACAATCCCAGTATCACTGGAGATATTTTTTTGTCAATTGATTTCCTCCTGAGATGCGAAGTGTCAAATACGATCCGAGCACAAGGGGAACTTATGAGCCTTCGGCTTGTGACTTTATCTTCTCCTTTTCGCGTTGCTTTGCGGCGTTGGCCTGTTGCTTCACCCTTTCAGCCTCTTGTTTCTCAGGGGACTTGGAGTCCCAGTTCCTTTTCTTGCTCTCCATCTTCCTTCTCCTCTTCTGTTTTGCTTGTCCATTGCTCTTGACGCTTTGCTTTATCTTTTGCATTTTTCTCGGGTGTTTGTCTCTTCCGTGCAGCCAACTTTTGTCTCAACCTGACCTCTTCCTTTTTTCCCTCGTTCTGGCCTTTCTCTCCTTTTCTGCTTATCTGACAGTCTGGACAGATTCTTTCGTGTCTGCCACCATGTTCCATTTCTCGTTGCGACAAGTTTGCCGCAGCAAGAAGATGTAGTCGCGTCGGTATTGCCTATACCGTTCTCGTTCTTCGGGTGTACTTTCATCAATAAATCGTTGCCACTTCCTGTGACCACATTCTTTCTGTACTTGCTCGCGTCTTAGCCTGTTCTCGCCTCTATGCTTTGCATGCTTCAGTCCGTGCTGCTGGCCTTCGAGGAATACGTTGACCATTGCACTGGAGAATGTTGATTGGAATATCGCGTTTGGCCCATAACAAGATAAGTCCTGTATCCTTACGAACCAGGTCAGCGGCAAGTTTATTGAGTTTGGGGAAAGTTTCTTCGGCTAGGCTTTCGCATTGGAGGGCCCTCGGCATGTCGGCCATGGCTTGTCGAACGGAGTCTGCACGAGGCATCGACATGACCAGTGACTATTTCCACCTCGGTAGATAGCAAGAAAAGCTCTTCGGATGGACGACTAGTTGTAGTTGTTGTTGAAAGTACCGTTGCCAATGCGTTGGTGTCTTGTCGATGAGAGTGCAGAACATTTGTCTCGCGGAAGGAACGTTGCTTTCGCGACAATACTCGAAAAGGGGTTTCGCATAATCGACTCCAGGTGCAAAGCTAACGTCTTGACCATTCGCTAAATCAGTTAAGACAGGAGTGAACGTCCTCTATGTACAGTCCCTAGTAGCGCGATCCCAGACGATGGCGTTGTCAATGCCGCCTCCACAACAAACGATTGTCTGTGAAAAAGAAATTGTGCTCTTGATGTTCATATTGAAAACGCTGGTAGCAACAAGCTCGGCGGCACTTCATAGATCGAGAATCGACTACTTGCCTCCTGGTTGAATTCCCCGACAATATGTAAAAAAAAAAAAAAAGAAAAAGAAAAAAAAGGACATCCACTCTCCCTCTTCGTTTGATTGTTCATTCGCGTGAATATCGGGCGCTCAGTATTGTCAGCTGCTAATACTTTTTACCTGACATATCAAAAGACTCCTTGCCTCTACCACGATAAGGCCATAAATATCCTCCTGCACCTTGCTCGAAATTCAACTCTCCATCATGTACATCTTTCTATCCTACCACCTCCCGCACATTCCCTTCATCTCATTTGCGCGCATCTTTCTATCTTGCTACCTCTCTATCACCAGCATTTCCTTGATTCTGCACAGTAAGACCTTTACCTACATAGAATATAGCATTGGACATATTCACTAATACTATAACAGTTTTGAGTCTTACTGATTCCCAATCTCATCTCATCTCCTCCGTCAGCATTATCTTCCACAGCTAGTGTTGTACATTCATACTAATTGAATAATAGCAGTGAACATCCTGTCAATCTTCACTTTTCCTCTCCCACTCTTCCAATGGCAGATCTCCCCACTCCCACGGACAGCCAGGAATCTGGCAATGGCACTTCTTGGATTTTCTCACCGATTCCAACATCACCATTACCCGCTTTCCCTCCGGCACCATTAGTAACTTGAAGCACCTAACTGTCACTGAACGATATGCACTGCGTTTTCACCTGCGGCAGTGGATGAAGGTGGTAGACAAGGAGGAGGCTAACGCCTCCGAGTACCTGTAGCGAAGACCTCCCCGAATCTCCCAAGCGAAAGAGCGATGACGAGGATGGCTCCCCCAAGAAGCGCAAGAGAGAGGGGCGGACCATGCTAAGGAAGAAGGGTTAGCCAGCCTTCATGGCCATCAACAAAACAGTTGGCTAACGCGAGTCGAAGGTATCGTTTGACTTCAAAGACCCTGTTGGGCAGATCCCCACAAGTGACTTCGTCGACTGGGAAAACTCTTTGTTAGAGAGAAGGCTTAAGGCGACGGCTGTGCTTTAGCACGACAATTTCGAGGATAAACGTACTTGCAAATTTAACGAAGAGATTATTATCACAACTGTACGCAACTACATTGTCGACACTGCCACGGAATCTCTAATACCTATGATGTTGAGCTGGAAGCCCCAATGGTTCCAGAACTTCTGTAGCTAACGTCTGCCTTGAACCTTTTGGAACAGATTCACGCCAACAACGCTCGCATCATTGCTTTGGCTAGATCTCTTACCAGCCCTAATACAGATAGCCTGTTAAAAAAAAAAACCAATAGGATAGTATAGAATGAATTATACGGAAGGATTTATGCGCTGGAGAGCAGATAAAAGAATTTCGAACATTTATACCAGTGGACAGTGTCTAGTACCATGTTGTTGATGAAGAAATGTGCATGCTGTAGAGTTATAAGATGGAAGTGAGTATACATCTATAGCCCTGACTCGTCTTGCATTTTATTATGATGCGTGACACTCCACGATCCACGGTGATGGATAGTTCGGGGATCATTCGTGGATGCCAAAATACTTGATACATTTTGCTCATGATAGAGTTCAGATCAACGACGGCGCAACAAGATCTACTGAGATCTCTAAACAGGCATATTATAACAACAAGATGGCTGCCAATAATCCGATCAGTAAATATTCTTGCCAGCTTTCTCGAGTGGTGTCTGCCTAGGCATTTCTCACGGCCGTAGCAATCCATCAACCATCGTCCTCCTCGTCCTTCTCTATAGCGAATACCTCACAGCCATCTTTGCTTGGTCGCAATGAAACTGTATTCGCCCCCTGAGTACGATAGTACGAAAGACCACGGTGTCGACTGGGTTTCCTTCGGCCTGACGAGGTCCTATATGACCTAGATATAAGCCAGTTTTCGTCTGTTCTTCTTCATATAATCCGCCTTATAAACAGGGCTTCAAAGCGAGCTATTACGCCCTGGTAGAGTGCGTACTTTGTGATATGCAAACTCAGGGGCCTTTAGAGTGGACTCTTCCAATTTCCCTTCGAGCCTAAACAATAGTGTTAGCAATGATCATAGCGACAGTACCGAAAGCACAAACTTTTTTAGGATACGCCGCCCCTTTTCCATAGCCTTCTGCGCCGTGTTGCAGAAAACGTTCATACTGGCTTGTGCCGGAGACTGTGTAGCCCCAGGCCAAAGCTTCTGCGGAGTCCCTGACATGTTGATGGAGTGGTTGAAGGCGTGTTGCAAGACTAGCGATTGGTGTTTGGAATAGAAGCGAATGAGGTGCAAGAGGAGGAGGAGGAATAGAGGCATAGGCCAGTTATATATAGGTACTTTGTAGAAAAATTAATATGAAAGTTCAACCTACTTCTGACTCAAGGTGATTAACTATTACATATAACCAAGATGAGTCTTTATAGTTTGATATAAGCTTTCATTTAGAGAGCTTGGTTGTGCTTATTGACGATTACTGCCTTTCCTGCTATGTGCTATGTATCAGAATACCAGATACAGTTTTGCTATCAGTCTCACTCCAGATCAAAGTAACTTTTGTAGACGAGCAATTTGTTCAACTTTGCTTTTCGTGTATTTCACACCCACTTGATCAGATTAATGTCGGCACTTCGTCAACTATTCCTTGGAGGCATAATTCCTCGATCATATAAGAGGCCAAAGATCTCGCTCATATAGTATCAAATCAAGATTGAAATGAAATCTAGTCTGTCGTTGCTGTCTGTACATTAGTATTGAGTCCAACAGTGGAGACGGGAGCTTACATCTTTCATGCTGAAAGAAATAGCAGTGCTGTCCGGAAAAGACCAGTATCGCGAGAGTTTATCCGGTTGGAGGCCTGGTAACGTTTCATGTCCGCCAAAAAGGCGACTTGACACTCCATTAGTTGGCCCGCAGGTCTCGCATATCCTTCAGGTTGGCGAATGTGTTGGCCATGTTTTCGGCACGGTCTCCAGCAAGTACAACAGGCATCAAAATGGGTGCTTCATTTCCAGAGAGAATGCGTGGCTCACGGCCAGTGCCCATCTTGGCGAAGTGGACAAGGCGTCGGCGAGCAGTAGCAATGATACAATCCTCATTGTACTTTTCAACACGGTCCTGGACACACCGATCGTATCGTGAGATAGCAAGATCGAGGCATTCGCAAAGATCCATATCGAGCTTGACAATCGATGGTTTGACCGGCTTCCCCTTGGAGTCTTTCCATAGAAGGTCCATCCAGCCCTGCCACTGAGGAATGGAGACGCCGAGGAAAACATCAGCTCCCTCTTGTCGCCATTTTGGCTGTGGCCCAGGGTAGGCCTTGTTGGGTGGGTGATTGCACGTCAAAGAACCGACTTTGACGGCAGTTTCAGAAGAGAGATCACCGACGAAAATGGGGCTTTCGTTGTCTGGATGAGTCGTGTTCCATCGTCGGAACACCAGCCTCCAGAATCTTCGCCAGTCGGATATTGTGGGTACGAGGTCTGCATCACGATGTTCGACCTGGTTCTCGAGGTGGGAAAGATCGATGAACATGGAAAGCTCTCGCGTATTGAGCATCTCCTCGCTGTTGATTATATCATCTGGAAAGCGCGAAACGGCAGATGGCGTGCGCACGAGGATATTGGCCATGGCAAGCTCTACCTGCTCACGGATCTGATTGTTTTGCGCCATAACAAATTAGCTACACAAAATTCTTAGATAAGATACCTAAGGAGGTCTAAAATAATAAAAGAGGCAAAGCAATTAGTAAGAGAATAACGGGAAGGTTCTCAATAGGTAAGTGAGCTTACCTACTAGGTAGGTACCGAATGCGAAAGTCGCTTCCTTAAGGAGATCGATGTGTGAGGGGGAGTGAAGGAACTGTGAGGAAGTCAAGTCCTGGATTAGGTATTGTATGAGAGGAAGTTTCTGAATGCCTACTCAGGTATGCGGGGAAGAATTTAGGAAACAGCATCAAACATGGGTATATACATGTTAGATACCAAGTGCCAGTCACTGTCGCTGCGGCTTGCCACTTAGGTCACAATCAAAGCTGCCACCAAGCGTGAGAGCGGAGGCTGGCTTGTTCCATATTATTAAACCGAGCGTGAATTTTATTGATGATCTAACAGTGATATCGCTATACTGGACTATTAGTGTAACCTCGATGCATCGGTCAAGATATGGATGAGTGATGAGTGATGGCTGTATTTACGGGCTTACACTACCGGATACTGTCTTATGATATTTGGCAGGAGAGATGAACAATATTCTTTGAGTACTACCTAAGGTACTAACCTACCACCTCCATGGTATCTGACGTTGGTGTTACTTGCTGTTGCAAGTGTGCAGGTGCTATGCACTGCTTGCCATTCTTCTGACACTGCCATGGCAGTGTAGAGAGCAATAGAGGCCAGTGTGGCTGCCTAAATCGCCTGCCCACCAAAGTAAACCTAAATCACAGCCTCTCCCTCAGCTTTTATTTGTTCTTCAGATCTGAAGCTGGCCATCAAACACCCAAACGGCGCCATGTCCTCAAACACCTCCCCTGTACCCCCAGGACCACCCAACGAGGTCAGCACAGCTGAAACTCATGAAGGAGCGCCTCGAGACTCCAGTCGCTTCCATCACCACACTCCTCGACAGTCTCACTTTCCAGCTTTCGCACAACTTCCATATCCTTATACTTACGGCCCTGGGTCGCCATATGCCCCACAGTACAACCCGTACCATCAGCCGCAGCTTGGATATCATCATTTCCGTCAGGCAGGATATATTTACCCTTTTCCGCAGTCTGACTTTCAGTTTCCTCAGCCTTATCTCCCAGTCCCGCAATAAACTACGTCCCATGATGAGCATGACACTTCTCCAGATCAGCAGCAGGCTCGTCAAAATGTTACCATTGACGACGGCATAACCGCTGAATACTCTCCCGAGTCCCAGCGCCCTCCAGAAGAGTCCAAGCCCATTCATCTGCGATCGCGGCCTTGCCGTGGGAAGAACGATGACGACACTTCACTTCGACCTGATCTAGGAGTTTCGTTCGAAAATGTTGAAGAGGATAAAGCTGTCGCGGAAGATCGTCCTCCCAATAAGGCTATTCCCAAAGAATCCCTAACCCGCGGGGAGAAGATGCGACTCCTAGATCTACTTAAACAATACGAAGATGTACAGAGAAGTGGAGGTGTCTTCCGCTCAGCAACCAAAACATACCAGCAATTCTACCAGGCGATCTTCCGCAGATCATGGGACACCAGTAGCAAAAGCTGCAGCCCAGTAACTCTTCGTTCCGCACGCAGCTCCGATGCTTGTCTTGAAATCGGCCATTACGAAAAGGATGCCCCATCCAGTCGATCGGACGACGAGTGCAGAGGGTCCAAAGTGCTCAAGCAAACAATACCGATATTTCTCACTCTCGACCTTAGAGCCGGCGAGATCGATTGGATGTATCACGATAAGGATGGGAACCATTTCAAAGCCCGCGATGTAACGCTCCATCATGGCCTCAGTATTGAACAGGCTAAGAAGAACGTTTTGGATTACCAAGACCAGAAAGAGATGAAGCGCATTTGCGAACACAACATTGACCAGATTGTCCATGCCGCGAGACGACGAATAGTCAAGTGGGCAAGAGCAGGAAGTGCTGCTCAGCTTGGCGTTGACGATGAAGACAGAGCCGCCCTGGAGTTACTTGAACTCCCCTCGGAGCGTTTCCTCGCGCGATTCGAGGAGGTCCGCGTTCTACGAGATTATCTAGTGCAGCGACCTGAACTAAGCTATGAGAACTGACGATTGGCATGCCTACATGGGGTATTCGCACCAAGTATCTCCACGTCGTCGCATTTAGTAAGTCAAGTCCCTACAAATGAGCATTGCCCGAGTTGCTGACGTTTGAAAGAATCAATATCATGGTTAATCGGCGGATCGAGGTGGTCGCCTGTAAAGCGCAAAGCCAAACCAATGTCAAGACTTTTGAAGAGAATGGCATCAATGGAGAAATAGGGGTCATGAGTATTGATGTCGACGGACGCTTTTTTTGTTTGTAAGGACTAAGTATTATGAGGGGAAAATAGTTGACGCACGACTAGGTAGGTTCGGACAGTTGAGAACTGAAATATAAGAACATTACTGGTTAGTGTGTCATACCCTGGTTCATGATAGAGGTCACGTAGAACCTCTTATCTTATCGCACTGACCGGGTGACCTCCGAGATCGTCATGTTGTACTAGGTTACCTAGCTCAACCTCGTCAACATAACAGGCAACCGAGCTTCCATCATCTTTATCCTCTCACCGACTCCGTCTGTGAACTATTTAAAACGCTTCATTTCTCGTCCTCCAGCTCGCCTATAGCTTCATCACCCGCAATGACTCAGGTTACGCCTGCAATGTTGAGTGCCCGTGCTTCATCGCTCAGTTTGTGCCAGCAAGCACTGCAGTCGTCAGTTATGCTCAACAATAACAATGCGCCCGCGCCTGGATCGGTCGAGAACAAGGGAAGCTCCAAGGGTTTTATCATTTCTGATATGAAGGGCCGCGATACAAGAGATAACCGCGCCTGCGCATCTTGTATCTCCAAGCTTGCGCCTGAAGAGGTCGGTCAGGTCAATTGGCACCTGGAGGCTGGTCAGGCTTGTCGCCTGTGCCAAGTTGAGAAGCTTGAGCCCGAGGCATTCACCAAACCTTTCTGCGACTTCCTTCAAGAGAACCCCACCATTTTCCACACCGTCGACTACTTTGAGAAGAAGCTGAAGGCGCTTGGTTACGAGCATGTGAGTAAACAAGAGCTGCCAGTCATGATAAGATAACGCTGACAATAACAAGCTCTCTCCGCGTGACAGTTGGGCGGGTAAGATCCAACCGGGTGGAAAGTATTGGGTTACACGAAACGGCAGCTCTCTCATCGCTTTCAAGGTTGGGAAGGCGTATCAACCTGGCAATGGTGTTGCTATGATTGGCGGTCACATTGACGCCCTCACCGCTAAGCTCAAGCCTGTCAGCACAAAGCCTGTCAAGGCTGGATTTATTCAGCTGGGCGTTGCGCCTTACGCTGGAGCCCTCAACGCCACATGGTGGGACCGCGATCTCAGCATTGGTGGCAGAGTTGTTGTCAGGGATGAAGAGTCTGGCAAGACCACTACCAAGCTTGTCAAGCTGGACTGGCCTATCGCCAGAATTCCCACCCTTGCACCTCACTTTGGAGTTGGTATGATGGGAGAGAATAACAAGGAGACCCAAGCAGTTCCTATCATTGGTCTCGAGAGTTCTCAGCCTGCTGCTGCTGAAGCTCTGGGACCTACTGGTTCTTTCGTCAACACCCAACCCCCAGGACTGGTTGAGCTTATTGCCAGTGAGCTCAATATTCAGTCCTACAGTTCAATCATCAACTGGGAGCTTGAACTTTATGACTCTCAGCCAGCGGTGACAGGTGGTATCAGAAGAGATATGATCTTCGCTGGACGAATCGATGATAAATTATGCTCATGGTCAGCCCTCACTGCCCTCCTTGCCTCCAATGACAACAGTGACGACGGTGTCATTAAGCTTGTTGCTCTCTTTGATGATGAAGAGATTGGCTCTCTCCTTCGTCAGGGGGCGCGGGGTAACTTTCTCCCCTCTGTCATCGAGCGCACTGTTGAAGCTCTCAACCCCAACAAATTTGGACCAGAACTTGTAGGAAGAACCTATTCCTCCTCATTCTTCTGCTCCTCAGACGTAACTCATTCTGGAAACCCTAACTTCCTCGAGAAATATCTCGGAGAGCATGTTCCCGAGCTAAATGTTGGTGTGGTCATCGCCAACGACTCGAATGGCCATATGACCACAGACAGCATCTCGACTGCAATCATGCAGCGTGCAGGCGAACTAGGCGGCTGCCGAACTCAGACCTTCCAGATTCGAAACGACAGTCGCAGTGGTGGTACTATTGGGCCTGCCCTGTCGAGTATGATGGGTGTCCGAGCCGCCGACGTTGGACTTCCCCAGCTCAGCATGCACTCTATCCGCGCGACTACTGGCTCACTAGACCCTGGTCTGGGCGTCAAGTTCTTCAAGAGCTTCCTTGACAACTGGGAGAAGATTGATGCGGAGTGGCACTAGAGACAGCAGTAGAGAAGGCGTTTGGACTTGGGGCATTTTGTTAAGGATACCTACCTATTGGCATATTGTGGTGTAGATAATGACGGTTTTAGATCAGACGTACGCGAGATAGACGAGTTAAGGGCAATGAATTATTATTAAGTACTATACTCTATGCTTCTACGATGGACCAACATATCTCATCTGTCATGCCTCTTATGACATTGCAAAGGTGAATGCGGGCCGGGTAGTTCCATTCCATGGAGGCAAGAAACTGCAGTTGTTGAATGTTGATATAAGCCGTCCTGATCGTCCATCATGTCGAGGAGTTCAGCCCATCGCTTGGCGAGCTTTCGAGCTCGGGGGGGGGGGGGGGGGGGGGGGGGGGGGGGGGGGGGGGTGCGGTCAATTCAGGCTCCTGAGTAGAAGCCGCCAGCTGGCAACAACTGGCAGTGTCATGTAAATGCAGGAATGCATGCGAACATCTTTTTCTTGATGTCGCCTTCTCTTCTCTTTCTTTTCTTCTCTTCCTCTCTTCATACCACAATAGGTACCTTGAGCTCCCATAAGATGGCCGAACCCATCAACGACGATTCACCAATTACGGTGATGGAAGCTATTCGGCGTACCGCTTCTACCAACAATCGCAGCCCTGGCACAATTATCCGTCATGAGGAACAGCTGTCAACCGATGAACTTCTTGAATTTATTCGACTGTTCGGCCAAGAGCGTAAGCTTCACCATGACAGTAAGGAAGGTCCAGTTACCATGAGAGAATGGAAACGTTTTTGGCGCAGGATGTTTCATAGCTGGAACACTGCCTATAAGGTAAACGTAGACGTCCCTATTAGACCACGAATCTTGCCTGACCTAAAGGTCCTCGTCGGTGTTCTTTCTCGCAACCAGGCGCCGACCAACAAAAACTCAGCCCAGCCCCCACCATCTGAGCGTCGGCAGGGCGCGAACGTGTTCCTGAGCGTCACCATAGTTGCAGACGATATGGTAGATTTCAGGTGGAAGGATGCTCGCGGAAAGCTGGTTGATCGACCCAATGTCCGAATCACTGTTGGAAGCTGCGGCATGGCGATGGCGATGGCGATCGAGTACTATGACAGTAGCCTGACAAGGGCATATTATAGCCACAACAACGAGCGTGTTATCAAACGTGTTCGGCGTTTAATCGCGCACTTCGCTCGAGAAAGCACTCGCATTCATGGTATGCCTCCCCCTGGATTTGATGTTCCTATACTCGAAGAGCCTGAATTGGCCGCCCCCCGAGCCCAACAGCTCGGCATGCACTGGAAAGAAGTCTTGAAAACCATGGAAGCTCAGCGCAGCATCTGAGTGCCGCTGCAATCGTGAGAACAGAGAGTGTCTGTTGGCCTTACCAACCGGTGCAGATTCTTTCTGAATCCGCTGGTGGAGGTCAACATGGCGCTCGCTGTCGCTCCAGCCAGCACCAGGAGTCACTGTAAGTAATTGTCTTTATGATCTTGACGGGTAACTTACACTAACAGATAACAGTTCCATCAACGTATTTGAGATTCTTCTCCTTCTGCCGCCCTTCCAGTTTATTGGCCATCGACTATCTTGTGAGATGTGAGTTAGCATGATTGAAATGTTTTTCGAAAGCCCGCTGATTTTTGGGGGTCCTAGTCGGACGCTTCTTCATACCTCCGGCACCACTGATGGACTTTCTCATCAAATTCATCACTGGTCTTACGGCATTTGAAGAGCTGATACGCGTTGGAGTTCGCGAGAATAATACAGGTTGAACGGTGGACTGCATTGTACTTCTAGAAATAAAAAGGTATTGATTAGACCTAGTTACTACCCCAGTTAATTGCGAGAACAAGTTTGCTCTTTGAACTTTACCTATCATGACTTCTTAGCTTAGAGCGAGATAAGGTGTGACTGTATATGAGAGTCAATCGATACATATGTCATGAGGCCATCCGTCAGTCAAACCGACGCCACGTTATGTGACTGTGATGGACCACATTTTTGCCAACCACGACGTCCTCTTTGTGTACATGCTTCCAAGATATATTCATGGTAACCGATCCCAGTGACGGGGCAGCTACAGGAGGGAGCTCTGTATTTACTCAAGTATGCTCTGAAAGTCGGCATTTTAATGAGTTGGAGGAGGATGCGGGGGATATCATAGAGAAAGAGGAAGATGTGCACGAGGTGTAGGAGGTAAAAGCTGCCTCGCCTAAAGGGGGCATTTGATGCCTGCTTGAGAGTCTGCTGCATGCCAACCTTAGGTTATTATGATACGTTCTTCAGTGCATAGCACCAAAATCGGAAACAGTCAGGTAAATGTTACCTAGAGTTACGACCTGTCGTTGAAAAGAGAAGGGTATGGGTCATCAAGCTTATTTACCCAAGTGTCTGAAACAAACTGCCAAAGATTCATATACAGGACCAACCAATGCCGACACATGGATCTTTATGGCCAAATTAAACAAGCGAAAATTAATATATAGAAAATGTGTACAAGAACATAATATATAAGAGCTGAGGATGAATGATGATCAGATGCAGGAGGGGGCAGTGCTACTTATGGTTACAGTTCTTCTTCACGTCTCGTCCAGATTCCAAATGGGCAGGCTTGCCGACCTTGATTAGCAAAAAGACAAAGTCAGGCCATGATTGTGTGGATTTCCATATATTCTATACTTGTTGTTCAAAACATATCATAAAATGCCGATGCAATTCAATCCTTAACAAGGACAAACGCCATATCGATGATTAATATACATATACCATGTAAAAAGCAAACTCTCTCTTTGCTCCAAGCACTCCCCTCTGCCAATGTTTGCGGCTAATCATCCATCCATGTACCCTTTTCCTATCTCTTACTCCTCATCATATCTGCTTTGCGTTCATCGTAACATGTAAGAGAGATCTGGAAGATCTCGGAGAATATTTGCGACAACTTCGTCGTCTTCTACAATTGTCTGTGGTCGGGGAGGAACGGGTAGTGACATGGGCCGTGGCTTCTTAGGTGTAGAGTTACCCTTCAGTGTATCAAGAGGTGTTGTTAATGTTTTTGGCGTATCGTTTGTGAACGCGCTGGCCTTTTCTGGACTGACTGGTCTGTTGGAGTCATCAATCAGTCCTAAACCCCAAGAGTCCCAGCTGTTGACTTTGTTTGTTTGTTCAACGGAAGATTTTGCCTCATTGGGGGTCAAGTTTACAGATACAAACCCATTCAGAGGCGAGCGAGGGTTTCCCAAATCGATTGTTGTCGATCGTGAGTGGCCAGACATTGGCATCTTTCTAGGTGAAGTAAGAAGGTCGATAGTCGCGGATCGAGAATGGCCCAAGGCCGTATCTTGCAACAATTGCGGTTTATTCAAGTGGTTTCCCGTTAACCGAGGATTGTTCGGCGCAAAGTCCTGCAATGGTACTGCCAAAGTATCCATGGAAAGACGACCGTTGGATTGCGAATTCACCTCAGGCTCATCCTTGAAAGACTCTACCATTGGAGATTGGCCTGCAATCAAAGATTTTCCAGTGTTTTCTTTGTCTTTGGCTCTTTCGGCATCTACAATTGCATTCATAGAAGCAATCCCGCCATTTGTTTCAACTGTGGGTGACGAAACCATATCTCCCCAATCATCATCGTCTTCGTCTTCGCCCCATCCTGCGTTTGTTGGAGGCTGTGCAAGAGGGGATCTTGGTGCTTGTGAGATTGATACGGGTCGGTTGGTTGATAAGAGGGCAGTAGTGTTGATGGGAGACCGAGGTTCAGAAATTGTAGGTGATGCCGGAAAGGGCAGAGGTTGTGAAATAGATATAGGTCGGTTTGTGGGTTCTAGTGATATTGGCTTAATAGGAGAAGGAGGCTCCTCGGTGATACGCGGTTTTGGAGAGGAATCAAGAGGCGGTGGTCTCGTCTTTGAGACGGGAGATGTCTTAGTAGCCTCAACAGGTGACAGTTCAGCAGTCGAAGCCGATTCAGGCTCACTGACATTGGACGTGCGAGGCGCAGATGTTGGTGCAGCAGCAGTAGGTGAGGGAATCGGAGCATGGCCCCATCCGAATGATGCCGCCGTAGGTGATGCTACTGTGCCCTTGGAGGCAGCTGAGGCCTGTCTCGAATGATTCTTGCGTGCGAGTAGTTCCGAGATTGAAATCTCGGTCGATGGTGCTGAGGAATCCCAGTTGAAAATCTTCGCACCAGCAGCACCACCTCTTCGGCCAAGAACCACACGTCCAGTAATAGAGTCTTCCTCCATCCATCGTCTCACAATTCTTATAGACTGCTCACGCACATGAGAGTTGTTCCATCCAACGCGCACATAGTTTTCATCGTCTCCCATGTTGTGTTTCCGCATCGACCCAGGTCTTGACATTAGATACCAAGCTTTACGCTCAGATATAGCAGTGAAGCTGTCGTCAATAATGACATCGGGGACTGGCTCTGGGGATGGAAAGGAGGTGTCGACTGAGGGGAAGAGGGCATCGAGCTTTGACATATCAATTGAGAAAGGCTCCGAAGGTGGCTTTGGCCGTACTGGTGCTGGTCCCGCAGGTGTCTCTTCCTCTGTCGAAGTTTCCATCACATGTGGTTGGTCCTTCGAGACTTCTGGTTCAGGCCCCTGAGTCTCCTTCTGAGGAGCATCTTGAATAGGCGATTCAAAATCCGACCATGTGTCCGATTCTGTCTGGCCTCTTTCGCCCTTGACAAACTCCTTCGTCTCGCCTTCCACCACTTCATTCTCCTCCTTTGGTAGTTCTTCAGGAGCAATTTCAGGTTTTGCTTCTGGCTCATGCTCAAATTCCGACTCCTCCGCCTCTGGTTCGGCCAATTTCTGCTCAGGCTCTTCTTCTGTTTTCAAATCATATTCTAGCTCCATTTCGGTATCATTTTTCGTTTGTAAATCCTCCCTAGGCTCTTCGAATCCATTCGCTCTTAGCTCAGGTGTGACGTCCCCAACCGAAGATGCATTTCCCGAAACTGTTCGCATAGATGGATCAACGGGCGAGACACTGTGATTCCTCTTAGAAATATCATCAAACATTTCCACCAATTCCGAAACTTTGTTGGACGGTTGTCGTAAAGGAGATGGTCTCGTCTTAGGTTGTAAAGCAGGCCTAGGCGCCCCTTCTGGCGAACCCGGTCGTCCTTCCCCCTCGCTCGGCAAAGGAGTAACGCTCCTATTCGAAAGCGCCGGATCTGGTTGCTGCCATATATCCGCCGCATTATCCTTAAATGAGCGCGCAGGAGATGGTGACCTTGTCGCAACCCGCCCTATAATCGGCCGCAGTCCTTCACCAAGACTAATCGCAGAATCTCCGTTATCATCTCTCTTCGAACGTGCAGTATCAAACGTGGGTGGTCGACCCCACGGATCCGGTGCCGGCGACGGTAACCTCGAACCAGAAGGGCTCCCCCCGATAGGCCGCAATCCAGGACTTCTTCCCCATCGAGGACTGCCATCCTTACCGGCCTCAGCCCAACCGCCCCAGGCATCATCGTCGTCGTTCCATGGTGCGAGAGCAGGCGAGACACGCTGCGAGCTGCCCGAGTGGTCCGCAGTGAAGTGCGCATTCGGCGGCGGCGCGGGAAGGTCTATCTTCGGGGGTGAGTCGTTGGTCCAAGGAGAACCCCATGGATCCTCCATGCTGGGCGAGCGCACATGTCGCACTGCCAATGACAGGAAAGTGTGTTGAAATAATTAGAACGAACGAGGATGTTGTTATGATCGGTTTATCATCGCGTGTGTTTTGGAGGAATGGAGTGGGATAGCTCGAGAGCTTAAAGGTTCCGAGGCGCAAGAGGCGAGGTGCGTAATCGTCTTGTGTCTAAGACCAAGGCAGCAGTATAGTTTAGCGATTGAGCGCCACCAATTGATTGACGATGGGTTGTGTATCAAGATGAGGTGTCGACCTTTGCAATCAATACGTAGAATAAATCGATAAGCTGTTCATGTTTTGGTTGTGAAGCACGAGAGGTTCCAGAAACACGTCTCCTTCTATTCGTGGAGCCCTGGAAATCTTCAGGGGCGCGTTCCCCCAGGTCTTGAACGGCTGGCGGACCCGCCAACTCCGTCATCGCGGGACTTCTAAAATGACATTTGCCTTATATTACAATTCCCAAAAATAGTCAACCATTCACGTCAAATCCTCACAGGAATGCATTAATTTCTATAAAATTGATTGGTGCTCTCTTCACCAATTTGAAAAGCATGAGGATATCTACTCCGAGTCTTCCTTCATAGTCTCAGATACCGTAACATCTGTCCCTGATGCTTGCTAAATTGTGCATCAAACCTCCTTTTCCGTTTCAACGAACATCATGAAGCAATCCCATGCAGAACCGTACGCTCCGACGCTAATATTCACCCAAAAAAACAAAAACAAAATAATCATGCTGCTTCGACTCTTCCAATATTCATGAGGCAATCTCATGCCCGCTCTTCAAAGACCACTCTTTGGTGCGCCCCTTGCCTGTTTTCTCTGCCACCAACTCAACTGTATTCTTCACCTCAACACGAGACGCGTCGTCTCGGAATTGATGATAAATAAAGTCAATAATTCCAACCTTGGAAAGAGCTTTATTCTCCAAAATAGCTCTCTTCACGTCATCTAGAAGCTCGGACTTGACCAGCTTAAGCGTGCCACCACTGCCGCCATTGCTACCGCCAGTCAGTGCGGCAAATGCATTCGACGGTGTGGGAGGGGGAGGCATCTTCATTGTTGTCTCGGATGCCTGTGTGGTCTTGGTGGGTTTCGCTGTCTTGTTCTTGACTTCAGTTTCCCAATATTGCGTCGAGAATGGATCGATGCCCCAAGTTTGCGGAAGTCCATCTAGAATCGGTCAGTTTCTGTTTCGTGTTCCTAAGATCGGTCCACACTTACCATGAATAAACTCCATTCTGTGATCGTGGGCAACTTGGTTTATAGCACCATTTCCACTCTCAAAACAGACTCCAGTGCTGTTTGGCTCCAACGTGTTGGCAAAGATCCGCCTTGAGAGCCCAGCGTCTTCTGAATCATCAAGAAATTCGTCCATATCGTCTTCGTCATCCATTTCCTCTTCGTCGTCATCAACATCGAGGTCCTCGCCTTCTTCTTCCTCCTGCCATTCAGCTTCAGAATCATAGTCGTAGTCTAGAGGCAGTCGTCTTCCTGTCGGCTTGCGTGCCAATTGGCTCATATTGAGTTTTCCGAGGGCAAATGGCTTGAAAGTTATTGTTCCGTAGTAAGGTGGTCGCACGTCTTGCGAGAATGAGATCACCTTTATGGGCACCTTGGAAAGCTTTCGACGTGTGTCTCGCATGATCTTATCAACATGCTCAGGGCCAGCATTTTCCGCTTTCTCTGTCTCCTTGAAAACTTGCTCCATAATGTGCTTAACTGGATGATGAAGCATACCTCGAGGACAAGGCTTGCTAGGCAGAGCGAACAGCCGAACCGGGTCAAATCGAGAACCGTTCAGCTCCTCCTCTCTTAGTCCTTTGACGCTTTCATCCAATATCCTCGATTTGACCTCGCGTGTCTCAGTGTCCATCTCGGGTCCAATGTGGGCAACTTTGGTATGATCCTTAATAAAAAAGGGTTGGAATAGCTTTTGATACTCGGTTTTCGAAGCTTTAGGGATGTCTTTGGTGAGGGTTGATTCCCCGGGCGTGCCATTTTTAGTCTGGTTGTTGTTGATGGCCTTCTTAGGAGTACTTGGAGCTTTAAAGAAAGCGCCTAGGGTTGGTTGCTGGCGTGCTTTCTTCTCCTTTTCCTCCTCCTTGCGCTTTTTTTCGTCTTCCTTTCGCTTCTTCTCTTCATCAATTTGGCGTTTCTTCTCTTCACGTTCCTTGGCTTTAGCAGCCTTTTCAGCCTCAGCCTTAGCTCTCTCAACTTGACGAATGGCTGCTTTCTTGTCGCGTTCCTCGCGGAGTCGAGCAATCTCTTTTTCCTTCTCGGCTTTTACTCTAGCAGCTTCCTTTTCCTTCTCGGCCTTTTCAGCTGGTGTTAACTTCTTTCGCTTTGGTAGGGTAGTCGTCGGTTTAGATGCTGAGGCGACAGTGGCCTGTGTTGCCTGTTTTTTGGCAGGAGTTTGAGGAGAGGGAGACGCGCGCGGTGGCGTACAAGTGCCAGGCTCACTGAGCTCTGACGAAGCTGGCGAGGGTGCTCTTTCCTCATTCGTAGCGGCTGCCAGTGGTTAGTATTCAATTTGTTGAGATTCTCATCTCATTTCGGCTTACCGTGTTCTCCGTTGACCGGGTCTGAAACGGGTGGCAGTAGCTTGACATCTTCAGAAGCATCTACCACCATAGGATCGCCTGTGAATTCATCGTGACTTCTCTTCCGGCCGGTAGCCTCAGATTCCTGAATGTTCGGTGAAAGTTCGCGGAGGGGAGGCATTGTGTGTTTGTTGAGAGCTGAAGAGCTCAATTAAAAATCGCCCGAGGCGAAAGTTGCAAAGTAGTAGTCGGTATGCAAATTGCGGGATCGGTTATGTTTGTGGCAGGAGCTTGCTAGGTATTGTGAGGAGGAAGATCATGAGATGAGGTGTCGATGAATCGAATTAGGAAAAGAGGCACAAATGATCATTTGATTGGAAAGGCTCTGTTGTGAAGGATGTAGGCTTTGTTTAGGTAAAAAGCAAAGGCTTCTTTGGTCTGTAGTGGCATGAAACTACCAAGTTCAGAGGGAAGCAGGTCTAACAGGAGGTTAAAGTGGGAAGTCGCGAATAGGCACGCGTCATTCGCGCCTTCAGTTAAATTGAACGCGAATTCGCGTTTCTGTAGGCAGTTGGCACGAGAACAAAGACAGGGTAGGGCAGTCGCGGCTAAGCCTCGGACGAACACCTTTTTGCAGGGTCTGTGGCTGATGCCCCTCAGGAAGCAAAAAAAGAAGGACCCCCAATCCCATGACCCGCACTTGATGCTAGTGCCTGACACTTGACGATCTTCATATCATGCTATTTGTTCATTTGCCATTGCGACATCATTAGCAAACATGGAAATCCCCGGTGATATCATAAGGGGGCAGACCTTGTAACAGCAACCGAGAACAAACGATTGGCGCACTGACGGACCCTGGCCTGAATTAACACAGCCTGCCGGCCAACCCAGTTGGTAACGTCACTTACGGCACTGGTGATGGAGTCTTTTCAACGGATGTTATACGAGAGGGAACCGATGATCGTTAGGTCCACAGAAAACTCAATCGCAGTAAAGTACAATGTCAGAATATTCAAGGCTGTTGTTCACGAGGGCAAAAAGGCAAAGTCATTATCTTCGAAGGCCCCTTGTTCTCAGTCGAGAGGGGTGGTATCTCATTAAGCATACTTTTATCTTGGGATCCTGGCTACAGTAGCAGAGGTATCTTTTGAAACATTATATCCGTCAACGACAGTGGAGTCCCCGCTCCGACTTGCACACTTCGTACATCCAAGAGGTGATCAATAATAGCGAGAGATTGAAAAGGGAAATTTCGTCCGATGTGAGATGAGGACCCTGAAAACGATGGGTGGTTTTAAAAATCAAACGGCAATAAAACAATGCTGGAACGCCGACCAATGCAGGCCACCTCATGGTGAAAAGTGTGCTGTAACGAATGATGGATAAAGGAAAGCTCCCATTGGCTCATCGTGTCATAATATAGTGATTCATAGCCATTGGTGGGAGGTTGTGTCGCGTGAATTCATTGTTAATCAGGGTTGGCGATAAAGAGGCGGCCAGAGGTAAGGGTTGAAGTTCGCTCGTCAACGCTTCCGCGCCTCTTCAGCTCATCGGCCGACTTTGTGCTTTTCTCTCGTGTAAGCGCCGAGTGCATGAGCGAGTTAGAAGCCAGTCTGGGAGCGTTGCTCAGCTCGCCCACGTTGTCGGCACGCTCGCCACTGCTGCCACTCGCCATGCTTCGAGCCTTGCCGCTGGCGGCGTCGTCAGCAACATCTTCAGGTGTTGCTTCCACCAAGCTGCCAGTGCGCTCAGGCGTGTCTCCAGGACTCCACCTTCGGCTGTGCTGGCTGCCCATACCTCCAGATGAACGGTAGGCAAGGTTTCGGCGGCTGCTAGTTGTGCTGCTTCGTCCACTGCTCCCCGTTCTACGGTGATGAGGGCGATTCCCGCTGGACACGTTCTCGTCCTCGCTGCTCTCAGCCTCAACTTCAGTGGCGCTCAGCCGCATCGGTACACCGCCAACACCGACATGATTTTCGCCGGGAGCGTAGCCAACCACAGGGTTCTTCCCATGATGTCTAATCTTGGGGATCTTGGCGGCTACCTTATTTGTGGTACTGAGGCCGGTACTGGTTCTACCTCCAGCGCCACCAGAAGCGCTGCGGGTCCCGCCAACTACCTCCAGAGTTGCTCTCATTTTTGCAGCACGCTGTTGGGCCAGAAGTCGAGGGTCCTCATACTGGGAACGATCGCACCATACGGTGCCCTTTTGCTTGCGCAAGAGAGCAACATAGCTGGAGGGCTGGCTGCTGGCTCCACCTGAACGGCTAGATGTAGATCGACGAAGATCAGAATGTGAAGAAGAGCGGTAGGCTGCAGGAGGAGGGATGCTCGATGCGGTACTAAAGGTATTCACAGAAGGCGAGCGACGGTTCTGGGAGAAATTGGGGCCCGGTTGGGCAAGGTGAGAGGTTTGGAATTGCATGGGATAGGCGTTTGAAGAAGATGTTCGTGTTCGAGAGTGTCCATAGCCAACGGTTTGGTCAATAGGCCCTCTCATGGCCTGTGGTTCCAACATGGCCAAGGGCGACGCCGAGGGGGAACGTCGGCTAGTTTATGTATTTGCTGATCGCGGGTAGTGGCGTCTGTCCGAAGGTAGGTAGGGAGAGAATAAACCCCGTCGGGCGCGGCTGGGCGGGTTATAGTTGAGCGAGACGAGAGAGGGAGCCGAAAAAAGTGAGACTGAGTTGAGTAGCGCGCCAGAAGAGCGGGGCCTAAACCGGAGGATGGAGGGTGACGAAAGCAGTGAATGGTATGGGATGCTCTCGTATCGTGAATATAAAACGTATGAAAATAGGTTGAATCAACTGCGAACAGTTGACGACTCTGTTATTGTATGTATTGTATGGTAGGTATGGTATGTGGTGAGTCGTAAAAGAAGAGAGCTGGGCGGGTAGAAATTGGATGGTGGGCAGAGGCACCGACTGCCTAAAGAAGGATTTCGATTGCAGAGCAGAGCAACAGCCAAGCAGTCCAACGTTGCATGGGGCCAGGCTATGGCCTCTGGAGGGGAACGGAGGGCACCTTGAGCGAAGTGGGCTAGCAGAGGTAGTTAGTGGATTCCAAAGCTAGTGGGTGGCCTGGGTGGTCGCCTGCAAGTGGATCACCACTAGCAAGCGGACACTTTCCATGGAGTGGAACTACCAAGGAGAGATGGAGAGAGTGATGGAAGTGAGACTCGGCGGCGGCTGTTTTGTTCTGTTCTGTCCAGTCCGAGAGAGCATGTACCTTTATGATGTCGAAATGTAGATCGTCAAGCTCTTGGCCTCCGAGACCAGCGGTCTTGGCCTTGATTCAAAGGGACATTGCCTTCTGAATTGGGATATTATTATGCGACTGACAGGACATTGAGGGGGGTTGATTGAGTTTAGGTAGATGAAGATGCGAATTCCTTTACATAAGTTATCTACTCTTACGATGACATACAAGATATACCAGAGGCAAAGGACAAATCTAGATGAAAAGAATGTGGAACATGCATGGCGTTATCTTGACTGATGTGATGCTTCACAGTTGTTACATCCGTTTCGACACCGAGGACTCTAACTGACTGCCATGGCGTTGACATGCTATAGATGCCAATTACTTGATTTTCAGCTTCATCGTCTATCCATTGCCTTGATCTGCAGCAGATTTGTTGGCATGTTATTAAGAATGCTGGTCCTTAAATGAATTCACCCGCGAGCACAGATCATTTGGAAATCTTATTCGCAGCCTCCATGTAAAGTAACTGATCAACCTCTTACAGCTGCAGACAGACCCTCCAGTTTCAACTCCAAAGTGCCCGCCTGGGGCTGCCCGCTACCTTGTACCTAGAACAAAAGTCAGCCCTGGCGTCCCCCCAAAAACGTGGGCCCAGCTGAAGGCACACCACCGAAGAAGAGCCTGGCGCGCTGGCCAATCACATCATATAACTCGACGTGATGTCATGGTCTTACATGCAACTCAAAGTGGGCTCCATGGCCTCGCCGGGCTGCCAGCACTAACTGAACTAACTAAAACTGTAGGGAAGTTGCTTTGCTTGCTTTGATGGATGTGATATGATGTGATGGATGCGATATTCTAGCGGTTTTTTTTTTTTTGCATCTAACATCAGGTGCTTTCAGATAAGCGATTAAAACGCCTACGGTCGAGCCGATAGATGAATGCAACAACACATGAACAAGTAGACATGAGAAGATGATAGTAATGAACGGTATTTGCCTTGCTGTATGTAATAGCAAAATTGGCGGCTTGAACGCGAGGGCAATCAATTCTTTTGTGACAGAAATCAACTCATAATTTCTCCTACTGAGCCGAGTCAATCGTTGTCTCAATAACCGAATCCTCTGCTGACAATGCGTCAAATAGCACGCCTCGTCTACCGAGAAGGGAAGAGAGAACTCTGCATCGCGCTGACAAGACCGATTGTCAGGGTGAGATGAGCAAAGCCGGGATACCTAAAGTACATGGAACATGGGAGTCCCCTACTCTGGTACTGGCTAGACTGGTACTGCTGCACTGCAACGCGAGCATGAGCCGCGCCAAGGACTGCCCTTCTTTTTCTCTACAAACGCTTTGGGGGCTTTTTGGAGTAGGTTCCTCATACTTTGCGGGCAATCCAGGACAGCAGAAACTCAGAGCCCGGGTCTAGAGCGTTCACGTCAACGATACGCCCCATGGGATGTATCCGCTGTAACCGGTTGTTGAAGCTCTTTGTTGTACGATTGGCTGCCCGGCTTGAGACGTGTGTTCAAAGGAACCAACAGCCAACCCAGCAGCGATGCTCCCTGCGCCTGTGGCCCGTACCTGTGCCCCGCGTTAATAAGGGTAGGTCAGTCAGTCAGTATCTTAGGAATTCGATAGCAACGACAATGAAGCTTGAGCATTGGTAACACAGATCACCCAGAGAATGAACTCACAAGAGTAGCACGCGGAAAGCCGACGTGACCCTTGAGAAACAAACATGGCGCCCAGTAAAAGACTAGGGATGAAAGCGGATTGGTTGATGCCGAGAAAGAGTCGGTATGGTGATTCATAGTAATTATCATCAATCAAACCCTCTAGCCGGATACACTGCATTTGCTACTCCAGATGAGGGAGGGCTAATACTACCAACATACCATTGAGAGATTAGTTTTAGTGAATCTCACTGAGACAAAATCCAGGCACCGCTTTGAGGGATTGCAGATGAAGGTGTAGAGCAATAACTGCTATTGGATGGGGCTCTGGGAGCAAAGGCATGGGTTTTTGAGTTGGATTCCCATGTGATCCAATCCAAATCAAAAGAAATGTCTTTGACAGAGTTATGCGGAAAGTTCCTAGACTCAAAAGGGTCTTCCGAAAAGGCCATATCATGTCATGCAACCTCGAGCTGTGCCATGCAAACGCAGTCGGCCGATATACGGATACCTACCTACTTGCGCACTATGTAAAGGTTCTGTTCTATGGACTTGTCCATAATTGTCTTACATAGCTATCACGATACCCTTGCAGTTGCAGAAGAATACATGATAATGCTACCCAGCACCTGAGCTACGAGCGAATGTAACTTGGCGACGAGACCTTATTCAGATCATGCGTGGAGTTCTGGTTGGGGTATTGGGAAAAACGTGCCCCCCTCTTCCTGGTTCATGTTGGATGAACTGATGTTTTATTTTTCTCGCTAATAAATTTGGAGTACAACCTCGTCCGTCTGTTCCCTGCACCTACGGACGGTACCGATGAATTGAATTCCATCTTTTAAACTCTCCTCTTTTCTCCATCACCATCTCCTCCCCCGCTTTTGTCTACTTAATTTACTCTTTACTGCTTGTCAGGCGACGACAAGCCCTATGACTGAAGCTGAGCTAGAGTTTTCCCTCCGAAACTCTCTCTCCTCTCACCGGTTTTGTGCATGCTTCCTGCAATCCCGACGGGACACGTCTTTCTCTGCACGCCTTCTTGGGTCCATTCCTCAATGAATAAAGTGCTTCGGCTTCAGCCCACTTCCTTCAGCTCCGTCCGACTCCGGGGGACTGGGGAAAAGCAGCCCGGGCGCCTTTAAGCCCAGTGTAGTGCAGTGCAGTATGCAGCATGTACCTATGGACAAGGATTGATGGCGGGGCATTTACCGGTGTGTACCCCAAGGATGTTTTGTCAATGGCTTCATATCATGGGAATATAGGGTGTCATCTTTAACATCTGATTCACCAGATCATTTTCCCATGCAGCCACCGGTCGATATATCGGGTAAAGGATCGGAAAATCATTCTCATCTTCATATTGCACTACAAAAGTCAAAAGCCCATCCTCCTTCAACTTAAATGCGCTGCTGAAAAATATAGCCATATTCAAGTATCGTCATGTAAGCGTCAGCCCCCAACTTGATATTGTTTCTGAGTAGTCTCTCACCCTTGTCCCGTCTTTCGGAAACGCCTCAACTTGTCATCGATGAGTCTCCAGTCTCAATTGATTTTCAATTGAGTTTATTCTCTCAACATCCGCCCAAACTCTCGCTTCAATTCGCTTCTAAGCGCGCAGTCTCCACGTGGAGTGCCACCATTCGGTCATGCCCGTGTGTGGTGTGTAGGTAGGCGAACAGCAAAACTCAACTTGATGATATACCTACAGTAATCAGTCTCGTTTGGGAACAGGACGACTAGACCTCAACATGTCCAACAAAACTTGACATGACACAATGAAATCTATAAACGTTCCCGTGTGTTTCCGGATCGCCAAGAAGATTCAAAGGCAAGTTCGGAACTACAGATGCGAATGCAATCTTGACTTCTTGGCATGACAAGGCTGTCACTTCCAGGCCTTGTTTTGCTTGTCATGAACCGCCACAATGCACTTACACGTAGATCCTCACGCTTCGGCTACACCCATCCAATGGTCAGTGGCGAAAGAAGAACAAGAGAAAAATTCTCTCCCTCAATTCAATCACATCCCTTGTCGTCTTTCTGGGGCGGTACAATTACTGGAGAAAGACTTATCTCGCTGCCAAAAAGTTCTGGTCTGGAGCGTTCCAGATCTAACCCATGCCACTGCAACGAACCAAACATGGAGGGGGGAAAACCTGAAAAACCTCAAGCTAACCATCACAAACAAGACACACTTTGAGCTTAAAGCCATTAGCGAGGCCGTAATGGATGGACGGCTAAAAATTATCTCATTGGTCCCGATAACCTCGAGCTCTCAATTCATCCACTTTAGCTCTCATCAAGCTTGGGTGCGTGCGTGCGTGCCTGAATATCCGCGATAGCTTCCTTGCTTTCCCAAAGGCCCACAGAGTCTTCCAGTCTTGAATTGAACTGAATTGAATGCTACTAGAATAGGTCTTGGCGCACAGGCCGGTCTCCGAAGCTTCCGCCAAGGGTCCAATTGCGCCGGATGAAACACTATTTAGCGAAAAGAGTTGGCAGGCTACGAGTGAAAAGGGAAAGGGAAAGCTCCATGGACAATGTTGCGATCTCGATCTCGATCTCAAGCGGTTGGTTTATGCTATGAAACCTGTAAGTTGCTGTAACATGCACGGGAGATTTTCTCCGCCCTTGCGAGACCTGGTCCCTGTCGCAAATCAACAAACAGTTCCTGCTCTGACTTCATACCCATTGCATTGCATTGCATTGACTGCATCGACCAGGCCGGCTGGATAGACGAAACAGTTGGCGAAATGTCAGACTTGAGGGTCTGCTACAGAAAAGCGTCATATATCCATATATCTATCGGTCAGTGACAGCCCTTTAAGGAACGTTCCGATCGGAATGGTGGGTAAGAGGACCTATATTGTCCCTTTATTGACCGGGTACATGCCAACTTTGGCGTGTATATCGCGGCTCTACTATAAGTCAGAAGGACCCTGTAGATATGTACACACGTCGGCAGGATGCGAGAATCCAAAATCCCACCTACAAACTGGCAAACAGGATTTACGGTGGTAGTTTCGAGGCGCCACTCAAGATTAAAAAAAAACAAGTTTGGGCAAGTTGAAACTCGATGCAGTGTAATCAGTGCATGATTGGGAGCTGGGAGATTGTTAATCGAGGTGAGTGAGCTTGATCGGGTAGATAAACTAGAGTCTGGATAGACATCCAGGAACAAGGAACGGGAAAGAGGCTTGCAACAAGCCACAAGGGTTCAGCTCAAACGGGCAACCAGTATCAAACAGCCGTGTGTTGTTCTCTGAGTGGTCCTTGAAAGCTCACACATTGATCAAGGCAAGGCTCTAGCCAAGGTTATTGCAAGAGTGACAAAATCCAGTCTCTTGGCTACAGTGACACACTGTCACACACCGCGGGTTCTGTTCCGTCTAGTCAATCAAAGTCTTGGTACGTGCATACATAATGATCTTCCAGGTACTTCGTTTCAATCTACATTGCATGGCATGGCATGACATGGCATGCCACTGCATTACATTCTGCCGGGAAACAATAACTTGAAGACGGCTGGGAAGCATCGACTTTGTTCAATTCGCTGGTCAACCTGGTTTATTGATGCATGCGTGGTAAATCACATCGAAATACCTGCTGGCTTGAAACGTGTGCGGGTGAACAAGTTGCGGGGAAAGGCTTCTTTTTGTTTCTCGCAACAGGCAGTCAGACTAGGTATATCTCTGCTTCTCATTCGCCGACAGTTCCGCGTTTGGGCATCTTCTGTCGACGTATCATGATACACGATAGTTTGTTTACTTTTATGCCCGATTGACTCGGGTATGTTTCCAGGTGAATCATGCAGGTGTGTAGATCACAACAATACAATGACATTCAATACTCTGAGTGCAGACTGTATCATCATGATGTACCTAGTTTCGGTTATGGTCACTAATGTCTGGGTCATGACAGTCCCAACGTTTCTTCTGTTTGTCATGACAATTCGCTAGACATATTATAGCGCCGAGCCGTTAGCTTGTGGTTCTAACCGTCTTCAGGAATTATCTAGCACAAACCAAAACACACATGGTAATCATGAAGTCATTCCGTCGCCAATTAAGGGGGTCTGGATCAGCCCATCGGCCCTGAGTTAGTGTAACTTTCTAAGCAAAAAACTAAAAGGAAGGTCCGGGAAGGCTAGAGTTCCGTCCAAACACCAAGAAAACAGCCGATGATTGGCGATAGTGTTGGTGTCGGTGTAAGTCAAAGTGGGCAAAAGATGATTAGTATTTCTATAGCATTCGATAAACCCCTCAGTTTCAAAGCCTCGACTTGATGAGGGAAATACTTTGACCATCTTGTTTTGACTTGCTTTTGGTCTACGAAGTATCATGGTAATAACTTAGACTGTGGGGTTTTTTCGGTTGAACTCTGTATCCATATTCTGACTTTGGTTGTCCTCTATGGAGAACTTACTAAAAGCTGATATTGATTGTTTTTTATCTTTACTAGAGATGCTTTGTGGTTTATTAGAGATTTGAAACCAGGGTTCCACTAGTTATTCATACCATCATGTCCTATTTTATTTTGGCCATAGGGTAAGACCGCCAGGACAGAGGTAACGGTGAGATAAGGTTTGGATACACACGTTGAATGTGGAAACAAGATATGAACGGTTTCGCCGCCTCATTTTGAAATTTTACTCTCAACATGTCTAGGATTTTGTTTTTCCCTTTCTCGTCGCCAATTTCGGGAGTGGTTATATCCAACTCCCGATTTGTGACATTGGCGGATAGAACGGTCACTTTCTCGCGGGATACTCCTTGTTGTGCTCGCCTCACGGACTCCGAGTACGACAGTAAAAAGGGGCAGATAAGTAAAGGGTTCAAAAGGGGCTTGTCATTTGATAAAGTGAACCTTGAAATGTCATCAACGGATACAATCGTATACACGAGACATTTGATATATATTGAGAAATCAGTTTCAGAGTGTAGGGTAATCAATCCGGCACATGAACCCTCCTCTACCGAGAGCTATAAACGACCCATGACAATCTTGGCTAGCGGAATCAATTTATGTGTTTCTCATCCATGTAGACTCAACTCGATTGTACCTCGTGCACTGACGTCAAAAGCAATTCACCATCCATCATACTCCTTTTTATCTTCTGACTGGTCAAAGATTTGATCATTCGCGATATTCAAGGAGGGGGCACGATCACTTGCCTTTTTTTGTCGCTTTTACAAGTACAACCCCTAATTTGAACGATCGACCATTTCCTCGCGTCGCACTCGTTTCGTTTCATTTTCCGTTTCTAAATGCTGCCCGTTATTGGTATCACTTTTGTCAAGGGGCCGCTGTCATGAAGTTCGCCAAGGAGCTCGAGAGAGAAGCTGTGCCTGGTAAGTTTTACATTAAACCTCCAACCGTTTAACTTGCAATGCATCGACCATGACCTAAAAACTAACTTTTGCACGTGCAGAATGGCGCATCAAGTATCTTAATTACAAGGCCGGAAAGAAACACATAAAAGCCGTTGGGAGAGCTCTTGCGCGCATCAACGGAACGCCCAGAGGCATCCGACCGATACGCACAAACACTTTCACATCTCCTCAGACGCCGCGACAACCCTTTACGAGAGAAAACGCTGCCCAAGGCTCAACGACCATAGCATCTCCATCAGCTGTTGCACCACCGAGATCAATTCCTACTCCCCGAACCGCAGGTCGCGAAGATGAGTCCCTCAAAGAGTCTAGCGATAACCGCCATTATGGAAGCTTCGTCGAGACACCCCCAGAGCCGTCGCCCATGGATGATCATGAGCCCAAACATCGCGATTTTCAATTACCTGCGCCCGCGTTAAAAGTCCACGACCACGACGATGTTCATGATAACGATCTCCCAGGATCTCCTGCCACGACCGGGCCCTCTGACCATATGCGACGAAGCATACGGCGAATGGATCCTCGACGAACTTCATCAGCTAGCGTTGTAGCGACAAATGTATCATCTGACGTAAACAAACCACTCCAAATCCCTGGAGAAAACGGCAAAGACTCACCCTCTCATTTGCGACGACTATTCACTCACCAATCTACAAAAAGCGACCGAAGAAACGATGCTGAGAATTTCGATCTGGTTCGAGAGAGGGAACGGGAGTTCTTTGACTTCCTTGATACCGAGTTGGAGAAAGTCGAGGCCTTCTATAAGATGAAGGAGGAACAGGCTGGCCAAAGGCTCGACATTCTGAGGATACAGCTACACGAGATGCGAAACCGACGAATCCAGGAAATGGCCGACGAGCGTGTCCACGAGGCGAATCCTCCAAAGAAAGGAGCCCACGAGAATGGCAACGGCAAGCTTAACGGACTTATGGATCCCATTAAGGCCAAGATTTTCCCCGTTGGGCCCAACTCCAAGGCGTTGCAAAAGATGAACCTCACCCCTGACGTCAACGGTGTTTTACATGCCGATGCGGAAAGAGACTACATCCGTCGTCCACATCAGCATGAAGTCCCGTATCGCACAGCAAAGCGAAAACTCAAACTCGCCCTTCAAGAGTTCTACCGTGGGCTTGAGTTGCTCAAGTCATACGCTCTACTTAACCGTACCGCCTTCCGCAAGCTTAACAAGAAATACGACAAGGCTGTCAATGCTAGACCCCCTTACCGCTATCTCAATGAGAAGGTCAACCAAGCATGGTTCGTTAACAGTGATGTCCTCGAAGGACACATTAGGACGGTGGAGGACCTCTATGCCCGTTACTTTGAGCGAGGTAATCACAAATTAGCTGCTGGTAAGCTCCGCAGTTTGAACAAGAAGCCTGAAGACCAGTCGATTGGCATGTTCCAGAATGGTCTGCTCATCGGAACTGGCGCAGTATTTGCTATCCAAGGCCTCATCTACGGAGCACAGCTTCTGTACGATGAAGACGACCAACTTCGCCTCCGGACAAGCTATCTTATGCAGATCTACGGAGGCTATTTCCTTATGCTCTATCTGTTCTCGCTCTTCTGCATCGATTGCATGCTTTGGAACCAGAACAAGGTCAACTACCCCTTTATTTTCGAGTTTGACCAACGGCATCATCTAGACTGGAGAGAGCTGGCTCAGTTCCCCAGTTTCTTCTTCCTTGTCTTGGGTCTCTTCATGTGGGTCAACTTTAGTAGATATGGTGACCCTGATATGTACATTTATTACCCAGTCATTCTCATCTTCTTCACTATTGTTATTCTATTCTTTCCGGCACCCACGATATTGCATAGAAGCCGGCGCTGGTTTGCCTATTCTCATGTGAGCTTCCATTCGATATCTCTCACAACAGCACTGACATCTTGATAGTGGCGATTGCTTTTGGCTGGGCTCTATCCCGTTGAGTTTCGTGATTTCTTTCTCGGAGATATCTACTGCTCGCTTACGTATGCTACTGCGGTAAGTTCAGGTTTATCAACGATCAGATAGAGCAAGACTAACGATGACAACAGAACATTGAACTCTTCTTCTGTTTGTATGCACACTACTGGCAGAACCCTGTTCAGTGCAACTCCAGTCACTCTCGTGCTCTTGGATTCTTGACGGCTCTTCCGCCTATTTGGCGATTCTTGCAATGTCTCCGTCGATATAAAGATACACATAATGCCTTTCCGCACTTGGTCAACGGTGGCAAGTATACAGCGACCATCATTTCTGCCGTAATGCTTTCTATGTACCGCATACACAACTCCACGACTCACCTGGCTCTGTTCATCACGTTTTCGACCATCAACAGTATTTACTGCTGTAAGTCTCTGAGCGCCCTCACTTACAAAGAAATGTGCTAACATTAACCAGCTTTCTGGGATCTGTTTATGGATTTCTCCCTTCTTCAGCCGGGATCTCGACACTGGGGTCTTCGAGATATTCTCGCTCTCAAACGTCGATGGTGGTATTATTTTATCATGGTTATTGATCCCATCCTGCGATTCGCCTGGATCTTCTATGCAATTTTCACCCACAATACCCAGCATTCTACCATCGTCTCTTTCATGGTGGCCTTTATGGAAGTCACTCGCCGTGGCATGTGGACTCTATTCCGCGTCGAGAACGAACACTGCAGTAATGTATCTCAGTACAAGGCCTCCCGTGACGTGCCTTTACCTTACAGCATCGAACCCCTCATGGCTCGTGCTAGCACCGACGGTTCCGTCACTGCTCAGGAAACCCAAGGTACTGCCGGCGTCGCCTCTTTCGAGGAACCTTCTCGTCAAGGTACTGCCGAGTCGACCGGTGTGTCTCTTGGACAAGCAGAAGAAGGCGTTTCTCGACGCAGGGCAGGAACAGGAGCACCGCCACCGCCAAAACGCACATTCTCACGTATGCTTGCTGAAGCGCATAAGCAGGACTTTGAGAAGAAGCGCCGCCCACTGGATCAGACCCAAGAAGATCCGACCGCCGAGCTGGAGCAGTCTGACGATGAAGATGAAGCCGATGAGGCTGTTAGTCTTCTAGAGATGTCCGAAGCTGAAGATCTAGCACGAGCGACTAGCTCTAGATATCGCTGAGCACTCACTCTGAAGATTATCACAAGAGGTATGATTGGCTGCGCACATGGTAAATTGTCGAGAATTGCTAGTTTCAGATACCCCATATACATATACGGCATATACTTTCATACGATACACGGTAGTGGCTTTGGGATTATAAAAGAATATTTTGTTTATTAGTAAATCTTCTCTATGACGGGGGTACGATACCCTACGAGCCCGTTTTATATTTGCCTTCACATGTTTCACAGCCTAGAAATGATTTAAGGTAGAAGCCGTGACTTTGATTGCTCAGATAGTTTCTAGTCTGGGTGAACAGAAAGTGTTAGATTGAGATTCTATCAAGCTCATCGAATGATATAATAACAAGACGAGTCGAAATCAGTTCCGTTGATGACTCGGTTATCTCATGTAACGCATGGGAGCTGTGGGCGTGGTATGAGATGGAGGATTCCTGTGAAACACTATTAGCATTCGTGCATAGGCAGTAGAAACAGTTTCTCATACTTAATGGGTGAACATGATAGAGCGACATGTTTGATGATAGTTGCAGGACAGATATTTATAGCTTTCAGATAGAAGAACCGTTGTCAGATCCTCTTGCACCGTCTCCCAAAAGCCGAGTTATCGTGACAACCACAACTTCATCATTGTCCATATTCTCCCTCCCAGCACCTATAGTGGGCGCTGGTGCAGTATACCGTCATCTATCCCAGAGCTTTAACCTTTGAAGCCATATCATGGCCTGATGACGCCTTATATAAAACTCGCACTCATCGCAAACATGCGTCCTCCTGTTATCGTCCGAGTGAGGCTCCAGGGCCAGGGTAACGCCTTCGTTGCAGGCGCCTCGGCCGTAAGTTTCGCAGCCGTCGCAGTCGGGAAGAAATCTCGCTGTTTCCTAGAGGCGGTATTTTACTTCGCAGTGCGCGCACGTTTTATAGAAAACGAGAGTTTGACACATTTTCGAGGGGGTTGAAGGGAGTAGGCAAATAGTTGGGAATCAAAGGTGTTGGTAGAGGTATTGGAGGGAGAGAAAGTTGTTCTCGTGTTTATATTTGGTATTGAAGAGCAAAGGAGAAAAGAGAACAAAGGGTGGTTGATATTTATGCTTGACAAAGAGGTGGATGAAAACAAACGAGTTATTGATTCACTGATAACAAACGCTTTGAAGAGGCAGTATATTGACTACGTTTTACGTTTTTAACCACGTTAGCTTCTGTGCTTCATTCGGAATTTAAACTTGAGTCACATTTAAACTTGTAGCAAAGGCGGAAAACACATGAAAGGCAACTTGTGATACTTTATTCTGGTGTTGTACCATGATACAACCCAACACATTCTTACACCTGATGCTTTGAAACATCTGACGCTGTCCAATGTTCCTCCTCGCTGCTACTTCTTTCTTATCTGTTACTACCCGTTAGTCTCACCCCCTAGTCCTTATGCCCATATCGAAAGACTTACTTCTGCTTACGTCCTAGAAGTTTCATAATCGTGTTTTGAAGCTTCTGACTCTCGATGGTCATTGCAGAACGACACGCTCGACATCGGTAATTTGCGATGGCATCCTTGAGGGATTCGTCCGGGCAGTCAGTGTGGACTACAGTCTTGGCTTCGTTCTTCTTGGGCTCATCGCCCTGGGTTTTGCCCATGTGGATGTACTCGACCTGCTGGACATTCTTGCAGACGACGCAGGTACGGTGCCAAATCTTCTTGACTTCAGACATTTTGACGGTACTGAATCCTTGGTTTGTTTTGTTAGAAAATAGAGTTGTTTCTGAGTTGGTGGTTTTTAGTTACTGATGTTAACTTTGATGAGTTGCAAAAAAAAAAAAAAAGTAGAGATGGAAACTGGAAATATAGCAGCCCAGCAAGCCATTCTTATATCAGAGCTGATGGAAGTCACAGAGAGTTCAAATGGGAATGAGCGTCCTGAACCGTACCTGAGTTCAACAGAATGTCTACTTGCGAACGAAGGAAAGAAGCGATGTCCTTGTTCGTCAGGCTCATTGTTTTCTTTAGGTCGAGTTAACTTGTTTACTAAGTTCAACAATGCAGCAATGAAATATAGAGGACAATGAACAACTTGATGTCGGGTTTGTTCAGGTTACAAAGGGAACACTAAGTTACTTGACATCAAACATACAGCAACAAACGCATTAGATATTGGTAAACAACATTAGTTGGAGTATGGATTATCTCCACTAAATCTCTATCTATCAAGTTCATTCTTCTGAATCTGTTCTGTTCTCACCACCCTGAGTTCTCCTATTAAAAAGTGTCGGAGTAACCACCAAACGATGAGTTCTCACTGCGCGCCCCATTGCATCCTCTCTTCTGAGCAAACGTTCGCTGCGCCTCAACGCTCCACGCCCGCAATAACGTCTGCATTCTATGCAATATCGATGTAAGTACCATCCAGTGGACCTTATCTGTCAAAATAGCCATGTTATGCCCTCACTGCAAGTTCCGTATGAAGGTATCTCTGCATTCTCGGCTTCACTGCACATTGGACAGAATGCTCTTGACACCTCATGTTGAACCCAGCAGTTGGGGCAATGAGCCCAGAATATAAATCCTCGACACATCTAATATAGTCAGTTATGAGTGATAGCTTGAAACGTTAGTGGGGAGAACGCTCTCTCGGAATATCTCGTTCTACAGCCTTGACAAAAGGACACTGGGAAGATTCTCCTTATATGATTTGATAGCTGGATAGCAAAATTCTGATTGAGTGAAGTTGCTACTGTTGACGCTGTTTGTGAAAGGCTACTGAATAAATCTTGACACAATACAAAGTCCCATTCAGAGAGCATAATGTACTGATATGTGTATCACTGGCTTTATGGGTCGGTGATAAAAAGACGAAAGAGAAATGAAACTCCCATTCACAAAAATATTATACTACATCACAACAATTTAGCCCTCGGTCTTCTTCCCTTTGTTCGCACGATACAATTTCGTAAAAGCACCACCCGAATCCGCCAACAACTCCTGTGGTGCTCCAAACTCCACCAGAGAGCCCCTATCCAGAACAACAACCTTGTCAAAGTCAAGTAGCGTATCAATACGGTGGGCGATCATGATGATGGTACAATCTGAGAATTCTGTGCGAATAACTTCCTGCATCCTGGCGTCTGTCTGTGTATCGACGCTGCAAACAATGTTAGTAACATAACGAGACACGAGGGGATGATAAAAGTGAAGTACCTGCTTGTTGGCTCATCGAGGATGAGCAAGGGGCTTTTCTTGAGAAGAGCTCTTGCGAGGCAGAACAATTGTCGTTGGCCGTGAGACAAGAAGTTCTCGTCCATCTTCTCAACAAGGAAGTCTTTGTTGTTGTCAGTCTTGGCTTGGATAACGGACAAAATCCCCACACGCTCCAGTGCGTTTCTGATCTCGTCGTCTGATGATACGTTGCAAGGGTCGAGGTTGGCTCTGATGCTGTCTCCAAAGACGAAAGGATCCTGGGTCAAGCAACTCAAGCGTTGGCGAATGAGATGTCTAGGTATAACAGAGATATCCTCTCCGTCAAGAGTGATATGACCATGAACGACTTCAGCCATTCGGAGTAAGGCTTGAACGAAAGAGCTCTTTCCACTACCGCTTCGACCACATATGCCGAGTTTCTCACCAGGCTTGAGGCTGAATGAAAGACCGCGTAGCACAGGCTCAGTTGTGTGTCTATCAAGTTAGCTTTGCGAAGGTAAACCCCTGGAAGATGACCCTTACTCATATTGAACATCTACGTTCTTGACTTCCAGACTCCCTTCTCTCGGCCAAATGTCTTCTGGATCGTTGCTCTCCCCTGGTTTCTCCTCGCTGGGCGCAGAAGAGCAAAACATGCGAATACGCGCAATAGCACCTAACGAAGTCTCAAGGATTGACCAGTTTAGAACAATGCCCTTCATGTTGGTACCAAGCCTCATCATGTTGACCAGTGCAATGCCTAGAAGCGAAGGGTTAATCTTTTCGCGAAGCGTGACAGCAAATATAACAAGGATAATTGTCAAAAACGCGACAACCATATCCAGAACTAGAGTAAGCCATCGCTGAATACAGTTGAGCAAGTAAGATGGCTTCTGAGCATCGTCAATGCGAGTTAGGACCCTGTCAGTGTACGGTTGCGTCCAGCCGAAAGCACGAATAGTGGCGAGACCGTTGATGGTCTCGAGGAAATGCGAAAAAAGAGGAGCTTTGTGCTCAATCCTGAACGATATCAGTAACTACCCGAAATTTTACTTATAATGTGTTCCTTACTCTAAGAGACGAAGTTGTTTGGAAGTTCGGACATAGAAACGTTGGATGAGTACTAGAACGACCACGACAAAGGGAATCGAGATGGCAAACCAACTCACGGCTGCCATGGCCAAACCAGCAGCACCGAAGCACGCAGCGATCTCTGAGATGATGTTAGCCATACCGGAAACTTCATTTCTGGAGTGAGGAGTATGTACCAAAGAGAAAGATTGAACAAGCTATGGGGAGAATAATGTCGACATGGCGCAAATCCTGGCTGAATCTGGGAAGAGTCAGTACACAGTGATACAATTTCTGGAGAATCGGCAGTACCTGTTGATAAGAGAACCCGCCTCACTATTGTTAAGAAACGACAAAGGTGCGCTGGAATTTTCAGTAAGTTTCTATGTGTGATCAAGTGTCTGGGGACTCAATACCTCATAGCAGCCTTCAAGAGTCGTGAATGCAGCACTTTTCCACTAATAGGCGCACAAACTAGGAGGAACATTCTAATAAACCATCAGTCAAGGTCATACAATTGCATCGGCAGAACTTACGCAATAGCGGCCGTAATAAGCAATCCTTCAAAGAGAGACATGACCGCATAGATGCTGAGCCAGTATCCAACGTCTGTACTGGCACGCCCCTTTCCATCACCCCACCAAGTGACCCAAACATCTATTCAAAGTCAGCTGCAAACTTTCAACTCTATTGAGTAAACACCCACATCGGAACGCTGTCAGGACTCCTGCGCTGGCAATGACGACTGCTTGGAGGATCATGTTGTGCAATCCGTTGGAGTTGAAGTAGTACATAAAAACACTTCTGTCACTGGGGACCTCAGTAGGCTCAACGTTTACGTCCTGTGCTTGGGCCTTTGTGTCTGTTTTGTCCTTCTCGGATTGGTTCTGAGACTCGGATTGAGTCTGACCATCGTGTTCGTCGTGGTTTGAGATGTCAAGGTTATGAATGTATCCATGTCCAGATCGAAGGTCAGAATATGTACCTTGTTCTATGAGTTTTCCACCCTTGTCAAGAACAACCACAAAATCGGACTCGGGGAGTCTGTTCACTACACAATGTCAGTTGACGAGAGCGTCACTCTAATGGTAAAACTTACCGGCATGAGTAGCCAAGATAATGGTGGTCCCGTTCTTTCGAAGAAGACCATCCTTTCCAAAGACTTGAGTAAAGATGATCTGCTCGGTAACCTTGTCAAGACCACTAAAAACATCGTCAAAAATAGCAATAGGTTTCCTCGAGTACACCGCACGGGCGATGGCGATTCTCTGCTTCTGTCCTCCACTTAATTTGACACCCTGCTCGCCAACCTGAGTGAGATCCCCTTCAGGAAGTCGCCCCAGGTCGATGGTCAGATCACAAGCACTAACAACTGTGTCGAACCAGGCGCTGTCATATCCCTTGGACTCTGCGATGATGTTGGCGCGGACAGTAGCGTTCATAACCCAGGGAGTCTGATCGCAAAAGGCTACTTCTGACGCATTTAAGGATACGCTGCCATTAGAAGACGTCGTTTCGCCCAAGATGGCCTTTAGTAAACTTGATTTTCCTGAACCAACCGGTCCAACCAGCATAGTAAGAGAACCATCCTTGTGGCCCGGAAAAGAAGTATTGATATCCTGAAGAACTGCCTTTTCACCCCAGTTGAAGTTACCGTCCGCTATTAAGATTCTGCTTCCGTCAGCCCCAACCTGGATTTCTTTCATAGCTGTTGATTGGAAAGTCTCCTGCAAAGCCTGCGAGCTTTCTTGAGACGACCTCGAGGCTTCTTTATAACGACCTTGAATCTGACGACGATCAACTCTTTCTTCCAATTCGAGGAAATCCTCCATTCTTGTGAAACACCCAAAGACCGAGAATGATCCAGGGATGCTTCCAAGAAGATGTGAGAGGGGATCCATCATGACGCCGAGGATTGACAAAGCTGTAATAGCTTGTGCTGCAGAGAAGGGCTGGCCGTTTCCAAGTTTTGCTGCGATGGCATATGCTCCAAATGTGATGGCTTCGGTCATACCGATATTGCAGTTTGCTACAGGCAAATAAGTAAAGAATATCAGTTACAAGACCCGACATCCACTTACTAATCATGTTGAGGTAAACATTAATCAGACGATAGTGCTTTCCTGTACTGATTTCATCATCCCGCTTTTGAGAAATGAGACTCTGGAATCTCTCTGATAGTCCGAGCATCTTGACTGGTTTCATAGAGCTGAGGACTTCGTTGGTGAGGTTTATGCGGTCCTGGGTAGCCTTTTGATACCTGATCTGACGTGAAACCATCATCTTTCCGATTGAACCTGTGAGGAACAAACAAACTGTAAGGTTAGTATTAGTGACCAGATCAGAAACAACCAGACTCACTAATTCCTGTGACGATGGGAGCAACGCAAACAGCGCCGAGTTGGGCTGCCAACATGTACATGGCAATGGCCACAGTGAGAGTATTTGCCCAAGACTCTACCAGGAGGAAGTGAAGCTTCTCAATGAGTGTCTCGACATCATTACCCATAAGTGTCACAGCTGAAGACTCGGCAAGGTCGTCTATGGGAAGCTTCATCATCTTGCTGTAAATCATGGTGATGAGACCACCACGGACCATGGCACCAGCCCTGAAGGTCAAATGCTCATACCACGCTGTGAGTATCTACATAAAATGGTTAGCTCATATTAATTGCAAATGTAAATAGTCATACCGCAGAACCGATAAAGACAAAAGCAAATGCGCCGATCAAGCCGTAGCCCAAGTTGGTGGTAGACTCCGATGCAGGCATAGTCAGGAACCGAAGTGCATTGCTGACGAGAAACGGTTGAGAGATGTTAAGAGCAATCATTCCGATCCGAGGTGGTATAATACCCAAAAGTTCCCATCTCAAAACACTGACAGTCGTCTTGAAAAGAGACGGCTTCTTACTTGATGAAGATGCTATAGCCTTGTGTTAGTGTATGGTGGTTTAAGTCATGGATGTTGACACACTTCTCTTCCAAGCTTTTCCGAACCTGACTGCAAGTTTCTCCGATGATAGCTTTTCATAGATTGTAGGCAAATCATTGTTGGTCAAAACTGTAGCCCAACCGGAAATGAGCAACGAATTCAACCAGACAAAGAAACCACGACTAAAAGGTCCACTTGTACTCTCCTTGGAGATGAGTTTGTCGCTGGAAATCAAGATCTTTCGCTTTTCAACCGTCTCCAAGACTAACAATGCTAGCTTGAAAACGGCTGAAGCAGATAAAGTCGCGGCATAGGCGATATTGAGTGACACGAGCCATTCTGTGCGTAGTCGTGCGGCGTCAAACAGCAGCGTAACAAAAAGATATGCTGTTAGCACGAATGATGGTCGGAAAGACTTGACATGCTCCACATGGGTTAACAGAACAATCGAAAAGGAAGCTAGAAGGTTTAGTATGGCCGCAGCGAGAGAGAAGCGTGTGTTGAGCTTCTTTGCGGAGGGTACCAAGGCCAATAGGGCGACCTGTAAAACTGCATATGTAGCCGATGTAATCTGTTGGATTGGTATAAGTCAAAGCAAACTGATCTTCAGGATAAGTCTTACAAGTTTGGGCGTATAAGTCGCGTGACGCTTTGCCTTGTCTGGAGTCTTGAAAAGATAGTATGCTCGGGGGCCAGCGATTGCGAGAAACACGGCAGATGGAGCTATACTCAGGATACTTTCTTGGAAGGACACTGGTAATAGTCAGCCAAATAGTCCAATTTGATCAGCAGTGATATTCTGTCCTCACAAGTAAAGTCAAATCCACCACGACATCCCTCAGTCCAAACGCTGGGTCCAAAGAGACCATCGCCACAAGCAGTTGAATTGTAATCACCCATGATAGATGAAGATCAAATGTTCCTCACAGACAGAGAGAAGCCAAGGCTTGGAATAAGTACTCCAGTCTTGGCCGTTCTGCAGCACCTCAAAGAGGAAATATTGATGCCAGGCTGCGGCGTTGCTTTTCTGTGATCCGACCGTGTGGTACACCCTGCTTGTGCATCAATTGACATGCCTTTTAAACATGCAGGTAAACAGTCTCGAACATCGAATATCGATTTTCTCTCTTGGTAAAGAAAGGGTGCGTAGGACTTAAAAGGTCAGGCTATGTCGTCCTTTGAGGAAGCTGTCAGCATTCAATCAATTCGGATGAATAAAGTCCGAAAATAAAGATCAGATCCATAAGGAGAACTGTCTGCGATTTCGGCTTTAATTTGTGACTTGTAGTAGGAATTGCGACGCATTGCAAAAGTACCCTCTTGACATGTCCCTATTCGGAAGGTGAACAAGGTTGAATGATAAGCTTAGAGCCTAGCTCTAGGGAGTCTAGACTATCTGGGGGAGTATTAGCCAATATCAGATCCCTACAATCGTGAGAATGCGCTTAGATAAAGGCTAATAACGACAGTTGTAAATTGACAATGTATAAGTTATCTATTTGGGTATTTTAAAATGTAAATGGCAAAGACATGTTCTCAAGACCCAACACCAAGTCAATCATCGAAGCCTCAGGGGATCATCAGGCATATAATCATCCGTCTCGTATCCCTCATTATCGACCACTTCTTCTTCCCTTGGACGCTTCTTGGGCGGTTCAACAAAGTACAGAGCTACCAATGCGATAGAGCATAGGAATGATATGTAAAACCATGGCAGTCCGATCCAGATTCCCTTTAGCTTCAGCCCTTGATCAAAACACCAAGCCAACACTGGTCCGGCGATAAACGAGCCCACTACTTCAATCATGCCTATCAAAGCGTACAATCGAGCCGTGTACTCAGGCTGCACGTAGTGTGTAACTGTTGCGCGGGCAAGCGGACCCGTGGCAGCGCCAAAGGTCTCGATAAAGAGACCAAAGAAGAACATGACTACGCTGTGGCTCAATCCTTGCCAGAATGCTCCGAGGACAAGCATCACAGTTGAGATGCGCGTTAAGAACAAGTCTTTGCCGAATGCTGTCATGCGAAATCGAGGCGACATGAGCCTATCTCCAACTTTTGGCAGACCAGCTAGAATGACCAGATCGAGGATACCTAAAGGAGAGAGGATCAGGCTTACATCGGCCATTTTCCATTTAAAGTGTTTGCTGATGTACTGACTCATGGTCGTCGTGTAAGCCGTGTAGCGCGCATTTTGTATAAAGAATGTGATAAGAATCATAGCGACGCTCACGTTCTTGAGCATGTTGAGCGAGTGCTTGAGATCTTTGGCGCCATTTGATAAATGCTCCTTTAGAGTATTAGGTGCCCTTTTGCCATTTTGGGCTTGCTGTTTCTTGACATTAACAGTCAAGGTTTCGGGAAGGAGAACAAGGATGCCCATGATAATGGGAACTGTGAACAAGACGAGATATATGGGAAGCCAAGGGCCGTACTTGTTCATCAGAATACCAGCAATGGCAGGACCACTGATACCTCCCGCCGTGGCACCAAAAGCAGACCACAAAAAGTGCTTCGCTCTGTATGTTGTGTCAGTGAAAGATTACTCGGAAAGCATCGGCATTTACCTACTTGTTTTCTTCGGTGCTGACATCAGCGGCAATCGAGTAGAGTGTAGACATCAACACTGGGACACCACCGCCAAAGACTTGAAAAAAGCCTCCCAGTACTAAAATGTAGGGCCTGTCCCGGAGAGAGCCCTGGAAGGCCTTGATGCTGAAAGGAGCAAAGAGGAAGCAAACAGCGATACCGACCCAAGCAAACATGATTGTTGGTTTGCGACCAATTTTATCAGACATAGTCCCATAAGGAAAAGCTACAATAAGACCTGGATGGATTGTTAGTAAAATAAGACGAATTGGTTCAGGTAATACTCACCAATGAGCGAAGTAACGAGTCCGTTCCAGCCATACAAATACCCCAATTGAGACTGCACCTCATCAACCTTGCATTTCATCTCATCGATGATATCCGTCGATGTATCATTGTAATGTATATGGCAAAACATGTCTTCAATCAGACGTGCCGTGGGCAACATTAGCAACATGCCGCTCAAAACGACCGCAAACTTGATAAAGGAAACCAAAATAACAATCTGCTTGGGCGATCGAACAACCCATCGCGAGGACTGATAACTGGGGACTGGCTCAGAGCGAGGGTGAAAGGTATTATTGCCATTGTCTACGTCATCTTCAAGGGGATCCAGATCAAGCAAAGGTGCATCCAAATGCGACTCTAACTCGACATCCTCATTGGAGACGGGCTGATACTTGGAAGGCATCTTGGCGACACAAGAAGTAAAGAAGGACTCAAACGGGGGACATTGTGGTTATATATTCATAAATGGTACAAGAGAGGACAGAAAGACGACCAAGAGTAAGATGAACAAGTCGAGATAATCAAGGGAGGGAAAGAGACTAGCTGAGGCGCGAAAATGCTCAACAAAGTGACTAAGCTACTTAGACAAACGCCAAAAATAAAAGGCGCTATTCTGGTCGATCCAGGGGTTAAAAGACCCCTGTAATTTGATTGAGCCTCTCTGTAGGGCTGTGCAAGTACAGAAACACTTGCGTGGCCTGCGACCGTGCAATGGTTATACGCGTATTAATATCGGGTTCACTGTATTGTACTCGGTTTGCTATTGTGCGTTCGCATTCATCAAAAGTTCTTTGTTATACCTTTAGCCAAACATTAAACTAGCAAACACTGCTAAATAAATTCGAGATGAGACTCGTATACACCCAAGTTTACAAGTTTACGTTGAAAAACTAAAGAACTAAAGTGTACTTTAGACACTCAGTCATCGAACAGTATCAATGCTTCCAAATCGGTGTATGAATAATACTAAGGCCATGAAAGTCAAAAACCTCCGTCACAAGCGTCGGGCGGGGCCGTAAACCCCGCAGCCGGTCCGCCCCCGCTCCGGTAGTTGACCTTGGCTATCAAGTCTTGACCTTTGTAAACAACCAATACATCTTGGCCCATTCTACCATACATCCATTGATCAGTTAGTATTTCGTCAATATGTCCTCCTCTCCTCTCCGTATAGGCTTCGTGCCAGAGCATTTCTCAACTCCCCTCTTCTTCGCCCAGAAGCACTTTGGTCTCGATGCAACTCTCATTCCCTTTCCTTCCGGCACAGGCCACATGGTCACCGCCATTCGATCTGGAGAGATTGATGTAGCTGTTGGACTGACTGAAGGTTGGATTGCGGGTCTGGGAAAGGAGGGCGTGGAAGGAGATGGTGGATATCGTCTTGTGGGAACTTATGTCGAGACTCCCCTATGTACGCTTTCGCCATCCTATAACAGTAACCTCACTACTGACTGAGAACCTTAGGCTGGGCTATCTCCACAGGCGCAAAGCGTCCTGAAATCACATCTGTCGACTCTCTCAAGGGTGGCAAGATTGGCGTTTCACGAATTGGCTCAGGCAGCTACGTGATGGGCTTCGTCCTGGCCGACCAGCAAGGCTGGCTGACTCCTGGTGCCGCAGAAAAGCCCTTCAGCGATACTGTAGTCCTCAACACCTTTGAGAACCTGCGTAACGCCGTCAACAGCGGTGAGGCCGACTTCTTCATGTGGGAGCATTTCACGTCCAAGAAGTTCTACGACTCTGGTGAGATCCGTCGTGTCGGTGAGATCTACACGCCCTGGAGCAGCTGGAAGATTGTTGCTTCGACAAAGTTGACGCAGAATGGCTTGGATGCTCGCGTGATGGATCTGTTTGGCAAGTTGGACCAGGGCATCAAACACTTTAACGAGAACCAGGAGGAGTCTGTGGCATACATCTCGAGCAACCTTGGCTACACGGAGCCTGATGCGCGGGAGTGGCTCAAGACGGTCAGGTTCCCAACAAAGACGGAGGGAGTTCGCTCCGAGGTGGTGCAGAATACAGTCAACATCTTACGAAAGGCGGGAGTTCTGGCCGAGGGCAAAGGAATGGAGCCTCAAGCCATGGTCTTTTCTTCCTAAGCTAATCTCAATCAATGGTCTTGATTTGAATACAAGTTAGCAACTAACAAATTAACCGCTGCCCAATAACGTTTTCCCTTGTTACTTTTCACTCAACCGCACCTAGAGGAAGAGCTCCTTTCTAAGGTTTCTAAGATGATCGTAAAGATGTGTGAGCTGATTGCAATCCCTCTCAAGTTCGCCCGGCGACATATCAGGTTTTGCTTTCTCGACCAAATGCTCTTCTATACTTCGAATCTTACGAATCAGATCGACGACCGAGCCCTGATATGTGGTATGCGAGCTGGCAAACAGAGGCCAAGGTTTGCCTTTGAGAATTTTCTGTGAAAGTCCTCTGAGGAGACTGAGTAACACTCTGGACATACCACCACCCTGTACTCTTGGTAAACATCAAACTCCTCTCGGGTAGGTAATATGCTGTTGTCCATGTAGTCGACTTGATGCGAGAGAAGGCGTAATGCGTGGAAGGTTCTTTCGACGCACACCAGTCGCTGGTCAAGCATTTCATCGTCTACCGAGATATGTGTCAGTTTCAAGTCCAAATTTCTCCCGTCGTTTATTGCCTTACTGATCAGTCGCAGCTCTTGTATCAACGTCCATTCGTAGTCCTTGATGGAGTCGTGCCTCAGCTCATTAGGCATATCTTTCTGACCCGCTTCCAAGAATAGGGCCAGATTATCACGGATGAGACCCAGGACCGGCTCGAGTTTGAGTTTGTAAGCAACTGCAGCCAGCAATAACCATTCTTGTACTCGATACAAGTACTTGGCCTGTTCTGTCAGATCGACAACGACCCGTTTGATTCTATTAGCCGAAAAGAACGGGAAGTATCGGGGGAAAATCAGGTCACGCTCCCCGTCCTCGGGATAGTGGATAGATTGAGGTGTTCCAAGGGATTCGTGGATGAGTATCGAGTAGAACAGTAGGCGCGGATCAGCGTCTGTATAGTGACGGCCGTCGTTCTTTCTGTGAATGATGTCGATGACGGCTCTGAGGGCGTCCTTGGCCTTTTCCTCTCCAAAGTCAATATCTTCGACTTGAAATCTCTTGTGCCCAATTCCTAATTCTGTTAGGTCTGTCCATTTTGAACATGTTGATCGCATGCGTGTCTCGTCGACCGCGAGGCTAACCAAAACACTGCCGTCGTCGTGTAAATCGGAGAGCGTGTTCTCTCGCTGATTTCCTGTGGATCTGTTCGCCTGGTTTTCAGGGAATCCCTCAGAGCCCTCAGACTTCTTGATTCGTTCTATGATCTGCTGCCTAGGGGATACTGCACGTTTGTTCTTAGATTTCCGTGCCATTTTGCTGATGATAGTTGGGATGCGATGTGTGGAGGAGGGAGATAAAAAACTGGTCGAAGTGAACCACTGAAGTTTCCCTTTGAAATTGTATCTATCCTAAAAGCCTAAGGCAGGTGAAGTTTGGGTATTTCCATATGAACAGGTTTAGGTTCGACGTTCATTCTACTTACTTCTACGCCTTCCATGAAAGTTATTCTTTCTTCAGCACTCCCTTGTCAAGACTTCTGCCAGGTGCTCTCCTTCTTACCTGTATAGGCACTTAGGTTATCGGGAAGATACTTAGTTCTATAGACCTCCGCTCTTGACTTGTCCTGTATGCGATAAGTTGCATCAAGTTTGACAATCACGGGTTCTTGCCTTGTTTGCCAGGACAGAATTTATTCAATTGTTTATCTATTTAATTAAGTTTCTGTGTAACAATATACCTTGCTCTTGATAAGTTGAACTCCGGAATATCCAGACAACCGTTATTTAAAGTGAAAACATAAGACTCCCGATACATGCCTATTTGCAGCACGCGATGTTGGTTTCAGGCTGCGTTACCTAAACAATAAAACCTTGATAACCATTACTAACAAAGCGGTCAGCAGGAGCATTCCAGATTGTTATACAAGAATAATCATGGGAATAATTCGTTGTCAATGTGATATTTATATGGTTACACGCTGCGTTGCACGACTTACACGACCTGACCATATCACGAGGTGATGTCATGTCACTGGGGTCGGGAATAAACCACAGTTTACCCCCGATACCGGCTTAAAAAAAAATGAACCCTTATCTTTAGGTACCTTAATTAATTGCAAAAGATTACCCAAAAAGAGTCACTTAAATATCCCCGCTTCAATTAATTGCGTGCTCAACACCAAGAGCAGTGATAGTCGATATCCGTCCGACATCCGCTACATAAACAATATTATTCCCCTTTGTCTATCCCCCATTTTCATGCCAATACCCGAACCTTTCTCTTGTTCGCCAAGATCTTGTGGCGTCGATATTACATACATCGCTTATCACGACTCGACTCGGGCCGAAACGCGCAAAGTCAAGTTGCGTTGCGCGCATCCTTATCTGGGGTAACTCTATTGAGGCGCCGGTCGCATTCAAACTCTGTACATGGCAGCAGCCATGTCGGCCCTTTCAGATGAAGCATCGCATACACGCGAACGTCAACATGGACATGACACCGACGATGTGGCTGTGCCCTCAAGTCCACTCTTGGAATCAAGATCAAGATCGCCAGTTGGATTGAGGGCCAAGTTGGGCTTGAGTGGCGTCGCTCGAAGGACTGTGGGCTTCGCGCTGCTTCTGTTAACGGTTTTTCTATGGACAATGTACAACTTCATTGCCAGTGTAAGAGTCCCGACACACTTGACTTTGATGCCGGCGCTGATGTGTGTCTTTAGTACATATTCTCCGACGAGACGTATAACAAACCCTTCTTCGTTGTCTATCTCAACACCTCGATATTCGCAATCTCTTTGATACCAAAGTTCTTTAACTACCTACGAAAGCACGGATTCCGTGGACTGCGACACGACGCGAACCAAGTCTGGATAGACTACAAGCATGGCACAAACTATACAACATCCCTGCATCGAAGCGAAGATGAGCAGGCCACCGAGCGCTTGATAGCGCAAGGCTATGGAAGCACCGAGACCACCCCGTCTGACGAGAGGCTGAGCTTCAAGGATACTGCTGTCTTGAGCTTCGAGTTCTGCATGCTTTGGTTCCTGGCCAACTACTTCTCATCCGCCTGTCTCGAGCATACCAGCGTCGCGAGTGTAACAATCCTGACATCGACGAGTAGTGTTTGGACGCTCATTTTTTGCTCGCTATTTGGCATTGAGCGCTTCTCTACAGCCAAGATCATGGGTGTAGCAGCTTCGCTCGCGGGTGTCATTCTCATCTCGACGGTGGATTTGGCTGGGGAGGCTGATGAAAACAGGGGATCATTTCCACACAAATCGTCTACGCAGATTGCCATAGGAGATGCAATGGCGCTTCTGAGTGCTGTCATCTATGGTCTCTATGTGACAGTGATGAAGCGCAAGGTTCCCAATGAGGATAAAGTCGATATGCAGATGTTCTTTGGGCTCGTCGGCGTTTTCAACGTCGTTCTCCTTTGGCCGCTTTTCTTCATCTTGCATTGGACAGGCATTGAGCCAGTAAGTCGACATGTGCCTCTCAACGATATTTAGACTAACCGTATCAGTTTGAACTTCCACCGAACAGCACAATCTGGGGCATCATTATTGTAAGTCATTTGGCCAGCTGGAAACGAGACAGGTGCTGACAAGAAACTAGTTCAACGCGGTATCATCCTTCATCAGCGATATCTCATGGGCTCTCGCCCTACTCATGACAACGCCTTTGGTGGTGACAGTTGGTCTTTCTCTCACTATCCCATTGTCTCTGATTGGCGAGATTCTACAATACCAACAATATTCAAGCTTCACCTACTGGGTCGGTGCTGCAGTGGTTTTTGTTTCATTCATTGTGGTTAGTAGAGAAAGTCATGATGAAGAGGATTTGAGAAAGGACAATGATCTTGAGAGATCTGTTGGGGTTGAACAAGTGTATGAATCATGATAGTAACGACATGCGCGTGATTTTATGGTCATTAGGGGCGTTTTGATTACTTTCAACAGCAAGTTGGTACAGGCAGGCATGAGATGGGATACAACCGGCGTTTCAACCGCACAAGATTTATTGATTAGTCGAGCATTTACAAGGACAAACACAAACATCCATTTAAATGGATACAACGACTCAAAAGCTTAAATCATCTCGACTTCCCGATTCAGACAGGTCTTAAACAAATCATGATCGGGATAAGGCCCTGACTCCGGACCCGTGGATTCTGGACCCTGAAGTCCGTCCATATTTTACATCTCGATCTTGGGTCATAGTCGACGATCTGCCAAGATCGAACGTACATACAGCCAGCACAGACGGTCTGCTTATGCAGCGGGGTTGACGTTCTCACGAAGCCAGGGTAGCGTCGGGGAAGATCAAGAAGAGCAGGGGTCAGTTGGAAACACTGACAATAGTTGGTTTCCTATGCACGTTTTTCGAAGCTGTTGAGAGATGGGTGAGGCTTGTGAAAGTGAGTATCGTATCATGTCTCTGTATGTTTCTTTTTTTTTTTTTTTTTTTTTTTGTTTTTGTTTTGTTTGGATAGAGGCCCGGTTATGATACAATTTGCATTGACGTGGATGATATTGCTTTTTTGACAGCGGAAAGACCCTTGAAAACCATCAAGATATCGCCCTGCTCTTTTGCATTTGGACTTGAATCCATGTAGTATCATGTCCCCTTATCCCTCGTCCTGGGTCCGGAGCTGCTCCGTGGCATCTGTTTTGCTTTGTTTGACCCAGTGCTCTGGGGCCTCTCGGCGCTAAACGGGGCCTGTATCTCTCTGCAGATGCCGCCACAGTTCGATTTCACGCCAAAAGCCCGATCATGACGTCTTTTTTAGTTAGTGGGGGAGCTTCTTTTTTCAGCAAACCGCTCCGGGTCATGGGTCCCTTTTGGCTGTTTGTCATGAGGGGGATCTGCGCTGCCCTTGTACCTCGATGTGGCGTATGACGGGAATCCGATATGATTTCATATTTTCTCACTGCAATTAGTATTCATCTGTGGCTTGATAAGCAGATAATTATACTGAAGGATAGCTGCTAGAGACAGACAAGATTGGGAGGAACGACTTGACTCAAGATCAAAAGCCTCTTGACCAATTTCTTGTCATAGAAAAAGCAAGAAAGAATGTACATTACATGGACCCTTCTCTTCTTTCCTCATATGGAGCTCCGCATCCGAAATTGACGTTGCCATTTTGCCTCTTGAATCTCATCTCATCTGCAGGGTCCCTTTGGCCTAGACCTCAACCGACCTCGACCTTACCTCGATTTCTTTCTTCCTACCTACACTACAACCCTACAATACATTCCCTTGACCTAATTTGACCTGCCCATTTCGACTCGACTCGACTCAACCCTAATTCTTGTTACCTTGAACTGGCTCTCATACCTTTCCTAAACTACTCTCTCGTCTGTAGCTTATCATCCCATTATAACTCTCGAATTCGAGCACTATCATTCGAACTTTGAACCTATCATCTCCAACCCACTCCAGTCCTACGCCCTGATCTTGGGGCGGCCCAACTACCCGGGCCAACAGAACAGGGGAAATGGCAGCGCTTCAACCTGATGTCCCACAACATCCTCAGCCTCCATCTCAATCTCAACTTCACCAACACGACCGTCCGTTGGCCGAGTCTATTGCCATTGCTACAAGGACGGTGCACGCCAAGCTTAACAAGCTCATTATCGCCCGTCTGCCGCTTGCGTTACCTCCTGTTGCCGCCGATTCGTCTTCATACATCACTGGACTATTGCATATTACGCCTATCTACATCACCTTCGAGACACTATGGCGGGATATAATCGAGTCGGGATCTCCTTTAAGATGCGAAAATAATGTCGAAGCATTCTTTCCAGAGAATACGCCGACTGGATCTCCCTACACTTCCTCACGAATCGATGCTCACGAATTCACAAGTCGGAGCAGAATGCTAGCGTTACTTCAGCAACTTTATCTTCCAGGATTAATGCGATCTGACCGTCTCAAAGCGGATATTGCAAATTTGTCAGGGTGGTCAAATAGCACCGTTGAGGAGCAGCTACGCCTGGTTGAACAGAATGGTCGACTGGGAGATTTTCTTCAGCACATAAAGAGAACGGTCCAAAATCGACCTCACGTACTATTGTCTTATTCCTATATCTTGTTCATGGCTCTTTTTGCCGGCGGCCGTTTTATCAGAGCTACCCTAGAATCCGCCGGGGACGAGTTCTGGGACCGATTACCTTCGCCAGTGTTGCCATCTCTTGTACCTTGCGAGGAGAACACACGGCGAACTAAGCGAGCCAGTGGTTTGTCCGACGACCAGATTCCACAGGATGACTTTCATCACCATGCGACTCACACGATGCCTCTACGATTTTTCCACTTCCAGACTCCTGAGGACGGAGAAGATTTAAAACGCGAATTTAAGCGACGACTCGCTAGCATGGAGGGGAAATTGTCACCACGTGAGAAGCAAGACATTGTCCAAGAATCAATCTGTATCTTCGACAACATGACGCTTTTGGTTCAACAGCTCGACAGGCTTTGTGATGACCCATCACGGGAGGGAAGCGACAGTCCGACATCCTCTCTGCTTGACTTGGTCGACCAATTCCATCCTTTCCGCTCCCGTCTCAGAGACAGCGTATCTATCGCCAAAGATAGAATTCAAAGATCTCCAAAACTATCACCGAACCGCACTAAATTAGCTTGGTCGATCTGGAAATACTACGGTGCGGCTTCATCTCCTGTGGAGCCAGAGAGTGGGATCAAGGTGCCGATCGGTCACCCTGGTCTTTCCAACGACGCGTCAATTGAACTTTGTCCAGCCTTTTCGAAGTCTATGAGGTTCGATAAGACCTTGCCACGACCAACGCGCTGCCCCGCCAAGTCCATAGGGGAAGAACATGATTTGAATGAGTGTCTTCAGGTTGCTTCTAATAAGCTCAACAGTATTGGCTTCATCAACTGGTTGATAATATTGACTGTCGGGGTTATTATCCTTGGAGCATTATGTTCTGTACGTCACGGCCGCGATATAACAATGATGAAAGCATGAGGCATCATAATTGAAATGACCTGTCATGCATAGCGATTGCATTTTGTTTGGTGTTTTTACGGAGTTGAAGCATGAGGATACCCCTTGTTGGGAGAAACACGTCTATGTCTGGAGTTGGTTGGTTGCATTTTTATTACACGACCGAGCACATGCATATTCGACTGTACTCAATTCCCTGCACTTTTGCATATATACATTCTACAGAGAGAAACGATTACGACTTTAGATTACGAGATAGTACCCTACGTCATAAAAGATCATGCGTTATGACTTTGCAGAGAAATATGCCTCTGTTCCCATTCCTTACTACCTGAATGTCACTATTTGTGAAGGTCGATCTAAATACCATCTGGCGAACCCACCCATGTCGTTGAGGGGCTTCTCCAATAGCTCTGCTAGAATTAACATATGTGTTTGAAATACCCATATCTGTATTGGGGGGTGGGGGTATCGTATAATATCATGAAAGAAAAACGCCATTCGCTATTGCAAGATACCGTCGTCTTGTCTCATTTACTCATCGTCGTCAATGTCCCAGTTGTCTCCCACGTCTGCCCAACCTGCAAAGTATCGCTCTCCACCAAAGTCGCCAACCTGTCTGAAATACCGCGCCCGACCTTCGTCTTCTTGCCACTGGCGTACAACGGAATCGTCCGACGCGCTGACCAGCTTGCCGTCGTAACTCCAGCTGACATTTGAAACTTCGCGGGTGTGACCGTGGACAAGGGGTGTGCCGTTGCGGAAGATCGGGATAGTAGACGAGCTGGGTTCAGCGCCGGCGGCGGATGAGAAAGACCGCGAGGGCGTAGGGGCGGATCCGGGGGGGTCGAGGAGGTGAGCACGCTTGTCGCAGGCTGAGCGAAGATAACGCTCATCTGTAGGGAAGAGCACGACTGAAGACTCGGAGCTACCAACGGCGAGGAGGTCAGATGAGTGGGAGAGGCCCTTGTGCCGCATGCTGCACTTGACGAAGAATGTTCTCGCGGCGAAAGAATCGTGCTTGAAACCATACAGGGGACCTAGACCATGGGAAGCAATGGGCCTTCTCTTGGTAGCGAGGTCTTTGAGTTCAGGAGCGTGGCCGAGCATGAGATGGGCCATGGAGTAGGCGTAAATGGTGCTATCTTTGCATACGGCGTACATACGAGCGGCGTCACTACTGAGGGCCAGGGAGGTGATGCCGTATGAGCGCCAGGCGTGATTGGACGGCACGGCTGTGGAAGACAGAGGAATACTCTTTTCCTGATGCCGACGGTTGATGTATCGAAGATCCCAGAGCTTAACAACAGCCTCTGCTTCGGAGGCGGATAGTAGCAGATGTTCACGACCGGCGGGAAGCCATTGGATAGCGGTGACGGAAGCAACAGAAATCTTTCCATGGGCATTACGCTCATGTGTGTTGTCAAGAGTGTTCACGGCAGATGCTTGTAATGGCCTGAGAGTCTCATCTCTCATAGTGACAGTTCGACGACCTGTCTCACTACAACTAACCGCCGAAAAGTTTCTGACATGAGAAGGTGGACATCGCAAATCCCACAAACGGATACGGCCAGTCTTGTCTGAGGTGGTTAACACATTGCCGATGGACTGGCCCTTCTGCCAAGCAACTTGTCGAGTTGAACTGTAGTGACCTTCAGAGAGTCTGGCTGCCACGGTCTTGGTCGTCACATCCATTACCAAAGCTGCATCACCAGCCGTGGTTGCAAGACGCATGTCGTCACTGGAAAAGTCCATATCCCAGATGGCATTGTCGTGGACGGCATGGACGCCCAGATCTTTCTCCTCGTTTGGATCATCGTTTGCAGAAGTGTCGAAGAACCTAACGCAACCTTCTTCATCACCGACGGCCGTCACAGGGAAATTGTGAGTGCTTGCGAGACAGAAGGGAATGGTGCGACTACCGCTAGGAGCGAGACACTCGTACGAATCGATGCAACGGCTGTGAAACCGTGCTGTTTCGGCTCGGGGGTCGGATGCAGGCGTGTGAAGAAGGGATTGACCGCTTGAATATCCGAATCCATGTTCACGATTTAGCAATTGAGAGTCGAAGCCTCGGTTGGCGAATTTTCTGATGGGCCTGGGTGTGTAGTTGACTAGCTCCTAAAGTCATGATGTCAGTGATGCCAGCAGGATATGAGGGCACATTAACATACATCATCAGGCTGAGGTTCTTCAAGAACAATGTTAGTAGTTTTGACCATGTTTCCCTTCTTAGGGGTTTTAGCAACTCCACGGCTGGTCTTGAAGAAACTGCTCTGTTGGGCTGTGAGTAGAGGTTCGGCAACAGTCGGATTGCTATTGGGGCTTACCAGAGTAGCTCTTCTACAGCTATCAAGGCTCTCCAGACTAGCTTGACTGCTGAAACTATCCGATGCCTTTAAAACATTATTAACACTCAAGTTCGAAGAGCTTGAGCGAGTCAATCGAAGTGGTGGCATATTGTCGAGGTTCAAAGTTGGCCTCTTGAGATCACCTTCCGTCTCCGAAGCGTCGGGCTGAAGCTTCCTCTTCCGCGAGTCATCTTGAAACCTTTCAGTAGGAGACGATGGCAGAATATCATCACTAAAAAGCGATTGAGGCGAGATGGGTTGCTGATTGATGTCGGCCTCAACCAAGCTACCAAGAGCAGTCCTAAACTTTGGCAATGGCTGAGTCTGGACCTGCCTGGGCTGCCAGAACCGATTAAATCTCCTAGGGGTAATCGAAGGCGTTCCTTTTGGTCGTGATGATGATGAAGGCGTAGGAAGAGTATCGGGGTCCAGAGGGGACATGGTAGGCAAAGGAGCCTTGAGAAAGCCCGCAGCGGGTGGCTGGTAATGGATATATGAGCGTTACAAACGTTAAGAACAGTATATATGCACGACGACGATGGGGTATGATTAGATAGATGTTTTTCAGATGCACCAAGTTTTAGAACATGTCGTCTGCACTGAACATGATGAATAGAAGAAGAAAAAAGTACAGTACGGAGTAAGACCAGATAGATGGCCCCAATTGTAGCTTCGGGTCGGTTGCCAGAGCAAAAGGCTGGGGTTGAGACTGGAAGCGAGCACTAAGTGGATATTGACGCGATGGTCGCGACGTAGAACGCCCATTTACACGCCTGGGCTGCATGGCCGCGGTGGTTTCGCGTAGATTGGTTCTCTTGTGGAATAGATAACAGCCACAATCGCCGCCACCGCATAAGACATGGGAGTTGACATCATCTTTGGCTGTGGCTGGCTGTTGCAATGCAAGGGCCAAGCCAGTGCTGCCATTGTGGTAGGTTGTTCCTGAAATCATGATTTTACTCAAGACATTCATGTATGATAAATTCTCAGGGGCAATTGACGTGATGAAACAAGTTGACTCATTAAAAAGGGAAAAGAAAAGTGATTCACTTTAATTCCGGCACTTGTTGTTAGGCTTGGTTGCGATTGTGAAAATGAGAGCCGCAAATTACTCCACCAACAGCGGGACATTCCCCGGAATACAGACCTACGGGCTGCAAGGATACAGTGGTGGATTCTAAAGAATACTAGGCACTTGAGCATCTGGCACCTATGCTCAGTGGCACTACAGTACTTCTTCACAAGGAATAGGATATAAGCCAATAAAATAAAACAACTCAGGATATCAATCATAGTACTGCATCAACCAAGCAAGATCTCAAATATGAAAGTGCCCCTATTTTTATCTCCCCTTCATTGGCTCTTCAAGCCCTGTCTTAGAATTCCAAAGCCGATGGCCCGTTCATCCTCACCGATAGCCACCAAAAAAGACCCAGAAAAAGCAACCCTGAAAGTCTAGGCCAATGGTGTCATCCCTCACCACAATCACTCACAATTAACCTACAGTAGCAGTAGCCCAGGTGTCTCTGTCTTGTCTGCCCTGTCCTCCTGTATCCGTAACACGCAATCAATCCCTTTACTCTTTATCTTTCCTTCTCCAAACAATATCCTTCATTTACCCTTTATTTCTATTATCCTCTTCTATACTTACACTTGTCATCCGCAATAGTAACTGTTTCGCGCGCGCACAAGACGCAACCATGTGCCGTTTTCTGGTGAGTCCCCTATAACAAAGGTCCCTTTTCCTTACCTGTGCCTCCGAAGCCGGATCCTCAGTCGCACCCTCAGTCGCAGAACCTCAACGCTGACTTCGCAACTCTTCTTTTTCTAGGTCTACAAAGGAAGCGATGACATTCTCTTATCGAAGCTGATTCTCGATCCCACTCACTCAATTCTCAAGCAATCTTTTGATTCCAGACTGCGTCTCGTGAGTCACCCCCCGCATCCTGACCGATACTTAAAAGCAACGTCATATCTGACCTGTTGCGACGCTCTGTAGGATACGAGACGAGGACAGAACAACGCAGATGGTTTCGGCATCGGCTTCTACACCGACCCCAAGCTTGGCTCAGCGCCTTGCCTTTTCACATCAACTATTCCCGCCTGGAATTGCACCAACTTGCAACGCATCGCCTCCAAGACCGCATCCCGCCTAATATTTGGCCATGTCCGTGCCACGACCGAGGGTTCCCTTAGCGAAGACAACTGTCACCCCTTTACACATGGCAGTTTGATGTGGATGCATAACGGAGGTCTCGGTGGATGGAAATACATCAAGCGACGTCTCGGTGAGCGTCTGGCCGACAAGTGGTACCTGGGCGTCAAGGGCGGCACCGACAGCGAATGGGCTTTTGCTCTCTTCCTCGATACCCTTGAGCGACTTGGCCACGAGCCAAGCACTTGCCCCGAAGCCGGCTTCGGTCCAACAATTCTTCGAGAGGCCATGAAGCGTACCATCGCTCAGATCAACGAGATGACCGATGCGATCCCCGAGAGTATCCTGCAGAATGAGGACGTCGACACTCGAAGTTTGCTCAACTTCGCCGTTACCGATGGCCACAGCGTAATCTGCACACGATACATTAGCAGTTCAAAGGATGAGGCGGCCAGCTTGTATTATTCCTCCGGAACGCAATGGACGACACGCACCCAGTCTGCGAATGATAAGCAATATCAGATGGAGCGCAAGGATCGAGGTGCCGACATTGTTCTTGTCGCAAGCGAACCGTTGACATTCGAGAGAGGTATGCAAAATGCTCTGATGTGAATTCTCAAGCGGGTGTATACATACTGATTAGAAATAGAAAACTGGGTCAACGTACCAACAAACTCCATCTTGACAATTCATAGACAGACCGTCATGGTCCATCCCATTATTGACAAGTACTACGAACGGGATCCTCATCATGTCCGCTCCAGTGCCTTTGTCCAGGCGAAGGGTCTGACATCGAACGAGAAGAACCGAAGCGATGCCGCAAGCCCTGCAGGACAGGATCGTCAACAACAAGAGCTCGATGGCTACCGCAAGATGATGACTGGTACCCTCGGCTTTGGTCAATCGAGAAGTCTCAGCCCCGATGTCTGCCGCCAAACAAGAAAGCCAGTACCAGTGGCAGCGCCAATCCATGTGCCTGAGTCGATTCCTGTCCCGCAACCAGCGCAGGTGACCCCACCAGCTGAACAAAGCAACAAACCGACCCCATCACAAGGAAACATCAAGGTTAAAAGACGATCTGTTCAGCTGTTGGATACCAGCCAAGGATCGAACGACCTCGATCAGATCTCAGATACAGACGAGCCGGCACGGGCAGATGTGCGTAACCCGAAAAAACTTTCGCAGTATTTTCCCGAGCTCACTCTCGCCTCTCATGCGGGGTGAGGTGAACAAGACCAAGGCATAAAGGGTCATGTATGAATGAGAACAAGGGGAATAGGATAGAAAGCGGAGACCAGACAAAAGAAGCGCTTTGGGGCTTTATTGTATGCATGATTGGCCATTACACCGTCATTTTATGGATCAAGGCAAGGTGTTGAGGTGTGAAATTATTTGTATTCTAGATTGTCTATTATTTGGAGAGATGACTGGTTCTTTTCTTATCACGGATGCCCACGTATCACACCTACTCAACCAATATTATCGTATCACAGGAACGAAAATGGGAATTCAAAGTTTATCTTATAACCTCAGTCTTGTCCCCTTGACTCAAATTAGAGTTGACATGGCACCAGAATTGCAGCGTCATGGCATCTTCCGACTCTCCATGGCCATGTCTCCTCGTCAACGTGAGGCTCTCATTCGTCCTCGCTCCTTTTTACGGCCAAATGCGCCACTAGAGTTCAACTGCCATAGAGGAGGACCGTGGAGGCTTGATGGCAGGTAAATAACAGGCAGCAAGCGATAGGCAGTGGAGGCATCACAGGTAGACAATAGTGCCAATAGCTTCAACGAGCAACGACGCGCCCAAGAGTCTTGTAGTGAGAATTGTGTATGTGGTGGCTACTTCCTAACGACAATACGATATTCGATGCAACTGATCACGGCCCGGAAAGGACGTTGGGCGAGTTGTAGCTTGCGATGCGTTTTGCTCTGCAGCGCCGTAAAACTTTACTGCATATCTTAACTTTGACTTTGTTATCTTGAGGTTCTCCCCCTCTTCTGCACCATAAGATATTCTACTTCTTTTTATCAACATCTCTATGAACGACTCAGTAGAGTCAACCACACTCCACCAATATGCCTTGTTGTATCGGCATCATCCAGTTCCAGCGATGTCGGCACAGCCTGCTCCTCAAGCTCGGCTGTACCAATCACTGCGAAGAGCTCTGCCCTCCTGAAATGCAGGTTGGGCTCGTCTCCACCAGCTACCTGTGGCTATGCGAAGACTGTCACGAAAGGAAGACCAACATCGATCTCGACGACCGATGTAACAAGTGGGCGGATCTAATGATGGACATTCCCGAGTGTGATGCTCAACTTCGTATCCACATAGAGGACGCGGTCCGCGCCCGCGAAGAGTACGAGGAAGTAACATGCGAAAAGTCACGAGTCGGTTGCATAGAAGAGATCCAGTGGGTGGTCGAATGGACGTACGAGTATGGTATTATGCTCTACGATGTTTTGTTCAAGAAGATGTGTGAGCCGCGAAAGGCTGCCGCTAGAATGGACGATTTGAGGGAAATGAAAATGCATGAGTGGGATCTCCTTGTCGTCAAGGATGCTTTGCGGAATCCCAAAGTGCTTTTCGAGGAGCAGTTGAACGAGACATACTGGTTCATCAATGGTCAGTATAGCGTTCAAAGTTACCAGGGCGATGTGACTGACCGACTTTACTACCAGATCAATCCAATGAGCAGTACTTGCTACGAAAGCAACTACAACAACCCCCTGTTTTCAACAGACCACCGGTTCCTTTGTTTCCCTGGAAGGGCAAAGAAGACGAGAGTCGTTCAAGCGAGAGCACTAATACCCTGATCAGTGAAGATTTGGACGCTGATGGGGATAAGATAATCATAGACAGCCAAGGCGAGCAGGCACATACAGAACATCGTTCTGCAACATCGTCATCTCCCACAGAAAGAGACAGCCATTCCACCACAGACGTCACAGCAGTAAGGGATTCAAGCAGGTCAGACCAGCCAGGGGACATGGCTCTCGACGAATGGTCTATAGAAAAAAGCTCTTGTGAACCACATTGGCCGAGTTACACAACGCCGGCACTATGAGAGAGCAAGCTCAAACATCATTACGAGTACAGAGTATAGGAATCGAAACCATGTATAGACTTTACGTTACACATGTGATTGCGGGCGCAATTATTCAATACCATGACAAGTTGTAACGTAGTTGTTTGCTTTACACCCTGCCGTGATATCGATGCTGTCTTGATCGACGCGTGAACTAACGGCCCCTGTGACAATCCTCACCCGTCCCCGAGAAACTACGCCTTGAATTGGACCTACCTCGTTGGGGAAAGCATCCCAAGCTCAAACTTGAAAACATCGCCAGCCTCAGGTTCTAGTGCACACCCTCATTGTCGCCCCTATCCCTCATCCCCATATCCACCAGCCTCGGTCCGCTACTTCAATATAAAAACACCTCAGCACAGCCCATATGATCCTTCCCTAATGTTCCTGAAACTAGCATTAGCTAAGATTCATGCCCATGCGTCGTTCTTCTCACCGAAGCCCGGCATTCTAGCATCCTTGCCCTGCAAGGCTTCCAGCAAAATGGTATGTTACATGCCGTGGCGTATAGACCCCCCTTACTAGCTCTAGTATATTGGGCCAGATGGAATAAGTATGGACAGGGGAGGAGATGAAAGGAACGGAGGATTTGTCCTGTGAAGACGTCAGAGGAAGACGCTGTCCAGCTGGCTGGAGTGTTTGTTGTTCATGGCCTTTGTGTCATGGTCAACATGAATCTTTTTCTTTTCTTTTTGTAACTTGGTTGCCTTGAAGAGGGAACAAACATGGACCAATCATCAATATATTATCTGCAGATGCGATGCAGATACAATAGATCTGTGATGGCCACATAGACTTGATGCATGTCTCATAGTGACAGCTCACAGCAATACAATGCGAGGCGGTATACGAAACTACATGCACCCACCAACTGGGTAACAAAACAAAACTGATGTCGTCTACATGCCTAATAACTACTACCGTAACTTACATGGATGATCCATCTCAGCTTCGCGCTAAAAAAGAAAAGTATCCTACGTGTCGATCATATCCCCACACTCTGGATACCGTAGGTAAGAAAGAATTTGATATGCTACTAGAGTGGGCCACACACCTGTTTGACATTCTGTCTCTGTCGTGTGTGTCTCAGAAAACTTCATTCGGCCAATCACTGGATTAACCGCGCTCTATCATTACCAGTAGCAAGTCTTCTCATTCGGCCGGCTCCGCCAGGCACAAGCCTTACTTTTAATCTACCTACATACAACGGAGTGTTCCCGAGGTAGCGTCTTTGGAACTGAGATTGAGGGTTGCCAAAGCTGTTTTGACCATGCGGATTTAGGAGTAGAAGCCTGAATGATGCTAACTTGCTAAGGAAGATGACTTTAGGAGGCTGAAAACTAGAACTTCTACCGCAGTCTTAGTCCAGCCCTGTAACGTTTTGCAACAGCCACAATTTGCTCGCCCGTGGCTTTTGCAAGGGTTATACTGCAGCTCATTCTGTAGGAGGAAGGTCATGTTCGCCTATGTATCCTTGTCTTGCTAGAGGCGAGTCTTGTTTTCAACCACCATCCATAGTTTAGTACTGCACTTGTTCATCAAGGGAATAGTCTTCAGCTCTGAGAGTCTTCATTTCGGTTTCTTTGAACCATCTTTTATTTTGACATGTAATAAACGCCAGTGCCAACCCTAGTATGCTGAGCCCATACGCCTTGCTCCCTTTCTAACGTAACCGTTCCGTATGCTGTTTGTTGCGTTGCGCTTCGTTACATAATACAATAATGATGCTAGTCTTTCCATCCTAACTTGAACTCCAAACTCAATCCCTAAGTAGCTCCGAATTCGACGCAGTTGACTCATCACCTTCATCTACCCCTACCCACGCACGCATGACAGCCCCTGGTATGCCAGATCCCTGTTTCCCATCACCTCAGCACGAAGTTAAACGCCTTCACATGTCAATCGCCGAGCATCCCTGCACATCAAAACATGATCCACTCCACCTCAACTCCCGGTCCTCCAATGCACTTTGTCCAGTTGAAAGGCCCGCGTTGATCTCCGGTCCTAGCCCCTAGTACTGACGGCTCGTCTCCCGACCAATCTTGAACCCACAGCTTCTCCAGTACCTCGAGAGCCGCTAGGTTGTTCATGTAACCAGAACGGAACATGATATCTCGACACTTGGACCGCACCATGTTCTGTTGTAATTCGTTGACACACTCACAGCCCGCCACGAAAAGGGGCCAGAGCAGAAACTTCTCGGCGCTACTGCCAGTATCCAGGCTCGTTGCGTAATAGACGACCTGGCTGACAAGGCTCTGGATGCTCTGGTGCCCTGAAGGCAACGATGGGCTCACAAGTCGCTCCGTGTACAGAAGCGCAGCGTAGCGGAATGCTTCGGAAAGTGACTCAAGATCTCGTAGCTGACTCTGCGAACAAGGCTCAGGCAGTGACGCACTGACGCGAGCTGCATCAAAGTTCCAGTTCTGAAGAGCCAGACGTGCTTCCTTCCACTCATGCCAGAATAGCGAGCGATTTTCCTCATACGATATGGCTTGTGTGCTTGTGGGTGTAGCTAGATCGTCATTGAGTATCGTACTAAGTCGACTGTTGTTGAGAATACTTGATTCCCCCATCTGTCCCTGTTCGCCTGTCACGTTGAATCGTGTAAGTGACTCTCGGCGAGCATGACCTAGTGGAGAAATAAACGACGAAGGAGATAGCTCCGGTAGCTCCTGAGCTCTAGACGGGACCGATGTATTTTGTACAGGGCGATTCTGTGACAGCTGGTTCAGGCGCCCCAGCTTACTGATGGTCTTGAATAGCTCGCGGTCACATCCTACCAGGTTTTCTGTTCCGACAGGTAAAAGTTGAATGTCTGGTATCCCATTGAACCCAGAATATACTTGAGCTTCGCGTTCGTTGATGGTCGCAGAGATGGCGTCAAAGTATGTGAATATCGCTTCCATCCAAGCAGAGTTGCTAGAGGCTGTGAGATACTGAGCTCGAAGAGCCAAGATCTTGCTAACTCCAGCAAACTGGGTATGGAACTTGGCGATGCCGGACTCGACCATACGGTAATGGCATAGAAGGAGGATCGTGGCGAGGACTGAATCGTGGATTGCCCTGGTACGGTCGTTGAGCTGCTCGTTTAATAGGTGCACAGCCAAGTTACGGTGTTGGTATTCCTCGGCGAGGGACAGGTCGTCGGGCTGAGTGTCTGCCATGGCTTCGGCGGCATGTTTGTCAGCCATCAACTTCTCAGAAATTTCTCGAGTATCACGTCCGAGACTCAATTTCCTCTTCATGCGGAGATTGCAAGATGCAAGAGCACAAATAGCATGGCTCAGACTCTGGCTGTTTACAGCTAGTCGCAGAATATGGTCTCGAAAAGGGTTGTGTGGCCCGTCGATAAAGACCATTGAGGGACACATGATGTTCTCATAGTAATCCATGAAAAAGGGCATCTTGGAGATGAGGTCCTGGCTCACATGAACAGATTGATTTTCGGAAGCGGTGGGCCATCCCGAGGGAGCAAAGTCCGAATGGTGAGATTTAACGTCTTCCTCCTGCATCGACGGGGACCAGGAGATGGGCATAGAACCGTAGCTGGCGCTATATGTATCGACTTCAGGCACGCCTGCGCACGTTAGAACCAAGGGATTCATTGGTTCCATCTGAGCTTACCGAATGAATCACAATCGCGAACAATCCTGTTACCCAGATGCGAATCAAAGGTGTCGGTATGGGAGTGGAGACTTGAGCTCATCTCTGAGGGAGCGTGGGCAAGACTCGGACACGATGTTGGAGCGAAGGTCCTTGCATGCTCGACGTAAAGCGAGGAAGGAGGGCTCTGAGGACCCGGGGAGCTCGTGCTTGTTGTGTAGCTGTCGTACATGTAAGATGGGCTGTGAACGTAGGAAACGTCATCTCTGGTATAAGATTGGCTCATGGGTGATACGTAGCCCACGTCCGGGGTGAGAGGGTCAATGGATGAAGAAAGGTTTTCGGTGACGAGAGGCATAGGAAACCGATGCATGTTGTGATTTGTCTCTTGTGCGGGAGAGTAGTTGATGTTGCCCCAGTTTCCTTGGTGGTGGATAGGGGCTGCATGCTCAGACTGTGAGATAGAGAGGTAGTCGTATCCTGCCATGGTGAAAGGCGTCGTAGGAGCGGAAGCGACTTGAGTCACGGCAGGAATATCAATGGGACCCTGGCGCATTCTTCTCGTCTCGTCCTCTGTTCCATGTGTGACAATGGAAGAGCTGGATCTTGAGGAAGCAGTTGAGTGTTTTCTGGGCTCACGGGTAACAGGAGGAGCTTTTGCAATGGGCAAGGACAGGCCTCGGAGCTTGCCTCGACTGGCCACGCCAACTCCCCAAGTAAGCTGTGTCTTATAACCGGAGCATTCACTGCCGACCTCGAGACATTGGGAGCAATATGGCCGTCTACGGTCACACTTGATGTTCTTCTTGGAACAAGAGAAACAATCATCAGAGGCGCCACCGGCAGGGGCACGTCTTCTGCGCTTTCGCACTGCAGAGGGATCTTTGACTGTAACAGTCGGCTGTGCCATAGCGGCTGTCATTTTTGTATAAGTTGAGGAGGTGAGGTGAATATGAGGCAGGGAGTATGTGTTGTCGACTTTAGATTGAAGGATGTAGTCAAAGTGTAAAAGCAAAAGGTCGAGATGAGGTTGATGATGTAGTTGGAGGGAAGTAAAGAGTTTGAATAAGGTAACTCAGAAGAGTAAAGTCGATGGGAAGTCTTTAGAAATGGCGGGAGCACGATGTTAAAGTATACAAGAATGTCAGGAACGATGTATAGATATGAAAGTGGCGCTCTAGGATGGTATAAGGCAAGATGAAGGCCAAACTGAAGAGGCGAGGGGTGTCCGGAGCCTGGGGAGGGTATCGCCCAGTACTTGAGAGTGCTGGCAACAAGACCCTGAAGTTGTAGCAGGGATCATGATGGGGAGCGCGACCTTTGCTGGGTGTGGGCTGTTGAAGGGGTGTGCAAATAGTAGTGAACATGACAGGGAGTAGCGTGGGCAGCATGGATGTACCTACAGTAGATAGGCACATTCAAGATCGAGTAGAGCGGGAGAGACGTCTGATGAGAGACGGGAGTGGAGAGAGGGGACGGGGGATGGGATGGGGACGATGGGGGCACCGTTAACATTGGCGTTGGCATCATCATCCCGATCCCAAGTCTAAGTAAGCGTACTTTTTTTCCCCTACAGACCGAACTGTACCAACGCTGAAGATCAGCGGGGGGAGGACCCATGAGTGCCATTTCGGCCGAGGTTGACGATAGACCGAGAGAATACTGAGAAATGTAGGGGTTCCCCTTGCATCCCATTCATAACCAGAAATAGTTTTAATTTCAGGCGACGAAACTCAACATCTGTCTTGGCTGTAGCTGGTGCAGTAGTTGGTGGTGATGAGATTTATGTTGTTGTTTGGAGAAGGATGAAAATATGGGGAGACAGACAAACAGGCTTGACTTCACTTTACTGCCTATAGGAACAGTGCAGTACATAGTACAGCAAGTAAGAGGAAGGAGGGGCGGGATCGAATTACGTGGGCGTGCCTACCCTCTCTAACTAACGTTAACTTATTGTCATGCTCGCTACTGTACGAAATCGATGGCAAGTGCGACCAAACAAGTTACCTGTCTTGGATGCTACGTAAGATAAAGATAACGTGGATACCTTGTCTCGCATATGAAAATATGAGCAGTCGCAAGTATCCTTCTATCTTTACCTCTACATAGTAGGGGGTACTTTTTGCCCCAGGAAGATGGGCTCCCTGACCGGTCGTGTAAGTCCTTTCTCGTCCTGTCTTTGGCCTCTGTCTTTGGGGTAAACACCCGCCTCAGGTCGTTATGTGGAACCTCCGCTCATCTTTCGGCGGACTACGGGGTCTGAAGCCCCCCGGCTTCATCACCATCTACGGTTTAGTGGCCGTCGGTACAGCCTGTGAACCACTAGTCCCTAAAACTGAACTGCCCTGACCATTCCCACATTGTCTGGGGGTTTCTGATTCGGCGAGTTCGGTTCGTTGGTCAAGTCAAATCAAATCAAATCAAATTCAACTCCCTGCTGGAGCGATGGAGTTCTCGCTCGCTCTCTTCCGCTCCTGGCCCCCAAGCTCTTGTTTAGGATCTTTCCCATGCAGATTCATCGTTTCGGAACACGGGCTCATCAACAGATATAAGCTTGCCTTATTCTGTAATGACGGACAGAGGCAAACTTGGACAAGGCCAGGCTACCTAAGGACAAGGTTGAAAATCTAGGCCCATTTCGGGTAGGAGTGCAGCGAGTGCCAAGTCGGGGACGATTTCACAAATGGAATAGAGCCTCAAAGCATAAAATCCGCCGGCTATAAACTCATGTTTGCGTGAATATCCAAGATTTGTAAGATAAATCTTCTACGTAGTGAGTGTTGAGTTTTTCTTTTTTTGTCTTTCTTTTTTTTAATGACTTCAAACGAAACTTTCAAGCTCAAATGAATGTATCCAACGTAGAAAACATAACTAGTCCCTAGGTCGCTGCTCAGTATTTCTTGTGGAGGTTCATGTGAAGTCCCGGGCCTTTCGAATCCCACACCTCCTATGACGCCACCCATGTGTTGACGGATATTGCAGGCTTCATCTCGGAAACCGGTACGACAACGGTATGTAACCGAGCCACCTGAGGCTTGGTCCAAAGCTTTCAACTCTAACAAGAGCTTTGTCCCAGATTAGGTCTATGCTTCCATTCTAGATAATGGTGGCATATGACAGTTGGTTTGAGGCTAAGATCAAGAAGGAATCTTCATACTTGTACCGACGCCCTACATAGCCTGGCGCGTGAATAGTTTGACGCTATGAAGAAAAATTGCAAAAATGCAAACTCAGGGGAAGGAAGTTTTTGCTTTCATTAATTCTCGGGATCTAAGATTTTCTTTGACCGTCTTTCCAGAATGTCATTATAGATTATGGACTAAAGAGCTCCCATGTTTCGTGGAAAGTATCCCGGAAACGCCGACGACGCTGAGATAGGTTGCCTGACAGTTTTTTTTCTCTCTCTCTTCTTTCTTTGAGGCTACCACACGAATTATCACTATCAAATGTTGTACAGGACAGTGGTCGATCATAGAGTTTCGACATCTGCAGGTTCGCGTGGTTCCTGGCAACGGCGAGATAAGATATCCGTTATCATATCCGTAATGGAAACAAAAGATCTTTCATTGCGTGCGAGCTATCTTGAGAACAAAAGAGCCAAGCTATTGCCAGGACCAGGACAAGGACCAGGGCCAGACAAGGAGACCTGCATCAAGACATCCTGGATCCATGTTCAGGACCAGGGTAACAAAACCGCCGCCGGGTGCACCTTAAAATCATCCGCTGCAGTTGTCCATAGGCGCTAAAGCGATCCACTCCCAGGGTCATTCAGGTCCTTTTGCAACCTGATGATCCAATCAGAATTGCTTCTCCCTCCATTTCTCTCTACCTGTACCTACTCCATATCCACCCAGGACAACCTCATCCACTCCTCATGCATCCATTATCAACAGTAGAGCAAATCTCCCCGCCTCTTAAAAGCAAAAGGGCCAAACAGCCTGGGGTTGCCAAGCTCACGATCATCCATGTCATGCCTCTTTACTTGATTGCTTATTACTTACTAGCTAGCCAGCTAAGCTACCGCTCTCGGTGGAGTGTGTACTGCAGAGGAGCACGGCTCCGTCACGTCAATCGCCAAAGCACCTCGGTTCTGGCTCATTTGCAAGTGATTGCAACATTGAATCTAAATTTATGCGAACCCTATTGTGACAGCATGGGCAATTCAACTAAGATCAGGGGTATATTACAAAAGCTCGACACATGTGCTAACGTTCATATTGGGCAACAGCGCCGCCTTGTGTTCAACGGAATCATAACAGAAATAGATTCAGAGTCAGAGCCTACGCTCTCTTGCTAGGTTGGCGACGTCGAACCTCAACATTAGTATCCGCTTCCTCTTGTCGAATACAATGCTCCGCGTCTGCCGGCTGCCGCCCGTTCACTTTGGCCCTGTCTTGCATATCTGCAATTGGGCTGGCAGCCCGATGCCAACCTTGCAAGAGGCAGTGGAACCAGCGAATCTCTCACCCCGCAGGATCATACGCAGGACAACCACGCACAGCACATGGCTCTTCGTGGTCTGGAATAGCCTGAGGGGGCAGGGCTGATTGCCCCCATGCTGTAGGGCAATTAGGGCCTTCTTGACTGGTTGCTAGACAATCGCAGTTGTAGCAAACAGACTTTATCAACTGTTCGAATAAACCGACCCACGTCATGCTCATCTCGACCAAATCAAGACTTAGAAAACATCGTGGTCGCAGTTCTATGATACATACTAGCGGATACTTCTCTGTTGGAACAATTCACAACAACATGGGCTCAACTGTCTAGTTACTGTGGCGGCGCCTCAGAAGCAGAATGCCTTTGCCGGAGCTTCTATGCATTCTTCCACCAGGCTTCTTTGGCAATGTCACACAGGTTAGGCTGCCTCTAGTTTCAACCGTCTTGGACCATGCACTCAATAGCCTGGATGGTCCCCCCACTCGACCCCCTCAAGTTGCGCCCGTCCACTTACATCATTCATCGACACAACTTCTCGGACTATTCAATGGTTACGCCAGCCTGTTTATTGGACCTCAGCAAAATCCCCCCAGCAATCTGAAGTTGTGACACGATGATACTGCATCTTACGGACAGCGGCCGAGGACCAGAAACACACATTCACAGTCCTGGTGCCAACCAAAAAGCCTGGAAGTCCATGATTACTGTCATTAAAAGACAACAGTAAAAGACGAAAGGCACAGTAGGGTTTCCTCTTATTCGGACTAACATTGAGGACTGCTAACTTTTTCCATTACAAATAGCGTTGGTTTTCCAAGGTTTGTTCTAAGTGATTCTTGCAAGAGTGTGGCTGCTTGCACGCGAGAAATGAATGTTACCCTCGCACTGAGAACCGACCACACCTTTGCACGCCGCTCTCGTCATCTGGAACCACTTCAACACCATCACGCACAATGCTGTTTTCAGCCATTTGCAACGATTCCATCATCCCACTGTGCCATAGACTCCAACAAGAACCTTCCACTCGAAACCGCCTCCAGTGCTAGGCAATTAACATCGCATGCTTTAGCTGTGCTGTCATACCACCATGAACTTTCTCAGTGCCCTGTGCTAGTAATCGTGAGGAATGGTGTATGGTCGTTACCACATCCAAGTGTGCTTCATGCATGTGCGCAAATTCAACAAGGCAACCCTCCTTGGAATTGGAAGCTTTGGACGTTGCAGCCACACTTCTAGAACATGAACATCCCACCGACGTTATCGCCCCTTTGGTGATAGCTCAATCAGTCACAGAGATGTTTATCAGAGGTTTTTTTTTCTTTAACGCCTTGACTAACTGAAGCAATCCCCTGACTGATGGTAACACATCACACATCGAGGAGTACATACGCATGCGCATGTCTTCGCTTAGGTATTTCGGCCAGTTCACCAACTCGCAGTGGTGTGGACGTTACAATAGTCAAGTGTCGTCTCCGTTTCTTATCGGCTTGCAATGCGATATAGCTCTATTACAAGATGCGATCGACATCAACTCGTGTTTTCTATCTTTAGGACCCAGCTGGTTTCGGTACTGGGGAAACTCAATTCACCATTACTCACAAGTGTCGGCCGGTCCCGAGAGAAGACCAATCTCATACACACTTTATCACGAACCGATAAGGCAATGATCAACTTGCGCGGGTCAACTAAGGGGCTGCAGTCAAGGACAGCTGCAGAATTCCATCGGTGTCTACATATGTACGAGAGTACCGATCCTTCGGTCAGGGATTAGGATAAATGGCCACTAAACCGGGATCATCCCGAAGGTTAGGAGCACATTGCTCGCATTTTAGCCTCTAAAGGTCGAAGGAAATTTTGGGAGATGGGATGAACCAACTGAGAATTATCTTACGTGTTTCATTATCACAAACACAAGTCGCGGAATAGGTGCATGAACGCTTCTGGGCTGACAGGAAAGACTCTCTCGTCACTGTCTCAAAAAGTTTCAGATGATCGGTGCCGAGGACGAGTAACAGTCTCTTGCAAATTTGACCCCTAACGCTTATCCTGGCCTATGAGAAACCCCGAAGTCGATGGGAAGAAACGATATAACGGAGAATCGTCGCAAACGTCGATGCTGCCGACCCATTTTCCTCACCGACAATGCTAGGCGAAACTCTTATCTTCCTCTAACAAAAGCCAAGATTCAC